TATTTTAATAGTTTAGTATACAACTTATACTATTATAAGCAGTCTAACATCTTATAAATATCTTTTTTATAGGTAGCTTTATCCTTTAAATATATAATGATATTATCTAGATATACTATATAACTTATATCTAGAAGATCGCTCAGCGCTTAATTTATATATAATTAAAAGATTACCAGGGCATTTACTAGTCTAAATAGCATAATAGTATATTTATAATACCTATATTAGATATGAAAAGCAGTTTTCTACTTATCTCTCTTCTTGATTTAAATACAATAATATACATCCTAGAGATCTAGTTATATAAATATCAATACTTTAGAGAGCTGACTTAGGGTCTTTTTAATTAATAATAAAAGATATTAGTTTTTAATTATAATAGTATTTATCTCTTGGTAGTTAATATATAGCTATAGGCTACTATCCTTCTTAGGTATAAATAAGATAGATGCTCTAGTAGGATTTTTTAACTTATAAATCTAGTCCTTAACTAGATTCTCTGCTAGATACTTTTAAAGTATTTCTTATTCTTTTAGATTTAGCTAATAAATTAAATAATATAATAGCTCTTTGCTAGGCTCTAAATTAATAGTATGATTATAGACTATATATTTAAGTAGTATTGCTGTCTACTTCTCTAAGAAAATATTAAGATATAATTTTAAGTATATTAGTAGTTCTAAAACATTGATAACTATTAATTATAAAAAATCCTTAGTCTCCTTCTTATCTAGATCAGCTTTTTTTATTATAACTCTTCTTGGATTTATAATGTAAGTGGTCTCTTTATTCTTTATAGCTTAATAGAGTTCTTAGGCTATAATCTACTCTATATATAGTTTTAGTATGTGTTTTATAGATATATTACTTCTATTTTTTATAGGGTCCCACCACTGTATGGTTTTATGACTTATATAATAAAGTATGAGCTTAGTCTTTTATTTAATAGACTAGCAGTAATACTACTATCTTATAATATAGTGGATATTAGGATTTATGGCCAAGTATTATAGTAATCCAAGTATAATATTATATCTTTTTATATTAATAATGCTATAAGTCTACTAGGTGTTTTCTAGTCTACCTTCTAAATTAAGAGTAATAATATTTAGCAAAGTCTTCTTATATATTAGTATTAAATACCTATCAATCATCTTTATGACCATAGCTAGATCTATTAAGAAATATACATTCTTTTATACTTATTTTTAATTTATAAAATTACCTTTAATAGCTTTATCAATTAAGACAAGTGCTCTTACACAGCCTTTTAGGATTTATATATAGATATATATACTAATATATAATCTTTAATTTAATTATATAGTATACAGCCCTAATATTATAATAATATATCAGACCTTATTAAAGAATTATTTCAAATCTTTCTTAGATCTCTTACTAGGGTTCTTAAAGTAACAGTTCTTTTTTATATGTTTTTTTTTACCATAGTAAATATATATTAATAACTTCTAGGCCTTTGACCTGTCCCTAGAATCTTTAGTTTTAGACTTCTTCTAAGAATAGTAACTACTATAATAATTACCCCTTTAATCAGATTTATTACTTTGATTTAAGTTTTAACCTAAAATCTTATTTTTTAAATCTAAATTTAGCTTTACAGCCTGCTTTTAAATAGCTTAAAGTTCTTTCTTTTATTTTAATATAAAATCTTCTATCTTTTAAAGATATACTATATAGTTATTATACTCCTTGGGTTCATTGTCTTATTATATGGCCTTAATATATATAAACTCTATAATTTAATCTTTAAGGTAATATTTCTAATTCTTATTTGTATATATTTATTCCAAGAAGCGTTCTAACCCCTAGATATAGATATTAAATTTAGATATAATTTAGCCTTTTTATTACTGTATCTATTGATATTACTTATTTACATCTTAGTATAATAGTTCTAGAGTATATATAACACCTACTAGAAAGAATTTAAAGTCTCTCTATATTATATAGTTGATTTTTATCTTATTCTTTATAAATATACCCTATTAGTTAAATACTTTCTAGCTTAGTCCTTCAACTATAGTTAGTATTTTCTATTAATTAATATCTTTAAAGTTATAATAGTAATTATATTTTATAAAATAGTATTCAAGTCAGAGTTTAAAAGATTCTAATTTCTTTATACTAGTATCATTATACTTTCTTTTAAGTACTAGCTTTAGCTATTTTAAAGAAATAATTTCTATAAATACTTATAATCTCTTTTAACTCAGTAACTCTTTCTTAGTTGTTATTTTAATATTAATTATCTCTTATTCTCTTCTTTTTTTCCCTAGATTAAGGTGATTCAAACCTTCCTATATATTAAAGCTTTATATTAATAAGCTTATTAATAATAAATATAATAGCTATTATTTTAGTTTCTTAAGCTTTTAAAGTATAATTTATACTATAATCCTTTAATACTATACTTTTATAACTTTAGTTACTCTAGTTTTAAATTTAATAAATTCATCTATTATTATTACTAGAAAATCTTCCTTTAAATACTTTATTAATAACTTTAATAGAACTATAAATGCTAAGATCTTATCCTAAGTTTTTATAATTACTAGTTTTATAACTATAGCCTTAGTATTTATCTTGCTAGTTATTAAAGAAGATATATTAGTCTTACCTTCCCCTTTATTACCTAATTCTAATTTTATAACTCTTACTTCTTCTTCCTCTATTAGGATCTTTTTAATATCTAAAAGATATTTAATTAGAAGTAACAGATCTTTAGAAGCTTATCTCTGAATATATAAAAAGATATGTTTTAGAGCTATTTTAAATAATGATTGCTAGGCCCTTATAAAGTGAGTAATTAGACTATAATAAAGATTACAAGAATATAGCTAGGATTTAGCTTTAGCCTAGAAATAGATTTAAATATAGAATATATATATATATATGCTTAACAGCTAATTACTATTTTATAAAGGCCTAAGGCCACCTGCTATTATAAGGCAGTATATATCAAGCCGCTAGTCTAATTAGTGGCAGGAAGCCGGGCGAGGTCATGTGCCCACTGTACTTTGAAGCTATTCCCAACTCCATCCAGGATTCCGCCTTACACATTTCTAAATATAAAAAAATTTTTTCTATATAAAATTAAATAAAGCTATTAAAATATATTTATAATAATTATTTTATATATACTTACTATAATATAATAATATTTCTAATTTTATATAAATCTTATTTAGTAAAAAGCAATAAAAATAAAATAAAGATAATTCTATACTAAATTATTTAATATATAATATAAAATTATTCTTATTAATATTTTACTTTAAAGATATAATTAGCATAAAATTATAAGATTATATATTTAGAATATTTAAAAAATTAAGATTAATTACTTATACTTTAAGAAATATAAGCTATTTATTAAGCTATTAAGACACTAGTCTTCAAAGAAAAGAATTATTAAAAAATTAAATTATTATAGCTAATAGATTAAGTTAATTATTATAAGATTAATATATATTAAAATAAAAGATTATCTATAAAATCTTAAGATTAGGATAATAAAGCTAGTAAAGCTATTACTATATTAACTATATTAATTAGAATAAAGCAAGCAGAGCTATTACTATATTAACTATAATAAAGAAAAACTATATAAAAATACTTATTTATTATATATTTAATTTTCTTCTATTATCTTGAATTAACTATAATAACTTAAATATATAATCTTCTATTAATTAGGATATTTATAGTCTTATTCTTATTTCTTTTGTCTACTAAGATCTTTTAATCTTAGAAGCCTATTAACTTTGCCCGTTAATAGCTATCCTAGCTATACTCAACAGTAAACAAACCGAAGTTTCCGACAGGTAAGTAGCAAAAGTAGGTGATTATTAAATAGTAAAGATGATTAATCTTTTAAATAGTTAATAAAGCAGGCTGCTCTCAGTCCTGGAAAAACTTTATCAAGACGGATGATGATGCTGAAGCTCCTTGCACCAGTGACTTCATCACCGTCCGCACTATCAAGGGATAGGATGGAGAAGAGGTTCATGACTACACTGCTCAGCTTGGCTAAAGCTGTGTGTGACTGAATAAGGAACTTTACCCAGTGTTAATACTTGCCATGAGTTCTGGTCAAGATCTTCGCGAATTCGACGCTGTTAAGAAATACTATCTTCCTATGTGTGACTTTACTTTTCTGATCAATTGGCCATCAGTCCTGGAGGACGGGATGCTGTTCCTCCCATCTTGGCTGCATTTCAGTGTTTTGTCCAGACTTGGCTCCGCAAAGTCTCCACTAAGTAGTGTGGGCACTATCAGACTAAATCAGATATTTGGGAACGAGGACTTTATTCGCATAGCGATGGCTGTAATAGGGGCGCTATCCATCTGGCTGGCGGGTAGGCCTGCAAGAATGATGTTGTGCTCATCAATGCGGCCTAATCTGTATATATTAATATCTTCACCAATCTTGGGGAGGTCTTGATGCTCTTCGTCAAGCATTTCCTGCGCTGCAGCGAGCTCGATATGCAAGGCGCAGGCCCAGCCCACCGTGTAGTTGTTCCGGTCGAGGCTCTAAGTTAGTGCCCAACAGGCTTAGTGCCTCCGGGCGTAATAAATATCTATCTAATCATTCCTAATTAGACAACACATACATATAACAACGGATTCGGAACGCTGTATTAGCTAGTATTGAGAATACTATATAATCTGCATATCTAACTAAAGAGAATATTCAGGGGGTTACTTGAGGCCATATTTATGATCAGAATAGGGGTCAACTAAGACACATATCCGATGCCTATTCTGGCCAATTAGGTGCACCTCTGTGAAATACGGTGTTGGTTGTGGATTACATGCTATATTCGGAATAGCGGTCATAATCCGCTGTCAATTTCCCTCCTATTCAGTAGCCTTAAATCTCACTAATTCTATATATAGCAGTCAGTAGCTTGTATGTACAAATGCTCATATTGTTTAAACAGACACAACCTCTCTACAATCAATCTTATTATTCAACCAGCAGCATAAGGACTCTTCTTTCTCAAGATTTCTCCAAAACGCCATAACAAGAACGGTGCTGGCCATCCCAATCCTATGGCAAGGAATGCCAAGAGGCTATTACCCCATCCATAACCCAATGAGGAATACACATACGGTCCAAAAAGCGGGAAGCCAAATCCAGCCAAGCTTCGCAGCACCGTACTCGCCGCTAATGCGCTTGCGGCAAATCTTGTATAACTATCAACAACATATGCCTGTATACACTGAAAGCTGATGACGGTTCCCGCAGCAAATGTGGCAGCACCGATGTTGGGTGCGATCCAATGTGTTTTATATTCGGCCGTCCAGCCGTAAATAAATAGACCAAAAGGCACGATCAATGCGCCGGGGAACATGAGCACAACGCGGAATTCAGGACGGCCGATGTTATCTGGTGTCCTCGCCTTGAGGGCTCGGTACACACGGTCTTGTAATGGGGCGAAGATCTGGGTTCCAAGGAAAAACCCGACGCCGAGCGAGATATAATTAAGCCCAGCAATACCTGTTTTCTCATCGTAATGGTCGGGAGAAGTCCATAACGTGGGGAAAGTGGAAAGGACAATGTAGATCAGCCCGTAGACGTAGGCCATATATAGTGCTAGCACCTGGATGATAGGTTGAGTTGCGAGGAGTCGGAATGGCCGAACCAGAGCTGCTTGTAAGGTTTTCAAGACTGTGCGGTCTGCTTTTGTATCTGACTTGGTGTAATAATTTGGATTGCCGGTTTCCTTAATTAGCTTGTTTTTTTTGCGCTGTAAGAGTAGAGGTGCAAAAGTCTCTCGCAAGAAATACAGGCCAATGAGCTGGATAACTCCGTCGGCCATCGTTGTAGCATAAAAGATCCAGCGCCAAGAGGTATTCTGTGTGATAAAGCCACCCGCAATAGGGCCGATAGCCGGTCCGAGTAGAGGTGCCAGTGAATAAACAGCGATTGCACGCCCTCGTGTGTCAGTAGTGAAGAGATCTCCGAGTACTGCTCCGCCAATAGCTAAGGGTGCTGAGCCTCCAAGCCCTGCAAAGAAGCGGAAGACCATTATCTGTGCTTTGGACCGTGCAAGGGCGCACCCGAGATTGAAAAAGAAGTAGAATAGGTTTGATAGTTGGAGGACCCGCGAGCGTCCATACAGCTCAGAAAGAGGCCCCAAGAATAATGGGCCGATTGCATATGCGAGCACAAAAATTGACAATGCTAGAGACAACTCAACATCATTCGTGATATTGAACTCTTGGCCAATAGAGCTTAAGGCCGGTGCAAGGATTGAGGAAGATAGGGGTGATATCAGGGTAAAAGATGAGACGACGAACGTGACAGCCCATTTCCGACCAGTCTTCCAATTTTTGGGATTTGCGAGATCATCTGGTCCATCCCATGTCACGAAGTTGGGATCAATCTTGGTCGTTTCGTTCTGTGGTGCTTGCTCTTGTTCGAGCTGTTCTTTCATTTCTCTAGAATTTTTTTCTTTCTCTCCCGCATGTGCCTCTTCCGTCAATTCGCCCCGGCTTTTCCGCGCGTCTTGTACATTAATTGCGTCTGGCATTCTTTTCAACTTCGTCCTCGTCCTAGTTTAACTAATCTCGGCAACAGTCTAGTAAACGAAGGACGGAAACTTTGTTAAAGAAAGCACTTTAGTCGCCATGGCTAGCTAGGATACAAAATATAGATATGCACCCATATATGCCAATTTGTCCATGGCGTGTCTCTACTGAATAGCATGGAATTCACTGGTATACGAAAATAAGAGACGGATTTCGGGTCAACTAGATCGCCAAAGCCGGTTCGGAAGCCCTAACGTATCCCTGTCAAAGGTCATGAGCAACATTTGTCTAGCAGGCAAATACAGGAGAATTTTATCGACGTGAAATTTTCCGAGAAGTGAAATTAATCCCCGATCAGGACTTATTATGCACTGTAAGAGCCAATCCTTAGCCACTTGCAGACATATGTTGGGGGCCCTCGGATGCTCGGTGTAGCTTTAGTTAATAATTGACTATACACCTATAATAACCCTATGTCTGTTATGGAGTGAAATTTATTGTACGCCTAGGCATTTACTACCTTATTAGGCATAGCTCGTTATGCTTATACCTATACGAAGCTATGTCATGGCGGCTAGTAACTACGTGATATGCTTGTATAATTCGTAGCATAGGTAGTTATGCAGCTTATCTAGGTATGCTAAGCTATGTAGGTATATTACCCTTCTTATATCGGATCTTATATAAGATAGAAAGTATTCAAACAATGAAAATTATACCAATATAGGATTGATATATTTTACATAGGCATCCGAATATAATCCATGCGAGAACATTTATCTGTCATATATCGTTATATCCCGAGTCTAGTTAACTACCCAGGTGCTGCATGGATTAGAAATAAGATTGCTTTAAAGGCTTGAAGTACTTCGTAAACAGATAAGGATACCATTGGGCGACCTTTGTGTGTTGGAGTCTCCAGAGTCAAGGCGTGCTAAATTAATTAATATGAGCCAACCGTTCGCCCATGCGAGGCCGCTGGCCGTGTGACGCCAAATGTGCAATTTTAGTGCGTAATACTTCTACGTATAGCTGTTAGGAAGGGAATTTGGTCAATCTTACCTGGGAGAGCACAACAGTCGGAGTCTCCCAACAGGTTCCTTGGTTAAAGGTATGAGGATTATTCTTGTGAATGGAGGATAATGGCAGTGATTGCTTGAGCATGAACGTCTATCTGCTTCTACTTTCTACTCCTAGCCTCCATAGCTATGCTTAGCCCAGCCCTACTAGTGCCGCCTACGCGGCGGCCACTGATTAGTCGACTTTCCTTCTCGGTAAGAATCTAGGACTCAAACATCAGCACCAACCTCCACAAAAACCACCATTAGTCAGTGAGACATTGCCCCCAAACCAACGTACAGCAGGCTAAACAACACTTGGGGGCAACTTTCCGCAGGGGGCCAAAATATCAATATATGATCAAATCAATTGGAGCCAATACTTCACGGAGATAACAAAATACTTCGTCATATAAACTCAGTGCTTTTTCTCCAAGATTCACGCCCGTAGAATGGATCCACACATCTTGAGTGATGGAATCTTAAGCTCAAAGACATATAATAAGAATTGAAATTAAATGCTGGCCGACTATGCACCTCGCCACCTTAGCAAATTCCCCGAATACCCGACTTTCGTGTGATCGATGTCGCGCACAAAAGCTGCGATGTCCACGAGAAAGTAGCAGCAGCAGCAATAAGAGCTGCTCGAGATGTGTCCGCAAGGGAGTGGAATGTATCTATAGTGTACCCCTCCCTAAAGGTCGACCTCGGACGACAAATATTGCTGCCAGAACCCCAGATCTGCAAGGTCCAGCAATCTTATCGCCAAGCAATAATCGCCAAGTTACAGCAGATGAGCAAAACACGGAGGACTGGGAAAACATGACCGCCCCGCATGTTTCTGACTCCAGCCTCACCTCTCCTGCCGCCGTGTTCTCGCAGCAGGATTGGAACAATGTTTTTGCTGCGTGGTCAGACTCGCTGTCACAAGATATTCTGGCAGGGCAGGCAGGCACAGCCAGGAAGCACGCCTTGCCAGGTAAATCACCACCAGAGCGACAACAACAACAACAACATCATCATCATCATCATCATCGTCATCATTACTATGGCTCGCTTAACTCTGTAGCCCCAGCACATCTCGAGCCCACGAACACCGACGTCTCACAAAGTGCATCAAGTCATAGGCTGGATAGTGTAGGGAATGACAATTCACCGATCCAAACAGGTTACATGGCGTCACAAAGTGCCTCGACACCGCACTATGTGGAACGCTCTTTCTGGGCTCTCGTACATGGTCAGGTAACTATCTCAAAGGCATCCAAAGGCATTAAAGGCATCGGGTGATTCTGATTAGCTTACGTGTACTCTAGGAGCTCATTTGCGAGAACTTCCTAGACGCTACTGATCATGACGCCAATATCACCAAGCCACGATGGCATGGAGACCTGACCGGCTTAGATAAATTGCTTACACAAATTCCTACCAAGTCAGTTTGTGACCTCTTTCTACAATCCTTTCTTGCCGGAATTCATCCTATCCATCCTTTCATCCACATTCCGAAGTTTCACAGCGACTACCTCGACTTCTGGAGCTGGCATACACGTAAGCAGAAAACTAGCTTGAAGCCCAGTGATCGGTTCTGGCGTGACCCTACTTTTATCCCCCTTCTGTTTTCTACTCTTTTCTGCGGAGCTGCCGCTGCGCCCGAAAGCTTTTGGTCAACGGCTCCACCGCTGGTAGACCTTGACATTGGAAGCACGGTGGACCAGCTACGCAACTGCTACCTACAGGGACTAGAACTTTGCAAACACACACAATATCCCACTTTAAACACACTTGTTGCTGCGCTTCTGGGCCATGCACTGTCAAACCGTGGTAAGGACATCTTAGCGGATATATCGTTCTTCGACACAATAGTGCGCATCTCGCAGAGCATGGGATTGCACATGGAACATAGCAGCACGACAGAACGAAGACTTGATCCAGTAACACTTGAGACATATCGACGAGTTTGGTGGCATGTGCTCTGGCTGGATATGCAATATTCGCTTCGGTACGGGTCACAAACACGCTGCGGGTCTGAAGGAAACCACTGGAATGTACGAATGGTAAGCGAGGCGAGCGATGAAACCATGGTGGTCGAAGGCTCTCAACCTGATCTGTTTGCTTCATCCATACGGAGCCCAAATTCGAATCGAACCTCCGTCATCGTGCTTTTCGCAACGGGCCGCTATGAGACAGTCCGATTTATGCACGCATTTTTGAATCGGCTAAACAGCTGTCACCCCTTGACTCAAGACGATCTCAACACTCAACTGGACGCCTTCAAGAAACTGCACATGAAAATGAACCAACTGATTGGCAGAATGCCTGTCCGAGGTGCACCGGAAAGGGGTTTTGTTCCTTTTCGAATGTCCAACGCGTCCATGTTGACAGACGAGTCCCTGTATTCGGATCAATCAGAAAATCCGAGTGTGTTTATCTCGTGGGCAAGAGTCACACTCACCATGCTTATGACAAGTGCTCTGTTGACGTTGCAAAAAGCTTTCCTGGGCCATCCTAGCCTTAACTCTGAGAACAGTCTTTGGGTGAAGTATGTCCTCTTTTCTATAACTACACAAGCACAAACACATATATATGCACAATCGCGGCCTTACTGATGAACTCTCTCCGTTATAGTTCTTTTCGACTGAGCATCAACTATATCCGCTACTTGCTCCAAATCGTACGAGTGCCCGCCTTTGCACCCTATTTCTGGTTCTTAACAAAAAACGTCTCGATCGCGCAAGCAGTTCTCCTTATCCTTATTTATCTCAGGCTCAACCCTTCTAGTCCAGATGCCTATATGGCCCTATATTTTGTCGACGAGACCTTCGAGATCCTCGAGACCATGAATCCCAAACTTAAAGGTCTCGGCGTCTCCGATGCAGGAAATTGTTCTTCAGCCGCAGCGTCAGGCGAAAGGTCACTGACTGTTTGGGGCTTCCTAAAGGCAATGCGCACTATACTCAGCCCAGCACACGTGGAGAATAAAGCTCCCACACCGGATTATTTTCAGTGCCTATTCAACAACGATTGCGTAGCTTCAATGCACTCATCTCTTTCTTCTACGACATCTCTACCGCTAAGCTCCAACATAAACAGCAGCTGCTTACAAACACCAGAGATAACCCTGGGCAGATGCACGGCCAAGGAAGACCTAGCCCATGAAGGCGGTTATGTGCCGTATTTGGGAAATATACAGATACCTAGTGGCAGTATCGCAGGAGCAACTCATCCTTCTTGCGAGCCAATGCCGGGCCTGGAATTTGCCGATCTTGAATCCTGGTCCTCTATTGTCTTGCGAAACTTGGAAGCCTTTGACTGAAAAATCGTGGTCTAGGAATCTGTGTAGCCTGTAATTTCATGTTTCTCTCTGTGGTGATATACATATAAGAAGGTCGTTAATGTGATTTTGATGAAGGGGAAATACCCGTGTTTATTTAATGCTAGTGCTAGATACAGTCTATATTTATGCAGTAATTTTACGAACTCACGAACAATGAAGATGATTTTGCTGAGTACCACTAAGATCTTATTCTCTATGAATGTACCTTCCGACCTCATATGATTTCAACTAGCAATAGGATAAATATAAATATGGCTAATATACGTGTTTGTGGTGGCAAATCTAAAACAAGCATTGCTGGCAAAGGTCGGTAGGTATAAGTTTTTTCTAAATATATTGATGCGGCTTCGAGAAATCTTTGTCGCAAAAAATTATCCGAATTCACATCGTATACAAGCCTAAACCTCACCGTAGTAGACATAGCTTGTTGATTACTTGCCCTGGGCAATAGCCCGGTCACCTTGGGCCCAAGAGGTGCGCATTTGGAACAATTTAGCTTTCCATAATCCATCGCTATCACCCTTAACAACTTCACTGTAGTACAAACTCCCAGTCAAAAGGTTCGCTTCATCCGGTCCGAATCCCTGGCCGGAGCGGAAATGCTGAGCCAATGCATGGGCGGTCACTTTGGCTGTCGATTCACCTGGCTCATGATCGACACGGACATTGGTAATGAAGTGGGTGGTATTAATTTTCGAAATGGTCTCAAACATTCCGCCGCGAATGGTTGGTAGACCCTTGAGGAGAGTGCCATTGATGTCGACAACGGCATCATCAGTGAATGCTGATAGGAAAGTGGCTTCGTCGCCGGTATCGAGGGAGATGACGCCGCGATATAGAGAATCAATGATCGCATCACGATCGCCGAGCGAGGGGAGAGCAGTGGGAAGGATTGGAAGCGCCATGGTAGTAGCTTGAACTGTGTTGGAGACAGGTGTAGAAGTGGTTGTAGAATGGGCTCTTGGTTTGAAGCAAAGACACAGGAAACGGAGACCAGCCATGTAAGTGTATCAAGTCGCCTTGCTCTGGCAGCTTTTATAGCTAGTTTATGTTAACCACATAATATCAAGGGCTTCTATCGACAACTGGCAGTTATTCCGTAATCTCCGTCTATTAGCCCGGCAGTCTTCCAATGTTATACGTCAGAAGGCCATCAACAAAGAGCTCATGAGCCTGATAAAAAGCATTCTAGGAGCAAAGTTGCGCCGTAGGGGACCGGGATTCAGACAATTGATACGGATTTCGGGCGGATGAAAGACGAAGCAAACATGTCGGATTTCGGATAAATATACATACTGTACTTAATGAAAATGCCCGCCGGCGGGTCTACTGACCTGCCTAGATAGGAAATAAGAAACTCGTTCATTATCGGTAGTTTTTTGCATTTAATTCACAGGTACGCGATCTGGTTCGGTGATTTTTGATAGCTATTCCTATACTTCAACATTATGCTTTCGAAAAGTGCATTCACTGAATGCGATCAGCCAAGTAGTTTAAAGCATTTAATAGGTACATGCAATGAGTAGCTCTTCTACGCTGCAGACTCACCAGTTGACGGCCTATTCTACATAATGCCTTCCTTGATCAGCTCTGCATTGCCCACCAAGCAAACAGCGATCGTGGCCGAGGGCGCTGGCAAGCTCAGCCTTCGCCACGATGCCCCTGTACCTACGCTGGGGCCGAACGTGGCCATGGTCAAGACCGCAGCTGTCGCGATCAACCCGGTCGACGCAAAGATGCTAGACTACAGCCCAGTACCTGGAGCCATACATGGTTATGACTTTGCGGGCACCATCGTGGCGCTCGGAGATGGTACACCTGCTTATCTGAAAGTTGGAGACCGCGTTGCTGGAACGGTGCATGGTATGAACCCAAGCCTGCCCGATGTAGGGGCCTTTGCCGAATACGTTGCTGCTCCTGGGGACCTTCTCCTGCAAATCCCGGACTGGATGAGCTTCGAAGAGGCGTCGTCCATTGGATTGAGTTTATTCACAGCTGGTCTGGGTCTCTTTCAGGAACTCAAGGTTCCGAGCTCGACTACTGAGCCCTATGCCCCGCGTCCGGACGATGAATATGACTTTGGACCAGAATTTGTGCTAGTTGCTGGAGGAGCTACCGCAACCGGCACTCGTGCGATTCAATTGCTGAAACTGTATGTCGTACTTGCTATACTTTCCCTCCTTTCCCACGATTTTCAGTTACCAATGCTCTTGACTTTACAGCGCCGGCCTCCGCCCCATTGCCACATGCTCGCCATCAAATTTTGAACTCGTTCGGAGCTTCGGCGCCGAGGAAGTCTTTGACTATCATACTGCAGACTGTGCCGCCGAAATCAAAACATATACTCGTAACACCTTGGCATACGCTTTTGACTGTGTAGCTATGGCTGATACCATGCAGCTATGCTACGCAGCCATGGGACGCGCAGGTGGCCGCTACGTCACTCTAGAACCCTTTCGCCACGCAATTGCCTCGACCCGGCCTACTATCAAACCATCGTGGTTGTTGGCACTTACAATCTTTGGACTGAAGGTCAACCTTGAGGGCGAGTATAAGCGGGAAGCGAGCCCCGAGGATCGCAAGTTTGGGGAAACATTTACTCTCGAGATGCAGAAGCTACTGAATAAGGGAACACTAGCAATTCACCCCGTCCAAGTCCGCTCTGGTGGATGGGAGGGAGTGCTGAATGGTGTTGACTTTATCCGTAAGGAGACCATGTCCGGACAGAAGCTAGTTTATTCGGTATAAGGAAGGAGTGAAAGCTTTACGAGATCTAGACCAATACCAATTTATGAGTTTTATATCTTTCGTTATATCTCGTAACGACATTTGTAAAGTTCCTCTATGGTTACTAACCGATTTGCTATTGTTTATATTCCAATGGCCAAGATTAAGTGTGCAATTATTGACCGGTCTTCTTGGTCCAGAGGCATCAAAGCCTAAGACAATTTAGCTGAACATCCTACTGCCCTAAGACTGCGTCTGGACGATAGTTGTTCCAGTCGATGCCCCATTGTCAACTAGAAGTCATGAATAAGCATGCGCCAGTCCTTTGCCCTTAAAAATATATGATACGGATATGAGCTTCACTTAGGTTCTTCAAACTCACAGGAATATAGTAGTTATCCAGTTTATAGATCCCGAAGTTGATAATTTAGCTCATTATTATTCCTCGGGAATGAGAAAGAGCAAATCGTCCAAAGCATCAAGGAATGGCTAGGATGTCCTTTAGCATGATTATTTTAGGCATGGACAGATGCAACTAAACAGCTCTTCCAAACAATAAGCAGGCTACCAAGCCTTTGGATCAAATCTTCAACTATAGCTGACTTGATTTCCAATCTAATGTAGTAGGTACTCCATGAAACTTATCAATCACAATCGTCACAGTCTAATGTTATGCGGCTGGCAATCAAGTCCCGGGTTCATTATACCAGAGGGTCACTCTGGCGGGATGTTCCAGCAACTACTGCAACTTACGTTTGCACACTAACTAATCTGACCGCCAACTCAGGCTTTTCCCAATGTCTTGTCACCCTATTCTGCTTTAGCCAGTCTCTACTCCTCGGTTCGAGCTCAAGTTCGAAACACCAGACGATCTTGGCAAGGATGAGGCGCATTTCGGCATGCGCCAAATTCCGACCCAAGCATCCGCGTGGACCCAGACTGAAAGGCTGACAGGCAGTTTTGTTGTCATTGGCGTAGGCTTCGTCACCCATCCTGGATGTATAATTTTACGGTCAGCGTCAATTAAGTTATACAAGGTGAGAAACGGAAACCAAAAAGCGAAACCGAAAGGGATCCACGAACCATCTCTCAGGTACAAAAGCATCTGGATCTTTAAAATTTCGCTCGGAATGGTATGCGGCGTAGTGGCTGACAGAGACTATGGTTCCCTCTGGAATATAGTAACCACTGATGACCTCGCCGCCAGTATTTACCTGTCGTCCGAATCCAGCAGGGATGGGAGGGTAATACCGAAGACCCTCAGTGATGACGGCAACCAGGTACGGCGATCCATTGACTGCGTTGATCGTAATCTCGTCATACGTTTTAAACTTGCCACGGATTTCGACTTTGAGCTTGTGCATCTTTTCAGGGTTCGTAAGCAATAGCCATGTGAGGCCGCTGAGCAGGGTCGAGGTTGTTTCGGAGCCGCCGACGATAAGGGAACTGGCGTTTGAGATAATCTCCTGCTCAGTCAAGCGAGCCCCTTTTTCCGGGTTGTTCTGCAAGATATATGACATGAAGTCTGGTCGTGTGGTGTTTCGCTTAGTGCGTTTTCTGACTTGGCTGGCGATCCATTGCTGCCACTCGCCTCGTCAGTGCTGCATGTGCAACTAGAAAGGAATACCGTTCAATGACAACTGACCAGATAATCCTTGCGCTTTTGCATGAGGCTTTTGTCAAGAACAAAGCTTCCCAGATATTTCAGAAAGGGGAAGAAAGCAGAGATATATGAGAATCTTAACGATTTTAGGGAGTCGAAAAGAAGTGTAATGTATTGGTGCGTGGAAAGATCCTGGAGACATCCAAATGGTTCCCCTAAGAAGAGTCTGATGTCAGGATGCTACTTGTTGCAGACAGTAAACTGATGTTGAGGATTTACCAAATGCTAAATCAGCTATCAAGTCAAACATAATCCTGCCCCCATTCGTTATTCCAAAATAAAATTCAATTTCCCGCTCCTGGAATGTTAAGGTACTTACCATTTATACCACTGAACCATATCTACAGGTGCATTGTTGGTCGAGGATGTCACTTCTCTCATTTTGTGTATCAGTTGATCGACGTATCCCTGGATAAGCCCCTCTTGAGCCATGAGGGCTTTTTCGCTAAATGCATGGGAGACAATTCGACGGACTATCTCAGATTAAAGACACAAAAAGATCAGCTAGCTTGTGTTGGTGATGTTGAAACATGAAAGCACTCACTTCTTCCGTGATCCTCCTCGTTCGCATGTAAGAGTGATGGAGTACTATTGGCGGGTTTCACATACCACACAGGATCCTAAGGATCGATAACTTTTGAGCTTCGAAGTTTACATAGTCAAATATTCCCCGGACTCACCTTTTCCATGTTGAGATGGCCTTTCAACTTGCCGGTGCGGAATCCTAAAAACCAGAGGTCAAGAAAGATTATTACTATTGAGAATTGCTCTCTGGAACATACCGTAAATGTCGGGAAACGCAGTCTCCCCGGAAATAAATGAAACCTCCACTGGCGATATCCTCACCACATCGCCATACTTCTTGTGCAAGTCTACGGTATTGTGCACTGTCGTTCCTGCGATTAGGTGCCTCGCATATGGCACCATAGAGAGAGCATTGAACTTGGGGCCAGGAATGTGGCTCAGACTATCAAAACACAGGATGTAGCTGATCTTGCCCACGATATAGGCGACGAACTTGATTGGAGTCAGTAGACTCTCTATACAGCGATACGCAGCTAAAGGAACGACACCTACAAGTCCAGCAAAAATGCCAACAAACTTTACCCAGTGGTCAAAGATCATCTCCATGTCCATCTTGAAGGCTAACGGATACATCAAGGACCCAAGTCTTCAAAGGGAAATAGATTCGTAGGAGGAAACAAAAAGAAAGCCGATGGGGGAGATACGGAAATGGAGAAGGAAAACAGACTGGGCATTTCAACGTGAAAGATATAAATCAATCAAGACATGTAACATCCGCACACTAGGACAATAGCAAGTCATTATGGACCCCAATAATGTGCAACTGAATCGTGATAGCTTCCTTGAGAAAGTTCGGTGATTTAACTTAACCCCGGCCCCCAGAATCGGGGATTATTAGGATCAAGCATGCATGGGAAGGACGCACACACAATATACGAAGGATAGAAATTAATCTTTAGCCTATTTTTCATTTTAGCAATTGCCCCACGAAGCAGGCTAATTCAACGAGGCATTTCAAAAACAGAACAAGTAGAACATTATCGACTTCCAGAACAGCCCCCAATCTAAATTAATAACTCGTCTGTCGGCGGTGAATATTCCGAGATTGAATCGCAATGTAGCGTTAGATCTCGGTTGTTTCTCAACATCGCTTTGTTCTACACCCTCTCACGAACTGGGTATAGACCTTGTGTTTGCCGTATAACTAGCTATGCTCTATCTAATGCGTGCAAATATTAGCTTATCATGATGACAATCCACGCTTTACCACGGGTTTATTCTCTGCGGGGATATATATGGCCACGCATAAATGCGCGGGATAACGTCCACCTAGGGAGCAATTACCGAATTAGGAAATCAAAGTTCTGTGATACGAATCAAGTCAGAAAACATCCGAAGTGCCGACGGCGCTTAATGCCACAGCCATGATCGTAGACTCATGACAGGTATATAGTATATTCAGGGCGTGAAATGCCGAGACGATTTCGAAATTAATCAATACAAGACTGTCTGTGTGGCTCTGTATCGTCCAAGTTTGCATCCTCACGCTGATCATATGTTGTGTGACTCCTGAGAATCCTTTCCATTCATTTCATTCTTGAGCACTGTATAACAAGGAGTCCCTTTATCATCATGGTCGCTTATCAGCTGCCGGAGCCCATCGCTGTTGTGGGTAGCGGTTGTCGATTCCCTGGGAGTTCGCGTTCCCCATCCTCGCTATGGAAGCTCCTGGAGAGGCCTAGAGATGTATCAAGGGAGATACCGGAGGACAGATTTGAATTGAAAGGTTACTATCATCCTAAGGGCTCGCACCATGGAACTACAAACGTGGTACGCGCGTACATGTTCGACGAGGATCCTCGTGTGTTCGACGCGAACTTTTTCAACATCAGCGCCAATGAAGCAGACTCGATTGATCCACAGCAGCGACTGCTGATGGAGGTGGTGTATGAGGCTCTCGAAGCCGGTGGTCACCCTATTGAGATGCTTCGTGGATCAGATACGGCAGTCTATGTCGGTACCATGTCGGTTGACTACAACGATATTGTTTTGCGTGATATTGAAAGCGCACCCACGTACTTTGCTACCGGATCCTCTCGCGCTATTCTGTCTAATCGAATATCATACTTCTTTGACTGGCATGGACCCTCAATGACTATCGACACTGCCTGTTCCTCTAGTATGGTGGCTTTGCATCAGGGTGTCCATTCCCTACGCAGTGGTGAATCGCGTGTGGCAGTTGCCGGTGGCACAGGGTTGCTTCTTGGACCAGGTATGTCGCCACAAACAGGCTGGAGATGTTGAGGTCCATGGACTGACAATATCAGAGCAATTCGTGGGTGAAAGCAAAATGAATCTGTTGTCGCCTGATGGCCGTTCCCGCATGTGGGATGCCAATGCAAACGGCTATGCGCGAGGAGACGGCATCGCAGCAATTGTATTGAAGAAATTGAGCGATGCGATTGCTGATGGTGACCGCATTGAATGTCTCATTCGTGAAACCGGTGTCAACCAGGACGGAAAATCCACAGGGTTGACCGTCCCCAGCCCTGAAGCACAGGCAGCACTTATCAGGGAGACATATGCCAGAGCCGGCCTGGACATATCCAATCCCGTGGATTGGCCCCAGTTTTTCGAAGCCCATGGCACTGGTACCAAGGCGGGTGATCCTCGAGAGGCGTCAGCTATTTATCAGTGCTTCGGGCATGAGCAAAACAACGGGAATCCCCTGTACGTTGGCTCGATCAAGACTATCATTGGCCACACGGAGGGCACGGCCGGTTTGGCTGGTGTCATCAAGGCGTCTTTGGCAATCCAGAATGGCGTAATCCCGCCCAACATGCTTCTTGAGCGCTTGAATCCTGATATTGAACCCTACTATGACCATTTGCGCGTTCCAACTAGTGCGTTGCCATGGCCAAAACTGCCTAAAGGAGTACCACGACGAGCGAGTGTGAACAGCTTCGGTACGTATAGCCATTCCAAAATGAAAAGCCTGTGCTGACACGCATGCAGGTTTTGGAGGCACAAATGGGCACGCAATTGTGGAGAGCTACGAGCCGTCTGTGGCTATACCTCTATCCAAATCTCAGGACGCGAAAACCGTACCGTTCACTCCCTTTACTTTCTCTGCAGTGACAGAAGAGTCTCTTGTTGCACTTATGGAAAGTTACTCTAAGTTTCTGAAGGAAAATGACACAACCAATCTCTGCGACTTGGCTTGGACCCTCCAATACCGCAGGTCTGCACTCGCATCGAAGGCTTCTTTTTCGGCATCTACTGTCGAAGGACTGATCTCCAAGATCGATGCAAAGCTCTCGCATATCAAGGAGACACCAGGTACCACTATTGGTGTTCGGTCAAATCCTGCTAAGCCCAAGATCCTTGGAGTCTTTACCGGTCAGGGGGCCCAGTGGGCATCTATGGGCGCCCATCTGATCCGTTCTTCAGAGGCTGCTCGTGAAAAGCTTGAACAACTCGATCACTCTCTGGCCACTTTGCCAGAGGCAGATCGTCCGTCGTGGCGCATTGCAGCAGAACTTTCTGCAGCCAAAGACGCTTCACGTCTGTCCGAGGCCGCCTTATCACAGCCACTGTGTACGGCCATCCAAATTGTCCTCGTCGACCTGTTGCGTAGTGCGGGTATTACTTTTTCAGCAGTTGTAGGTCACTCCTCTGGAGAAATAGCAGCTTCATATGCGGCGGGCTTCATCTCCGCACATGATGCCATTCGCATTGCCTACTACAGAGGTGTGCATGCCAAACTCGCAGGAGGAAAGCAGGGCCAGAAAGGCGCCATGCTTGCTGTGGGGACGTCATGGGAGGACGCCGAGGAACTAATCAATCTCCCAGTTTTCAAGGGCCGAGTAAAAATTGCTGCCCACAATTCCGACGCCAGTCTTACTCTTTCAGGTGATGCCGACAAGCTTGCACATGCCAAACTAGTGTTTGATGAGGAGAAGAAGTTTGCCCGAATGCTTCATGTAGACACTGCGTATCACTCCCACCATATGCTTCCCTGCAGCAATGCATATATGTCTTCTTTGAAAGTTTGTGGTATCGAAGTAAACCGCGAACGCCACAATTCTTCTTCTTCTTGCTCCTGGTACTCGAGTGTCAAGTCAGGTCAACTTATGGATGCCGTCGACGAGCTTCGTGATTCATACTGGAGGGACAACATGGTGAACACGGTCTTATTCGCCGATGCCGTTAAGAGTGCTGCTGCAGATGAGAGTCTGAACATGGTCATCGAGGTCGGCCCTCATCCGGCCCTTAAGGGACCAGCCCAACAAACAATGTCGGACCTCCGATCACCCCTTCCATACACTGGCGTCTTGAGCCGAGGCTCTAACGACGTAGAAGCCTTCGCTGATGCACTGGGCTTCGTATGGACCTACCTTGGAGCAGGTGCGGTCGAATTCCAGACATACGATCGACTTGTAGCGCCTGGCCCGTCTCCCAAGCTCGCAACCGGCCTTCCATCCTACAACTGGAACCACAAGAGGGTCCATTGGCACGAATCACGTCTCGCCAAAAAGACACGATTGAGGGGTGCTCCTTTCCATGAGCTGTTAGGCGTGCCCTCAGCAAATAGCACATCAGGCGATCTGCGATGGAGGAACTTCCTCAAATCAGATGAGATTGCCTGGCTGGATGGACATCAGCTGCAAGGCCAAACCGTCTTCCCTGCAGCGGGATATGTGGCTATGGCTTTGGAAGCCAGCAAGAAACTCGCTGGTGATAAGAGTGTCCAGGTGATTGAAGTCCGTGATCTGGTTATTGGCAAGGCCATCACCTTCGATGATGGCGCAAAGTTTGCCGCTGAGACTCTAGTCACTCTGACAGGTATCACGTCGAGCACAAGGTCTAAAATAGCGGACTTCTCCGTGTATTCGTGCCCAAACACAGGATCGATGGATATGGAGCTCGTATCAAAAGGCAAAGTTGTCATAATTCTCGGTGCTCCTTCGTTTGACACTCTTTCTTCGACGCCACTGGATACCTCTACCATGACCGATATCGAAAGCGACACTTTCTATTCGGCGCTTGATGAACTCGGATATGGATATAATGGCCCCTTCAGAACTCTGTCTAACACGAAGAGGAAACTGGGCGTGGCCTCGGCTTTTGCGTCCACTTACACCTACGGTGATGAAGATGAGCCGTTGATAGTACACCCTACCATGCTAGATGTCGCCTTCCAAGCAACATTCCTCGCAGCCTCTGCTCCTGGTGATGATCAGCTATGGTCACTGCACGTCCCTACATCGATCAAATGTATACGAGTAAACCCTGAGCTCTGCGCTTCGTTGCCGATATCATCAGTTGATCTACCACTATCAGTTGTCTTGCATGAGCCCGAGTCTATATCCGTGCGTAGTAGCATCGACATTTTCAGCCAAGATGGCCAACAGACACTTCTCCAAGTTGAAGACTTAGTTCTGAAGCCATTCTCGCCAGCTACTGCTGCCGATGACCGTCACTTGTATTCCATGACGCGATATGATGTAGCTTCGCCAAACGCCAACATTATCACTGGCAACGAACACCCGACGGCGGAAGATTTCGACATCGCTAGTCTTTGCGAGAGGTTGGCATACTTTTATCTGAGAAAATGGAAATCGGAAATTCCACCCGAGCAATGGGAGAGTGACAGAAAGCATGTCCAAGCTTTGCGAGACTTGTTAAGCCAGCTAATATCCACAATCCATAGCGGGCGACATCCCACAGTTAAGAAGGAATGGAACAATGACGACGTTGAGAAGATCGCTTCTTTAATAAACCTGTATGCGGAGCATGACATAGTTCCTTTGAATGGCATTCTTACTAACGTTTCGTCAGCTATCCGGATAATATCGACCTCAAGATGATCTCTATCGTTGGAGAGGCCATCCCCGCGGTGGTGCGCGGCGAATACAGCATTCTGGACTGCATGCAGAAGGACAACATGCTCGACAATCTCTACAGAAACGGCCAAGGCTTCGCTCAATATAACTCATTCCTAGCTCGGACTATGAAGCAGGTCGCGCATCGGTATCCGCAGGTTAACATCTTAGAAATAGGTGAGACAAAGTCCTCACGAGCAATATACATATCAATGAAAACAATTAACACATCTGAACTAGGTGGTCGAACTGGTCATGCAACTACATCAATATTGGAACATCTAGGATACACGTTCGCCTCGTACACTTTCACAGATGTCTCGACAGAAGCGATACAAAAGGCCGCGGAATTATTCAAGGCCCAGAGTCAGAAAGTATCCTACAAGGTCTTCGATAGCGACAAGACTCCGGCATCACAGGAATTCAAGGAATACTCATACGATGTAGTCATTGTATCTAACATTCTTCATTCCACATCAACACCTAACAAAACCCTGGAGAATGTTCGCCGCCTTCTGAAACCAGGCGGTTATCTGTTGATGTCCGGAATTACTGACACTTCATCTTTGAGGAGTCAGGTTATTATGGGTGGTCTATCAGACTGGCGAATCAACATCGACGAAGACCGCAAAAAGGCTGCCTCAAGGACAGCGATTTGGCATAATGCTCTTCGTAAAACCGGATTCTCGGGGGTTGATAGCAACACCACGGAGGTCGGCGGTTTGGCCTGGCCGCATTCTGTCATTACTACACAGGCTGTCAATGACCGAGTCTCCCTTTTGAGGAGCCCAATGTCGAACTCTCAGCCACTCAAGCTGGAGGAGCTTGTAATTCTGGGCAATGGGTCACTTAAGAGCTCTCGTCTTGCGGAGGAGATCGCCGAACAGGCTAGGAAATTCTACGAAAAGATCACTATACTGGAAAGTCTACCAACTGATGACGACCAAATCTCCCCTATGACTACATTTATTAACCTCGCCGATCTTGATGAGCCTATTTTCAAGGATTTGACTGAAGAGAAGCTGGAAGGGCTAAAGTGCCTCTTTGAGCTCTCAAACAACGTCATCTGGGTGACCGAGGGCGCTCGCTCAGATGAGCCATACCACACTGCAAGCTTGGGATTTGGCCGTTCAATTGGTTATGAGATGCAGCACTTGTTTCTCCAATTCATTGATCTGGACACAGTTGACTATGCTACTCCTCGTTTGATTATCGAGGCTGTCCTGCGCCTTGCTGCTATGGATAAATGGGACTCTAAAGGCACATTGCATGACGAGCTTCTGTGGACAAAGGAGCCGGAGTTCTACGTAGAAGCTGGGCAAGTCTTGGTACCTCGTATTGTGCACAATGAAGAGCTCAATGGCAGAATCAACTCACTGAGGCGTAACGTCACCAAGTCTGTGAACCCGCAGAGCTCTACGGTATACGTTTCCCGGGCTGCAGATACATCCATTGTTTTACGAGAAGAATTGATCACTGCGTCTGTTGCACACGGAAACGACTCTATCCAACTCAGCCATTCCGTCCTGTCCTCGCTCAATGTTGCGCCGGACACATTCCTATTCCTTGGGTTGGGCACCAAGCAGTCAACTAATGAAACTGTTATCGCTCTTTCCGACATCGTCGCCTCGAAGATTAGCAGTGCAACAAGCTTAACGGTCAATATCCCTCCCAACCAGGCATCTTCATTCCTCGCTGCCGTCGCCAGTGAGCTCCTCGCGTCATCACTGGTTACCAAATTGTCTGCAGACTCCCATATCCTCGTGAATGAGCCCGGTCGAGACGAGTTCTTTTCGTCAGCGTTGTTGAGACAAGCAGCGGCCAAAAATATTCGCGTGACCTTCAGCACTAGCAAGTCTCATACCAAAGATACAGCATGGATCAGATTGACTCCCTGGACATCAAAACACATCCTGCAGAAGTGGATTCCAAGCGATATCACCCACTTCTTGGATCTTGCAGCGGACAATGATAGCAAGGATGCTGCCCTCCAGATTAGAGACTGCCTGCCTTATACATGCAGACAAATGAACGTCGCTGAATTGATCCGTCACCAAGCCCTCATTCCGAGAAGCAACAACAGCGACTCCATCAAGGCCCTAGAAGAAGCAGTGAATCGTGCAAAGAAGTCTGCATCTGACAAGATTCCCGAGGCGATCGTCTCTGCAATGAACCTCTCAGACGCGTCTATCCCTGTTCTCCCGCTGAATGTTATCGACTGGACGTCAGACAACGCTCTCACGGTACAGGTGCAGCCTCTTAACGCGAGCCGCATGTTCTCACGGGACAAGACATATCTTCTAGCCGGCCTTTCTGGAGACTTGGGTCTATCTATTTGTGAATGGATGGCCAAGAATGGAGCAGGTTATGTATGCTTGACGAGTCGTCGACCCAAATCCGACGAGAAGTGGGTGGCTGCGATGAAGAAATATGGCACAACTGTGAAATTCTACGCAATGTAAGACCATTATCCCAAGGAAAAGCAATATATATACATCACACTAACATCGACTAGGGATATCACAAAACAATCAGATTTGGAAAGAGTTGTAGAAGAAATCCGTGAAACTTGCCCCCCTATTGCTGGAGTCGCTAACGGTGCGGCGGTGTTCCATGACGGACCTTTCTCAGAAATGTCCCTAGAGGTAATGGAGAAGGTCACCAAGCCTAAAGTCGACGGCACAAATCACCTCGATGCTATCTTCAATGACAAAGATCTGGAATGGTTCATCGTGTTCTCATCGATCGCGTCCGTGAATGGAAACAGTGGGCAATCCAACTACAGCGCAGCGAATGCCTACATGACCGGTCTTGTGAGCCAGCGCAGGAAGCGTGGCCTGGCCGGTACTTCTATTGACATTGGTCGAGTTGCTGGTATCGGATATGTCGAACGCGCAGGTCCCAAGGCGAAAGAGCAGTTGATCCGTTTCGGTTGTATGGCAGTCTCTGAGAGCGATCTCCATCATCTGCTCGCAGAGGCTATCCATGCTGGTTCTCCAGGGTCGAATGCTGCTCCGGTGATCACTACAGGTTGCCGCACAGTTGATTACGATGAAGAGCCTAGAGTGACGTGGTTCAACAATCCTCGCTTCTCACACAAGATTGTAATCAGTGAGAGCTCTAGCGGATCCAGAGATGGCAGCAAGAAGAGCGCGCTTCCTGTTCGTGAACAGCTTGCGTCCGCAACGACCAAGGAGGAGGCATTGGAGATTATGAAAGGTAAAATAGTGAACCTACAGTTGTGAGTGGAAATTCTTAAGAGACTAATTTGGATTTTGTTTCAGATTGTTTCGCCGCCAAGTTGGCCATGATTTCGCAGTCTGACGGTGAAGTTGGCCACGACATTCCCCTGGTCGAGCTCGGAATCGACTCTTTGGTCGCGGTCGAAGTGCGCAGCTGGTTCTTGAAGGAGCTCAAGACTGATATGCCCGTCCTGAAGGTTCTTGGAGGTGGCTCTGTCGCTGACCTGTGTGAGCAAGCATTGGAGAAGATGCCAGAAGATCTGCTTCCTAGCCTGGGCAAAGGGCAGCCTGTAGAAGCCAAGGCAGCAGAGCCCAGTACTGCACACAAGCCAACTGCGCCACAAAGTAAAAGCTCTACCTCTATTTCCACAGGATCATCGTCAGGCACCCGCTCCCCAATGGATACGCCGGCATCACAACTTTCGGAGTCTCCGCTAGACCTGGCCGACGATTTGAACAAAAGACTTACTTCGCAGCGAGTTGAGGCCCAAGCACACCCGAGTTATACTAAAAGTGAGCTTGTATCTTTCGCCCAGTCTCGCTTTTGGTTCATGAGGTTGCTGATAGACGATCAGACAACATATAACATCGCTATCCGTATCCGCATAGTCGGTAATCTTCGAGTCGGTGACCTTGAGAGGGCCGTCCGTCTTGTCGGTGCTAGACACGAGTCCCTCCGGACCTGCTTTGTGGCAGACGAGAAGGAGGCTGACTTGGCCTACCAGAAGGTCATGTCCACATCTCGTTTGCGGCTTGAGAGAAAGGACATTAGCAGCGTCGCCGAGGTTGAAGCCGAATATGAGGATATGAAAGTGGCCAAGTACAACATCGAAACCGGCGACATGATGCGTCTCGTTCTCCTGACGCTGTCCCCAACCGAGCATTTTCTTATAGTTGGCTATCATCATATTCTAATGGACGGTGTCAGTTTTCAGGTCTTCCTGTCTGATCTGGAGAAGGCTTACCAGCGGCAATCCCTTGGTACTCCCCCATGTCAGCTCCCCGAGTTTTCGCGTAGCCAGCGTGCCGGATTCGAAAACGGTGAGATGGCTCAGGACATTCAATACTGGCAGAGGGAATTCAAGAGCGGCTATCCTGTCCTACCACTACTGCCGATGGCCAAGGTCACCTCAAGAGCCCCGGTCAAGGTCTTTGACTTCAACCAGGTTGTATACAGGCCTGCTCCCGAGCTGTCAGAGCGTATCAGAGAAATTTCCAAAGCGCTTCGTTCAACCACGTTCCACTTCTACCTCGCCACCTTCAAAGCGATGCTTTTCCGCTTTACTCACGCAGAGGAACTTACCATCGGCATCGCTGATGCTAATCGAACTAGCAGCGATGTCATGGGAACCATTGGGATGTTGCTCAACCTGCTGAGCTTGCGTTTTAAGAATATCCCGCATCAGAAATTCCAGGACTCGGTTACAGAGGCTCGAAGCAAAGCGTACGAGGCGTTGAATCACTCCAAAGTACCTTTCGACGTCCTTCTCAACGAGCTCAATGTCCCCCGGTCTTCATCATACAGCCCCTTCTTCCAGGCCTTCTTTGACTACCGTCAAGGCCAGCAAGAGACCCGTTCGTTTGGCAATACGGAATTTGAATTCCTTGATCTACACCCAGGCCGCACCGCATACGATATCACGCTTGATGTCACGGAAAGCTCAGATAAAGTTGGAATGTTGTTCCGGACCCAGTCCAGCCTTTACGATATGACAGCTACACAATTATTGATTGATAGTTATGCTCAGCTCCTCGAAGCGTTTGCAGGCAACACATCGTTGGAAATTCTGGAACCTATGTTGTTCAGTGACAAGACGCTTGAACACGCTCTCGAAGTTGGTCGTGGTGAGTCTTGCTTTCTTCTTCTTTTCTACATCATCACTTGGGTAACGAAGAACAAAGGAATAAGAAGAAGAAAGACATGCTGATTCAGAATTCTAGGGCCACACCTGGAGTCCGCTTGGCCGGAAACACTTCCCCTTCGCATTGACCAAGTTGCAGAGGCCAACAAGGACAGGGTCGCACTCATGGATGATCATGGCCGAGTACTAACTTACGAAGCCATGACTGACCGCATTGAGGCCATCGCTGAAGTTCTACAAGACAGTGGCATTGGTGAGAATTCTCGCGTTCTTGTATTTGAAGATGCAACAGTCGACTGGTTCTGCTCCATGCTCGCGATTATGCGCATTGGAGCAGTTTATATCCCGCTGGACCTTCGTAATCCGATCTCTCGATTGGCGGATGTTGCTGAGAGCTGCCAACCGGCGGCCATCCTTGTCGACACTACCACTGTCCGTGATGCGCCTCAGTTGAATACTGTAAACGCCAAAATCATCAACGTACCCACTGTTGGCTCCAAACCCTCTGTGCGCGTACCCAACATATCGAAGGCGAGCGGTATAGCTGCCATTCTATTCACTAGTGGATCGACTGGCAAACCCAAGGGAATTGTTGTAAAACACTCCGGACTGCGAAACGAGATCGAAGGCTACACAATGCGATGGGGACTTAAGGCGGAACGAGTTCTTCAACAGAGCGCTTTTACATTTAATCACGCTTCTGATCAGGTCTATACCGGCTTGGTTAATGGAGGGTCTGTGTACATTGTCCCATGGAGCAAGCGTGGAGATCCAATTGAGATTACCAAAATCATTCGTGAACAAGGTATCACGTATACCAAGGCGACTCCTGCGGAGTATTCTTTGTGGTTGGACTACGGGAATTCCAACCTGAAGATGGCTTCAGCTTGGCGATTCGCTTTTGGCGGTGGTGAGACACTTACCAGCGTACTTTTAGAGAAGATCGCCATGCTAGAATTGCCCAACCTCCGTTTCTTTAACTCATACGGTCCGACTGAGATCTCAATCTCTTCGACCAAGATGGAGCTCGATTACCGTAAAGGTCTTCCCGAAGGCCGAATTCCGTGCGGATACTCTTTGCCCAACTATGCAGCATACATATTGGACGAGCAGCTGAAGCCAGTGCCCGTGGGGATGCCCGGTGAACTCTGGATTGGGGGAGCTGGCGTTTCCCTTGGTTATCTGAACAACAGGGAGCTTACGGATCACCATTTCGTACATAATCCTTATGCAACACCAGAGTATCTAGCTCAGGGATGGACTACAATGTATCGGACAGGCGATATCGCCCATTTACAGGAAGACGGGGCCATGGTATTCCATAGCCGTGTTGCAGGTGATTCACAAGTCAAAATTCGCGGCCTACGCATTGAGCTGAGTGACATTGAAATGAATATCCTCAAGGCTGCTAATGGGGCCCTGAGAGAAGCAATAGTCACGCTCCGCGACGGCGACCCAGCCTTGCTAGTTGCGCATGTGGTGTTTGCTCCTCAGCATACAGTAGCTGACATCGGAATTTTCCTACAGCATCTCTTGGACACTCTTGAGCTACCGCAGTATATGATTCCTGCAATGGCGATCCCCCTTGACAAAATGCCCCTCAGCAATCATTCTAAAGTGGACCGAGAAGCTCTTAAGAAGCTGCCTCTTCCTAAGCACAATACTCGGAAAACAAATTCGAACAGTGAGGAGATATTGACCGAGACAATGGTTCAACTGAGGCGGTTGTGGGAGGATGTGTTGGGTGCTAAAGAACACGGGCTCGACATCACTGCTTCGACCAGCTTCTTCTCCATTGGTGGCAACTCATTGCTCATTGTGAGATTACAGTCTCGCATCCGGGCCTTTTTCAACGTAACATTGAGACTTGTTGACCTTCTTGGGGCCAACAAGCTTAGTGAAATGGCGCAGCTAATCGAAGACAGCAGTAATGTCAGTCTCATCGATTGGCAGGATGAAGTCACTCTACCAGAAACTGGGCCATTCTCAGACGCCGTCACAAGCAAGCCGATCAAGACGACTGACAAGGTAGTCCTCGTAACAGGCGCAGGCGGATTCCTAGGGAAACACATCCTGACGCAGCTCGTCGCAGATCCAAACGTCAGCAAGATACACTGCATTGGTTTGCGTGATAAGCCCGCCGGAGAGCCGCGCAAGCTAGCTGTCTCGTCTCCAAAGATCATCACGCATTCAGGGGATCTATCTGAGCCCTGGCTTGGCCTTTCAGAGTCGCATTTCTTGACGCTCTCTGCAGATGTGGATAGTATTCTGCATATGGCCGCAGTGCGCTCATTCTGGGACAACTATAACCTGCTACGTCCAGTAAATGTTACACCAACAAAACAGTTGATCAAGATGGCTGCTGCCCGCCGTATCCCTATTCATTACGTCTCTACCGCTGGCGTCGTACCTGGACAAAGTGCTGGCAGCATCGCAGAGTCAGTTGTCCAGTTCCCTCCACCCGCAGATGGGTCGCAGGGTTATATTTCCAGTCGGTGGGTCAGTGAACAAGTCCTTGAAAAGGCTGCGTTGGTTCTAAAAGTGCCAACATCGATCCATCGATTTGTCCCGTCCAAGACGCCATCTGCTGAGGCGGCCGCACACGCACTAGAGGAGTTTTTGGTCTTTATTGATAAAATGTCCCTAATGCCAGAGCTGACTGGATTGACCGGGCGATTCGACATGACTGCGGTAGGCAAAGCTTCCGGCAGTCTGACCGAGAGAATTGCTGAAGAGTCAGCTCAGAAGCCTGGAGCCGCAAGCTTTTTCCATCACGAGTGCGAGATTCGCATTGACATTCCGGAGCTGAAAGCATTTGTAGAAGAACGGAGAGGGAACCGGAATTTCAGCACGATGCCGGGACTGAAGTTTATTGGCCGGATGAAGGAGCTTGGACTTCAATACTTTGTGGCTTCGCAAGACCTTCTGATGGGAAGTCAGACGCAGGGCAGTGAGCTTTTGGAGTCCAGGAGGTGAATCTTCTATCCTACATGGCGACCGATGTGTCTATTATGTTGTAGAATGTGACAGTGCGATTTTAGATAGTTACAAGAAGAGGATCAATGTATATAAATACCACGCGCTATGTCTTTCCCTGTTGTTCCTTTCCACTACCATCTCGAAATTCTACCTAATTGGGAGAAAAAGGCTTTTGAATAGGTACATAATTTATTTCACCTCTTGGAGAAGCATCTTGGAGTCATTTAGCCCCGCAGAATATTCTTTTAGTGTTGAATTTGTATGCCCTGTCAGGGGATATCCTTTGCTAAACATCGTAATCGAATCCATCAAGACTTCCCTCCGGCGTCGCCTCGAAAAACATATCACGCCCATCTATTGACTTTGTCTCACGAGAGAAGTTGTTGTACAAGCCAGTTTTCTATCAGAGTCAAGCAATTCAATGCAAGGAAACACTCGACAACAGCAATAGCTAGGTTTTGCCATCCGGGGGGTAACCCCAGGCTGAGGACCGGAAGAACAGTCTCGCGTCCCACTGACAGAGCTTCCAAAGCCAGCCATCGGATCAAGCACGAGGCAACGAATACATAAACCCCAAGGATGTTTTGAGAGTTGAAGGCTAGTCTCCGCGCAGCTGATAATCGGAGACTCGAGAGAATGTAAACCGTATAAGGTACCGCATTCGAAGACGATAGGACAAAGTTATCCATGAAGGATAGGGTTGAGTTATCCCGAGTCAAGGAAAGCACTTTTCGAAGTTTCCACTTTGAAGGTACGTTAGGGTCAGATTTGTGGACAAAAGGTGATTTGTATTCGAGAATAGACTCGAGGAGAGTTATGTCGGAGACAATGAGTCTTTGAGCCGTCGGATCAGCGATGTGCCCAGTGGGCTGGATCTCCTGGGCCAATGCTGTTTTCGCATGGACATACGTGATGATTCGAGTATAGAATGCAGGGTCGGTAGGCTCAACTGTGAGGTATCGCGCATTGGTAGCCTCATTTACATAGCACGAGGGCGATCGCATGCGGATAGTTTCATTAGTGAATGACCTGCAGGGGAGGTACGTGACCTCGACAGGTTCCGGGTATGTGTCGACAGAGTGGGCAAGATATGCTCGAAAGTAGGATTCAAGTTCTCTACGACCATAGTTAGTAACAAATCCCTAGGGCTAGCACTAGCATGGAATATACGTGCATTTCGAGGCTTGTGATATGGCGGCCAACGCTTCCGCTTCGAACGGGGGGCTTGGAGTGCATTGTCATTTTTCCTGAGAATCGAATCTTTAACGCTTTGTAAATGATTTCCGGTGTGGTCAATACTCCTGGCAACGTCCACTGAAGCGCAACCCTGACGACATCCAAGTAAGACATTTGTGTAGGATCAATCGGGAAACCATCACACGTCAAGCGAGTGGCCATCCTGACTTCTCCGGTCTCCTCTAATGTTGTCATATTGGAGAAAGTTGCATCAGGTGCCCAGGAGGACGGTCTGAGGGGGTCCATCATCCTCTGCGAAACCACTCCATCAACCTTCTCGAAAGGCGATGCAAAAATGTACTTGTGCCAATCGCCGCCGTAAAATTTGGCCTTGGTTGCCGTAGGCAAAGACTGCACCAACTGTCGATGGTCCACATATTCTGGTAATCCTGTAGATTCTGGCATGTTAAGTTTGTTCGAGGTTGGCTTCACTCTAAGCAGAATGTTCCTCTTCTCCCAGTAGGAGTTGTTGATCTCGAGGATCAAGGCATCCAGTTCTCGGTCTTTGGTGTAGAGATACCACCAACTCACAACACTCCTAGACCATCCCATAAATTGCGGTACGCCAAGTAGATATGCATAGGGCCACTGAGTAGGGTCTTCATTCTACTCTAGATAGTCAGTAAATGAATGATTATCTATTAAGCTCTCTTGGAAGTTTCGGCACCTGAGATAGCAGAAAGCTGTCCAGTTTCTCCCGGAGATCTACTCCGTGGTCGCCTCTATGTAGGAATCGTGCCGAGTCAAAACTGAACCAGCAACGCAAATGTGAGAACATGCGATTCCAGGAGAAACCAATAGTACTTCCTGGAGGAGGAGAAACATCGAGAGACTTGTCATCAATGGCCAAGAGGTTGCCAATGCGGCAACGAAGTCCAACGGGGACGCCCACGAGTAGAAATCGGTTATTAAATCTATCCTTCACAGGAGAAAGGCGTATATGTCTGAATCTTACTGGAAACAGAAGTGGTTTTCCAAGTACCGTTTGTCTATCGTCGTTCAAGGAAACCAATTTGCGGGGTGCAAAGACTGCTCGCGCCAGCATCAAGAGCAAAGAAGCGACTATTGCAGACAACAGAAGAATAGCCCCTCCACTCACAGCCTTTGTCCATAATGCTGGGTTCGCAGAATGGTGGCCCACATACAAAATGGCCAACACCAAATCCGTGAGCGTCATGTTGTGGTATATGGTTTATCCTTGCTTTGTGTCAGTGTACTCAAGCAAAGTTCAAATCGACCGGGAGCAGCCCGGCATATATTTTGTTCATTGCAGAGTCAGCTTTGGGAGACAAAATCATCACCACGAGGCATGCTCAAACACGGACAACACAGAGAGGAACACTGGAAGAGAAGTCTAGATTGACATCATATGTATTGAGCGCCAATCAGGCAGCCTGGTTGCACCGACTATATAGTTTTGACATATTTTTTCCGAGACGATAAATAGTCGGCAGAGAAGTTTCTCGTACAGAGGCTGGCTGAATACCGAGTGGCAGACACTGGCTGGCTGAGAGACTATCTACCGGTGGTGGATCTTTGATAAATCTGAAGCAAGTAGGGCAGACCAACAGGCGGTATGCATCCTGTAGGACAATAGGCTGAACGTGTACAACGGGCTTAACTTTTTTTTCTGCGTGGAATGTCGTCGGGCAACAAGGAAGAAAGACACGGGGAAAATAAGCGGCACAAATTGATTGGGCAGAGTCAAGAACTACTGGACGCCACGTTTAGAACTGCTGTCGATATGTACCCACATACCTGTCACGAAAATGAACAACTTCGTGCGCAAGTATGCACTTATGTTCATTTTCTCGGGTTCGTTGGCAAAGATCCAACTCGGTATGCCCGGTTCTACGGCAAGTGGCCCAAGGCCATTTAGCAGCTAGAGGAATGGCTATGTCTTCGAACAAGAATATAAATTTCGAATGGCGGAATCAGAGAGCCCAGCAGATATGCTCCAGAAAATCCCCAAATTTTTCTACCTCTTTCCTCTGGCAATATAGCTCGCTTCTCCGGCTCAGCCCAAATAACCAGACAAAAGCTGCCTCAGTTGATGAATCCGGTCATTTAAAACTTCCCTAGCAGTCTTTTCTCCTACTTGTCATGGGTCTTTCGTCACAACATCGATGCCGTGTAATCATCATCGGCGGGGGAGTATCAGGAATAGCCGCTGCCTGCCGTCTCACGAGGGAGTTCAATTTAGACGAATACTGTATCTACGACCGTCAATGGGGACTAGGAGGAACCTGGCAGGCTAATACATGTCCATTAACCCAAGTTATGACACAATATAGAGGTGCAAAAAAAGGTCTAATCTCATGCTTCTCTAGATCCTGGATGCGCAGTAGATATCCCCGGGTTCTGCTACAGTTACTCCTTCGCTCCAAACCCCGATTTCACGCAAATGTTCCCATCCCAAGCAGAAATCCTACAGTATTTGTCGATAGTTGCCAAACGGTACCGCGTGGACCAGCATTTCAGGGGAGGTGTGGAATGGATCGGGGCAACTTGGCAGGAGGACACACATACTTGGATCGTCACGTTGAAAGATATACAACAAGGGCGGGTTTTCACTCAGGAGTGCCAGGTGCTCATCTCTGCTGTCGGAGGCCTGGTCAATCCGCAAGAAACCAGCATTGCCGGCGCTGAACGCTTCCGCGGAGAGATTATTCACACGGCCAGATGGAAAAGCAGCATTGATCTAAAAAACAAGCACGTAGCTGTTATTGGCAACGGGGGTACGTTACTGTGTTCTAACTAACAGCTGTGATGCTACTTCACCGGGACCCCCTAACTAACTAAGAATGGACAGCATCTGCCTCGCAAGTAATACCAGCTATCATTGGCGAAACTTCATCAGTCACACAATTCATGCGGGTTAGTATAGTGCCATGTGTATTTTTCACAGTCACTGACTTGTTTCTGCCTGTAGTCACCCCATCATATTGTCGAGGCAAGCAATCACCAAATCTCCCTAGAGTGGAGGAGCCTTTTTCGTCGGATCCCTATCTTCCTCTATCTTATTCGCCTATTTCTCTTCCTCTATATGGAGGTTACATGGTTTCTCTTCCAGAACAACCGCCTAGCGAAGATTGGCAGAAACTCCGTCGAGAATAGTAGCCGTAAGTATGTGCAGAACGCGGCACCAGGTATGACAACTTAGCTCCTAATGGCTCTCACATTAAAGACTCGTCTGACGATTTAGTCCAGAGTGCTATTGGGACTTATTAATTCCGACATACGAATTTGGATGTAGGGTATATACTTGACTATTCACAATGTGCATGGATTCAGTAGCTCACAGTGTTAGGTAGAGACGGATATTTGATCGTGGATATCTCGCGACCCTCCACAGGAATAGCATGCGCTTGACTGCTGATCCCATTGCGGAAATCAAGTCGAAGTCAATAGTTACTTGTTCTGGTGAAGAAGTGTATGCCGATGTGATAGTACGTTCGACATCTATCCCGGTCAAGATCATATGGCTAATAACTAGACTCCAAGTTGCTCGCCACTGGTTTCGCTCTCACCCACTATGATGTGGATTTACGAGGCCGAAACGGAAAGACGCGCAAGGAGCATTGGAATGAGTACGGCCACAAGGCCACTTACAAATCTGTTGCTATGCATGGATTTCCCAACTTCTTTTACATCCTGGGGCCCAATTCGGGTCGGCTGCACACGTCCACTATTCAGATCATTGAAAGGTACGATGCCCATGTGCCCACTTGAACAATGCTGACAGAAGGAGACAGCGAGGTGCACATGGTGATGCAAACTATCAGACCCATCCTCCTCCACCAAGCCTCTTCAGTGGAAGTTAAAGCCAACAGTGAGAGGGCCTATGATGCGCGGCTGCATGAAGCCATAGATAAAACGGTACACAATAATTCGTGTGGCAGTGTGCGTTGAACGCTCCCAATGACTTTTTCTTTTTGGTTCCGTGGATACTAATGTGGTTCTGTCGCAGTACTTTATTGATAACACCACTGAGAAGAATTGGTTTGTTTACCCGTGGAACGCGTTCCATCTGTGGCTATCGACCTTTTGGAGCCCTTCCAATGATTGGATTTATGAAGCTAAATGCCCTTCCCGGGTGCGGGTTGATGATGAGAAACAGTTATTTCATGATAATGGAGGGATCCATGGTTTTTAACACTATTGTAACTAGGTACTCACGGGTCTCAAATTGCAGCCTCATGGGATCCCGATTCGTCCTACGGATGGTTTATAAACACGCATCGTAGGCAACTTGTTCCGCATTATTTGGTTGTTCATTCATTTGTATTTCTCATGTCCAGTTTCCTACTTTTATGCGGAGAGGCGATTGACCGATGTATCGCCTTCCATTAAAACTTTGAGGACTATCAATCGAGGAAAGCACGGTGCTTCATAGGCGTCGTTAGAAATGTAATAGCGAATACAAAAAGCCGATTAAACACGTAATGATTGTTTGCAAGAATAATCTCGCATACTGCGCAAAGATTCTTTGTTATGAATACCACAGCATCAGGACCTTTGACGGGTGGCTGTCTGAGAAACGCGCCCTCCGTTATTTATTATTCAATGCTTTTCTTCTATTCGAAATTGCATAGACAATCTAGCATGATTGCACGGTCTTACTAACATTGCTCATATACCGTTGAAGAGATCTCTTCTACGCAATATAGATCTTCAACACCTTTGAATAACAGGCCTTACATCGGAGGCACGAACATTCATCCTCTCAAGCTCAAGCCGGAATTTCGCCCTGTTAGTAACGTGGCAGGTGTACAGGGTCGGTTAATCCAGAATGTGTCGCAAATGGTAAACCCCATCGTCTTGTTCTTACGCCATGGCGTTCGGCTTGCCGACTTCGAGGTTAAGGTACCTAGGCAAAAGGAAGGCAGGATACGGGGGAAGGGCAAAAAGTTATGCCCTGACCAGATAATGCTTGAGATCTATTCTAGCAATCCAATGGAGGATTGTTTTAACATGACCGTGGCTAGGCCAACCGGCTATGTACCCATATGGACGCTTACCGATTGCGTTACATGTATGGTTTCTTTTCCACATACAAGCAAACTTGGTTTCCCAAAAGAATCGACAAGTACACGTTTCGTGTCTTGCTCCTCATCCTCGCAAGTGACAAAGCCCTAGTCTCAAGTTTCACTGCGAGAAATAGAAGGTGGCTAATGAGAAAAGGGCCTACGTCAATTTCCAATGCGGCAGAAAAGCTTGCAAGTGACATTGATTCATTCCCCCTGGACTATCATCATCGTAATCATGATGTGAATCGCTGGCGCTGCAGCAGGCGATCGGATGTGGCTCAACATCTGGGCGAATGAAAATATAACGCCGGCGACCTGGAAATCACGGCTTGCTAGTCTGGTTGGCCATGTCACCTCGTTTAGAATAATCCAATACTGTCCGGTGACGAGTCAATTTCTTTCGGAAATGTAGAGTCAAGACTTGTTGCTCTAAGACTGGTGCTATTTAACTAACTAACTACTTAACTAGTCAACTCATTCTGTGTCGGATGTGTCGGATAAGGTGGAACTTTTAGCCAATGAGGAGGCTCTTAATAGGAGTCTACTATAGGACCGTTTGATTGCCACTTTTGCTACATCGGAAGAGTAGAAAGAAACTGTAGCGAGAAGTTCAAGACTCTCCATGTAAGGGAACTTAAGCTTAAACTTGGCCTCTTGCCCGACCTCGTAATCCAAACGGCCAGCAAGAAATTTTGAACCAGAAATATGCCCTCATATCCTCCTATGACGCCTGAAAATGGTCAGTTATATCTCTCCATTTAAACGACAGAATGTCTTACTAGTATGTGAAAAAGGCTCCAACTTTACGAGAATCATTCACACCGACACATACCCATTCATCGATAGTCTAACAAATCCCAGTCATGATGGCCGTGCTGTCTTTATTACAGGAGGCAATCGAGGAATTGGAAGGGCCATTGCCATTTCATTCGCGAGAGCAGGGGCCTCTTTTATCGGACTGGGGTGCCCGGACGGCTTTGGAAATGTGAAGTTTGACATTGAGAATGCAGCAAACGAAGCAGGGAAGTCTTTTCCAAAGGTGTTATGCCTGAATCTGGACGTGACGAGCGGTAAGTCAGTGGAAGAAGCTGCGCTAGAAGTACAGAAACACTCGTCTAGGCTGGATGTGCTGGTAAACAACGCCGGATTCATGACACCTGCGCTTCCGGTCATCGAAGCGGACGAGGACAATTGGTGGAAGACTTTCGAAGTCAATCTAAAGGGCATATTTCTCATGAGCAAGTCCTTCACGCCTCTTTTGACTGCGACAGTGGATGGGTTGAAAACAATGGTAAACATCAATTCCGTCGCAGCTCACAATATTCGTCCCGAGGCAAGTGCATACGGGACGTCCAAATGGGCAGTGTTGAAATTTACGGAGTTTTTGCTTGTAGAGCAAGCCAAGAAAGGCCTTTTGGCGTTCTCTGTGCATCCTGGGGGAATCATGACCCAGCTGGCTGAAGCAATGCCTAAAGAAACACATGCCGGTATGTATTGCACAAGCCGAACATCTTCCAATCTGCCATCTATCACAAGGCTGAAGATTGATCTAGGATTCACGGATAAACCGGAATTGACTGGGGACACGATTGTTTTTCTCACCCAGGAGAGGCGCGAGTGGCTTGCTGGCAGGTATCTTAGTTGCACATGGGACATGCAAGAGCTTCTTGAGAGAGAAGACGAGATCACAAAAGGCGACAAGTTCAAAGTCCGTCTTGTTCTGTGATTCATTAAGTATGATTTGAGTTGAAAAGGATAGTAGTCTTCTAAAGAAATAGTCTCGATTTCATTCCAAACGTACATTAGACGGAAACCCAATGTTTTACGGAGAGTAAAGCTCTATTAGCATCGACGTTGAGCTGAAGAATTTGAATACAAGAGAAGCATTGCATTGGGATATATTTACATGCCCTACTAACGCCTTCATAAGGACCTAACGTGGTCGACTTGAGAATCTGTTTGCACAAGCATACTAAGCATATAAGATCAAACAGAATTTCGATTAGATTCAAAATGGGATTTGAAGTCATGGCAATGATCGTTACATGCATTGGGACAGCAGAAGCTACAATCCAGGCGGTCTTAAGTATTCTACCTGAAATTGTCATGTTTCCGCCGTCATGAAATTAGACCATCTTTAGTTTGGAACGTACTTCTTCTGGTAGATCCAATTATGAAATACGACAAAACGGTCATGGATCTTATCCCCATACCGAAAATCAATGACACCTTCATTAAGATTTCAAAAGCAAAAGAAGCAATTCAAGTCTGCGGTGTAAGTGGGATAAGATTTTCGGGAGTAGGGCAATATTCCACTTCGAATGAAGAATTTTCCAATAGCAACGCTACTATTTGGCTTGAAAAGCCCCTATTTCAGAGAATTCTGAGTCACTCGGCCGCGGGATCATCCTTTGATCTAACCGGAGTTCATATGTATAATGTACTTTATTTCCGGTTGTAATAGACCGTTCTCTCCTCCAGCTTTGCTCCCACCAATATGGACATATAACATCGGCGCCATACACTGTACGAAGCTATTCACGATGCTAAGGTATGTCGCTTCTACCCCTGGAGGATAAGCGGGTCATCGCAGAATGTTGGCAACTTAGCCGACAGAGTGGCGCCTCACGCATCCCCATTCGATGGAACTTTTGCATGAGGATTAGGGCTCGAACTATAATTTTTATTGTTCTCGTAAAGGCTCTGTCAAAACTGGATCCGTTCTATTATACTGTGCGCACGCCAAAGGATTCCTAAATCTACTTCATGCAATGTTAAGCGATGGAGGACTGGTACATAATGTATCTCAGATCCGCCATCGGCTGAATTGCGAACTGTTGCAAAATCCCGCCGTCCAACTTTAGTCATTCGTTAAAAGATAAAATGCATTTTCTTCTTCTTTTGGGGTTTGGGGAAGCTCTGCTCGCATCTGCTCGACCCCTGGGCAGCGGTTCTGCCGTTCATTTGCCTCGCAATTCTCTCCCACAGGTGAAAAGAAAAACTCTAGACTGTGCATCGTTTCGTACATAGTCTTGTCTGGCTGACAACGGTATGTAGTGCGCAAATGATCCCGTTTGGATTCAGTTCCAGTACTCTCCCCTACAAGCGCAGGCGAGCGCGTTCTGCAGCGCGTTTATCGGACAGACAGTGACTCAGGCTGTCACCGTGCAGCCTACCACTACGAGAATCGAGCCCGTCACGACAATCACCGAAAAAACGGTCGATGTCACCGTTACAGACACTTTGGACGTTCTCGATACAGTTACCCAGTGGTACTCCAGCACGGCTATTGTTCCAGTCACCATTACAAGCGTGATCGAGGATATCGTTCCAACTACTGATTTCATCACGACAACCGATGCCACGTCAATCAGCACTGCAACAGATGTGGTCACAACTAGCGTAACTGATACTACAGTGACTAGCACTGTAGTGAGCACCGATGCTTTCACAACAACAGACGCAACAGTCTATGCAACACAAACCTCGACGTTGAGTATGACTGTTACGGATGCTACTGTCACCAACACAATCACCAGGTGGGCATAAAGAGCCGTGACTCCTTTCTTGACAGCATAACTCACGTCCTATTTAGTTTTAGAACTGTCTCTACTGTGGCCACTCTTGTGCAAACTATTGTGCAAAGAGATGTCGAAGTGGAGGATGATCAAGAGTACATTGAAGCCTGTCCTGCACCAGAGCCAGAATGCACTTCGCCGGATTGCCTTTTCAGCAGCTGGCTGGATGAGGTCAGCACAATCGCAACCAGCGACCTCAGCAGTGCTTGTTCTTGTCTAGTTGTACCTGCTACCACCACAACCACCGTCTTGACTACTGGGTCACAGGCGGTTCGTACCATAGTAGTATGCATCTTTCCCTTTTTCTCCCGTTATCTAAGCTGACTACTAATTATCACGATAGCCTTCCATATTCGCAACTGCCACGAGTCGTGTCACAGCCTTCCAGGGTAGAACAAGCAGTCACATTGTGTCAGCAACATCAGTGATTAGCGAGACTTTACACTTCTCTCGCTCGGTCACTCAGACTATTATATCACCAACCACAAGATACATTCATGCCACTGCGTCATCATCCGCCATAGTAACTCGTGTTGCAACCGAAAACAAGGCAGCCAGCACCACAATAACGTCCGTCGAGTCTGTAACTATCGACGAGACTGCCTCTGCGACATCTACGGTAGTTGCTAGTGCTACGATAGATGAAACAGCTTCCACTACTATTTCAGTAACGGAGACTAGAACGGCAACTGTCTCGCCCACGTCTTGTGCCCAACTACCGAACCCCTATTACGATGCTACAGCCGGGCGGACATATGAGCTTCAGTGCGGATATGAATATTCCTACAGCGCATTCAAGATTGTGGGTTTGGATATCTACGTTACGTTTGCACAATGTCTTAGCGCATGTTCAACATATTCTACATGTCATTATGTGCAGTATGATCATAATGTGCAAGAATGTTTTCTGCTCAATGCAGTGACCGGTGGCCAGGCTGAAAGTGTCGTAGACGTAGCACAGGTGATTAGCTGATGCTGGATTTATGCTTTTTGCTCCCCTTTCGTTCCTTAGTTCTCTTATTTAATCTACATTCAATATATTCTATTCTCTTTGGATACGTACAGCTGGACATTCAGAACGTATCTCCTTATTTCTTCGAAATTATACTTGTCGGTGGGCAGATAACTGAGTATATGGTCGTTGCCATACATGGTGAGTACAACCATGAGCATTCCACTAGTTGTAACGACACTATTGCAGGCTCTTGTCGCCAAGCCTGGTATTATTCTGAAATGTAAGCGAATGGAAGTGAGGTGAAGACGAAGAAGTGGAAGTGAAATATACCACGGTCTGGGTCATGTGATAGATATATATTTCCATGGATATTAATATTAGCTAGATAATATTATAGAGATACCTAGGTAGGTACCGTGAAGAACAATCCGGTTCGACACATTATTTGATTATTCACCACCAGAGACCCTGAGGCTGGTTCAGAATTCTCCAACACTCATGACGGAAAAGCCTACGAGCAATAGAACAGAACAGATGACCTAGGTAAGAGATTAAGGTAGTGTCAATCGGCCCATCCTTCGGTAAATTCATTGTCTCGTGCTATCAAATACAGGGTTTTTTTGGGTTTTCTGTTCTCCTAGGACCCTAATTTGTGACTAACACCATTGTAATCCAATATGTAACTGTACGTTGCTCTTAAGACAGTAATTCATGTGCCAGAAATGATTTTCAACCAATTTGTCACCTCTGAATACTGAATATGGTCTATCTGTTACTCAAGCATGATCGATAGGAGATGGGTTGTTACCGATATCTAGGGTATAAACGTAGATAGGCTTGACGATGGTCATAGTCTGATTATTCGGATGCAAGTAGGTGGTTCCACGGGTGAGCTGCGAGGCACACATCCATAGGCGCTGGTGGTTGTCAATCCATAGGGCGTCCACCCACAGTAGTCTAGAGTCGCGAGTGACCAAAGTAGTGGTTCCATTGGGTGCAATGGCGCGGATTTCATGGCGGTCGCCATCGCTGTAGTATATATTACCGTTGGCATCGATAGCACTGCCGCCAGTCGAGGGGGTGAGGGAGAAGGGCTCAACGTAGTTGGGCAGCAAGTCTGCCACCGTGTCGTTGTAAAGGGCCTCATTGAGATACTTTGTCTCAACCCGCCACATATTACCGGAACCAGATTGATAGTAGAAATACTTTCCATCGGGTGACACCTCGAGCTGGTCAGCATTGGCATACTGGAACTGGCCAGTCGAGGCAAGACGCATCAAGTGGCCATCGGACGATAAGGGCATCCAAGCAAGCACCGAGTGATGTTCGCGGAGCACCATTCGCGCATCTCCCGTTTCGAGATTAAGCACAATGATAGAGCCAATTGTATACTCCGTCAAGTAAGCGTATTTGCCATTGAATCGCGCGTCGTTGAGAGAGCCGTCTACCGTGGTGATGTTTCCAAGGTAGTAGACCCGATCCACCTCGTTGGTCGTTAGATTAAACGAGACGAGCTTGGACGAGTTGGGAAACGAATGGAGCAAGCCGCTGTCTATCACCCAGAGCCTGCCGTCTGGACCAACACGCTGCGCATTGGCTGACACGAACTTGACCTCTGAGTCGGCTAGGCTGTCTGTGCTGGCATTCCATGAGTTCCATTCATTGTTAGGGTACGGCACAAGCTTGTTGTGATCGAGAACTTCGACAATTTGTGAGCCCGTTGTGCCGTCAACCCTAGCGAGTTTCAAAAAGGCACGGCCACTAGGCGTAGTACTAGCACCGGTCGTGGGAGTGTCTAGTATGACTTCGGTTTTGATTCGATGATCATAGTCTTTGGCCACACCTGCCTGGGCAACGAGCGCCAAGGTGAGGCCATAGAGGAACCAAGAGCCCAACATCATAAGTATGTTATAAAAGTGGGAATGGGGTAGATAAGATGTAATGTGAAGTGAAAAATCTTGAATATACAGGATACGTTCGTCTATTTAAGCATGTCTATAGATGTTATTTTAACTTGACATGTAACATTCATGCTCTGTACTTGGCAAGTATATGGCTTCAAGATTATTCACGCATATCGATCCACTTGCAGTGGTAGTACAGGTCACCTGTTGCAACGTTTCCCCTTGGCTTTGAATTGCTCTCTGTACACTCGGAGCATGAATAATTTTATTTTTGTATCTTGGTTGGTGCTGGACGAACAGGCCAAGAGAAGGATTGGCATGGCAGTTCGTCTGGACGAGGATTCTGAGCAACATACATCTGCCGAGACAGTTAGGACTCAGCCAAGACAGGCACTTGTCACCAAAATCACCTGTAAAGCTCCTTGGCAATATCACTTGATATTGGGGCCAGAACAACACAAAGCAATGATTACAAATGATGCTTAGCGGTCACACGAGGTCTAGATCAGATATGATACATTGATGCAATGCCATGGGTCTATACAAGCTATCTAGAAAATGCATCTAACTAGTTATATTATTGTGTTGACTAATTAACTGTTCCTTCAATGATAGTTTAACTAAATCCTACGTATTGGCATTTTAATCAACGTGACAGTCCTGTGCAAATTATACACACAAAGTATGAATAATAATGCCGAGGATAAATATAGGTCTAGACCACTTCTGGCGATAGCCAATTCCTGCGTGACACTAATTCAGACTAGTACTATTCAGGGAAGGCGTTATGTTATAGCAGCAAAGACCATGAGTAGTTATTACCACGCACCGACATGAAGGAAGATAGAACACAGACATAACTTATATAATAAGGCACGTGACTATATTTATTCAGAGTGACACTGAGAGTGTAGGAAAATAGTATACGGAAAAAAGGACAACCATTGGATATACACTTCAGTATACACTAAAGAGTGTAGGAGAGGTATAGGGGAACCAGTTTATAAAAATACACTCATCGACTATGTATCTAGTTGTTCTTCATAGCTCTTTAATCTAAGTTACTTGGTTATATACTAAGAGGGTCAGCAAGGTAAACCTACTTAAAGTGCTATGATACTTCAAGGTGCTTCTTCTATCTTAGTTGTGAATACTCTTGTTACTAGATTGTTTCTATGTTTAGTCACCGACAAGAAATACCCTCAGGAATCTCTGTGTGGTTCAACCATCGTATTGTACACCTCGACACAGCCAGTGACGACTGACGTGGATCCAGGCGCGTGACAACAAGGTTGTATACATTATTCATGGTAGAGATGATGCAACTTTCAAGTAGGATATTCACACGCATATTTGTAATTTGTAATTCCCACGCCCTCCTGACTAGGACTACACTCAGGTTTGGGCCCTGAGGGGAGGGTTATCTGGTTAATCTTGGAAGTACCAGTGGCAAGAATTTTACATCGCCCAATTTTGGAACCCCTTCTATTTCTATTTACCCAGTTAGTAAATGTAGGTATCTTTAGCGAATGGTTAGTGGCTGGAACTAAACGCGGATGTAACCTGGCTAGTTATCTATGATCAAGCTCAAAAGCCCCAGCCGTACGCACTCACTCCGCTGATAAGTATATATCTTCTTGTATCTAGGGAATAATGCTACCTGGCTTCAAGTAAGATGAGTGCCGCATCACCCAGAGCAAGGCGAGCCGGAGCCGCATGCGAAGAGTGCAGAAAGCGCAAACTCTGATGTGACGGACAACAGCCACGATGCGGAGTCTGTCGTGAGTCTGGAGTAGAGTGCGAGTTTAACATGCAGCGAGGACTCCGAGGTCCGAAAAAGGGATATCTGAGAGAGCTGAAGGACAGAGTTGGTATGTCCTTGTCATCGACTCTACTTTACAACGCGGTGTTTAACTCAAACCAGAAACATTGGAAAGACAACTGGTGACTGCCAAGCAGCAACAACAGCAGCCGGTCATATCTTTCGAACAGCACAACTTAGCTTTGTCTCCTGCTTTGGATACCTCAATTATTGAACCTACAGGACCCGAACCCTTTCCTAGTCAAACAAACACACTGGTAGATTTTGCTTTAGAAGCAGAGTCTCCCTTTCTGAATTCCTTGACAGAAACTAGCATCAACATGTTCTCTGGTATATTGATGACGACAGATAATATGTCAGATGTGATGCGCTCTGAACTGTAAGTTGTGTCTACCTAACAGCTGGTAATTCTCAACCGTAATGCGTCTATACAACTGCCAGGCCATGACAATCATATCAATGATATTGAGAACAAACGATTCTAACAATGGCGCCAAAGACCAGCTTTACTTTGATCGGATGCATCCATCAATGCCAATTCTGCACCAATCTCGTTACCTATCGTGGTCAAACCAGCCTGATAAGAAGCTATCGCGTAGATGTCTGCAATCTGCCATGTGGACATTGGCTTAATGTAACTTTTCACAGTCTCAGTAGTTACAATCCCCAAGTTCCGCAATGTTTCTGAGTGCTCAAGAGATCTTGCTGTGTCCAGAATCAGGCTGCCCCATGTCATTCGGAGAAAGTCATTTTCGAAGAATTGAATTAGACGTATTGCGAAATTTCCATCTGGCGTGCCAGGAAACTGTTGCACGCGAGCGACCCACTGCTCAAAAGGAACAATGTTCTTGCGAGGAATTTCGAGTTCATCTGCCAACATGCAAATCATACTCGGCCAGGGCTGCCTCGAAGGGTTTTCAATATGATATACTTGAATTGAATTGCTATCTTTGAACAGTAGTTCCTGTAGCACTGCGGCAACCTCATTGACAGGGCACCACGATAGTGTTCCTGGAAGATCCGGGATGACTTGGAGCAGTTGAGAGGATTTCAGTAGAGATGCGAAGTGTTCAGTGTTGTTCCAATAGCCGTTAGTTTGTGAGCCTGTTATGTGAGCGATCCTCACTATACTAGCTCGAAATTGTTGCCTAAAGCGTTGTTGCGTTTGCTCGAGCATCCGCTCAAAGACAAACTTCGCCTCTGCATATCCAACAGGTAGAACTGCATCGACAGGTAAAAGCTCCTCCGGTACAAGACCGCAATATCTTCCCACTACCCCAAGTAAAGAAATGAACTGAAAGTGAAGTTTGAAATCCGGAGCATTTTGACCAAGAGTATCAAGTGCCAATGTAATAAGATGGTTCATCGCGTTGAACTGCAACTGGTATGCATGAATCGTGCGTGTGAGGCTCATTGGCCATGAATTGTGAATAATATCTGTCACGTTATCCACAAGATATTGATAGATATCATTATATAGTCGCCCTAACCCTGGTTTTGTGGTATCTGCCTCGATAATCTTCAGTTTTGACACCAGAATTACATCAACTGGTATTCCTCTCAACTTGAATAACTTGAATTGGCGACTTTTTACATCTTTAAGATTAGGTCTATTAAGACAAACCACCGTCGTAACTCCAGGGTGCTGTGCAATGCTTGCCACAATGTGCGAGCCTAGGCCACCTGTGCCACCAGTCACAAGTACGCAATGACCAGGTGGACGGGTCAGAAGACGCTTTGATATTTTGATTAGAACGAAATCCTTTGTATATTGATGGATGTAGTTGTCAAAGACATATTACCTATCTAGAACTTCGTCTATTAATGCTATCGTTTGGGTTAAATGCGGCACTGGACCGGCATACCTGGAATCAGAGGCCAGTGCAATTATCAGACGCTGAATATTAGACTCTGGCCTTTTCCATTCCGTGTAATCAATATACCCGTATCCCACAGACAAAAGAGTCTTCCCTCAATGAGAGGCGGAAACAAGAGCATATTGCTAGGAATCTTAAAATAGCCACCGACCTTCCAACAAACTAAAAATGAAATCAACCCAGGGAACTTGCTCAGTCATTTCCAGCAACAAAAGGAAGCCGTCCTTCCTTAGAAGTTTATGGATGTTGCTGGTTGATATGGCTATGTTACGAGTGGCAGGACGCAGTTAGTTGCGAGAATAATATATTAAGTATTCAACAACTGTGGATCGGGGGTCGCCTCAATATTGAGCACTTTGAATTCCATGTGAGATGTGTAGCTCTTGAATCTTCTTCGAGCGGCCGCAATGAGAGACAATGAGAGATCCGTCATTGTGTAGATAAACGGCATTCCCAAGCGGACTAACAGGGGCAGCATTCTCACTGTTGTCCCTCCAGTCCCAGCTCCCATTTCCAGAATACGCAAACGCTCTTAACGATTATATTTAGCTAGCCTCGCAATAAACTTCTCCATGAAATACTCTGCCTGCTCAATCCAGACCCTGTTTATGGGAGATTTAGCATAGACGTCAGGAACAATTTCTCGGCCCTCAGCGCTGCCGAATATCAACTGGAGACCGTGAACCTGTTGGTAGGGGAACTGATATCAGATGTTTTTAAATAGCCTTCTGTGTCTGAGCTACTCTTATTGTTGTTCAACATATTGTGCACTATTCCATTTGTTTGAGGTTGCTATGTGGGCGTTGTTTCTAATTCGTTACTCAAAATCATCTTTGTGGCAAATTCCTGGTCATCAAAGCACATTGTCCTTTGAATGCATTCAACTAGGCTTTGGAAATCAGTCAAGTTGAGAAGTTGAGGACTGTCTAAGTTGCATTGATATGTGGTATATATCTCACGGGACAGCTCCATACTCATGAGTGAATCAATTCCCAGTTCAACTAAGTTGGATGAATCCTGAACTTCATCAGATTCAAGTCCAGACAGATTGCAAATAATTTTACGGGCTGTATCAGAGATATCGGGCTGCACAACCTTTTTCCCAGACACTTCATGGATCAAATCCTTGTGTACCAGAGCTGTTGGTTTTGAAGGCAACGTAGGTCTAGGTATTGGGACTTCAAATTAGGATTGTCCCAAATTATGGCTGGTGTTGTTCAACCAATCTCCAAGAGTGCTGGGCGTTGATATTGCGCGTCATATGGCCTCAGTCTGAACCCATACATAACGCACGCCCAAAATAACCTCGACTAAAGATCCATCTTAGGAGTCGAAAACAAAAATATCGCTGATATATTGCTTTTCAGATTCAGAATAATGCATTGCGTAGATGTCCCACATACTAGAGTGCTGTTTATCAGAGCCAATCTAATATAATCGATTTCATTTACTAATCAGAACACAAATATATATACCATATTTATTGAGTTTAGACCTTTCAGACATAAGATTGACAAATATACCAGCTACTTGGCAGAAGCAATCTGTCAAGATACTGTCTATCTACAAGCTGGGGGCCTGTGTTTTGGCGACCCGGCCTGCCGATTCAGTTTGTTTCCCAACAATCATGTTGAGATGCCGGTATGTTTCTGTGTAATTGATGACATCTTAAAAGCCCCTGTAAACATTACGACCTTTCAGAACATCATTGGCGTCTCGGCAATTCAAGACATCCAAACAGCGTTTGCTCGATATCAGCCATTGAAAGTCCTTCAGTTCGGCATCAGCTTGAGTGTCGCTTGATTCCCAAAAGATAATCATCCCCAACGTATGCACCGTGGAAGAGGGCTACTTCTAATCGATGGAAAGTATTTTCCAGTCCCACACAAGACGATAAAGCATCAACACCTTTCACGCACAGCCGATCATCCACGACTTGCCCAATAGCACATGTACGCAAAGCATGATGATAGGAAATAACATGTTCACGAACATATTTTGCAGCCTGCTTCCCATCGCTGAGGTCAACATCCCTAGGCGGATTTACTCGTCTCTTGGCAACATCCTTCAGAATAGGAGATTGGAACACTTTATCCGCGAATTTAAGACCACATGCCATGATTTCAACATCCGTAGGATGGGAAAGGATCCCAAGGTCAATCGCAGGCGGAAGGAGGGCTTCTGTCGACACCGTGTTCGCCATTCTGAGGCCATTTCAATAGAATCTTGCACACAACGGCACCGGTCAAAACCTTCAAATTTCGGCGTCCAGAGACTGGGGCCAGGTATCCATTGAGTGCATAGCTACGGATGGGCTTTTTCTGTTCTGTCGGTGGTGAAAAGCGAGCGATAAAAGCCAAGATGTCTTCCATTGTAGGGGTCCTGGGCTGCCGGGAGACTTCATCGAAAGCACGCAGCAAATCCTTTTCCAGTGGGAGACTCCAAGTGCTAAAGGAAGTATGTATTGCTCCAGATAAACCGTGATACTTTGTATTCAATGGACACTCATCAACATTGCGGTCGCGGATGTTCGGTTGGTCTAACTCTAGCCTCTCGGTCCGTTTGAAATATGACAGCAACTCAGGCCATGACCAGCCTGTTATTCCAAGAGCTTCGGACCACTGAGTAATATCTTCTTCGCTAGGTCTACCATAGTACATAAAATTAATCCCACTAGAGCCACCTAACATTCTTCCGCGGGGAATATGATATACCCTGCCTCCCGTGCCAATCTAGAATCCAGTCAGCCAGTCGTTCCATCCGACAACAGAGTAGAACATGGACATGATACCTGTGGGATACTTCTAAATGCCCAATCGTAGGCTGGGTTATGAAGCATTTTCCCAACGGCTGTAGGTAGCTCGATATTGGGATCGCCGAGTCGTGAATGACCAGCCTCTATCAAACCTACACGAATTTCCGGATTCTCTGACAATCGCGAGGCCAAAACTGACCCGGCAGTACCGCCGCCAACACTGAGTATATCAAATGACTCTTCGAGAAATTCTGCAATCGATGAGGTTTCCATTGCGAAGTCCCAGCCGAGAAGACCAATACCAGCTCTTCTGTTGGTTTGAATCATGTTAACTGGCCCTTTGTAGAATTATAGATTGATTGAAGGAGATGGCCAACCCGGTTCTTAATATACCTCTCATTTCTGCTCGGACAAATATGATAAGATTTCTAACATGATAGGTAACAAAAAAAGTGTTCCCGAAAGAGTGCAATCAATTGTAAACTCTTGAATCACTAGTTTTCTTTCTACCCATACAAGCGCTTCAAAGCAACTCCAACCTGTTACCTAGGTATCACAGCACTAATGCGACCTTTAATTTATTGCCATGGACGATTTCATCTTTTCGAGCCATGATCTCGTCCATGTCCCAATTCGCACTTAGATAACGTCCATTGAGCCACATCCTCTTTTCTGTAGTCAACCACACAATAGTATCAGCTGCCAACTGGGGGGTATCAACTGAATTCGTGTGATACACAGCAGGCAAGTTTTGAATAAGTTCAGTATCTACAGCACCTGGATGAATGGCAAATTCAAGGTTTCCCTGTCCAGAATACTCGACACTGGAGAATTCCGTGAGGCGAAGTATCGCCAGTTTACGGTCTGGAAAGCTGATGCACCGGGGCGACTCAAATACGCACCTACAGAGTTCATGTTGACCATAGTCTTCTCGCCGCCTTGAATTAGAAGAGGAATGAAAGTGCCAGTCATTAAATATGTTCCCTTGACATTGACCTCCCACGTCCGCCACCAAGACGATGGATCCGTCGCAGCTAAAGGGAGCTATTTTTCGAGACGACCGGCGTTGTTTGCAAGTATATCCAAACGCCCGAAGCTCTGCGTTATTGTCAACAGCGCATTGTTAACACTCGCTTTGTCCGAGATATCCAATGTAAGCTTGAGACCTGGGGAGCCGGGTAGCCCGCTTTGGCCGCTTCGTCGAGGATTTCTTGCGCGACTTTATCTTGAGAAGATCGAGACCCAATGGCTATGGCAGAGGCGCCTGCTTGAGCAAATGCAACAGCAACTGCTCGTCCGATGCCTCTCGAAGCACCGGTGATAAGAACTGTCCGGCCATGTTGATTGCATCTGGCTGCAGTAATAGTTGGATAAGTGTCGTGATGAACCGTGGCGGTGTAAGCGGCACCTAGAAGCAAGGCATCAGACAGATGGCTAGCTTGGTAAGAACATAACTGGTTACCGGATTTTACAGGAAATGCCACCTCCATCAAGTGGGAAGAATGCCTCTATGTTCTATTAGATGCAAAGCAATACATCGGCTGGTCGACTTCTTCGCCTTTATAACAAATAAATGGCCGTTCCTGTACTCTCAAGTTTTCCTACGTAATTCGATTGCTCTTTAAATAAATCTTAGATTATTCTATCAGCTTTACTACTACACCAAAAGAGCTCGGTGCAGAGTAAATGCCTTACAATCTGAGACAATGGGATTCGGGTAACCTTTATGCGGCTCGGATAAACAGATAGAAACTTGTAAGTGGTTAGTAAATTAGGGGCAAACCCATGTCCAGTAATCAGGTGACTGAAATGTCTTCGCGTGTTGCAATCCTTGCAAAATTGCTTGTGCCTCAAGAGAACTAATTCAACTGTCTGGCAAGCTACCTCAGTCTATCCAAAGACACTCAACAGCCGAGATGGCTGATACCTGCCGCGATGACTCCTTTGGACCTACGGTTTATAGCAATACATGTAAACGGTTTGATTTCTCTTTATTATTCGAGGATGCCATTTTTGCCATTCTTCCTGACTGCCTGTTCCTGCTGGCATCATTTGCAAGGATGTTCGGGTTATATCGGAAACCACCAAAAGCGCGGTGGACGCTTCTGCAAAGCATCAATTCGGTACGGATGCCGTTCGTATACTCAGAGAATCTCGCTAAACATCGATACAGGTAATCATAATTGCGTACTGTTTATTAAAACTCTCCTTTCTTGTTCTTGGAATAGTGGATCATAACACGCCTCGATCTCGCCTCTTCGTTGCAGCCGGTTCGTTGGATTTTGCTTCAGGAGTGTCCATGGGCCTATTATCCTATAGTGAACATGTGAAAAGTGCACGACCTGCTCCTTTGATGACTTCTTTCCTCCTCGTGACCTTATTTCTGGATGGCGCCAGGGCTCGTACGGAATGGCTTCTAAGAACATCAACGACCGTCCCGTTGATATTCTTGGTCTCGCTCGGCCTGAAAGTCGTCCTTCTTGTGGTAGAGTCGCTCCCAAAAACACGATTCCTTCTACATGATGGTCGAAGGTATACAGCGGAGGAGACCGCTGGCATCTTTAGCCTCAGCTTTTTCGCCTGGCTTTATCCACTCGTCCTTAAAGGATACCAGCATCATTTATCAATCGATGATCTCTATCCAGTCAACCACGATATCTCCTCGGAATCAGTAGCGTCGCGCATTCAATTAGCGTGGAAATCAAGTAAGTTTGTGCCCTAAAAGCGCTCTCGCGGCTTTGACAATGACCCTAAATCGGCTGCCAGGCAAGAAAAATAAATCCTACTCGCTATTTATTGCAACAGCACGCGCGCTCTGGCTATCATTGTCTCTTCCGATGATCCCTCAGCTTTTCTTAGTCGCCTTTAATCTTTTTCAGGCGCTTTTAGTCAATGCTGCAATCGACTTCGCTGAGAACGAGAATGAGCCAGACGTCTTTGGGTATAGCCTTATTGGCGCCTTTGGGCTCACATACTTTGGAATTGCTGTAAGCTTCATTCTACCGATAACATAGACTTGAAACTTAATGTTAGCAATAGATAGCAACTGCATGGTATCAGTATCTCGCTGCAAGATCCCTGGCTATGATAAGAGGTGCACTTATCAGCCTAACATATAGATGTATGCTTGATATGAATGACAGAGACGAGGATGAATCTTCACCTTTGAGTCTCATTAATGTCGACATTGATCGAATCGTTACATGCTTAGAGTGGGTGATAGGTGTTGCACCTGATGCCATCCAAGTTGGAATTGCTATATGGCTTTTAGAGGCCCGGCTCGGTGCAATCTGTGTAGCCCCAGTCTTGGTTGTTCTAGGTCAGTCATACGTTTTCTTATAAAGCTCAGACAAATATTAACTCCCGGTTATATAGCATCGGCTGTTGCATCCAGCCAGATAGCAAAATATACCAGACCCAGACAAAGATTGTGGATGAAGGCAATTCAGACTAGAACTGGGGCCATATCAGAATTACTAGCATCGATGAAAGGAGTCAAAATGCTTGGGCTAGAATCCCGGATTTCCAGCCACATCCAAGGGCTGAGAGAAAATGAGTTAGAAATTTCGAAAAGATATAGAAAGGTTCAAATAAGCAACATTGCTATGGGTATTTATACTATGTTCTCCGGTATTGACACACTTCGACTTTCGTTTGCTAACCTCCATGATTTGCCTTCATTCAGGAAATTCCCCTCGCCTGTTGTCACCTGTTATTACATTTATCGGTTTTGGCATCATCATCAATGTGTCTGGAAGCAACGCCCCAGGCACAGGAACTATATTTTCTGCCTTGTCATTATTATCGATTCTCATCGATCCAGTGAATGAACTTGTTGCTATTGGCCCAAACGTCGCAGCTGCCTTGGACTGTTTCAACCGAGTCCAAGAATACGTTATGAAAGAAAAGCGTGTCGACTACAGAAATCTATTACTGCAAGAAGAGGGTTCCGGTATATCTCCAGATAGAACAAGTGACGAGCTGACTGTAGCAAATCTAGAGCCAAAACCGGCCAGTACAGCAGCAATACGGCTTGTCAATGTAGACGCCGGCTGGTCCAAAAAAACACTTACCTTGAGAAACGTCTCATTGAATCTACATCCATCAACTCTGAATATAGTCATTGGAGATATAGGAAGCGGAAAATCCACCCTGCTAAAACTTCTACTTGGAGAGGTTTCCGTGCTTGCGAAGGGATCTGTGTCTCTGGAAACAGATAAAATTGCTTTCTGTGGCCAAACGCCCTTTTTGAGAAATAAAACCATTCGTGATAATATAATCGGCCCATTAAGCTATGATTCTGAATGGTATAATGCCTGTATTAATGCGTGTGCGCTTGATGTGGACTTCCAGCAAATGCCGCAGAAGGACAGCACCATTGCAGGAAGCCGAGGGATCGCTTTGAGTGGTGGACAGAAGCAACGTATTGTAAGATTGTTCTCACTCTTTATATTGTATATTTAGATATTGGGATACTAATATTTTAGCCTCAAGGCTTTGGCACGAGCTGCCTATTCTCGACGACGGATAATATTGCTAGACGACGTGCTGTCTAGTTTGGATACTATTACCGAACGCCACTGCTTCAATTATCTGCTTGGTAAAAATGGCCTTTTCAGGCATTCACAGACAACTGTGGTCTTTGTGACGCACTCTGGTATTTCTTTCTTGTTTCTTCCACACTCAAGCTAAGCTCATACTAACGAGAGACGTTTGCAGTCAAATGGCTTCCTCAAGCCGACAGGATCGTCGTACTTGGACCCAGTGGATCTCTCGAACAAACTGGTACATACGAAAATTTGATTTCAAGCACTGGCTACGTGCAAGACCTAGTGCTTAAAATGAGTGGGAACCCGCTAGAGCTTGAGAACATCCCTGTACCAAGAATACTTGAAGAAAAGAAGGATATGTCCGTGGAACTTACTACAACAGGCGAAGCTAAGAAGGATGTTCCTAAGAATTTTTCTTCTGTGCTTTTTTATATTTCTTCTATGGGGTGGATGCAATTCTTCATTTTTGTTTCTCTGGTCACTATCGAGGTCGTCACGAACGCAATGCAGAGTAAGATTCAACTCTTTTTAGTGTATCGACTTTGGTTTGTTGACTTTTTCAATAGCGCCATGGCTCAGCTGGTGGACTGATGCCAGTCAGAAAAACCCAAACACAAACCTAGGGAAGTGGATGGGAGTATACGCCGCATTCGGTGTTCTTTCATTATGCTTCCTAGGGCTAGGTGCCGCGTAGGTTACAATAGAACTATAAGTCTGGACAGATACTTACTGCGAATAGATATCTCCTGATCACAATTGTTCCGAAATCTTCCAACGCGTTGCACCTGAAAACACTGCAAAGTACGATGAGGTATAATCATCCAATTTTCATCATTTACTATGAGAGTCATCATTGACACTGATATACGACATTTAATAGAGCTCCGATCACTTATCTTTCCAGCAAAGGTATTGCAACAGTCCTAAACCTGTAAGCCTATCTTATACAAACAATAAATCAAGAAGCATCACTGAGTATTGCACAGTTTTACCCAGGACATGACCCTGATCGATATGCCGTTACCCATTGCACTTATCCTTGCCACCGGAAGTGAGTCGCTCCAACATATCTTTCTATTATTTCTCACTGATCAGTACGGTTCCTGCTAGACTTTGGTAATTCAATCGCTGGTGCCATCCTCACCTCCGTCTCATCAGGCTACATGGCAATATCAATACCTGTTCTCTTTACAGCACTCTATTTCTTGCAAAAATTTTATTTGAGAACCTCTCATCAGCTTCGCTCGCTTGACCTTGAGGCCAAATCACCACTTCTTGAGCACTTTATGGAAACTTTACAGGGCTTGACAACAATCCGTGCCCTTTCGTGGACAGACTACCTTAATTCAGATGCCTTTCATCAACTCAACCAATCTCAAAAACCGTTTTACTTATTGCTATGTATCCAGCGCTGGCTGACGCTTGTGCTCAACTGTATTGTCGCAGGTCTAGCTGTTTTTCTGATGACTTTGACAGCGATCCTACGAGGACACATCAACTCTGGACTTTTGGGCGTCTCGATGGTGAGCGTTGTCAACTTCGGACAAACGCTTTCATTATTTATATCGTACTGGACAATGTTAGAGACATCTCTTACTGCTATTTCAAGGATTGTGAATTACGTTATCGAGACGCCCAAGGAAAACTCAGCTTTGTTGACGGAAGAATTGCCATCAGACTGGCCCAACGAGCTAAGTATTAAGATCCAACACATATCAGCCTCTTACCAGTGAGTTGTCATATCTTTTGCGAGGAAGTAAATATTGATAAAAGCTAACTTTTATAATGCAGAAATACCGGACGAGACGTGCTCAACGACATTAACATCTCAATCTCACCTGGTCAGCATGTTGCAATTTGCGGACGCTCCGGATCCGGAAAGTCCACGCTGATATCCGTTCTTCTGCGCCTTCTTGAACCAAACAAAGGGTCCGTCTTGATCGGTGGCAAGGATATTTCGCTTTACACCCAACAAGCCATTTGCAAGCGACTGACTTCAATGCCCCAAGACGCCTGGTTTGCCCCGCAGAGCTGTGGTGACTCAGTGCGCGAGAATCTGGATCCGTTACAGGAGATAAGTGACGATGCAGATATTTATAACGTTCTTGATAAGACCGGCTTGCGTGAGCAGATTGACAAGATTGGGGGACTAGATGCCAGGTTGAAACAGGGCGATGGAGTGCTGTCTGAGGGCCAGAAGCAATTATTTTGTCTCGCTCGTGCAATGCTTACTAGACGAGGAGGGATGTTCATTATGGACGAGGCTATGAGCAGGTTTTTCTCTCCCTCTTCTTTCGAAAGGAACTGGCTGATAGATGCAAAAGTGTCGACTATAAGACTGAATTGAAAATGCTCTCTCTGATGCAAACAGAGTTTCGAGGTTGGACAATTATCGCGATAGTTCATCGCCTGAATTCCATTCCGCAGTTTTTCGACCGAGTTGTTGTCATGAAAGAGGGTCGTGTTATTGAATATGATGAGCCAGGAAGGCTACGATCTAACCCTTCTTCTTTATTCCGACAAATGACAGAGGCAGAGAATGGCAGCGAGGAAGATGCTTGATCTTTGAAGAATTACCATATGTATTGCAGAGCTTTCTGGTTTCGTAGTTACTTGTAAGCCCTCTTCAATATGCGCTATGCACTAGGTAGTCGATATTTTCAAACTATCCGTTCATGAAGACATATCACATGGACTTTCCACATCACTTCACGAAGTCTCTGTCCTGCACATAACCGATGAACACATATTATACATGAAAAGTAAACCAGATCGCCCGCCTAATTGATAACTTGGGTTTATTTCGCTTTGGCCTTCCCCTTCCGGCCCTTGTTCGCCTTCTCATCTTCTTCGTTATCATCTCCCTTCGTCTTTTTGGCTTTGGCGGCCTTGCCTTTGGCGTCTCCTTTGGCTTTAGGTACCTTGACATACTTGTCTTTCTTCGAGTCAAGCTCTTCTTCGTCCTCTTCTTTAGCATCCTCAACAACTTCTTCATCGTCATCCTCAATGTCAGACTTATCCTTCAGGCTTTTCTTAGCCGCGAGGACATTACTAGACTTTATAAAAGGTAGAGGATGCCACTGCTGGTCGTAAATCCTAATAAACACCAATTTTATCTGGATTTCAAGTTTGATATTCTCTTAATTCATAAGACTAATAGATAATATTACTTAATACTCTTTCTAAGTCTATTACTATGATTGGGCCAAGTCTAATACTGGGTAATCTTTTATTTCGTTAGAATCTTTGCAGTAGGGTAAGTGTATCTATTGACTGTGACGTGCTGATTCTCTGACACTATAGTTATTAGGCTTATATTTATATATATTTTTTATAAGTATTACTTATATTTAATAAAATTATTTTATACTTTAAAAGTTTTATTATAGATAATTCCATTATTAAGATGAAGTTTAAACTTATTAGAGAATCAGATAACTATATAGTGCGAAGACTTTTGATTCAACTGATCTACTTTTAACACTAAATTTTTCAACACCCATTCATATGTAGCCCCGATATCTTCTCTTCCTTCCACAGAGCATCAACCAGTGTAGAGATAATCAGCACTTCTACTATATGTAAGGACTGTCAGATTCTTAGTTCATTATTTATGCTGTAAGTAGCAGAGGTAAATGTACGCTTTCAAACATCAGTGGTATCTCCAAATCATATTACATATACACGTCGTATATCAAAAGATCAAGCCATCTTTTGGGCGAGTATTTTTCTCATTGCCATTGCTTCTCCTTCCCACTTGGCAAGCCGCAACCGTAAGTCATCTCTTTCTTTTGTTACCTCTTCTAACCGTGACTCGAGGCTACCTAGTTGATCCATTTTCCGCTGTCGTAATCGCTGGGCAGCAAATTTGTTTCGCCGCCGCCTTTCGAGCAGGCGCTCTTCCTCTTCCTCCTGGGACGACGAGGCGTCACTCCAGATGGGCCTCTCGGCGCTCTCCTTCCACCGTGAGCATTGTTTCGGCGATGGAGCCCGTTGGTGGCATAAACGGTGAGAGGGTGAATGCTCACGAGGGGCAGCAGAAGGAGTAGACCGGTGCGCGTCATCCAAGAGCAAATTTGGGTGGTCATTGGAAGGAGCAGCTGAAGTATGGTGAAGGTTTGTCTCGATAGTTGCGTTCATTAATCCGGTCATAGAGAAATCAACATTTGCAGCGCCGGTCTCAGGAAGCACCAATTCATGAAAGTCAAGAGTCGAGTTATCTATCGGCTTCGCCTCCAGTAGGGGTGTGTTCCACGAAGGAAATGCCGGTAGCAGATTCGTGCTACTGTGGGTATCGTGGTGAGACATGGGATTGGCGGCGGGAAGCCAAAGATCTGGTATTTCCAGGGAATGCAGCACGCTAAAGGAGCTGGACATTGATGCTGGGGCTATATGAGGTGTAGGGGCGCAGCTCCTTGGTGGTGAATCGTACTGGATGCGGCTCTCGTACGAACGAAACATGTCGCCAGAAGCAGAGGATGACATGGCGCTGGACATGACCTTGCTTGCTATGTTGGGAGAGCTGGTTTGGGTTATAGAGATGATGCTGCGGTGGGCGATGGGCGACAGACTTGAAAGAGGGAATGATGACATGGCGAACGGTGATGTTATTTATTTGTTTCTTGCAGGCAAAACCCTCTGAGAGACCCAAAAAGGTAAATCCGGCGCGAGTCATGCCATATTAAGTCCGGCGCTAAGATAAAGCTGATCTCCGGCACTAAGATACGGCGCTGGCCAATGAGCGTGGCCCGCTAGCCTCAAGGCAGGCTAGCGGCCTCCTCCGCCGCGCGGGAAGGCAGTCGGGCAAAACCGAAACACGCAAGGGAAAGAACGGAGAGCTTCACGATCGATTGCGCGCCACCGGAGAATATAAGGAGAAGAAAAAGGGAAAGCAAGATGGACATAGCCCAAAATGACCCCCGCGGCCCCGTCAAGAAACGAAAGCCGAGACCGCGGCTGTCCTGTATTGTGTGTCGTCAGAAGAAGTCCGTGCTGAGGTCTCTCGTTCGCACTGCAACACTCGAGCTGACTATCTGCACGGCAGGCTGAAGTGCAATCGTCTGCACCCCTGCGACAATTGCATCAAGCACCAGCGGACGTACATGTGCCACTATGAAGCGCCACCTTTCTTGAGCAGCAGGCAATCGCAAGGCATCCAAAATCATCTTCGCGAGCTCGAATTCCGCATTGAGCATCTATCCGGGGTCAATCTACAGTCCCACACGCCATCTAATGCGGAACACGGCGCTCAAGATAAAGCTGCTGCTACTAGTCTTTCGGACCATCACGCGGGTCCCAGTGTCGGAAATAATCAGCCAAAGCTAGACAAAAATAACCCTGGAACCATCGTGCTACAACGGGGTGGAACGCGATATGTTACCCCAACCCACTGGCAAGCAGTGATGGACGAAGTAAGCTATCTGCGTCGTTCCAGCTCAATTCAAACTACAGGACTGACGTGGTATGTAGATCGCTGAGGTGAAAGACTATCTTGAGCTGGACAACGTTGAAGTAGAGCCTGAAGAGGACTACCCAGATATTTCCGGGCCAGTGCTGCTCTTCGGTAACACACTTTCCTCTCAAAAGGCAGAACTTTTGGCCGCGCTACCAGTTCGGTCGGTAGCAGACCGACTGGTCTCTTTTTACCTGAACTCCAAAGAGTCTACCCTCGGTATATTTGATACAGTGCCTGATCAACACGGAAATACTGGCTGACATGCAAAACAGTACTCATGCATGTCCCCACATTCACGAAAGAGGTAGGCTGGTTCTGCCAATATCCAATGTTCTGGACTCATCGTGTTTCATCTAGTACTCCCACTTTTGGAAAGCCCCTGAAGAGACCTCTATCAACCAGCTGGCATTTCTCTTTAGCATTTTCTGCGCTGGGACAGGCCTGCAACTATTCTCTACATCTGGCCGCGCCGACGGTGTACTCGCAGAGTCGTTTGATGTGTATCACCGGCTAGCTTCGCAATGTCTGATCATGTCGAACTATAGCTCACCGGGCCGATATAAAATGGAGGCACTTGTTCTAAGTGTGGCCATGGAAATCCTTAGAAGTACAGATACACATGCCGGGCCCTCGCTCCTCTTGGGTCTAGCTTCCAGGTTAGCAGTACACGGTGGGTATCACAGGGACCCAAAACACCACCACAAAATCTCGCCCTTTGAGGGAGAAATGCGTCGTCGAGTGTGGATGTACCTCTCTCTGCTTGACCATTACATATCACTGCAAGCCGGTCTTCCACCGGCCACTGCCCAATCGCAATCCGATACCGAGGAGCCCCGGAACCTAAATGATGAAGATTTGAATCCGTTCATGACAAAACTACCACCCGCCAGGCCGCCCACGGAGAGCACACTTGTTCTCTTCCCAGCTACGTTAAACCGAATCATGCTCGCTGGAGCGGAGATTATCGCAAAGGTTTGCTCCGTGAAGGGTGTTCCTTACAGAGAAGTCCTTCGTTTGGATGCGAAATTGAAAGAAATTCATACCACTACCCCACCACCATTGCAATATCGTCCACTAAGTGAATCGATCGCAGATTCGCCTAATATGATTATGGATCGTTATAACATTGAGCTAATGTACCAGAAAGCTCGGTGTGATCTTCACAGACGGTATTTGGCTCAACATCGCATAGACCCAGCGTACGCCTACTCGCGACAGGAGTGTTTAGATGCCGCAAGAAGAGTCCTGCAACACCAGGCCGATATCTTCGATGCAAATTCCGCAGGGGGTCAACTTAGCTACACTTCATTTTTCTTCTCACCTATCGTAGTCGTGCATTTCCGTTCAGCCGCGATGATTGCTTTATTGGAGATTTCGTGCCAGTCTCGCTACGACCTGAAACAGAAGCTGTCACCCAACGAGAGAAATTCAATCCTGGCAGCGAGACAACAGCTTTCACAAGATATTGAAAGGTCCTATAATATATGGAAGCATTTATGCCATCAATCAAAAGAAGCCGTTAAAACAGCCAAGGCTCTCCACATCATGATGAAGGTTACGAACAATCATTTGCAGCATGGGGCAACGCCCGAGCAAGAACAGCCTTCATCCCTGAGACTTGGTATGCATTTCATATCTTATTAATTTTACTCGTAACCATTGCTTTCTTATTTTGACTGCTCACGAGTCTACCTTAGTCAATTCGACACTCCTGATGGCTACGCCACCCAACTCCAACCAACCTCCAGTCAACTTGGCGAACCAATACAGTCCTCTGGATGTCGATATTATGGATGCCACCCTCTACCTAGGACAGGATGCTCTTGCTCATCCCAGTGGGACGCAGTTCACGGGCTCCACCGACGTAGTAGACTTTTATGATCGATACTGGGATAACCTCATGCTTCTGGGTGACGACCAAACCTTTGACGATATGACATTCGATAGTGGCAACCAGGGACACACTGAGGCCGGCCTTCCGTGACTTGGGCTTTGATATTGGTCAATTATCGCGTCATTTTGAGCGGTGTGAACGTGCTCCTAGGGCTGGAAGCCAGCAAAGCAATCCCTTGTCTATGATCTTGCTCTCAGAGTTGGAAGGCTTCTTCGGCCGTTGTACCGTACAGTAGAAGTTTACTAGAAAGACTTGAGGATGAATTTCGGCTACGTCAAGCCTCGCCTGAGGGACAGAAATGGACCACAAGGCCAAGAACCAAGCTGCATTTCGATTATTTCGTCTAGCATAATTTCAAGGTTAGAAAAGATAAACGGTCATCTTGCGGACGATGGCATCACTTCCTTCTATTTATTTTCCGTCCAATTTCAGTTTGCTGGTTGTGAGTTACACATCCATGGATGCAGGCAGTTAAATGAGGAATGCGTACCCCAAACCAACACTGTATCGCAAAACGTATAACACAGGACGAAACATCACGTGTCTGATTGCATATGAGCTCATATTGTTTATGATGTGCAAATCTCCTTGGATAACTTGTGAGGATTGCGAAAATCATGATTCAAGCCCCTTTCCGATTTATTCATAGCCCCCACACTCTCACAAGTATATAATTCCCACATACAATGACTTCTCACAGCTGTACCTCAGTTAGCGAGGGAATATTCGTGTCAAAAACAGCTTGAACAAACATACAACATAGCGGAATTCGGGAAGCTCGAGGTCCGTTTTATCGGTAAATTCCTCATGGGCCGAATCTTGATCCTGATGCTTGGCTGCAAGATCACGGCGACGGTTCTGTCTAACGTAGTGGAATCGAAGAAGCAAGAGGAGAATGCCTGGTGGATAGCAATGTTAGCGGTGCCAAGATGTCTACATTTTATAGCAAAATGAACAGACCTTGCAAAACGATGCATATAATATCGGCAGTAAAGACAGAGCGATAGGCCGGCTTCTCGCCTTTTTTGACCATAAATGGCCCGCTAATGTTCCCCAGGGCATACCCCAGAAACGCAAAGGATGAAAGGGTGATGCGCTTTGTGTATCCGGAGCTGTTCACTCCAGGGAGAGACAGGAGAATGAAGAGCGATGTGGCGAACGGCGGAAAGAGATATACTAAACACTACCAGTCAGTACTTCAACTGACGCTTTGTAAGTGTTCTGTTGTCGATATAGTGTGGGAATTACCGCCGACTAGCAGTCCTCCAATGTTCGTTCGCGGAAGCACAATCTGCAGCAGCAGTCCGATAAATGTGGGAACAAGCATGCCGATGGACACCCAGATGCGAGCGTTGGGCAGTTTCTGCGCCAGCCAGCCCCCAAACAAAATGCAGACCATGTTGATGAAACCTTGTGGGATATAGATGAGCACAGACTGCAGGGCATCAAAGCCAAAGCTCTCTATCACGAGCGTTCCAAACGCTCCGAAACCACCACTGCGTGGAGAGATATCAGTTGCGTTCGCAATCAAATATATCAATCATGTTGCAAACACGTACTTCAAAACCTCGTTGCAAAAAATGATGAGGAACAGCAAAAGCCCCTGAGGATCCTTGAAGGGGTTAATCGCCTCCCTAACCTGATACCACTTGAATTTACGGTTCAAGATGCCCTAAGAATGAGTAAGTAGCAGTCAGCCGGGAAAGGAGCAATGTTCTAGTAGCTAATCCTGCACTGACAGTATTATTGGATCGAATGCGGTGAATCGCAAGGACTCGCTGTGTCTCGCTTAAGAACCTCGCTTCCATTGGAGACGTAGGAAGGAAAAAGAACGTTAGAACACCTGTGGTCGTCAGTTCAGTTGTTCAATGCGGAAAAACCTACTGGTAGCCCTAACCCCAGAAGACTGTTATAAGCCCTGCAATTATGACATTAGTTAGTACTCCACTCCACTACTGTGGTACTTGACAATTGCATTTACCGTTGATGATAAATATCCACTGTAATCTTCGAGTCAACTATGAGCAATTGCCGGGATCATGCAGAAAATAGCATACCTTCCACCCTGGGACACCTGTATTGACGTGGCCCATGCCCCAGGCGATGATGCCTCCTACCATGGCTGCAGAACACACGAGTCAGCAGACGATTGTCTCTCAGGCTGAAGAGAAACGCACATCCAAAGCCGTTGGCGGCAGCCCAAAAGCCAGTTCGCAAAACTTGTTCCTTTCTCGTATAGTACATTCCGTTCTGCCCAGAAACCATCAGCAACAGTCCAATTGATTCGGCTTGCCCTGTTATTGCTTACAATCAGCACAAACGTTGGCGTGATTAAAGATTCCAAGCCACCCAGGATGAATCGAAGCACCGCCATGCCGGAGAAATTGGTAGCACCAGCTGTGGCGATCAGGACTCCCCCCCATATCTGTAGGTATATTTTCCCATTAGCCTGACCAACCCGCCCCGAATCATCTACAACATACCGCTATGGCAACCCCGATGAAGCGACCGATGGGAAACTTCTGGGATAGCAACGTTGTTGGATATTCACAGGTCAGGTAGCCAAAATAAAACAACGATGAGAGCCAAGAGCTATTCGATATGACTGTCAGTCAACTGTTGCGGTGGCACCGTGTAAGTGCGAGTGGCACAGCTTACTATTGCTTTCCTACAAGACCCAAATCTTTCTCCAACGTGAAGGCCGCAGCATAGCCGAGGCAGCTCTTGTCGATGCATTGCAGGGCATAAGTGCCGAAAAGAAGGGGCAGCAAACGCCGGTCAAAACTTCTCACGAGCGCCCGATAGTCCTCTTCGGTGGCGGCCGCTGTAATCGCAGCCACATCGTAGTTGAGGAGAAACTAGCCAACCGCATAAAATAATATTAGGGCTAGGAAATCATGGTACTCGGCCTCGCAGCCGGCTTGCTCACCTTTCCGGCTTCGTCTCCTTCGACCAGCTGTTGGTCTTCCACTGACCCTGGCGGCGTATCAACGGTAACATGTCCTGTTTTGGAGATCCCCCTGGCCTCCGGTTCTATGGCCATGACTGTACTGCTGCTGAGCACCTGCTCTCGTCGGTACTAAGGTAGCCTATGCTGGGAATGGTGTGCTCTCCTACACATGGGAAGAAGAAAAAGGCATATCATCCCAGGGTTTATATGTAATCCACGTGGGCTCCCAAGTCAACCAACGAGTGACTAGTCCACTGCTGACATGGCTGTTAGCTCAAGCTTGGAATTGTTGAATATCGCACCGCGCAAAGCTTAAAACTCACGTGTCTGAGCTAGAAATCACGATATGCGGAACGCTGGCCGTCACAGAACCAATAATGGCCGTTAAAAGCACTTGATTAAAAGTAAAAGGTACCTGGCCTGCGGGTATGGCACCACCATCCCGACGTCTTGCGCGAACATGCCAATGCCGTCTAGTCGAAACCATACCGGCTGAACTTCCAAGGTCGGCAAGGTACACACACATAGGTCATGACAGCTGTAGCTTGAGAAAGTGTAGAAATAATCGTTCTTGTTTATTAACTAGGTGCGACTAGTTCATTCGCTATCCCAACAGGCCACAGGAAGAACACACAGCAAATTCCGGACCCTTCCTAGGTATTCACGGCATTCTATATAATTCCTTGTGTGATGGGAATCCAAAAGGCTCCGGATAATACCCACTCATCAGACGACAGTATGTCATGGGTCCGGCATCCTCTCGAATTGGAAGAGCATGCCATTGATGAGATGCCCAACTTGAAAGTCGCGGTCATTGGAGCAGGAATTGCCGGTATCAATGCTGCGATTCTGTTGCCTGCAAAGGTTCCTGGGCTGGAATTGGTAATTTACGAGCGCGAGGAGGACATAGTATGTCTATCATTCTGCCTAATATCGAACTCTAGCTTACTTTCCACGTGCAGGCTGGAGTTTGGCATCAGTGCACTTACCCGGGGGTTCGATGCGACGTTCCCTCGCACGTCTATCAATCCACTTTTGCGCCGTCAAGAGAGTGGTCGCAGCACTACGCCACTGGTGCTGAGATCAAGGCTTATTGGTCTCAGGTCGCTGAAAAGTATGATGCCAGAAAGTATATCAAGTGTGGCCATGAAGTTTTGTCTGCGCAATGGCACGAGCAAAAATCCAAATGGGAAGTGACTGTTAAGCACCTGGGAAGCACACTACATGAGGAGGCCGACTTCGTTATACTGGCTACGGGCATATTCAGCCACCCCAAGCTTCCAAGCTACCCGGGACTATCAGACTACGATGGGCACGTCATCCACAGCTCGCGATGGAATCCAGACATTGACTTAACCGGCGCGGCCGTCGCAATCATCGGAAACGGCTCGTCCGGTATCCAAGTACTGCCGCAGCTGCAGAAGATCGTATCGAGGATTGATCATTATGCTCGCAGTCCAACGTGGATATCCGGAAACTTCGGTGTAGAGAACATTAATCCTGGAGATGCAGTCCCCGATGACGTGCAAGCCTCGTTCGCCGACCCGGAGACGTATCTGCGGTACCGCAAGGAAATTGAGAATCGTTCGTTTAGCTCATTCGGGGGCATCATGAAAGACGGCATCAAATCCAAGCAGGCAGAAGCGCGATTCATAAAACTGATGAAAGACAAGCTCGGAGAGCGAACAGATATCCTTGAGGCCATTCAACCCGATTTCCCGCCCAGCTGCAGACGGCTCACCCCTGGGCCAGGATATTTGGAGGCCATCACAGAACCTACTGTCGAATACATCAGAACTTCTATCGAACGAGTGACCAGGACTGGGATTCGCACAGTCGATGGCACGGAGCGATCTGTGGACGCTATCGTCTGTTGCACGGGATCGGAGAAGTCGATGGCGCCTCCATTCCCCGTCATCAAGGACGGAGTTGACCTTTCGCTTGCTTGGAGACCAGAGGGCAGCATTGGATTTCCACATACATATATGGGTATTGCAGCGCCTGGATTTCCCAACCTCCTTTTCATCAACGGGCCTCAGACGAGTGCCGCGACGGGCACGATCATCTTTTCAACCGAGATCCAGCTTACGCTGGCGGCCAAGATATTGCGCAAGGCACAATCCCAGGGTATCAGGACTATGATGCCGACCGTGCAAGCGACAGAAGATTTCCGAGCCTATTGTGACGCCTACTTCCCCCGCACGGTTCTAAGCGAGAATTGCACCTCGTGGTTCAACGGTGGTATCAAGGGAGGCCGACCAATCGCCAACTGGCCCGGCAGCGGCTCACACGCCAACATGGTTAAACGAGAACCTCGCTGGGAGGACTGGGAGTACAGCTATTGGTCTTCCACAGGAAACAGGTTCGCGTACTTCGGAAACGGGTGGACGCTCAAAGATCAGGTGCTGGATCGGGGTGGTGATGCTGACATGACGCCGTACCTGCAAGTGAAATCTGTGACGGGGGACGTGGATCTCAAGTCATATCACGAAGCGTGGTTTGAGGTCTGAAAGGAGATCCAGGAAGGACAGCTAATACTACTGTGGGGGAGGAGTTGGCGGGGGAGGCTTTTGATTGATGCTTGAAGTTCAATTATTCCCATTATGTTATGTATAGTAGTACTCTACTGATAATTTTCAGTCATCGATATCAAAACATCAGGATTTTCGCCACATATTTCTGGAAGTGTATACACTCAGGAATTACCTAGGCATGCTCTCGCTACCTAAATAGACAGTTTGCTTATTATAAGCGACAATGTAAAATTTGTCTATATAATCCTCCTTTCTGAGGCAGGTTCCAACTGCAGTAATCAAGGCCATGACGCCGACACATGTTAAACTTGGGCGTCACAATTTCATATATAATGGGTGAGTATTTGTAGACAACACGATCTTTTCGCGTACACTTTTGATTTTTATATTTGTGATCATAGTCTAACACTTGCTCAATACGACTGCTGGCCTTCCTAGGTATCTCAAGTCAGTCATGAAGAACTAGCAAAGACTCAGCCATACATGGTCTCTATCTAATAATATACATATATACAACACTAACAGTTATCTGTACAAATATAACTTCGTCTTCCGCTTTTGCTCTTCGTCCCCGTGCTGCGACTCTGCCAACTTCGACCGCGCTCGGATCTGCTTTCCCTTCTTGAAAAACAAGAATGGAATCAACGCCAGCAGCGAGCCAGCTAAAGCTAGAATGAGGCCTGCGAACTGATTCCCGACATTTTGGAAGAACTGCGTTGCAAACAGCGGTGCCACTCCTCCGAGGGTATTGCGCAACAGGCCTTGGCCCGCGATAGCTGACGATGAGTTCTCTCCGTAACAGTCCGACGTAAAGCTGTACGTTGACTCAAAGATGAAGAAAATCCCCACTGCGATCGGAGCGAGCGCTACAGCCGGTCCGACCCAGGATAAATACCCGTACTGCGTGAAGCTGTAGATGAAGAGCCCGATGGGGAGCCAGATGGCGCCGAACATTGCTCCGTACAGGCGCGATTCGGGAACAATCCTCCGGTCTTGAGACTCCGAAATGGCTTTATACTTGCGGATTTGGAAAAAGTTGGTTGCAAAGCCGAGGGTGGTACCAATGCAAAGAGAGATGTAAGGGAGACCGCCAACTCCTTCGCCCCAACCACGTTTTTCTTGAAAGGTTATGGGTATCACTGATAGGAAAAGAAAGGTTACAAACCAGGCAAACCCGATCCAGAGTCCGAAGACAAACACGGCTGGCTCTGTAAGAAGCATTTTAACGGCTTTTACAGAGGAATTGTGAAGCATGTGCTTTAAATTTGGAGCTTCGAGCTCTTCCTTGGCTTTGTATCGCTGGTCGCCTGTTTTATCGCGGAGTATGCCTGCCCGCTTTGTTATGATAGCACCGCCACGGGTTTCTTGCAGGAAGATTGCGACCAGTATAATCAAGGGTATGTTTGCCAAACCCTGGATCCCTTCAATCCACCTCCATCCAATGGTTTCGTCAATGAAGCCTGCATATATAGGGGCCGCGACTGTTCCCAGGATAGCCACATAGGAGAAGCTCGCCATAGGCACCGCCCGATCATCAGGAGCATACATATCGCTGAATGTGCCTCCCACCAAAATTGTCCCAACACTGCCAAACAAGCCCAAGAGCGCCCGACAGACCAGGATCGTGGCTATATTCTTCCCAAGTGCCAGTCCCACGAACATAACAGCGAATAGAACATAAGCACCAACATAAACCACTCTCCTACCAACAAGTTCGCAGAAGGGTGCGAGGAATAAAGGGGCAAGGGCACACACGAAGTTGAAAGTGAAGAGTCCCAGCTGGCCAAGCTCTGAGGACACGCCCAGATCTCGGGTCATGGACGCGATTCCGGAACTATAGGCGGTAGTAGCAAGACCGACAAAGAGTGTCATGAGGCAGAGGAGCGTCGAGATGCACCTTTTCCTGGTCGGGCTCCAATTGAATGGATTCTCTACATCGCCGTCCAGGAAATCCAAAACCAGGAAGTCTTCACCCGTCTCGTCGATGTGCCTGGGCTCCAAGGCCGTCGGTGGGAAATCAAAGTCGACTTCTTCGGGATCTCCTAGTCCTTGCCCTCCATCGGAGACGTGCGACTTCAGCTTTTCGGGATCCTCACGAAAGTTGCCACCCACAATCCATTTCTTTGCCTCATCTCTTGACGGTAAACTGGTCCCAGACATGATCGACGACGGCGGGCAAGATCTCCTTCGAGCTGCAGATTTGATGACAGGGGTATGAATGGAGCAGCTGGGGAAATCAGAAATTAGCAAGCAAGTTAGTAACGTGAAGAGTGATTTTTTAATGGATCGACGCTGTGGCAAACCAAGTTTCTTGGGTTCTCTCTCAGAATCTTCCATGATGTCACTGACTGTAACGGGTAATGTCGGGTGGATTAGGGCTTAGGGCTAGCCCGGTGAGACTTTTTTTGATATACGAGCAAGACGACAGTCTATCTATGTAGTTATTGATTGTTTCGACCCACTTAAAGGGTAGGTATCTTCCTCCAATCTTGTGTTTACTACTAGAATTTAAACTAAGGTGAACAGGACGGTAAAGCGATTTCGGAGAGCAGTTACCTAGGTACATGGCGACTTAGGGTTCCAGGCTTCACTTACGGCCAGCACCATTTTCTTAGACATTCCGAGATGTTTCCGTTCTTTTGATATATATTTTGTTACACGATACAGTGGCTGAGACCGAATCTGAAAGAAAATGTAAATAGTGATCGTTGTGTTGAATGTTGATCGCACATGGCTTAGGTTGCAATGGACCGTTCAGGTCGCCGTTGACATAGGTAGTATAGACATGAGCACCTGGCACTACTCGACTGTATATTTGGTTTTTAGAAAGGAAGCGATAGCGACAGAAAGTAAAAAAGCCTTGGGATAATTAATAGGGGAATGTGTACGCCGTAGATGATAAAACTACAGAAGCGTTGAGGTGGCTCCGCCTAATACTACGGTGAACTTCACATCATTGCTCCACCGTTCTATACGCAAATAAGTCATGTAATTGGCCAAAATTTAGGACGGGGAGGCATTAGCCCTTCTGCAAGCAACAAGCGTTGCTACTTTTTGTCGTTTACTCCGTACTCCTTTGGCAGAGATGGGCAAGAATGGTGTCGGATTGACGAAGATATGGATTATTTAATATCTACGGTGCAATTATATCCCTGAAAGCACTATTATGATCCTAATGCCTCAGACTCTCAAGTGTAGATATTGCACTTTGACTGGTAGGAGATGTGACCGATGTAAGCGTTGAGTTGATCGACCGAGTACGCTGGAAAATCGATCTCTTCATTCTACCATTGCATGCGTAAGTCTCTCTTTCTCTCTCTCTCTCTCTTTTTCTTAGTACGAGGGCTCATGATGGGTTCAACGGTCCGTTAGCCTTACGACCCTCCTACAATTCCTTGACAAGTCCACGCTAAGCTATGCGGCATTATTTGGGATTATTGGAGATTTGGTGAGTCGGCTCTTGCATGTTGCTATAATAAAAGTAGTGAAAGAGACTGGTGGCATCTAGGGTCTCGTAGGAGATGAATATTCCTGGTTGGCGAGTATCTTCTACTTCGGTACGTGAAAATTCCGCCTTGGGAAAATGACCAATAGTCATCTAACTACCGTCAGGTTACTTTGCCATGCAACCTCTGGGAGCGTACTTTCTCCAGAAGTTCACTCCTGCTAAATGTCTTGCAACCAGCGTGTATGCGAGCCTACTCCTCCACTGCTGATAGGTGCGTTCCAACATGTTTAGGTTTGTTTGGGGTGTTATTTTGTTTATGCATGTCGTATGTAAGGATTGGTCCGGCCTGATGGCTGTCCGGTTCTTTTTAGGTATGGCCAAAGGAGTGTACGTGTTTTCTTTTGCATTGAGCCTCTTCTTCGTAGATTGATCACACTTTAGTACTAACGTAATGCAGAGTCACGCCAGCCTTCATGCTAATCAGCACAGGCTGGTATGCACGTCAGGATCAGCCACTCCGTATGGGCTTCTGGTTCTCCTTCAATGGCATTGCGCAGATTGTCGGCGGCCTACTTTCTTACGGGTTGGGTCATATCCATGTAGTAAATATCGAGAGATGTACCTCGTGACCGCGGCGCTTTCTATCGTCTGGTCCATCATTCTATTCGTTATGTTACCTGACTCCCAGTTGACTGCCTGGTTCTTGAACGGAGATGATGAGAAGCGCGCAGCCATTGAGATGGTCCGGGGAAATAACACGGGGATTCACAGCAAAAAGTTCAAGAAAAAGCAATTCATTAAGCACTTTTGGACCCCAAGACATGGGCATTTTTCCTAATGGCTTTTGTTTGGAACATTCCTAATTCCGTCGCAACGGTATGGCATCTTCCTCATTTATGTCACCGAATCTTCACTAACATTGATCGATTAATGCAGTTCGGTAACTTGCTCGTGGAAAACTTTGGATACGGTACCCTCGAAACAACCCTGGTTTGTATTTCTATTTATACACGACCATCATATACAATCTGCTAACTCCCACTATTAGCTCGGAATGCCCGCCGGTGCGCTTGAATTTGTGCTTATGATGATCATCACATTCGTTTGCATGAAGTTCGCCAATACTAGGTCATATTGTATGACAATTGCTCTTATTCTAGCGCTTGTTGGATCTGCCATGGTATACGCAGCGCCCTACCACAATAAAGGTACTTTGTTGGCTGGCTATTACTTGGTAAGAGACAACCCTTTTTCCTCATCATGCATAGGTAGGATAGTGATTTACAGATACATAGATCTACGCCTTTCCGACTGGATATATTCTCTTACTCTCTATGGCATCAGCAAATATTGCCGGACATACGAAAAAGGTCACAGTTAACTCACTGCTTTTGATCGGATATTGCGTTGGAAAGTAAGCATTCAGACAGCTTTTCCTTCCACATTTGCAACAGAATACTAAACGAAGGAATAGCATCATAGCGCCACAATTCTTCAAATCAGACCAGAAGCCTCGCTACGGTAAGATGACAATTATTAAACCAAAAAAAAAAAAGAGAGAAAGACGGCTGACTTCAGACAAGGTCTTGGAGTTGGATCCTGCATGGTCTCCTTTGCTGTTCTCATTGTTATGGTTATTGCCCTGCGCATTTACTTGGGATGGCAGAACAATAAACGGCGGTCTGGTGGCATGGATGATCTGGTGACAGTTGGAAACCTTGAGTTTTTTGACTTGACAGACCAGGTCAATCCTCGCTTTGTTTATGTGTACTAAGTACTCCCGATATATGTAGGGAATTGGGGAATGAAGGAAACTTCATATCTCATACGAAACTTGATATACAACTCTAGACACGATTGTTTCGATCACTAGTTCTCTTTTCTCTTTCTTTTCTTTTTGAGATATTTTCAAGTCATGTTAGTTGACTCTAAGTCTAGAAAACTTCAGTATGTCACGATTGATGATGCATTAATCTTTTGTTATCAATTTGCCAAAACGATTGCCCGAATAGTATTCTTATTTGACGTCTCATAGCTCATATCAATAACTACAACCATTTAGTAACCACCCTTCTATGTCGCCTATAGATTTCAAAGCGAAAGAGGCCCATGTATCGACGAAACTTGGTCCATTAGGGGTCTAAATACTACTTGATATTGTTCAAATCCTCCATTACTTTTGCAACTGCTAGCATCTTTTCTTCCTCGAATCGTCGGCCAATGACTTGCAACCCAATCGGATGTCCATGCATTGAATTCGGGTCGTAAAGGTTCCAGTTCCAGTCGTCCAAAGAATTCCGTGGCTCATAGGATTCGGCATGATCGACATCTTTTGAGATGGTGGTAACGGGGAGCGAGAGAGCCGAGTAATCCAAGAAATTCCACACTTTCGTATATCCAACCCATCTATGCCAGTGAGTTAGAGACCCTACTTTTCTCAGTCTCAACGGAAGAACCTACCGGCAAGAGTTATGTGGCACCGACGGGTGAGCCATGACCGGAGCAAGCAAGGCGTCGACCCTGCGTCCTGAAGTTGGCGAGCACGCATTATTCCAGCGATCGAGAAACATTTTTTGACATTTGACCTTCTCCTGATTGAGTTGCTAGTACTCATATACTGATATAGGCTGGCCTCGCTCCACGAGAGCTTTGACTTGAGGCAGGAAGGGCTCGTTGCAAACGGCTATGTCACGGCGGATGTCCTCTCCCCTATCGGCTGTGTAATACTGGTCTTGGCAAGGAATTAGCAGGTGCTGCAGATAATTATGTGAGTACTTGCCTGGATCTTTATCATATCCATATGACTTGTGGTATCTTAGGGAACAATTTCGTGCTCGTGAGATGCTAACTTCTCAACGAGCTGATCAAGGGCTCGCCGGATGGGTGGATGCACCCTCACTACGCCGTCGTCTTAGATAACGCTGATGACTAGCGGCCTAGACAGCATTTCCTGATACATGTTTGACCTCCAGGGCAGAGCGATACACCGTGGGTCCAAGTTCCAGGGCTCAGAGTCAATCACGGTTTTGGCCGTTTCGGTGAGGGAATGTACCGAACGAGTCATTGGTCCAACTACAGACGGAATATGTTCTTGTCCTTCAGTTGAGACGGAGGCATTGTAATAGGGAAAACGCCCATGCTGCAGAGGAACTCAGTTTCGAGCTGATTTTTTGTAATCTTCAAAGAACGAAGAACACATACGCTTGGCTTCAGACCGTATAATCCCATCATACTGCTCGGTCCCCGGATGGATCCCCCGATATCTGTTCCCCATCCTATTAACGAGCAGCACCGAGGCGATGCAAGATCGTGACAAGAGATGCATCTTCTGGACGGGGCGAATATGCGCGACCGACGTATCCTAGAGTCGAATCAAAACCTTTCACATCAAACTGATCTTTGAGGGACAATGGAAGGCCGTGGAGGGGACCGACAAGCTTTCGTTCCTTCTGAAAATATGCATCTAGTTCAGTGGCACGCTCGACAGCTTGTTCAAAAAGAACCTCCGTGAGACAATTACTCTGTACCGTGCGCGTTAGCTTATTTTATCCCACTAAGAGCAATCGATATACCTCTTGATGTGTTTCAATCGCCCTATCGTGGCGTTAGTCTTGGATTCTGTCCCCTTTGCGAATGGCCACATTACCTGTGAATGTAGGCAATCGTCACGGCTTTCGCCGTAAGGTCTCCTCTAGACAGTGATCTACTCAAGGCTTCGTGGTCCAAGGAGCATAATTCGGTAGTTTCAGCCCTTGGATGGCTTTGGAGAAACCTTTCAATGGCATCTGCTCGGTCCAGTCAGTCATGTTTTCACAGACGCCGTTGTATCTCTTCTCAGCACTAGGCAGAAATTTGTGAGAGATAATGCTACCTATCAGGTTTTTTATTTTATTTTTTCCCCAAGATAAAGGTTGCTCTTATCATCTCGGCGCCTCGTCGGATTCATCTCGTCAAGTGTCGGCGGTTTTTCGCCGCGATCTCCACCCCAGTAAATACTTCGTCTTTTCGTTATCGCGTCAACAGAGCCGAATTTCTTCCCATAAATGTGAGAGCCTTTTTACAAGTTCTTAGCGTGAAAGGGACAATTGTGGTTGACACTTAGGATGGCCTGCTCAGAAGCTTTGCTCAAGGTGGCTGATGACGCGATCGCCAATGCAGACCTTGATTTGAGATCAATCAATTTAGATGCAAGTACTTCAGTTACGAGAAACAACTTGGGGGCTGCTAACAGTTGAGTGTCCTTCTAAGATTCATAGTCACCCGGAGATCAAATGGGAAGAAGTCTACGCCCACGACATACTATGCAACTACTTCAGCAAGCAAGGATTCGCAGTGGAACGAGGTGTAGGAGGACTTCCTACGGCTTTCAGAGCTTCCTTCGGCCCAGAAACTGGAGCAGACGGGCAGCCAAGTAGAGCAATTGCAATCAACCTCGAGTATGTTGGGTTCCACAACTACCTCTAGGGACAATCAAAGGGCTAATCGTTTGAAGATATGATGCTTTGCCCATACCCGGACATGCATGTGGGCACAATCTCATCGCTACTGCCGGCCTCTCAGCTGCTTTGGGCCTCTCCGCCGCGATCAAAGCAGGAAGTATCCAGGGGCGAGTCGTGGCCATTGGAACTCCGGCAGAAGAAGGTGGTGGAGGCAAGATCAAGCTGATCAAAGCGGATTTGTACAAAGATATATTCTGCTGCATGATGGTACACCCTATGTACGCATTCCGGTCATCTACTCGGTGATCAAAGCTTGAAGCTGATTTGTTTTGCAGGCAACAGGATAATGCATACTTCACGAGCATGTGCGGCTCGGAGCTGACCATAAGGTACATTGGAAAGCCAGCGCATGCCATGGCTGCTCCCTGGGATGGCGTCAACGCGCTAGACGCAATGACTTTGTTCCATACCAGCATTGGACTGTTGCGCCAGCAAATAATGCCCACGGATCGCATTCGTGGTGTCCATGCTTTGTTCTTGATCACAACTAATAGCAGTAGTGTGACGGTCTGGCTCCTCGATGTAGCCCGTGCCTTCGACGCGGCGTTCACTGCGAGCCGCATTCTCGTACTAGACGGGCCGGCATATCGACTGAAGACGAGAAACGAATGAGACAGCGCATTGCTTGGCTAGAAACTGAGCTCGGACATGCATGTGGCTTGTCTCCACAGGACGTGCGAAAGATTTCCACCGGAGAACAAGTTGCTCCTAGACCCTCGGCGCCATTGATAGAGCCAAGTCCGGTAGGCATGACTTACACGCCAGACCCAGGAATCCACGAGAGGCAGCAGCTGTCTTTAAAAGACCCAGGTGATGGTGTCGAGAAAGAGGTCAGCGATATCGCAGCAAATGTAGCAGTACTCTCGTTGAGTGCAACTGGGGAGATGCGGTTTATGGGTGGCCCCAGTGGTGTCTTATTTTCCCGGTTAATTGCATCCACGGTCAAGGAGTATTGGTGTGACAAGGACATTGAGCGGAGAAATATCACCAGACTACTCAGGTATCTCGACAATGAAGCAGGTAATGCCTATAGTGATGAAAGCAACGGTCCGGATTCCAGAGGTAACCAAGAACTTCCGCAATTCAGCACTGCAAAGAAGTATCTGACAACCTACCTGCAATGGGTCCATCTCACCTATCCTATATTTCATCATGCAACTTTGGATAATCTTATCCGGCTCGTCTACGAGAAACCGACACAGCTCTCTCCTTCACAATGGACGATCTTTTATCTAATCATAGCCATGGGTGCATGACATGAGCACCACTTATCTGACAACCATGTGAATCTTGAGTTTCCGGCTTCCCAATATTTTACTGCCGCTATGAGTTGGTTTTATAAGGTTCTCCCATTGGAAGGGATGGACGGCCTTCAAATAGTTTTGCTGTTGACTATATATTCGTCGTACCGTCCCACGGGTAGTAACCAGTGGCATCTGGTGGGAATGCTATGCGGGTCAGTGATTTGTCTTCCCTTGTATACTATTGTATTTCTGACAATAACGTAATCCAGCTTTGTATCGACATGGGCCTCCACCGGCATAATCCAGATTGGAGTTTCACTGTGGACGAATGGGATATTCGACGGCGTCTCTTCTGGGTCACATATGCTTTAGACCGAACCGTCTGCTTTAACCTAGGTCGACCGCTCACGCTCTCTGATGATCACATTGACGCTCTCTTCCCCAGCCCTGAACGCCATGGCCATGCAGACGAACCCAACATTGCCTTAGCCTTACACCATATTCAACTTCGGAGCATTCAGACCAGAATTATCAGCGAAGTTTACACAGTGAGCAAATCAAAGACTACGATAGATTATCACCAACGGGTTCAGATTCTAGACGCGATCCAGAAAGAACTTGATGATTGGAGAAACCGACTAGATTCAATCTACTCTTCGCATCAAACTCCCCATTCCTTCCAATGGTACAAACGTCTCTACCATACAACCACTGCTTCTTTACACCGCGCAACTCCACTCTTCCCTCGACCTTCAGAAGAATCTATAAAACGGTGCTACAATGCCTCCACCAGAGCAGTTCGGATTTATCATTCGCTGCTCCGATCCCACGAAATGGAGTACTCGTGGATGTTTATCTCCGGCTGTTACCTGGCCGGGATTACCATGTTTTACACACTCTGGTCCAGCGGATGTCTTCCCAAAACTGTTCGACTGGACGAGGTAACTGAATCATGCCGCATGTGTTCCAATGTGTTGGCTGTCCTGTCTGTACAGTGGAGAGCGTCGCCCGAGTTCATAGATACGTATGAGGCCTTGGCTAATATCACAACTAAAAGACTCGTGAAGGAACTGCAGCAGCGGTGTATTAGTGATGCGGCATATGGTAGCAATGACATGAGTCTGACACAAGATACGGATATTTCTCCTGAATCGGGGTTGTTGTTGGACTCTTTGAGTTGGCCGCAGGATTTTAATTTCAGTACTGCGTTGACCAATCCAGATTGTATTACTGAGGTCTTTGGTGACCTTTTGAGAGAGCAAGAAGACCCATGGTACATATAGTTGTAAAGTGCTAGTGATACCAAGGTCGTTCTAGGTATACAATCTTAGATTCAACTATTGTTCTTGGTATGATACGTCACGGCAAGGTAGTTAGACAATATCACACTAACTAGAAAGAAGTTACAGCTGTTCCTCCTCTTGCTCTACAATGTTACCAGAGCGGTTCGGAACATGCCTGAGCAAACTTCCAGCGTTGAAACAGTGATAGAGCCGGATGGTTCAACCACTCTATGCACTTTGGGTATTTCCCCTCAATCCGAATATACCCAATTGTGGCAGACATGTATCACGGCTGCGAGACTGTCGCATTTTGCGCTCGATGCGCGAGTGGAGAGCCTGTCCAGTGGACTATAACCTTCTCTTTAGCGGAGGAGATTATCACCATTGATCGGTCTTGTTCTACCACACGTCTCGATGTGAACACCTGTTCGAAAAGCGGCCCGTTCACTCTGTTCTATACTGCAGGAGGAAAGGGAAGCATCGAGTAATTGGAGAAATTACTTTTTCGTGTCATCTTTGATGCAGGCGTCATCGAAACTTTTGCTAGCGATAGATTTGCCCTCGCAACGACAATGTACCCCGAAACTCGTATGACAGAGTTCGATGACAGCAGAGATAAATGACGGGACTAAAGCTCCACGCGACTGACATTTGTCGAGGTAACAGAACCCCAACACAAGGTTTGCAAGTATGGGATTCTGAATACGATTCGGGATCCACGACTGCCAGCCTCCTCATTCCTGGCAATCCGTAATAGTCATAATTCTCCATTTGTAATTCTATAGGGAGGCGGAGAGTTTGTGTGTGGGTGGTGGCAAACCGGTAAAGTTTGCGGATTTACCCTATGACTAATTTCAAAGCTCGCAGGCGTCATGTTGGTTAAACTATTGGGACGACTCTCTAGCTATTTAACCTCTGTAGACTCCAGAGTGGCTTTTACAGCCCCAACCCCTGATGTATATATGAGCGAGTCCCTTTTTCCCAGCGGTATTAGATAGGAACGCTGGCTCCCTCGGCATAAATGGCAATCTCATATTATCAACCAGTGCCCTGTGGACTTCGAGACTAAGAGTCTTTGAAAGAGGATATCCTAATACTTGGGAGTGGGCTCATCACAGTTTAGCTGCAGCTAATATAGTAGTAAGGGGGGATTACGGGAGTCCTGGTAATTTCTCCAGTCAATGGCGCCTTGATGTCCTATCCGTCTTACTCCTAGCTCGATGGCCCGACGAAAGCATGGTTCCTGTACATATTGTACTTGGTGCTTCGCGGCCCTCACCGAGGTATTGCCGCCTCATGGCCGCATTGACCGAAAACCCTCCGTAGGCGAGGATAACCTGAGGGTAGGAATCGACGTACTTTGGTGTCTCCCGACGCGAGAAGCTCATATGTAGGACAATTATACTTTCCATGGCGCGGTACCAGTCTTCTATCAGCCCCTGTCCATTACTCACAGTCTTCACTAGAGCGCCGTTCACCAGCTCAATGATGACTCCTTGCTGAGTGCCGACGTTGTCGTATTGTCATAGTTGTGCAATGTTGTTTCCCGTTGGATGTCTTTGCTTTTCATCCATTCACACGTTTCCCAGCCGTTATGAATCATAACCTCAATTAGCACCGGATCATTATTACAATTATACGGCGTCTCCTGGAGGTCAAAAGCCGGTATAGTCTTCTTCCGTGTAAGGCCTTGGCCATGGAACAGCGCTCAGTATCTTGAAGTAGGTGTCTGTGCGCGCAAAGAACACTCTTGGCATGATCCAGACCTCGATGCAAAACGAGTGTTACCGCCACGCTCTTCCAAGAAGGATCACACGAACACCGTTCTCATGAGCTGACATTGCCCGCGGCTGATGTAGCATTTTCGCCTCCCGCTACAATGACATCGTAGACTTCGGTCTGTATACACCCCATCTTGGCGTCCGGATGGACAATCCTGTATCATTCTCAATAGGAAAGGGCCAGAATCTTAAATCCTGCAAGCCCGGTTTTCTATGTCTTTAGGCAGTAAGCGAGTCGCCGCCTACGGACCGTACATACAAGTTATGTATGTACTGCGAGCGGGCCGTACACGGCATCTCACCTCCGCTTTTTACTTTCCCCAGAATCTTCCCCAAACTCAAACAGACAGGGTCATCACTATTTGTTCGCCGCAAATGATTCTACGAATACAGTTTCGTATCCGTGGCTTAAGGTTCAAGGACATGTCAGTTGCCATACAGACGAGACGGGTGAAGCGCTTGCGGCCCGAGACATCAAGAGATCATACAGTACTTCGTACTGCTCATCAACTGTGGGAATGCCCCGCAGGCCAGGGGCATGCCATGGAAGAAAATCTGGGGTCCCCGGATGAGCAGACTGTGGATACTGGGCATATAGTATTTCCATTTCGCATTCATATAGACCGGGGTTTTCCTCAACCCTGTACAGTCCAGTCCCTCAATTCTCTAAATAGATATATATTATCAACCAATTGAGAACATGTCTACCCTGACCATGACTTCAATCTCTTCGGGAAAAGCTGGAGACAAACAAGTTGAGGAAGTTCAGTCTCCGCCGCACTATTCGGCCACGGAGCTCAAGGCACAGAAGAGCCTCCTCTGGAAGCTCGACCTCGTCATCCTGCCACTGCTCTCACTCTCCTACCTGATAGCCTACTTGGTGAGGAACTAACTGCACTTACCTACTATTCTTGCTGCCGCTCATTCTTGGTTTTTTCTTTTTTTTTGTTGGCAGGATCGAAACAACATCGGGTACGCGCGTTTGATGGGCTTGCAAAATGATTTGGACCTTTCAAGCCAGCAGTTCTACAATGTTGTTATGGTATTCTGTGAGTGGAACAACACCCATGGCCCTGTCTATCATCTGGACCCGTCTCTAATTGTTCCCTAGATGCTGGTTATCTAGTTTGCATCTTTGTTGGCAATCTCTTCATCCGGAAACTGGGCCCAAAGATCGTGCTGGGTTCCGCCGTTGTGCTGTTTGGAGTCCTTGTCTGCTGCATGTGCAAAGCTAGAGGGTACGGAGACCTGATTGGAATTCGCTTTGGCGTTGGCTGTGCAGAATCATTGCTTCAAAGCGTCCCTCTGTACATGGCTATTTGGTATGGGAGATATGAGCTAGGGAAGAGAATTGGTAAGAAATAGACCCAAATCAACGATCCTTTTTTGTTTCTTTTCAACGCGCCGGGCTTACTGATTTCTCCAAGCGATTCTTTATTCTGCAACAACAATATCCGGCGTCTTCGCTGGGCTGATCTCATATGGCATCCAGAAAGGTCTTGATGGCAAAGACGGTAGACCGTCGTGGCAGTGGTTATTCATTATTGAGGGTGTTGTTGCTATAGGTATTGGACTGGCAAATGCGGCATTCTTGCCCACCTTCCCTGAACACAAGCAGAATTCAAGATTCATTACCGATTTAGAAATCAAGGTGGCTCGCCAAAGAAGCCTAGGTATGAATTGCCCCCCTCCTTTTTCCCTATGCTAATATCAACCAACTCCCCTCGCTAGAATATAACTCACACGAGGTCAAATTCGATTCACGTCAAATCGTCAAGAGCCTCTTGGATCCAAAGACGTACCTACTTGCTCTGTTTTCAGGGTGCAATACCACCTTGATCGCTTCGACAGGCGCTTTCCTGCCCACAATTGTCAAAGAATTTGGATACAGCGAAGTCCAGGCCCAGCTGTTCACCATGATTCCATACGCGTGCGCATTTGTCACCATGCTGGCCGTTGGGTACCTCTCAGACTACTGCCGCAACAAGGCATGGTTCGTCGTCGGATCATTAACTTGCTCTGCTATCGGTCTGATCATCTGCATCAGCACCACAGGGAAAGGAGCCGGCATGTTCGGTGCTTGCCTTCTCGTCGCTGGTGCTTATCCCGCCGCTATCTTACAGATTACCTGGATCCAGGTTACTTTCTGTGGTCACACAAAACGCGCAATATCCTGGGGCGTCTGCCAGATTATCGGGCAGGGGCTGAGCATGAGCGGTGCCCAGATCTATACTCGCCCACCTCGCTTCTTCATGGGTCACGGCATCCTTCTTGGATTTATCGTGATGGGCATTGTCTCGACCGTCACGGCAAGGTTTTTAATGGCCCGTGCCAACAAGCAAAGAGACAGGGAACTCCGGGAGTATGAAGAGAGGGGCGAAGTGCACCCCGACATCGGGAAGTCTTTTGAGGAAACTTGTGATGATCACATCAATTTCCGGTACTCTCTGTGACGCTGAAATATTGTGGATGGCTTTGGTTTGGTCTCGCGCAGGTTGGGAAATGATACTCTTGAGGAAAAAAAAAACAAAGGCAAATAGCTATAACCGGTTCTGTTTTCTTGTAAATCCGTTCTTTTTCGACACCTGAACAGATCTATTGTATGTAAGCCACTGTTTTAGTAAATCTGGTACATACGACCATTGGGTGGGCAATGATTATGTGTAATAAATTTCTTAATATTTGATCATGATCTAGAGGGTCATGACATCAAGCGGAGTCTATCTGAGCAATGTAACTAAACAAAATCGATATTTCATCCACGCCATTCTCATGCCTAGATACATGCTGTATGCCAAGGTCATGTTGCAATCGAGGAATATACATGCTTAGAGACTGGCCGTTTTGAAGGTAAATAAATTGTCAATGGCACCGAATAAATCTATTACCATGCGATGTTTGTATATCGTTAAAGAGAGAGGAAAGACACAAGACCACTGCAGAATACCTAGGTATACAGTATTAGATCCAACCATTGTTTTTGGTATTATATGTCATGGCAAGGTAGTTAAGCAACATCACACCGAGTAGAAAGGAGGTCGAAATATCTAAAGACGGTATCTGAAATGCTTATTCTGCTTGTCTGTCAAGTCCTCGAAGCTTTCCATGGCCTCCTCGGCGAAGTTGGTTCCATCCAGGAGACCCTTCTTCTGCTTGTTACGGTTTTCAATATAGCAATAACCAGTGTAGATAATCTGCAACCCCATTGCACCGGCGTATGCGCCAGCCAGACCCCTTATAGCCGTTGGGTATCTCGGGGCTTCGTTGGCAAGGAAAAGGTGCGGGCCGGCAATATTTCCAGCGCAGTACAACCTAGGTATAATTAGTGCTCGAAATGACTTACATGGATGCAGATAAATAAAAAGACATACACAAAATATATTCCAAGAACAGTGCTTCGCTTCGTGTGACCGGCAGTGTTGAGACCTGGGAGTGTCCAATTCAGAACAACTGGGGACCCTAGAATACCTTGCATCCAACACATTCCGACAAGCGCGTATCGATGGCTCATGCTGATCTTGAGAATGCCAATAAGACCTGCCAGTCCAGGAATGCAAGATACTGTCAAAAGTCAGCCAGGAACTTATTAGTCGTGTTGCTAGGAAGGCAATGCTTACTGAGAATCGTGACACCAATCATGTTTGGCAATTTGGACAAATACCCAAAGGCGATGACCATGACTAGTTCAAAAGCGCCGACGGGAGTTTGCAAGAGGCTCGTACGCAAAGCATCATAACCAAAGCCTTCAATAATAGCGGACAAGAAGTTAGTTACACCGCCGTTGAGGATGCCATAGCAAATGGCCATTAAGAACAATAGCCATGCTTTTGCGTCAAGGAGTGCCTCCTTAATCTGTGCGGGCACAGTCTTGAAGTTCTTTAACCCAGTTTGATTGCGCGAGATCCGCCATACTGCAACGACCTTCTCGTATTCGGTCAACATTTTGGCGTTGTGAGGACCATCGGGTAAGTACAGGTAGATAACAAAACCCCAGGCAAATGTCAATGCGCCAACGATCTAGCGACAACCCAAAAAACAAGGTGACGTTAGAAAAAAAAAACCCCCCCTATTGGTAAAGGCCTCGGCGATGTATCTTACCAAGTAAATAAGCTTCCACTGGGGGATTCTTAGTCCTGTGGCATGGCCTGCACCATATGCAAGCAGGGCGCCCAAAATCGAGGAAATTCCATTAACCGACAGCCAAAATGAGGTACGGAGACTTTGCTCCTCACGCGTCCAAAGCATTGATGTCAGAATGATAAATGCGGGAGAAATCACGGCTTCTAACATCCCAAGGAAAAATCGAATAGCGAAAAATCCCGAGAAGTTGAATACCGCAGCCTGTTTGTAAAATATAATTCTGTTAAAATTCGAGATTATCAATGGGATTACAATGTTTATAGCTTGCCTGAAGCATGCACACCCCGCCCCAAATGAACAGCATAATTCCGATCAGCCTGCCTATAGGATATCGTTGCAGGAGAAATTGCCACGGATATGCTCCCACAAGCCAACCGAAATATAATGCAGACGAGACCCATGAGTACTGGTTACCAACCATGTGCGTGTCCTTTTGCAGGCCATAGGCGTTGGAGTAGTTCAGGCTGCAAATAATAAACAATGTTAGAAGCAAATATCACAGACTGTACAAGAGCCGTTCGGTTAGAAGACCGAGTAAGAATATTACTTACGTCTGTTTGTCAAGAAAACTCAGCATATAAGTTGTCATCATCTGCCATCAATCTGTTAGAATCGAGCCCGAATGGCGCTTAGGTTTCCCGGAAAACATAAATGAATATCGTATCGTACCATTGGCAGAACAATGAAATCGAATTTTCTCCGGACCTTGACCGAATCACGCTCCAGCTGGCTCTGATCGTATTGAAGAGATTGCTGGAAGTAGACCTTTGCGACATCATTGAGATCGATGGGTTCGCCCTTGAGACGAGCAAGCAACCACACGGGTTTAGAAGTGCCACAGTCGTGGTCCGCATAGGACATCACAGCCTCATCAACTTCCTTAGTCGTAGACATTTTGAATTCAAATATTAGATCAAAGTTGTAGCTAGGTAACTCGCACTCAGGGGAGGAATGAAACGAGGGTCATGCAGGCATTGGCCGTGGTCGCTTTATATATCTTACATATCTATTCCTCGGGATACTACGAGAAACTGGGCGTACGACAAAGGCTGCTGGAGCCTTGACAAGCTACGCAAGGCATCAAGTCCAGAATCATATCGTAGATATCAGAAACGGCCATCTTTTTCCTTTCCAGCCAAGCTTCGATATCTCCAGAGAGCTAATGCACGCCAATGGCTTGGCATAGATAGAGGGCTGTCTCGGGGCCCGCTGTGATTGGTGCGGAGACGGGCCAAGCCGGCAGAAAGATTTAGCCGAGAGCAGTGGGGGTTATCAAACCAATCAGAGTACGGACACCCTCGGTACCCCGCGATAGCATAGATAGCTTGTTCAACCATATGCTATCTCTCGGGCTTGCAATGTCTTTCCTAGAATTGCTGCACTCAGATTACATGGTAATTACTAGGTATAACAAAAGTCCTGTAAGCAGTCTGTGATATATTAGAATAATGTTTGACGGAAAGTGTGAGTATGCAAGTGGACGTTATATTTTTAGCGGTTAGGAATGGGTAACGCGGCGGATTAGGCACAATCACACATGCATGCATAATAATGGATCCATATTGAATAAATGCCACAGTATGCTCGCCTTTCTTGCCGCGGATTTGTCTCGTGTACTTTTCTTCACGCTGACTACTAATTCAGTACGGACTACTAACATGTCCTCGACGACACGACCAAGATATCAAATTTGTCTTATCGGTTCCGGTGGCGTTGGCACAATTGCATCGGTTGTGCTGACAAAATCTGGTCTGGCTTGTGTAACTACTGTTCTTCGTTCCAAGTACAACTACGTTTCACAGCATGGATGGAACATCGAATCTATCGACCACGGCACGCTCCACGGATGGAAGCCACACCGCCTAGTAAGCTCAGCTCGTGATGCTGCGACTGACGAGAACGGAGAGCCAATAGAATACGACTACGTAGTGGTGTGTACGAAACAATTACCCAATAAAAGCCCTGTCACAGACATGATATCATCGGTGATGACGCCTGGGAAAACAACAGTGGTCATGATACAAAATGGCATGGGAATTGAACAAGAGATAATCAGCATGTGGCCAGAAAACGCTGTTATGAGCAGTGTTAGCCATATCGGGAGTTCAATCAAAGAGCCCAACGTCGTGCTTCAGATTGGAAAGGATGTTTCGAAAATGGGGCCACATTTTCACGACGGACTGGACGATGCTAAGAGCAGGGAAAGAGCCAAGGCATTCGTACAAATGTACGTCGCGGGGGGCTGCAGCGTCTGCGAACCGGTGGATGATATCCAGGTGGCGAGATGGGAGAAGCTGTTGTGGAATGGGACCTTCAACACTGTCTGCGCCTTGATGAGAATGGACGTTGGTGAAGTTCAGAGAAGCAAAGGAAGAGAAACGCTGCTTGTTCCTATGATGTGGGAAATCTGGCGAATTGCAAATGCTGCAGGCCATCATATGCCGGAATCGATTGTTAGCTGGATGGCATATCGACTTCCGGACGACTGCAGTTATCGGCCAAGTATGCTATTGGACCTTGAAAACGGGCGCCCCATGGAATTGGAAGTTATTTTAGGAAACCCGCTGAAGACAGCGAAAGAGCTGGGAGTGGATGCGCCAATCATGACTACAGTCTATAAATTCCTTAAGCTAGAGGAGTGGAAGATTGACCAGAAAATATAACGGATTAAGAACTCAGTTATACAGCTCATGCATAAGGCTTTGATACGCAAAGAATGAGGCGAACGTCATGCTTCTACCTACTATTTTGTTCCGCTAAACATTGTTTCTTTTTTGAGAAGTACTACCATTATAATTATTAACCCAACACGCCCCATTACCTTAGTAAAGACAATGATGGAAATAGGATCCCTATAGACGATGCCACAAGCATTTTAATTCAAGTTAAAGGGTGTGCGAAAAGCTAGCGCTCGGTGGAAGTTTATATCAACCTGGGTAGGTTGACCCAGTGATTGTGACCAAGGCTGCTCTTGTACAACGTTATGCTTACCTTTCGTCGCCACAGGCATACGAGCATTGAAAAACAGTGCTCTACGAAAAAAATCTCCTGGTGTCAATTTGTGCTCCGCTTTGGGGTCGTGTTGGTAACCCTATGCGTATTTATATTTAAACACATAACGCAGCTTTCTTATTTTCATAGTGAATAAATACTCCCTACCCCACGTGCTTCTCGTTTCTTTTTCAAAACCCCGCCTAACAGTGAACACTGATCCTTAAGCACCCACCCATCAAGTAATTCCAACGCTCCGCCTATATACATAGGATAACGGCCATGTCCCAACCAGTGTACCATTACCTCGACATCGGCCGCCTCGGTCGAGGGGAAGTTGTTCGGTAAGTGTTCGACTGTTATCGTAAAAGTAACGCTCGCTAAGCTCTTATGCTTTTTAGTCTCTTTTTGAGGGACGCAGGAATCGATTTCAAGGATGTTCGTTACGCATATGACGACACCTGGCCGGCGACCAGCAAAGATCTAATGGAAAAAGGAATTTCCCTAACAGGAAAGTTGCCGGCAATTGAGTACAAGGGTAAAATCTTGTCCCAGGTTCGTTTCTAATATCAACGTCTTCGACAGTGATATTCATTTGAGACTGACAGAGCTTTCACCAGCATATCCCCATTCTCCGCTTCTTCGCCCGCGAACTTGGTGATTATGAGGGAGGTTCCAATTATGAGAAATACGTCGTCGACGCTGTGTCGGACTTGTACATTGACTGGCGAGTAAGTACTGCGGGCGCATGTGTGATATTTAAAACTGATATAACGACGTATAGTCTCAGTGGGTTGCCTGCTTGAGCGGGGTGACCGAAGAATACAAGAAAAAAATCACAGTGGATTATTACCATCTTATATCACGGTACTACGCTGAACGCGGTGGACCATATCTCCTTGGAGACAAGATCACCTACGTCGACTTTGCAGTTTATCAATCTATCGACAATGATGAGAGAATTGGAACTCTTCCGGTCAGTAACCCTGTCAAGAGGTCCGATTCCACTTTCTTCACTTTCCATCTTGCTGATCCATGTATTTAGCCGTTGCCGGAAAATCTGGTGAAATTCCGAAAAATATTTGAAGAAAGGCCCCGTATTGCTGAATACATTGCTAGCGGTCGTGAGTCCCAAGCTTAGTTGGGCTAAAGGAAGCCTGTCCAGCTGAAAGATTCAAGCAATATCGGTTACAATGAAAAAAGTCAGCAATTATTGTGTAACAACTTTCAGTAGAGCCGAGGATATTCATTGAGAATATTAGGTAAGAAGCATGGCATCAGTGAAATTGTTGCGGTATTGAGAACGTCACTCTTTCTGTTTGCCCATGCCTCAGTAAAAAATGTATGAACTTCTTTTATAGTATGAACTCCATTATTCTAGTCAAAAAACAGTCTTCATGATGCATAGGGGAATTCGGATGTTTTACAAGCGCACGCACTATAAACGTGTACCTTCAGGAGACTCTCTGCAGAATGTGGAATATGCGAGCAAGCGCACCAGTTGTACTTTTTTATAAATTCAGCTTCAATCTTCTCGGCTTTCTAATTAGTGCAGCTAGATTATTTGCTGTAAGACAAACTTGGTATATTTCTTTGAAGTTTGATATATCGTCTCCAAATAAGATTCACAAGAAGAAAGCAGGAAGGCAAATATCGACCGCGAGATTTCCTATTCTATTTCTGGCACTTATACCAACACAGCATTTAGATGTATTTTCAAGGCCCATATCGTTGGAAACATCCACATCTTCTATCCAGGGCAAAACGGAGGGCTACAATTCAACAAGGCTGATAGATGGATTCATACCAATGCCTTAAAGTACACTAAACATGCTTCTGATATTTGGATTATTGAATTCGCCAAGCCTTTTGCAGACAATTTGCTTGATGGACGTCTGGGATTTTTCTTTTTCATCTGATCTCGATGAAAGCTCTATTTGTGAATCATCATGCTCAATGACTGTTCCAATTGTGATTATGACTGCATATCTGAAAATATAAAATTCCATTACTTTCCAAAGATTTCTTGTAACTACAGTCAGCTTCATCGATATATCATTGATCACCAAGTACCCCACAACTTTCCAAGTGTGCATTGAGCCATGAGAAAATACTATTTTGCCTTGATAGGTGACGATGATAAAGAAGATTGGGAAATTACTACCGTGGGAGGATTAGGAACAAAAGAAAAGCCGTTGATGGTATCAGCAGGAAAATGCAGTTTACATCTCACGATATATGAAGACAACCGTCCAGATAACGAAGACAACAAGTGGCACGTGAACTCGACTCGCGGTGATATCCTTCCACAAATACACTATTGTCTTGAACATACAAAACTGTATGTTGGTATGCAAGGAGATTCCTATTCATTCGACATGAATAGGGCCAACATTGCTATTGAACATGGCATCCTAACACTGGGAGAATACGAATTGAAACTCGGACCTGTTGAAATTGTCTTGGTTGGAGACGTCGAAATCATCATAAGTGGAGAGAAGAAAGTTGAAAAAGTGAACTTACATTACCATCTTGATGTCTTTCCACCTTACATGATGGATGAACCCGGTTCATGAACAATGTCGTTGGCAATGATATATTGAAGGGAAATCTATCGACCTGGAAACCGGGTTGCGCTGGCGTTGCAATTCATCAGCCCACGTCATTCACTCATTTGGGGCTAGTATTACCTGGTGAAGAAATACAACATGAAGTATCTACTTACTGACTACCTACTGTGAAAGAATGTGAAACATATCTCTATCATAATACTGGTCACTATAAAAGTACTTATTTCTCGACTCGTAAAATAGTGAAGATACCCAAAACTTCTCTGTGTCGCTTGATATCTAGTTGGGTTGTATAATATCAGTCTCCATGATTGGCGAGTTTGCATTCTCGAGTTAATTGTTAGGTTGTAAATATACCAACAAAATATTACGAAGATGAGTTCAAAAACACTGATGTGAGAGACATGTGGACTTTTATTTGACGAAAGAGACAGAAAATAACAAAGGAGATGTCTCAAAGCCGGAAAGAAGGATAGGAATGACACAGGACTAAAAACAGACGCAGGGTAACTTATTATTGACCTTGGTAGGCATTTCTAGCCGCAGATCTAGCATAGCCGGTTTTTCCATGGACATATTCTGTACCCTGTTGCTGGATACTCAAGTAGGCGGCTTGTTAATCATCTGGTGTGCTCTGTGTTTCGCGGAGTGAACACCCCAAGAGCGGCATACATTACCACAATCAGCAGCTCTTCGACGGTAGCCATTGCTAGCTGTATTGTCGGCGACCAATCAACAATAGAGAACACTGAGTTGTTGCTGAGGTCTCCTATTAGAGAATATAGTAGGCGAACGGCTATGAACGGCAACGAAAGTAATATGCACACGAAGATACGTCGCTGACTGCTTTGCATAGTTGTCCAGTCACCAAACGTTATCATCGCCAATAGGGAGAGGCATATATAGATAGCTAGAAAGACCAATATTCCAGCCCGAGTTTCCTTTTTGCCTGTTATCTGATCCGATATATCGGAGGAGAATTGATCTGTTCCGCCCATGATTGAAAGAATTAAAGCAATAAGAGCAGGCATGTGCAAGAGCTGAACACATCGACTGCGGCGCGAATTGGCAGTTGCTCGCTTGCCATAAATTCCAACTCTGTATTCATATTAGCATTCAGTGTGGCGTATTCAATAATCCGTGAGACTAGCTTACAGTTTGCTCCCTATCCCCCCGGTCGCAGAAGCAGAAGACCTGGCTCCGGCCTGCAATATGTGTAGACACTTCGTCGCATCTTCAACGAAATAGTTCAGTTAGTATAGAAGTCGGCAGTGTATAGAGTACTGTACGAACATTCTTTTCAAGAGTCCCAAGCTAGAGAGTAGCAATGGGGGCAATCCAACAGATTGCAGAATAACAGCCCCTTCTTCATCGTTCGTATTCGAGGGATGATTGTAACTACGGATTACCATTATGCCACCGCCAATCCGAATCCCCGATAGAACAAAGCGATATCCCCATCCGAGTTGCCGGTGAAATCCATGTTTGAAAACAACGAAGGCTGAGACCAGTGCAACTGGTATATAGACGACCAACTCCGCAATGGCAAGATGCTCTCTTGTTATGACTGCCATTGTGTGTTTCTCAGTTCGTTGTCGGCTGAGATGCGTTTCGATAGTTATGAAAAAGTTCTGTCGATTCCTGCCGTGAATTTATTGCCAATGGTCAACGTTCAATGTATTCTCCTTGGAAAATGGGGTAACACCCAAGAGGTTAAAATGAGCTACCTGGCAATGTAGTGAAAGTGATTTGATGTGTGCCTAAATGCTATATATACTTCTCAAACTTCATCCAGCGTGACAATCCACTCTTTATTTGGTTTCCTATCTAGGTAAACTCTAGGTCACACAAAGAAATGCCACAGCTACACAGTCTCTCAAGACCTAGGGGTTCCCGGAAGACCCCCTTTTGATGTCCCACGGCTTGCCTTACTAGGATTTAGGGCTGAGCATCAAGGAACCGAGGATGACTAAGACTAATCATGCTGAATAAACACCATCATTAAATTCTGACTGTGAGAAGCGTTAATCTCGGCTCAAGGGCATAATGTACTATGCAGCTTTGAATGCGTGTCAGTGGGCATCAATACTTTGTCAGAGCCACTAGATCGGTCGCATTTCAGTATGTTCAGTATGTCTAGCTGATCCAAAACAACATGCATACTTTTATCTTGGTTTATTGTTGATCTTGAACCAATAATTTCCATTTCCCTCAATGCATGCTGAGAATGTCGGAGTTCCAGTAAGACTGCCTGTTGCTTACCGTATTTGGCAATCAGCGCGACCATAGGGCTGCCTGGCGAAGGAAAAAATCTTTTCCTCGCATCGGTCCATTCACCTGAGCCAGTTTATTCCACAACAGGAAAGTGGTGTGTACCGACTACGCCTCAATGAGACATTGCGGCCTATAGAGTGGCGCAGTTGCAGACTTTGGTTGCGGCTCTGTATACTTAAATTGTCAGCGCGATCGCAATTCTAGATAGTCTTAGAACCTTTCCTTCCCTTAGGACTGTCTAAGTGATCAGACCGACAACATGGTATACAGAGGAAGACCGAGTACGAAATGTGGAAGATGCCGCGCCAGAGGAATGAAGGAGGTAGGTACTTACTTGCTGATAGGTTTGTGGAGTATCAATATGAAGGAATACCATAGAAATATAACAACAATTCACTCGTTATGTACATTGTCGTTTTTATTATGACTATTGCTGATTTGACTCGTTTAGTGCAATCGTGTTGTGCCACAATGCTCTCAGTGCCTTCGTGCGGGAGTCGAGTGCCCCGGCTATAGAGATGTTCTATCCCTCCTCTTTCACAACGAAAGCAATGAAGTGGCTCGGAAGGCTTAGAGGAAATATGCCAGCGGAGGTGGCCGACAGAAAAGTCCTTCACACAACACCAAGGCTTCGAGGGATAGCAAAGTTAAACCCATCGAGACGTCCCAACAGCGACTCGTAGAAGTTCCTCGACAACTTTCACATCCAATACACGATGAAGCTGCGTGTTTTGTTCATCGCAACTATATACAGAAGTGGCTTTGGCTTTACTCCACGGCTGCGAGGGAGCAGCACAGCCAGATTCTGACATCAGCCATCACTTCCCTCGGATTGGCGGTACTTGCCAACGTGCGAATGAGCCCACCACTGATGATGGCTGCTCGAGAAGAATATATTGCAGCTTTGGGCAACACCAATCGTAGTTTAATGGACCCCGTCGAGGGTAAGACAGACCAGACGCTATTAGCAGTCATGTTTCTGGGAATGTTTGAAGTCAGAGATCCATATAACATGCCGATATTCCTTTGTACCTGCTAACATACTTGGCTTAGGTGGTGACATATCGTGATCCACAGTCTATCCAGCGATGGGCAGAGCATATAAAGGGTGCAGCTAGGTTGCTCGAATGGCGAGGCGAAGAACAGCTCAATAGTCCCGGTGGATTGTACCTTTTCAGATTGATCCGATCTAGCATAGTAAGTCTTAGCACTACACTTCTCCAGTACTAGCCAGCTTGTCCCAGGCAACCAGCAGCCTGGAAATCGGCGACATTCGGTTCGCCGACAGCTTGGCCACTAAAAGCATGAAACTAAGCAAGTTTTGCGCCGATATACGTAATGGCATAATACCGGATTCCACGACGAAGATCTAGGCTGCTTTACTGCTCGATGCAGAGATAGAAGCTTGGGCGGTTAGTGTTCCCCCGTCGTGGAGGTACAAGAATATCGCAATCCGTCCCGAAATCCGAGAAATGAGTTTTGCCAGCGGTGTATATGGGCAACACTATCATATTTATGAGGACCTCTATCTCTGCCACATCTGGAATAACTGGCGGGCTATTCGATTGGTCATTCACGAAATCATATTGAATAGTGCGAGCCAGATCGAAGGCCAGAATTTAGAATATGATGACCCCATGAATATGATCAACTATGCAGAAATTGTCACTCGCAGTGAGAATATTATGCAACAGTTTCAGACAGATATCTTTGCCAGTGTTCCATATCATTTCGGTGCCACGGATGATTTTACAGCGTCTACTGGCAACACGGCGGCGGGCTTCAGCGACATTACGCCAATGGCAGGCCACATTTTGATGTGGCCTTTATTCCTTGCTGCTGACTGCAGATATTCACCCCCTGCGCTGCGAGACTGGGTGATTATGTGCTTACGGAAGATTGTACATCAATTGGGTGTTAATCAGGCTTTGGGTATGGCTCTCATGTTGCAAAAAGGAATAAGCAGCCGGGCATGGACTCAGTCAGACTCGGCGTCTGACATGGCTAGCATTGGTTCATGGGAGACTTCTTCTCAGTAAGTCCGCCGAGCGAGGCTGAGGATTCGGGTTGATGCTGGAAATGGAGAGCAACGAGAAAGTAGGTAGAAAAATGTACACACTGAAGATAACCATCATTCATTCAACATTGTATACTAAGCACGCGTCCAGCCAATCACAAACGGACATCAACGCGCTTTTCCTATCTGGGGCATCGCCCCCAAAGTTCGCGGGATTCTGCCACGCTGATTGGCCACTGATACAGATCACTCGCAGCTACGGACATGCTCAGCTTGTTATCGGTTATCGAAGTCAACCATCGTAAATCCATACATAAAACGACAAACTCTTCTTCAAGATGAAGCTCATCGTTGCTGGATCAACCGGCTTTGTTGGCAGTGAAGTCATCCGACAAGCCGTCTCCATTCCGTCCATCACTTCCATCGTCGCCCTTGCGCGTCGGCCTACTCCTGTGCCGCAAAACGCTGGTCCTCGTGCTGATGTCTCAAAGCTCAAGTCTGCGGTCTGCGAAGACTTTGAAAACTACCCAGAAAGCCTGCGACAGGAGCTTGCTGGGGCTGATGCTTGTATATGGTAGATACCTGTCTTTCGTTTCTTCGTCCAGCCCTATATACCTAATATATACATATATTTACAACAACCTACAAACACTACCTAGGTATCCTACTCTTTCCAGTCCTATTGACATTACGCTATAGGCTCGTTGCCGTGACTCCTTCAAAGTCGAAAGAAATGCCATTTGAGCGTGCTCGCAAAATTTGCTCCGACTTTACAATTGCTGGACTCAAGATAATGACTCCCATCAGCAACAAACCCTTCCGATTTATCTACACCAGCGGTGCCAAGACTGAACAAGATCCGGCAAAGAAGCCTTGGATTCTAGGTGATTACTGTCTAATGCGTGTAAGTTAAATTTTATTTGCCTTTTAAATCATTTTTCAATCAGGTCCCGTGTTGGGCTTCTGAATGGGACGGCCATTTTTGATGCGTAATCTCCCGATTCTATTTAGGGTCAAGTCGAATCGCTTGTTCTAGACTATGCAAAGCAGTCAGAGGACGCCGTGCAGGCCTGCGTCACTAAACCTGGTCTCATTAATGCTCCGGGTCGCCTGGGACTAGCCATGAGCTTTGCCACGACGATCGGGCGTACCCTTATTGGTCTGCCCAAGGTCGAAGTTACTGAGATAGCGGCCACGCTGTTGGATCAAGCTGTGAATGGAATCGAGAAAGAGATCCTGCTCAACGAAGACTTGATCAGAATTGGCCAAAAGGCCTTGACGGAGCAGCGAAATCCTTGAAGCGACCATGTTCATCTTTAGTTTGTTGAGTTGAGTGCGACGATGACTAGATGACTAAGGGGACCAGGGCACCGCGATGAGGCAGTTGAAGCGCGGTGAGTGAAGAGATGTCGCTCTCTCTGTCTGGATTATTACTGTCGGCGTTCGCAGCTGGGCCATCGCCATAGTTAATACAATTAATGGATTTATTTTTCAAATTCTTCATTGGTTTTCTTGTTAACTTTGCATAATTTTTGGAGCGGTGAGGGGAAATACTGCTAGTATGCCCACCAGTATATGAACCCAGCCTAGCAAGAACATCTAGCATGCCACCGTCAGCTAACTCACCCGCGGTCTATAAGTACATCTAATTAACTATACGCGACGTAAGCAACGCATCTGTCTGTATTTTACAAACAAGGCTGCGCACAATGCCGAGTTTTGTGAGCAAACCGGCGCTGCCACTTGAGTAATTAGTATCCTGCGACATCAGGCTGCTAAGCGTTGCATACTCTGTGCTTGGGTATAATACATATTGTTCTATATGCACCGAGTAGTTATAAGACAGACAGAGTCAGCGTCTCGTTGTTTTTTCCCCAACCCGATCTGAACCCTCACCCTAAAACGGGGGATTTTCCCACAGTTGACTACGCAGTACTGCCACAACTACTCCGTACCTAGGTAATAACTGGCTGCAATGTGCACGGCCTCTGATTATTCTAATTCTATTATCCTATTCCGTACAGCCCCAGGGACTTGTTCATTTACCAGATCAATCAGGGATTGTAGAGACGGGATTTTCCGAATCCCAAGGCCATGTTGTATGCTTCCACGGCAAAGCTTAAATTGCAAAATTTATTTTTATAAATAATAACGCGGCTGAGCTGGCTTAGCCTCGCGGTTGGTTAAAATTTAGAAACTCAAGCATAGCTTCAGCACTCAGCCTGGCAGCCATATTGGAATTCGGCATCGGGTGGAGGAACTAGGGACGTAGATTAAGTTGCCAGCCAATTGCAGCCATCAATTTGGGATTTAGTTGTTGGTGTCCACCTCAGCTGCTTGTCCGAATTCCCACGTCGTTTATCTTAAATTTTTCTTAGTCTCTATTATGCTCTGGAATGTCGTTGATTGCGATTCGGGAATAGAAACAATGTGAGTTGCAGTGCAAGGCAGATATCCACGCCACGTAGTATGCAGGGTATCAACACGAGGCTGTCGGAACAAAACTTGATGCAGGAACTCAACGAAGAAAAAAAAAAAAAAGTTCGCTAAGGACTTATAATCTCACGGCCCCATTCTTCCAAGTCCGTCCCACCATACTAGTCCGCTGCTTCCACGTTGGAGTAGGGTCGGGCTGAGCAGCGAGGCTTGAAAAATAGTCGTTATCTAGCCCAGTGCTAAGAAAAGACTCAATTAAATGATGGCTTGGAATTTACTTAAAGGTAGCTCTGCCCACTCGGCGCTGGGTATTGAAACCCCCCCCAACGCGTCAAACTCGCGAATACAGCCGAGATGAGTCTCACCGGGAACAGTCTTTACCCATACACCCTGCCTCAGGACCCCTTCTATCCTCAGGAAACACCTCAGGGCCCGAGCTTCGTCGATAGTGGTGGGTGTGTGTGTGCGCTGCAGGAAACGCCTGCAGCCGATTCCAGTGACGCGGTATGGCATTGTATCGGAAACCAGACAGAAGGCGTTTACACATCAACGGGTGGAAAGTGGTTTAACACAATCAATGGAGGCAATGTCACCGACGGTGCCATCAACGATAAGTCGAATGGGCCCCAGACCAGTCAATGGCTGATATGGAACTCTACGTCTCTCGAGGCGTCGTCGGACGCCAGCTCGTTGAGTCCCTATGACAGTGCCTGTACCGGCCAAAATCGAACTGCCTTCTCGACGACTTTCTACCAGGCTGCCGAAGAGCTTGCTATCAACCAGACCGCACTAGCCGCAGCGACTTGCTGGAGATCAGGCGCTTCCGCCGTGCAAATACAGAACCTTACGGACTGGCAGACGCAAGGATGCAGTGAAGGCTTTCTATGTAGGTTCCATCAATCAAATAGCCTTGCGAAGTAGTCTGATGTTTGAAAGAACCTGCTACTAACGTTTGCTGCGAACGGACAACAGGTGCCAACAATACTATCAACTCCCTGCCGCAATATTGTCCGCCTCTTGACAGTTGCCAACAGTCCAGACTGTCGTCCAAGGCATGCACCCTTGATGGCAAAAACATTGCCATGGGCCCCTTTGAGCCCATCGTGTGTCAGGCCGGGTACTATTGCCCGCTGTCTAAGAATGGAACTCAAATGCTTCCATGCCCAGCTGGCTCCTACTGCCAGCCTGGCGCCTCGACGCCTACACCCTGCGCTGCCGGAAGTCACTGCCCCAAAAAATCCTCTTACGAACTTTACCTGGTTCCTATCATAATTTTGATTATTATTGATGTTCTGACTATGATCGGCTATCTTTCCTGGCGCCTGCATCGCCGTGTCCGCCAGAGTAACAGGGACAGTATGGCGGCGCTGAAGCATCGGCGCATGAATCCCATTACTGCGAAGATCACAGGGTACAAGGCCCTTTCTGACGACAACGAGAATGACGACGATCGCGATCACGAAATGCATGCTATGGACACCACTTGGATGCCGCGTCGAGCAGATACTTTCAGTGAACTGGAGCTGCCTGATCCTCAGACTACCAATGGTCCCCTTCCCAGCAGCCAGCTTCCCCCGCAAGTAATGACCTTTGTCGAGTCAATGCGCCGAGCAACGGACGCAAATGACTTTGGCCTCTCGTTCGGCTATACAGACTTGAAATTCCAACCAAAGTCCAGTACGAAACCCATTCTGCAGAACATGACCGGTTCCATCGACCGTGGCTCTCTAGTGGCGGTCATGGGTGGCTCTGGTGCCGGCAAGTCGACATTCGTGAATGTGCTGATGGGCAAGACGAACCACACCGGCGGCTTGGTGGCCGTCAACAATAGCCCGGGCAAGCTGAAGAAATACAAGAAGGTCATCGGGTATGTGCCTCAGGACGACATAGTGCTTCCGGAGTTGACGGTTTTCGAAAATATCGTCCACTCGGCAAGAGTGAGGCTCCCCAAGACCTGGAAGGACGCGGATATTGTGGCTCACGCCGAATCTGTCGTTGACTGTTTGGAACTCTCTCACGTTCGCGACTCGCTCGTTGGAAGTGTCGCTAAGCCAGTCATCAGCGGTGGCCAGCGCAAACGAGTGAGCATCGGTATGGAGCTGGCAGCCGCGCCTATGGCAATCTTCTTGGACGAGCCCACGAGTGGACTTGACGCCACTTCGGCGTCGTCTATCATGCGGACTTTGAAAGCGCTCGCTCGCCTCGGGATTTCGGTTATTGTCATTATTCATCAGCCTCGCAGTGAGATTTTTGATCTGTTCGACAAGCTCATCCTGCTCGGTAATGGACAGACTGTTTATGAGGGTCCCCAAGTCGACGTCAAGCAGTACTTTGAAGACGTGGGCTTCCACTTTCCGGACTATAGCAACCATGGCGATGTGATTACCGATATCATCACTGGAAACGGAAGAGACTACAAGAGCAAGGGCGACATCTCGAAGGAGGCGCTCATTGAGCATTGGTCGCACTATCGCATAAAGCTCGGCTTGGGAAGCAACACTGACCGCCACACGCTCACGCCTCTAGGAAATAGTGCAATGCATGACGCCTTGAGGAACCGCGGTGCGCCGAGAGTCAAACAGGTTTGGCTTTGTCTCTCGCGAGCCATGCTTCAACAATACCGCACCAAGGCCGCCTACTGCGCTGAGATGTGTCTCGCTGCTCTGGCGGGCTTCTTACTAGGGCTGGCCCAGAACACCAAAAAGGGAATACTCTTCACAGGGACCTACAATGGACCGTATAGCATTCTCTCACTTGCTACCGATATCGATTCGGCGCCCGAGCTAGCCCTTCTGATTGCCATTGCCATTGGCCTTGTCGCCGCAGCGCCCGGAGTCAAGGCATTCTCGGAGGAGATGCTGTTGCAGAGACGCGAGGCCGAGGCCGGGCATTCGCGGATTGCCTATTTTATCGCCAAGGTGCTGTCTCTAATACCGCGTATGATCCTGGGCTGCTTGCACTTTTCCGTGCCATTGCTTCTGTTGTCGGTGCCCATCATCAACTGGGGCATCGCGTTCCTGACCAATCTGCTGTACTTCTACTGCATCTACGGCCTCGCTAGTGTTGTCAGCGCCATTGCCCGGCGAGAGGACGCGCCTCTGTTTGCGACCATGGTCAGCCTGATTGTCGGCATTTTGTCCGGCGCGTCGCCTTCGCTGGCCAAGGTCAAGCACTGGCACATGGAGTGGGCGTGGCGCACCTCGCCGGGCGTCTGGCTCGCGGAGATCTACTTTGGCAGACTGGTGACGCCCTCGGCGCATCTGTACGATGTCGATTTGGCGTCGCAGCTCACGGGCTTCCACCTGCACTGGCTGTGGCGCAACATGGCGGTCCTGCTGCTCATCGGCACCATCTACCGAGTGGTTGCGTTCTTCGGCATGGTCCTGGTGGCGCAACGACCACGGAGGTAGTGCGTATATGATATGGAATAGTCAACTGCTTGTAACTAGTTTTTGTTTTGTTCATGCCTTTTGTTGATGCGGTATTTGGTAGAGGGTTACGATGCATGCATAGATCCTGATAGCTATACGAATAATAATCCACGACATAACTATACATTCCTGTGCACATACTCAAACACGGCCCAAAAAAAAAAAAGAAGACAAGAAAAGCAAAATAGCACAATGAGTGGCGAGTCCGTGAGCAACTAAGTAGTTAGCTAACTACCCAAGTCTTCGCCAAGTGTTGGTGAGTCAAACTTTTCATTTCGCACCGCCTGAGGTGGCAGCGCTAGAGCGTTAGCGAGCCCGACTAAACCGGCCCGAAGCCATTCACGATGCCTCAATTCAGCCTCTGCTCCGCCCTTGCCAATCAATATGGAATACGAGCGCGGCCCAGTTTCCGCAGAGCCGCAGGCAGAGAGTAAAAGGGGAGCGAGAGCGAGAATTCTGCTTGTTTATTTCGTGCTTTTGATCGCGAGACATGCTGATATAGTGCTACATCCTCTTCGTCCAGCGTCTCGTCTTTTCTCCCCTTGGACGATGAACGTCTAGTCAATCGTTTCACTCTCACCTCTTTCTCACTCCCAGTCACTCGTTCAGGCGCCATGGCGGGCGCTCATACACTCTCGCTAACACGCCTCTTGGGCTTCTCTCTCGCTTCTCTCTCTTTGCTTGCCTCGCGCTCAGCAGCGAGCCCCTGGATCGTCACTGCCAACTACGAAGAATTAGTTACTGTCCAATCTGGCTTCACGGACTACGTCTATGACCTTACAGAGCCGGCAGAAACCTACACCGAGATCCTGAGCATTGCTACTCCCTCGGGGGCAGCCATCTCAACAGCCACCATCACGCAAACAGATGAGTACTCCGAGGACCTGATGACCATAGTTGAGGTCCTCTACCCTTACAATTCTGCCACACCAACTGCTACGTACGACTACCTGGGAACAGCCACAGCCACGTACAATGAGAACCTCTACACCAACTACGTGGTGAATCTCGCCTATACTGCACCGACGGACTGTAGTTCGTCATGGACATACACCACAGCAGTAGAAGTCGATCCACCCTACGCCGTTGAGGATGCCCTAGTTCCAACGTCGGTCTCGACCAGCTTCTATACCGACAACAGCAGCCCCTTCCGGCCGACTGTTATCACGGAGATTTATGCCTACCTCGCCCCATCCCAGGTACCAACCTCAAGTATGTCCTATCTTAGTGTCAACTACGCTCCGTACCCGTCTTGTTACAATCCAACCTCGGATGACACCGATTCCGACGATTCCGACGATTCCGACGACTCTGACGACTCTGGCTCGTCGAGCTCGTCTTACTGCGGTTATTATTACTACTCTTGCGATTCGGGCGACGAGACTAGTTGGATCAACGACTCTAGCTACTATGGGATCTCGCCGCTGGCAATCATCCTCATCAGTGTTCTAGGCTGGACATTCGTTTTCTTCGTGGCCGGCCTGTTTGAAAACTATTTCCATTTCCAGCGGTTGATGAAGGGATGGCAAGCACGCCGTGGCTTGCCAATTACTTGGTTGCTGTGGATCTTCCCAGTCACCCTGCTGATCTGCTTCGCACTCACTAGCAGGGGCTTCCAGGCGCGGTCTGAAGAAGATGCCGCAGAGCTACAACAGAAATGGAAAGAGACTGGATTTTGGGCCAAAATCAAGCTGTGGTTACGGTACGGATTTACCTTTCGTTATCCTCCCACGCTCGGCCCTGCTCCTCCACGAGTTGGAGGACCTTTTCGGAAAACACCGACGCAACCGTTGCTTCAAGTAACACCGCCTGCGAGCGATGCCGGAGGAGCCAGTCGCCAACCCACGCCGCGGATTTCGCTCACCGATGCTGATGTTGAAAACAACGCTGTTGCCGCTCCAGCTCCAGTCGAGACGGAGATGTCTGGGGGCATCGCAGCGCAAACCCTCGCCGTGCCCTCACCAGCACAGACAAGGTCGCAACGCGCAGCCAATGGGTCTACGCCACCGACTGCAGAGGATGAAATCGCCGAGGTGCCAGCTGTACCAGCGACTGCAGAGGATCGACAGGACCACCATCATGAATCCACGGAGAAGCCCGAATCGGAGAAGGGGGAATGAGTGTAGAATCAAAGCATTTTTGTTTGCCATGACCTCTTTGGCCGGGGCTATTTCTTTAGCCTGGTCTGAATAAATCATACCGATGTTACTTAGGAAGGTCTGTTTCAATTGTACTAATGATAATAATACCAATGCCTGAATGGACTGGCTGTATACCATGTTTTAAGTACTCAAGGGATCTACAGTCTCTCCATAATGAATCTGGCCAACCAACGTATCAGGCGACCAGACTTGTTCCAAGCTAATGCTGACTCTTTTTATACTTCTCTGCCTTCGTCCATCCTTCTCCCAATCGTCAGCGTCTTCGCTCTCGCAGCCACGAGAACATACTGATCCTTACCTGGGTGTAAAAGGACAATTGTTTCCATTGTAAACTTCATGTCAGTATGCATATACATATACACACATATAAATACATATAAGAAGAAAGAAGAAAGAAAGTCGCGTGACTATGCCTTCTGCAGCCACTCTCTAGCGCAGCCTAGCATCATTGCTCGGTATCCTAGCGTGATTCCGGCATATCTGCCACCAACTCAGCTGCCAGAGAGAACGACTTTCTTTCCTGTTCCATGCGTTGAAATACTTGCACGCCCTCAAAACGGGATCTTGGCTGGAAAATGTCATGGTTGAGCAGACAAACATCGTTTAGTTGTCTCGTGTGCCGCCGGCGAAAGGTGAGCGAGCCATAACTAAGCCGAAAATCTTATACGTACTAACTTGCTGCTGTATCCAGATCAAATGCGATCGCACTCCGGGATCGTGCAACAAATGCCTATACGCAAGAGATGCCACGGCGCGCTTCAGTGAACCCAGTCCGAGCGACTCCATTACGCACGCTGGGCTCAAGCGCCGCCGGGTGCAGCGGTGAGTCTTTACGTACAAGGCTTTCATATCGGGATTGCGAGGAGATATTAAAGAGCAATGTCAGAATCCTCCGGTTCCTCGCCATGTATATCAAAGCGGACCTGTATTGCGAGTCGGCAAAGATTGCGTTGAGACGATTTAATCTCTTCTTCGCGCGCGAAAACAATGATAGAGCGGAAAATGAGCTTTTTGAATCCTTCCATTAATCTCAGTAATGCAATGGATAACGTTAATATCGGCGCAAAAAGCGCTTCGCAATTGTCTCTGGGATACATTCCAAATCCTCTGGGGACATGTCCTAACACACGGAAAGAGGAATACGAGCGCCATTAGTCGGAATTAAGTGATGCAGGACCGTCGGTTGAGAATACAACCCCATAAACTCTTGCTTCCGAGATGTCGACTCTGAATGGAATGGGGTATCCGCACTTTTTGGAAGATGTTTGTGACAAATAACATCTCTCAAGTTGGGTTAACTAGACGTTTCTATCCATTTTCGTATGAATGAAATTGATAGTACATGTCAAAGGCGATGGGCTTTCTTGGTCTGCCGGAGGACTCATCCAAACAGCGGTAGTTAGGGCTAAAGTCGACTAATTACACCATATTATACAATCAATGACAATCGACGAATCAGATGCAAGGAATTTGACATTCGCTATGAAAGATAGCCACGCTTCAAGTTGAGCGCACGAAAGGACGTCAAGAGTCTAGCATAAAAAGCATGGCGAGTTTCATGTAATGAAATCGGGGTGAAATAGTGCGGACAAAAACCAAAAGGACTGGAAGGATCAGTCAGCATCAGTATTCATCGCATCAAACCAGAATAGTATACTACCCACCTCTCGAAATTAATTGGGAGGTGCTGTCTGGTACCGCTGCTGCTGGTATGGCGCCGGGACCGACTGTCTTGGTGATCCGGCTAGCGCTACTCGTGGCGGCGGATTGTTGTAGCTCTTGGAATTGCTAGATGAGCTTTTTGTGAAAAGCCCAAATAGTGCGAGACACATGATTGTTTGATTGGTATGATGTGTTGTCTGTGGCGATAGGAATTGGCAATGATTGTAGGGTGATTAATTAACCAAAGAGGAAGACGAATGGCCCGGAGGAGAACAGATGAATGGAGAGGATAGTCCTTGGAAAAAAAGATACTCAGGGTTCTATGGCTCCCTTTTAAAAAGCACAGTGTCTCCCAAGGCGCTAGAGTAGCACAGGGCTAAACATTGCTGGATGTCAGCGAAGAAGATACCATGATCGCTACGTATCGCTACCTATCAAAGCGTCGATGCGTATAGAAGTCCGCCCCAGGGCGACCCGCGTATCAGCCCTTGAGCTTCCGACGGCTGAGGCTAGACATATGAAAAGCCCGCGTGTCCATGCATTTCATCCTGCGTATTTCGTATTTAGGATTTGGCGTGCTGGGGATACGGATACGCGTAAAGAGGCTACCTACGTAGATTGGCCTATCAGAAGGCCGCGTTGTCCAACACTGAGCGTACCTTTCTGCAGATCGGTGAGCCAATCACACACATATTGTATATACATATATATATACCTAGGTATGTTATATATTCAAGTCTTCAGACATGGAAGACCAACGCCAGCACCATTGCTGGGACTGTCGTGGACGCCGCCTCGGTCTGCGATTTCAATCGTCCGCGATGCAAGCGATGCTCTGAATCCGGCGTTGCGTGTCCTGAAAAGGCAAACGCGAGCAACCATAACAATGCTTGCTTCGATCTGCTTAATTCCTAGCATGATGATGCTCTCGTTCCCAGAGTTCTAAGATCTCATGTATTCCCTATCTAGTGGTATGCGATTGTAACTCAACGAGATGAAGCAATGCAATATATACTTGGCCATAAATCAAAAATGCACATTCACTTATTGTGGAATGTGCACATGCTCGGATGCCAGAAGGACTAGGTAAACTTAATAACAATATGATTTTAAGATAATTTAATCCCTGGCTTCACGAGCGGTATCCTGAGAGTTATTACAGCAATTTCATACTCGATCTGATATTACCAGACTGTGAAATTCTTGTGCAGAACTTGCGCTTTGTTCATTTTGCTTGGGTTTCTGTCCCTCTAGCGATCCATTCTTCAAAGAACTGTTCGTGTTTCATGGAATATTGCTGAATAAATAGGAAACAGATTCGCCGTTATGGGTTCGTCTTATAGCCTTTACGAGAAGCAACCTGTTAACACTTCTTTCCAACACATTGGTTACCCTCAAACCAGATTGCACGTACCTCTGCCAAGGTGCCAGAAATATCAATGACTCTCAATTTCGGGCAGCGCTCGATTTTATCACCAACTAATCATGTGCGGAATTAGTACACGCGGTGTCACGTTATTCAACGAAAGTCCTTACGAGGAACACCTGATGCGAACAGACACAAAAGAGATTAGCCATTATTCGTACTCACAAGCAGTTGACGAGTTGAACTAGAGAGAAAGGGAAAGGAAGAGAGAATAAACACACTGTTAGTCACAACCAGTCCAGACAAGCAGGAGTTGTTGATTGTCTCAATTGCTGGTCCACTTAGAATTCCATGCGTGACAATAGCATAAACCTCCTTTGCGCCGTTTTCCTTGACCGTTGCAGCAGCCTTTGCCAACTATTAAAGAGATTAGTATATTTTTTAGCATAAACAGTCGCTTATAAGGGGGAAAAAAATATAATCCTACTGTGCCGCATGTGTCTGCCATGTCATCAACCAGAATAGCAACTTTGCCCTTGACATCGCCGACTAAAACCATGCGTCCGACCACATTTGGTCGAGGTCGCTCCTTGTGGATAAGAGCAAAGCCAATGTTTAATCTATCTGCTAAACTGGTAGCCCTCTTTGCACCACCTGCATCGGGAGATACTATTACGCAGTTGTCGGCGTCAAGATTCTCCTTGATCCAGCGTAGAACGGATGGTTCTGCAAAGAGATTGTCGACAGGCACGTTGAAGAAGCCTTGTATTTGGGAGGCGTGTAGATCCATGGTAATAACATGGCTCTGATTGACAAGGATCAGAGATAGGCCTTTTGTATCGTTTGAAATAAACAAAATACTGCCGAATTTCTAACTTACAGCACCTGCTGACTGTAGCATATTGGCAATCAGCCGCGCAGATATGGGAGCACGTGATTTGTCCTGGGGTTTGTGAGAACAAATTCCAAGACACCAAGGGAGAAAGAAGACGCAGAATTATCTCCCAATCATACTTTTTTGTCTTGGCGTGCATATGGATAGTTTGGAATCACGGCAGTAATTGACCGAGCCGATGCTGTACGACATGCGTGGATCATGATAAGCAGCTCCATGAGCCCGTCATTGACACTGCCAGGTGCAGTAGATTGCAGAATGTAAACTTTATCCATAGATTAACCGGTGGCTCGCAGACAGCGTAGCAAATATTTATCTGCTCTTCCAAACACCTACCATCATCATCTCGGACAGACTCGCCAATTGTGACGCTTGTTTCGAGATTGGAGTAGTTCAGACTGAGAGTACTCGTGATTTTAATGCCAAGCCTGGAACATGGAAGCCAGAAGTCAGATGGTAATTGAAAGAAATCACATCAATTGTCTAGTAGTTATAATATCAACTCGTGTCATGGACGTTTTCCATACCGGTCTGCAACCTTGGCACTAAGATCCGGATGCGAGCCCCCGGAAATGAGCTTTATTTCGTTCGCCCTTGAAGTAACCATTGAGACGTATATGAATCGGGCCGTGAAAGCAATGCGACGGGTATTTCTGTAGCACTAGACGCCTGTTGACCAAGCCCGTCTGCTCGATATTTTCTGTCACTGCTCAATCAAGACTGCTCGGGTGGGAACTTTAGTTTGCGCAAAAGAATTAGGGTCCAACCAGATGCGATGTGGGCGATATCCGGATCCTAGTCAATGCTATCCAGCGAGGCCAGCAGAACTATCATTTGCACAATGAGACAATGAGGAATGGATGAGTCAAAAGATTAAAAAGCTTCTTTTTCAAAATCGAAAAATTCTGCCGCCGCCGCCAAACCTTATCGGCACGTGATGCGATAACGCCATAGGCGGTGAGATCTGCTGATAACCCTAACCCTAGCCCTAATACCACTTGCAGCAATCACCGCGACAATTCAAATCAGTATGGCCTGAGAAAATATGGACTGCTAGACAGACACTGGAAGTACGGACTCTACAATGACTGTTGCATCTTAATAGAATTGGAGTTTCTCACTCAAAAATATACAAGGACACCACGCTCTTCAAGCAAGGCTATTCTACGCAGTGGTCTTAGTGCAAGCCCTCGTGTCGGAAAGCCTTACAATTCTCTTCCAGATCTTCTGGATAGATTGAGTGTCTTGTATGCGATAGATAAGTTTGCAGCGGGCTCTCTGATTGAAACCACATGGCACAAATGCTACAACTCTATCGTAGTAGGTGATGTTCATTATTTATTACTGAATTAAATTGAGAGCTCCTTTGGAATGAGTGCTCCTCCCTCCACGGTTACACGTAGATGAATCTCAACAGCCAGCGTAAACCTGATCTCTACTCCGATTTCTCATGTCAAGTATATTGTGATGAGGTTAAGGCCGCCATGAAACACAATCATCCAGAATACCGAAAGTTTTTGTTTTGAGCATCCGTCTTGTCCCTATGAAACAAAGTAAGTTTAACTAAAACTAACAGATCTATTATTGGTTGTTGGTTGATGCCCTACCTAAGACTAGACAACAGGTCCAAAGTGTCAGTTCCAGTTGCATACATTGGATCAGTGAGTGCTCTTTGGTTCTACGCCCATGAGAACCCACAACTCGTCAAGCTTACGAAGACGTAGAGAGAAAGGAACCTATCAATGGCCATGATTAACGAATCAAAGTTACTGTTGCTTGACAGATGGAAGTAGGCCAAGATTATATCTGTCGCGGGAAGTACTTGCCGGAGACTTAGCCCTATGCCCTTAGAAGTAAACAAACACCACGGAGTAAAGTCATGATGAGCATCCCTCCTGTTCCTTTGTATTAAGGCCATATTTATGATGCTCTAGAGTAGAGACCGACCCGAATCAATGCCTTTACCTCTGAGGTACAGCAAGTCTTCTATGGAGGCAAATGGGTTGAAGTAGTTTTTGCTTATTTGTAGCGGGTCCTATGACGGGTCAAAGTAATGACCAAGATACCGGCATTATCAATGCGCATTGGCAGGCTGAATGTATTGCCGTAACCTCGGGCTACTAAAATGCGTAAGCAACCTTGGAATGTAACGAGTTTATATTGAGGTGACGTTTATGAAAACCCGCTACATTTTAGGAGAAAATAAGCGCAGCGTTAGAATGACAATGCACCTTCTTAGTTACCTAGGTGCAGGCTTACGGAGTATAGCCTTGATTGGAGATGATTGTTTTCAGCCCTGGTCTGTTTTTAGAAACCTTCCCCGTCCTTTGGCCAAAGATCAGATTTTAGTTTAATTCACTACCATAGGGACAATTGTTAGCTCCACTTCACGATTCGTTAAGGGTGCTTGGCACAGACGAGGATTACATTGGAATATCACAAGACCGGAGTTTTATGTCTCAAGCCGGATACTCCTCTCGCATGCCGTAGATGTAAGCGCGAATTATATAACTATTGGTTATGCCTAGTTACTAGAACCTGGTTAAAATCCCTGACGCGTATATTATGATAGACTAATCCCAGTAATAGGTTACACGGAATGCTGACATGATCTGCGTAAATGGGATTGGATCTAATATGCATCCTTACGTCATTTCACAGCAGGAAGGAAAATAGCACAGATTATATTGTGAATTTGCCAATTTTCTAAGGGTAATTTGTTGACTGACTTGAGAATATATACATAACTTTCGTATTTCGCATGGGACATTTCCCGAAATCCATGCTCACACTTATATACCTCTTCCGCAGAGCAATAACTCAGAAGCAAAGTCAGCTGCATCTAAGAATCAGATGGAAATGGCGGCAATCAATGCGTCCATTGCCGAGCTGTGCGTCGAGGAATTGGCGGGGCTGATAAATGGCCCTGACCAGTCCACACTCAACTCGTTGGTCCCGTTGTCACGGTCGTTAGCCCAAATACTAGTTGCACAAGCTTGCATGACCTCGGTGTAGAGATCCTTTGGAGACGCGTCTTGCAGAAGTAGTAAATTTCTAATGAAGATCCCCTTGAACTGCGTCGCATCAGGAGCACAGTCAGGCTCGCATGCGTCATGAATAACGTAGTTGGAGTCTGCCAGCGCTGAGATGGCAGCTTCGGCGATGCTGTTGGCTGAGTCGATATACGACTGATTCGCCGAAGCTTTGTTCAGTTCCACGAGACCACCGAGAATGACGCCCTGATTGTAGGACCATCTATCGTGGGCGGTTAGTTTCATAACTGCTCAGTATAGTTGGTCTAGGGGAAACGCACGTTGTCTGGTTGTTGTTAGTGCAGTTGGTCGTTAAGCCATCATTGATGGTACCCTCCGCATTGATCATACCACTAGTTGCGAACCAGTTCCATGCCTTCTCTGCCCAGGCAATATAGGTCGTAGAATTGCCTGGTACTCGGTTGGCCAAATGGGCTGCCAGGGAGATAAAAAGCTCATTTGCAATGGCATTGACATAGTTGTTTGTGGTTTCCCAGTAGATTCCACCGTCACCACAATAGGTTCCCCAACTGTTCGCCTAGACCAGGAAGACGAACGCAGTCGTTAGCCCAGACTTGTAGTAGACCATGGAACTCAACGAATCATCATGATAAAGCTCACAATATCACTAAAAATACCTTCGGCCAAAGCCAGATACGTATCATTCCCTGTGACATCGTATGCAGCGATCCAGGCTAAAGCCCACCATTCAGCGTCATCATTAGCCCCATCCAGCCATGCTGAAGGATCCGACGAGTCACTGGAAGCGCGTTTCTCAAGCAGATTATATGGCCAGCCGGCTGGATAGATCGTCACAATGTCCCCGTTTGATTCCACCTTCTTTTCAAGACCGTTAGAAGGGTTGGCCGATGGTGCAACACTATAAGTTGTCTCAAAAATGGAGAGCGCCTCATCAAGGATGCTGGAGTCGGCTGCTGCGAGCTCTGCAACCACTGTCAACGAATTGGCAGCATTCCACCATCCGGCAGTATTCCACAACCCGGTTGAATTATTATACCAAGTCTGGAGAGTGGTGAATGCAGTCACGGAATTTGCGAGCTGAGCAGAAGCCCCGCCTGCTACGAGCAAGAGCAGCGCTGGGGATACAAGTCCTGTGTTCAACAACATTGTGACAGCTGGTTAAGTACCTAGGTACTTCTTATATGTACAAGTGAATGGATATGGACCTGCCGTATACTTCGGTGGTGTAGCCGTTGACGGGGACAGGTCGGTTCTTTATACAACAAGTGAGCGTCAATAATGCGACGTACATATCGAGTACTATCGGAGACTGACTTGAGCCTGCTGCGCGTCACACTCCATACATGCATGCCAGGTATTGCTTTGGTGGGGTGCAGCGAGCGGTTACATTCCAGTACTATCGCGGCCCCCTTCCGTCTCATCAAGGCGCAAGATGCATAAACTTGCCTTGAGTTTGACCAGGCAAGGTTAACATTCATGTGCTTTAGTGCCAGGTACCTAGGCACTACCATGCAGTGATTGGCTCAATGACTGTGGGTGCCCTTGCATGACCCCTGTCAATCGTGCCTGCTGACCGCTTGGCAGCTTATTTATTTATGTTTAAGTGGCCCCTGGATGGTGAGGGGAAAGTAAGCCCCCTCAGTAAGCAGAATAAAGCCAACATAGCATACAAAAAGAGAAATGCACGATAGTTGGTGCAGTCGTCGTCTTTAGTATTTGCCCCGTAAAATGGACTGACTAGTTGATAACTTGGCCGCATCCTGGTGGGGATGTACAAGACTCGACGCGAGATATTTGTTTCTCGCACGTACATCTACGCCGTCGAGGTAGGATTGAGAGATGTGCGTGGAAATATACGATTCCAGCCACTCAGCAACGCACGCTGCGAAGATCGGAGTAAGATTAAGCAAGTGCAGTTTGATGCTGCACAACGTCACGCTGAAGAAGTGAACCCCCATCAAAAATCCCGGAGTATCCTTGTTCGGCTTAATTTAGAAGGTCACATATGTGTTTTTTATTACGCCGGGCAGTGACCAACGCATACGCATGTGCTTGTCAAGCATGACTTCATCCGCTTCTTTAAGAGGTTACATTGTCAATATAGTTGTCCAGTGTGTGCCACTAACGATACCTTGTAGGAAAAGCTAGTCGAGAATTTATAAAATGAGACTCGCAGGATGTTAGCATTTCCATGATTAATGTTAGGTAGTATAAATCACACCAATACCTGTATAATCTCATCTTATTTTAGGCAATAAATAGTCAGATAGTGCTCGGCTCGTCGGTAGATCGAATACCACTTGTTACAGTGCGGTTCATCCTGTTTGGCCTTGATGGGTAGCAAAGTAATGTGAGAAATACCAATCTTCGCAGTCTTTCTCCTCATCGGCGCTCTCGAGAGACTTGGGAATTCATCCTATATTGCCAATTTGACTCATAATGATGTCCTTGTATATGCTAGCCTAGCTACTGCCTATGTTACAAGGTTTCATACGTGTCAGTCTAATTACTATTTTCATTTCGCAGTCCCTTGCACTCGGTTCTCCAGATAGAATGGCTTTGGATGCTTGTCAGTTATGTTGAAACATGTATTATCATTATTGATAAACATACCTGAGTTCTTTCTCTGCAATATTTTTCAACACTGCCGCTGCTACTAGAGTTTCCATTCTATCTTCTCGTGCAGCTTTCTTCCTTGCCGCTTCTGCTGCCTCTAGCGTTTCTTGTTTCTCTTGTTGCGCAGCTTCCTGCTCGACATTTAGACTTCAAATAATGTTATAGGAACAACTTTTGAATAGATTCACCGTCGCTTTTTCAGACCACCACTGTACTTTGCGATGTTATGACTTACTCATCAATAGTGCCCAAAGGGATGACTTGAGAAAGCATACCTTCGCAGATTCTTCGTACCCCTTAATATGTTTATTAGTATTATAGTGTTCAGTGGTAAATTTAAATATTCTTACCTTGATCTTTGCCATGAGATGCCACAAATTTTCAAACACAGTGAGCTTTGTATTCGATACAAATACCCGGAGTATGTAATACATACCTTGATATCTCTTCTGGCAGACTATTAAAGATAACTAAATCAGTATAAATAGCCAATTACCAGTATAAAGTCGACATAATAATACCTCTGCCTTTTTCATCGTGTGCTGTGCTTTATCTTAGTCATAGTGTATGTATACCATAGAGTTTGAAGCATACATACTTGGTGGCGGGTTTTGTAGTACTAAGTCCTCGTTTTTAGGTTTCTTAATGCGAACTTGGTCCCATAAATTAATAGATATGCGTACTCTAGTGCTCCCCTAAGAATCATTAATGTTGTTAACACGTGCCCTAGATTCCTTTAGCAAATACAGAAATATCGCTTACCGCAGGTGTTCTCACATCCCCCTACTAGATATTTAGTATAGTAATCTGAACCCCATCAAAAGAAGAAAAAGAGATATGAGAAATGTACATTATCGTCCTTGCGATACCAACATTTCTGGGCTTTGTGGCCTGAGGCGCTGCAAAGCTTGCACTATAGTCACATAGTAACCATCGAGACGTTGTAATTGATGACAGCACTTTACCGTGGGTGCTGGTTTTGACAGCACAATCTTTAGCAAAATCTTATCTGATACTCAGTCAAGACGCATTCCAGGCACAGCTCACTCACCCATTTTTGATGTCTATGCAGGGAGCGTCATGTGAGCATAAGACTAGCAATTCTGATGCACACGAGGGTATGCGTACCTGATGCTGAACTCAGGGATCAGTTAGACATATCTCAACGATAAAACGGCAATGACTAGGATTAACTTAATAGCTTGGAAAAAGTTGAGAAAGGCAAGAGAAAAGAAAAGGAGGAGAAGTACAATACACTCAGATGACGCTGTTGCCTCCATTTGCAAGCATCTATGACGGTTGGCGCGATCATCCACTGACTTCTGCCTGCCAACACTTCCAACTCCCCGGTCAAGATTAATCAACCGTATCTAACAGCTGTATAGAATCAAAATGTCCGGCGCTTTCTCTCGTCTTCCTCTGGAAGTGTTGGTCATGATTCTTCAGCACATACGAGACCTTCCATCGATCTAAAAATTTGTCTGTGCATCCGCGCAAGCTAATGCAGCTTTTGAACTTACCCCTGATCGTATCGTAGAGAATGCGATAGAAAGCTCGATTCCAGATTTCAAACATCTGGCTCGCATGATTGTCATTCTGGGCTCATTTTCACCATCACAGCCAACATTTGAAGAGTTGGTGGACAAATGCAAAAGGGTACCTCCCGCGTGCCTTGAATTTGCAGTCCGCACACCAGGACCTCGCTACCTGTTACTCACAGCATACATCTAGAGAGTCTTCAGCATATATGCTTTATCGCTCTACTTGAGAATATCCATGAGCTGATATGGTATTCTCCTGCACCCGTGGATGGTGGAAAACGGTCAGATCGCCATTATACCGTAAAACAGTCTAGGGTCGGTGTCTATTTCCAGGCCGTTGCTTGGTGGTCTCCGTCATGGGTTGAGAAAATGCGGATAGTGCGAGTGTTTTGGAAACTAATAATTTACTGGAATATTCGTACAATTTGCAAGGATACTGGCTATAACTTTCGTCAGTACAGCGCCAAAATCAAGCACATGGTGCCGAACATTGGACCAGATATGAAGAGCGACTCAGAACGTGTGGGCTATCAGCACGAAGTTGAAGAGATCAAATGTGTCCTGGCAGCAACCCAGGAGCTCCTGGGTTGTGCAGATGAATTCTTCGAGATATTCACTGCCTTCACTGCTCATGGTTATCCCAAGTTTCAAATAAAAAAAGGGCCATCTTCTACTCTTCTCAAAGAGACAGCCCACTGGAAATTCGAAAATCCCAAGCCCGTTGCAAGAAATTCAAGCGCACTTTATCATGGCCAGATCAAACGTTGTGCCTCTGATATGAACTCTGCCTATAGATGCTTTTATTGGTTGGCGTGGATTGCTCCTCATTCCTCGTTGGACTGCTGTAATCTCCAGATTCCCGACTATCTTGGTTGTGCATCTGGGACTTGAAACGTTTGGGATATCTTGGGCTTGCAACCCTCTGTGACGAGTACATGGATCCTTCCCTAGGGCCCCAGAGACCGGCGGCAAACAAATTCTTTAGTTCGAAACTCATAAAATATAGATGGGAGGATGTATTCATACAAGAACTTATGCGATTGCCGGAAGGGCAGTCAAGATCGTTTTCAAGGGACTACACGAGTCACTTAAGGAATTGGCGCAACTTGCTGGACCGGTTTGAAAACAACTTGGATCAATGGCGGCAATGTGGACCGTACAGAGCACAGGTCCATACGTAGTGTCTAGCGAGGCAGTGATCCGTGGTTGTTGAAATTGACACGGCGGTGGTAGATACATAGTACCGCCTGCTCCGCACACTTCTATTCAATAATTCCAACATGAAGAGCATAGGGTTAGACAGCACGAGAGTGATATTGCTGTGGTTATTTCTATGTTAGTCTTGCAGCATCCAACTAAGCAGCGAGTTAATCTAGCCTAGTTCGTATTTGCAATGTTACCAGCGTAGGTAGGGGTGTGGATTTCTTGAATTTCGGACTCAAAGTAGAAATAGTTAATTGATCTTGCCTTCTTCGGCTGCGTGCACCGGGATTATGTAGATAGACTTGTGCCTACAGTGACACCGAAGCAGGCTTTATTACAAAATTCCTTTCCTTCGACCGGGCGCGAGGATCATCGGCTGTCAGAGAGAACGAATTGCCCTGGATTGCAGGCAAGTGAACTACATTACGTTGTTGGCTGTCGGACTCATAATGTTGTTACGTGCTTCTGGCCCTATATATTACCCATGGTCCTAATTTTGTGCACTTATTCGTTGGCCAGGCGAATCAATTAAGCTTGATGAAGCTGTGAGCTTACTCCCCCTGTGCCCTTCATGTAACGGTATGATTGAGTAGAGGACCATTTGGCATCTGGCATGAAGTCTTGACCGATCATTATCCACCGTTCTTCCTTCAGATTACGAAGTTTATTCTTACTTGCGTCTTGCGTTGATTGTGCATAACTTTGTTGGCCGTAGGTAGTTTGGTAGGCGCTTTCTGAAGAAGCTTCCACATAGGCATGTTATTTATATAGGGGATACTTCCAGAAGATTTTTGACTTTATCCTGGCATAATCTACTTCTATCTCCCATAAAGCAACCTTTTTTTCAACCATGAAGACGTCCGACCTAGCAACCATGGCGCTTACTTCTCTAGGCGTAGCAACAGACATACTGTTGTCTCTTTACTTTCTACCCTGACAATGGCGTATGGACCCCGTATATGAGGCAGCAGAGAATTACTCCAGATATGACATGACATTCCTTAATTAGTGAACCCTGACTCCAGTCCGGGATCTTCTGGTAAGAAGTCGCTCTAAGCTCATAACATTTCTTTACAACAGAAGTTGACGCACGGAACAGACTCCGATTATTTCACGGCAGTTGCCAAATTAAAGCCGTATTTCAACCTCGAAACGATCGGATACATGATTACGGACTATGACACTCGCGCCGTCGGGTATCTTTTTGGATACTGCGCCGTACGAGGACGACCTGAATCACACTGAATACATGACCTCCGTAGATGTCTACGCTCGCGACTAGGCATTGGGCTACATCGTCTTCAAACTCGGCACCATAAACAGAGCTTCCGCCTACTAGGAAGCTGCAGATATGATTGTTACCAAAGAAATCGCCTACAGTTCGTGGTCCGACAGCACTATGACTGATATTCACGAGGAGTACAAAGGAGCGTCTGCTATCCTGATACACAACTTTTCAACTTCGGCCGATGTCTCCTCGATTGTGAACTCGGTCGTCGACGACGATATTGCCGCATTATATGCCACGTCGGACTGCTGTCATAACGTCAATGATCCAACTTTGCTAGACGAGATTGCTGCCGATCTCTAGAGTGCGACGAGATGAAAGCACTTGGCATACGGCAAAGATTTCTGTAAAGCAGCTTTCTAAGCCGTCCGATATAAATTATATGGCTAGTTTCAGCATTAATCTAATCGTCTGTCTCTGTGTATGCTCTAGGGAGTCTCTTCTCGATGTGTACATGTGGTTACTCGGAGCAGTGCCTGCAAAATCAAGGCAAGGCCGCAAGTAGCCAGTTTTGCACCCAAGGGGCTGCAACTAGCCAATCACAGTACAGTAAAGATATACCTGCTATATAACTTCATGTAGTTAAGGAGCATTCTCATCGCACCTTGATTATGTTGTAAACATGTTGAGCTTGACGTCAGATAGACACCACTGAAATCTCGTCCACAGCATTCCCCGCCTCGGTGTACGTCGACAAGGGCAAAAGGACGCCCACCCATCCTTGCCAATGTCTCTGATGCATACTCAGTGCGCCAAGGTAGTTGGAAGATTGCGGACTGTTGCCTGGGTTAGTATGACAGCAATCTGGCCTCACCGGCAGAGTATAGATTAACCAATGAAGGCTCTTCGCTCTCGGTCAGTCCGCGCTTCGGAAAGTCGGGAAGTTGTGCTTGAGCTATCTGCCAGAAGAATATTGCCCAAGAAACTGTCTGCTTCAATGACAATCTGTGGGAAAGTGAAATTAAAATTAAACTGAGGATGGAAATTACTCATGTTGTCCCTTGGTATCTTCCCCTAGTTTATTGTGGATTATGTCGATTCTCAGTGTGTTGATAGAAGTTCGCATATAGGAAAGCACACCTGAGCGGTTCTTCAGCCATACCTTCATTTTACGGTATGGAACCCGACTCGTGGGAAAATATCTTAACAATTACCGTAGAGGATTGGGGTCTCCAAGGTCGGATACCTTGGCAGTATCTGTTTCTTCACTGCAGATCAAGTACTGCTGCCCGCAGCCAGTATCCAATCGCTCTTCTAGTACAAAAGGGTATTTGTTTCATACCGATGTTTAGTTGCATATGCGAGGTATAGATTGTGAATTATCTCCATGGATTTGGGCATATGTAACGATAAATCCATTTCGTCTCTGAGTGTAGAAGCGGAGTGTCGGGACGGGGAGTCTCGCTCTGGTATAAGCTTACTTGAAATCTACCAAATGTGCCTAGAGAGTTACTCCATCTCTTAAAAGTGCTCACTATTGTATTGAGTGAAGAGATCGTCCAATGGGAAAGGAAGGAGGAAATGAGGAAGTAAATCCAAAGGGTATAAAGAGCAAGGCATGCCCCCAAAAACCTTTTGGCATCATCAACGGACTCAGCACTCTCCCAGCGACTTAGTGACTACGGGATTGACCGGAAGGTTCGACTGGAGATAAACCGCAGGGCATAAACGACAATGCTTCAAAAGGCTGTCTTGATAACCTCTACCCTTCTTGCCACTGCGCGAGCGCAGCAAGTCGGTACTTACACAGCCGAGACTCATCCATCTCTGACCTGGCAGACATGTACTTCGGCCAACGAATGCACCACTGTCGATGGCAGTGTTGTCATTGATGCCAACTGGCGCTGGATTCATAGCGTTAACAGCAGCACCAATTGCTATACTGGCAATACTTGGGACGCAACGCTGTGTCCGGATGATGAATCATGTGCAGTTAACTGTGCCGTCGAGGGAGCCGCCTACAGCTCTACTTACGGTGTGACTACCTCTGGTAGCGAACTGAGAATCAATTATGTCACGCAGAATTCGAATGGTGCCAATGTTGGCGCTCGTTTGTATCTGCTGAAAGATGAATCGACGTATGAGACATTTTCTCTTCTCGGAAATGAATTTACCTTTGATGTGGATGTGGCCAATCTTCCCTGTGGTTTGAATGGGGCACTGTACTTCACGCAGATGCAAGCAGATGGTGGTTTGTCTGAGTACACCAATAACAAGGCCGGTGCTAAGTATGGTGTTGGGTACTGCGACTCGCAATGCCCTCGCGACTTGAAGTTCATTGACGGAGAGGTATGTGCCTGAATTCCGACCCCATATCCGCGTTTGAAAGAAGTTACTGACACATATCGTTTTCCTGTTAAAAGGGCAACGCTGAAGATTGGGAACCGTCCAGCACCGATTCGAACACCGGCGTCGGTGGACATGGGAACTGCTGTGCCGAGATGGACATCTGGGAAGCGAACAGCATTTCCTACGCAACAACTGCTCACCCATGCTCAAGTCTCGGACAGACCGAGTGTGATGGCGACGACTGCGGTGGTACATACTCGGCAGAACGATATGCCGGCGTTTGTGACCCAGACGGCTGCGATTTCAATCCTTATCGTTTAGGCAATACTTCATTCTATGGCCCTGGATCTGACTTTACCGTCAATACCGATGATACAATCACCGTCGTGACTCAATTCATAACTGACACTGGCTCTACATCCGGCACCTTGTCCGCAATTAAACGCTTCTTCGTGCAGAATGGCAAGGTCATCGCTCAGGCCAACTCAGAGACGACCGGCATTTCTGGTAATGAAATTACAGCGGCTTACTGCGAGGCAGAAAACAGTGTGTTTGATGGGGCTGGCGAGTTTTCTGCCAAGGGTGGACTGTCCCAGATGAGTGCTGCGCTGGCTGAAGGTATGGTTTTGGTGCTGTCTCTATGGGACGACGACTACGCGAGTATGCTATGGCTTGACAGCGACTACCCAACAAATGAAACTGCATCAACGCCTGGTGTTGCCCGCGGCTCTTGCTCTACTTCATCGGGAGTACCAGCGACTATACGACAGCAAGATGCTAGCTCTTACGTGACCTTCTCGAACATTAAGTTTGGCGCTATTAACTCGACCTTCACCGCGTCCTAGGTAGCCCCGCCGACATGCTCAGATGCTTGTTGACACCGGCCAACAATTATGCAGGAAGAAGTGTGATATGAGATACTCATGTTAGTTAACGGGCAAGAAACAAGTAGCCCAATATTCGTTCTTTTTTGTTTTATCAATTCCAAGTACAACGTTCGTGTTCAGACAAAAATTATGAACCAAATTGAATCGCAGTCAGATTGTCACTATTAAGCATTATCATAATAAACATGCTTCCCTCTGAACTTCATTTTTATACGGAGCTGCACCTAGTCGTCAAGACGGGCATAGTAGGAGTACGGCTGATTTAGTAGATAGAATGCATCTGGTTGCGGACCAGTGCTGCCGCCATACCAGATGGGAGTAGAAAGGTTGGTAGGAGCGTCTGTGCGAGGTTCATTGGAGAAAACATATTCAAATGTCTTAGCCCACTGGACACGGTTGTTTAGACCTTCAAGTCCCCAGAGCTCCTGCAAGAAATGGAGAAAAGACGTGTGGGTGTAGGCGGAATTATCGGCATACATAGTGCCCTCATCGTGAATCAAGGTGTTTGCTGGAATCCAAGGAGAGATCAGGAAGGCCGGTACACTATCATTTATTCCTAGTTAGTTGGCGCATGAAATAATAACAAAAACGACTTCTACTGACCGGATACCGAGACGATTGAAGGTGTACGTCAAGTTGAACCCCTCGGAAGAGCCATTGAAGATAATGCCGTCCTCTGGGGGTGGAATGTTCATCGGTGGGGGAACGTGATCAGCAAAGCCGCCATGCTCATCGAAATTTATGATAATCAAGCTAGGGCAATGTTATCAGTTGACTGCTCGAACATCCTACAAATCAATACGGGGAGGACTAACACATTGTCCCAGTACTGAGAGTTGCGGACAGCATCGTAGAGATGCTTAATCATGGAGGCTCCGGCGGCTAAGTTGGAAGTTGGATGCATCGAATCGATTGTGCAGCACTCGGGGTTGATGTATGAGAATTGTGGCAAGGTTCCCTCTTGCAGATCAGTGTAGAACTTGTCAGCAGTGGCGAGGTTACCGACGGCGTTTTGCTGAACCCACTGTAGCTTGACGTTAGTCTTTTGCTGAAAGGGGGAACTATAGCGAACGGTGAATTGCACTTGCCTCGTAGTTCCAGGCGTCAACGATGTCAGTCTCATAGTACTAGCGAAAGATGATATTAATATGCTGTTGTCCATTGAAGCAACAGCAAGCACTCAGCACATGATCATACGTTTTTCCAGGATATGTTGGCGTTTGTTAATGACTCAAAGATGGACATGGCACAAGTAGTGCCGGTCACATTGTTCCAAAATCCTGCAGCCTGGGTAGTGTCATCGACAAATCCACAAGTAGACCCGGAGGTCGCGAATTGGCGGTTTGGATTTGTAGGACCGGGGTGTTCAGCGAACTGTTGCACAATGTAATAATATTCAGAAACTGTTGCTCTGTGGACTACGTAGGCCAACCTATCGGCATGTGATTATGAAGGGGGCAACGCACGTAGGTATCCCAGAATGCAAAGTTCTGAGCAATCTCAACTAGTGTTGCCGTCTCTTGTTGGCTGTATGATTTGATGACAAAGGCAGAATCTCCTGGTGAAGAGGAGTAGAGAGTAGACTCGCGGTCCACGAAGCCCATCATTGTTGGGACTGACTCGTCAGTCGGATAATACGTCTGGAAGATTTCATAGTTGGTTCCTGCGAGGTCGTGATCCGGGTCGTTAAGGGGAACTTCTCCCGCGCGAGGAGCAGCGCAGACAAGAAGTGGCTCCCCCCAGACAGTCCAATTTGGGTTTGTATACGGGTTGCAGAAGGGCTCTTCTCGGTTGGCCAAGTTGTCGATGTCCTCGCGGAAGTTCCAATACCCGGCGATATTGTCAAATGAATGGTTCTCCATCATAAGGTAAACAACATGTTTGATCTAACGATGGGGTTAGCGCTGTATTAGGCGAGGCTGTCCTGTGCTTACATTCTTCCTAATGTTGGTCCATTGGTTGTTATTCCTGCTATTGGAGCTGTTGGATAAGACCGGACTTGCGGTGGCCAGGGCAGCCATGGCCAGTAGGCCCTTCATAGTAGGAGCCAACGACTTCATTGTTTTCTGGACACGAAAGTCCTTTCACGCAGCAGAATATGATCTGTTTATCTCGTGGGTGTTACCAGAGATTTTGTGCGATGCAGATCCATGTCTCGGCATCGGATGGTCCATCCCCTTCTTTAAATAATCCTTGATTGCTGTTGTACCACGTGGGAAATGTTGCTCGTTCTCGCAGAATTTTCCCCTCAGTCTCATGCACAAAAGTGCTAGCCTCTAGTTATCTATGCAGGTTATAAGCTACTGCGAGCTGCGTGCCTGCAATCAGTCTCGTCAGTGGATGATTGTCATAAGCTAGGGATTATAGCGTGACTTAGGCTGGTGCTTGTTTTCGTTTAGCTTTTTTTTACAGCCAGCCCACCAAGGACCTTGTGCAATCGATAGAAGACTGTGAATGTATCCACCTAATGGATAAAGGATCAATATTTAAGTAACCTGTCTCGCTCCTATGTTAGCCAGCAGAGCTCGAATCCCCGGCAATCCGAGTTGACTACCTACAAGACAGAGGTGGGAGTCAAAAAGTATTCGGCATACGCTAATGCAGCCAAGCAGGCTAGTAAAATAATGGTTTTTGTCATACCCAAGAGAGCAATAATCTTAGGGCCAAACCATCTAGCTCCATCATATTTCAGGGGAGAAATATCTTAAATAGGCATCTTTAGTATTTTGCGGTAAAATAGTTACCTACTAGTGTCTATATTAGCGTACTATATATAGAGACTAATCACTAGGTGCATTAGCGTATTCTCAATACTTTTGACTCCCACCTCCGTACAGCGTTCGAAAACACATAAGCTTGTCTTGCAATTAACAACGCATCTTTTAGCGTCGTTTCTTAGCTGCATCATGCATGATCAAAGGCCAGCACCAATCAATCCCGTTTCATTAGCAATGAAGAAGCACCGTTGGACTGCGTAGAACCCGGCAGTATGGCCGGGGCTTTCATGTCAACGGCCCGGGTGCAACCCTAATGCGCTCAAAAGCCGGGGAGTAGTCCGTAGATAGATTACTAAGGAAGGTAACTAAGTTAAGGGACATTAAGCTTATATTACACGACTAAACGTAACAACAGTGTAGAGGTATCTCGGTGACCATGCGTAGAATTTGACAGCAAATCATAAGAGGTCAACGTATTGCAAAACAAACCACCGATTCGGTTGACGCAAGCTTGCGCTCTGAACACTAAATGATCGAGCGAAGTAGTGTCATGGGGAGGGCTTTAAGCCAGTCAACCCAGCTGTCATACTTCACACGCGGCTCCAGGTCAACGTCGAGGGCAGTGTCTCGTATGCCACTGAAAACATCAATCTCCTCGAGGGACCTCCACAGCTTCCATCCACGCTTCTCGACGGTAGGGTTCGAAGTCGATTCACTATAGGTCTTCCATCCCACGTATAAAAGAATGACAATAGGCGCGGCAAGGTAATTCTCAAAGAAAGCTTCGGCATTCTTTGGTGCGACCGAGACATAGAATTCTGCAACCAGACAGAGGATATTCAGACTCAGACCAAGATAACTGCCGTAGATACCCCAGGGAGCGACGTACGCCAGCTCATCGGTGCTACGGCCATTGTGCTTCCAGGCGGCACGGAAGCGAATGTGGACAAGGCAGATGGTTCCCCAGACGAAGAAATTGGAAATCCCCGACAGTGCAAGAAGCCACGTGAAAATTTGACTACCGGTAGAGGCTTCATTGATGAAGGCTAGGAAGCCAAACGCAATTTGAAGCAAGACACACCAGATGGGTCGACCAGCCTTGTCTATATAGGAGAAGAACTTGGGGGCCATTCCTTCGGCAGCCATGGCCTGGATTGTGCGCGTGGATCCAAAAGTGGCCGAGTTGGCAACACTGATCACGGAGATGGTGATAACAGCGTTCATGACGGATGGCAGACCACTGATACCGGCATTTTGAATGGAAACGACGAATGGTGAATAGGAAGTGTTGGAACCAGAGGCCTTCAATAGGTAGGGAGCATTGTGCGGAACAATCAAACCCACCATCAGAGTGCCCAGGACATAGAAAATCATAATCCGCCAGAATACCTGTCTGCACGCCTTGGGGAGCGACTTGGCGGGATTGGCAGATTCAGCGGCAGCTAGGCCAGACATTTCAGTTCCTCCAAAAGCAAAAGCTGCTGTGGTGAATACGGAGCAAAATCCTCGGAAATCGGTGAAGGCGCCAGGATTGTGCCAGTATCTCCCACCAATATAGCCACCCACGGGAGCACCACCGCAGTCAATCACGATAGCCAGAATGATCCATCCTACCAAAGCAGTGACCTTGATGATACTAAGAATGAACTCCACTATATCGGGCATTAGTCAATCAGTATGGAGAAAGTAGTTGAAAGCGTGAATTCAGAATGAGAGCAGCGTGTACCTTCACCATAGCCGCGTACACCGAATATCTGAATGACCGAAAGGACACTGAGGAAGACCGCGATCCATATACCAATGTTCAAGTCCTGGCGCCAGTATTGAATGGTGATTCCCGCCGCGGTAATTTCAAAGGGTAGAATGACTAGCCAGTTAATGGCATAATCCCAGCCCATAGCGAATGCCCTTTTGAAAGAAATCAGTCAGTTTGGAGTTACGCCAGTTATCGGAGACGTCTGGGCCAACTAACCAGGACGGATCAAGAAATCGCAGGGCATAGTTGAAATAGGCCCCATTGACCGGGTACATGACTGCCAGTTCTCCGAGCGCCCACATTGTCTGCAGAAGCATGACACCAACGATGAGATAGCAAATGAGCTACATGTACGTTAGCATTTTCTCTCTCGTTTCACCCCCCACGTTTCCAGCGACAACTTACCAGGGCTCCTGGACCACCTGTATTCAGAGACTCTCCAGTACTGACAAAGAGACCAGCACCAATAGCACCCCCAATGGCAATCATCTGCATGTGACGACTTTGGAGATGTCGTTGTAGAGGGGCGTCTTTGGTCTCCCCCGCTTCAACGTCATGCTGAGGGATGTCGTCGACATCCTTCCGGTCATAAGCCGGAGCTTTCTCTTGCTCCATGTTTACCTCCGACATATCGAACTAGCCACGGCAGTAATTATGTCAGGAACAGTAGGGTGGGGAAGAACAAAGGATCGGAGGGAAGAGCATGAGAGTTCATGGGAAATGTTGATAGTCCTTCGTTCTTATATGAACGCAAGGATTCACTCGTCCTACCCATCATGCGTGTAGGGTAAGCCGATAACACCCCAACGGCAAGGGAGCATGCACCACGAGCCCACGACACGCAAGGACCAGTCGCAACAGAAAGGTTAATATAATTATGCCACGCCAACGGTGAGCCAAGAGAGCGCCATGGCGTGCTAGAAGGTAGAAACGCCAAACAGTATCGAATGGTGGAGAGAGCAGAAAACGCCTTGAGCTAGATAAGGCATTTCGCCGTACGTGGTGGAACTGGTGCCATATACGGAGGGCTACTAAGAGCGAGGCATACACCTTCCAGAACGAAGATCAAGGCGAGCTTGTCCTCATCAGGGAAATGTCGGGAACAGTGGATCTTGCAAAGTTGCAAGCTGCTGCCGACATGAATCCTTGGAGATTTACTGAGGGACAATAATGCTCCCTAGTCCGCTCATACCGACTGACTAGTTATAGTATGCAGCAAGCGCCCTCATGTGTTCATCACATTCACTCCGGCCCGTCTAGCGTATTAGATGATATTATTAACCTGGCCGTGAGATCTGGGAGAGGCTGGTGTAATTTCTTATTGTCGAACTATATACTGATACTTTCTTGTCAAAATACGCTTAATCTATGATGGACAAAGCCCTATAGTCCGGGTGATTGCATGCTTTTGCAGTGTAGCTATCCGAGACGTGTTTCGTAGATTGAGGAAGTCCCGCCTAGGCATTGACAGGCGGTCCCAGAGTACGGAGTACAATCCAATATTGATGGTGAATCGCGACTAGAAAGGAAAAATACTGCCAATATAGGAGATTGAGGGTCCTCTTCGCATAATACTGGACGATGAAAGGGAGAGAGGGGGACGAAGGGGGAAAAAAAAAAATAAAAAAAGCCAAGCCGGGGCCGCAACTCTCGATATAATAATCTACAGATTATCTCAATTTCAGCTATCTGGCGGTGGCTTTGCTCGGACTGCAACTTGAAAATTGGCTTGATAAGGGAAGTCTGGCTGGTTGGCTGACAGGAAGACGCTAATTGCCATAACCAGAAATCCTATGGAACACAGTCAACTTATTCTTATTCGAGCGGAGAGCCGATGATCAGGGCAGCAGCGGTCCAAGCACGTTTACCCGTATAACAGCCTGATAAGGGGTCCGCATATAATTGTCTGGAGTACATATGGCTATTCTAGGGTATGGCCGATACTAGCCGGACTATCTAGGTACTAGGTATCATCTCAGGTCTCACAAAAAGTGGCTGCGACTCCGATCCGGTTGGTGTGGCCAATTTATGCAGCCACCTTCCAGGGTGGAATCGATTGATTTCCTGTGAGACGCATATTCAGACGAAACAGCCTTCGCTTCTGTTTTGGAATCAACATCCCTGGAGGATCACGCGCAGAAACACGGAATGTCATGCAAGCTTATCGAGGCTAGCCACGCGGAAACCCCGACGCCAGGCCCGCAATAATAACTTTGACGGTATGGTGGAGGTCTGAAATATGCTCTGTCCTCTAGCACTGGGCATGGCGCTGGGCTAGGACTCTAGTGGCTGCGTTGGTTATCAGACTGTTACAACAGATTGGCAGATATACTTTCTTCAGCGGCATCCAAAGAGCGCCGGCTACTCCAAGACTTTTATTTCGGCGATCGACTTATCTGCAGTGTTCCAGTGTTCACTCAGGGCATTTTGCCATTCATGCACTTTCCGATTTGGGTATGTAGATAGCGAGTCTTAGGGTTCTGCGCGCGTTAGCGTTACCGGGCTATACGGCGGATTAAAACCCTCAGGTCAGGACGGACTGAGCACCAGGAAAAGCAGAACATCAACAAAGATATGATTATATGTATAGTGAGGTCTCTGTGAGACTGTAGAACAAATGCCAGACGTCCGGTGCGGCGGCCAGTCATTCATTCAAGCGACGTCGCTCATCTGTTCTTGCGCCGCCTTCATGTCGCCCCACAAAATGTCGTTGGAAGGGCGTGAGGAAAATCCGCATCTATAAAACCAGCGAACAACATCTTGTTTGCAACGAAGCAAGCAAGCAAACAGTCGGTCTACTTTCACAATACCATGGCACAGGTAGCCCGGACGGTCCTCGCTTTTCAGTACGATGCGGAACTCAATACGATCGACAGTTTAGTGATAGCAGTCCGGCCTTTCAGCGCCCTTGAGGAGCCAAACCGCAAACTCTTCAAGTCTGGTGGAGACAGTGATTACATAGTAGTCACAGAGCGAACGATATTCCATCCGCAAGGCGGCGGCCAGCCATCTGACGTTGGCTCGATGACAGGGCGCGGCGGGAATTGCTTCACAGTGACCGCAGTCCGTATGGATGCTGTCTGCGAAGGCCAAGTACTGCATCTCGGCCGGTTCAGCAACGGAGAAGGCTCTTCTGTGTCTACTTTTAGGGAGGGGGAGACTGTCACGCAGGAAATCGATGGTGAAAAACGCCTACTATATTCTCGGTTGCACACGGCGGGCCATGTCCTCAGCGCATCTGTCAGGCACCTTGTGAAAAGCGAAGTTGAAAACTTTGCAGAGCTCAAGGCATCGCATTTCCCAGGCGCGGCGGGTTGCGAGTTCCAGGGTCTCATTGATGGCAAATGGAAAGATGCAATCCAGAACAAGGTAGATGAATCTATTGCCGCAAAACTTCCTGTTAGCGTTGAATGGTGGGATGCGGAGGACTTCCGAAAAAACGGGGTCGACCATTTACTTCCAACTGGCGATTTAATCGCACCAGGCGAGAAGTTTCGCATAATCAATATTGCCGGTCTAGATAGGTATCCCTGTGGAGGCACTCACGTCAAGACAACCGATTTATGTGGCCGGACAACAGTGAAGAAGATATCGCGAAGAACGGGGCAGTCCAAGGTCAGCTATTCTGTCGATTGAATATACCTAATAAACAAACAAAAAAAAAAACAGTGCAGCCAATTTCAGCCTGAGGAAAGATGATCAAACAGCCTTCATGTACCTAGATTTTATTATGGAGACATCTATCCACAACAGACGCGTGGTATGCAAACAATGAGCCCCCGACTCCTTCATAGTAACAATTCCCAATGCTCGCCAGTCCCTGTAGTACCAAATAAACCCTGGTCTTCCAAGGCCACAAGCCTGTATCCTTCTTTCTCATACAGACGCCTGGCAGAGAGTAGCCTACTTTGTGTCCAGAGGACAACGCGAGCATAACCAGCTTATCGTGCAAACATTGTACATTGTCGAATCAGCGTCACGCCCAATCCCATTCCCCGTGCCTGGGGTCGGGGTCGTAGGTTTCAACAAAGTCCGCAACAATCAGTGCTACAAGCGCTCTCCCCACTTGTATTCCTGGTGGTAGAGTACACCGTGTCGTTGAACAATATAGCCCAAGTCTCCAGGGCGGGAACTCCGTAATGTGAATGATTTGCCTTCTACCGATGTAGGTGTTGCGGTAGTCTGTTGAGCCATGTCGGATTATGCTTCTTTTTAACACCCGGAAGATGAATTGATAGTTGGCAGGTGAGGGGTATATAATCAATTGCGGCCCGAAAAATGACATGAATCACACATAGGTATGAAATAGGTGATAAATGGAAAAGTTTCACGCAGAACACAGAGACTGGAGATTATTGTGTTCACGTCAACTAGCTATGTGTAGTCGGCTATGCCGTTCGAAGGGCATGAGCACCTTCTCGAACCATCTAAATCAACAAATTCAAAGTACCCATCACTGTGAACCCTCAAATGCCTTGCACTATCAATGGGAGAGAGGCTTATGGAAATGCATTTTCTATAACAAATAAGCCTTTCCATTCCACGCGGCATCCTGTATACATTGGTTGCAATTCGTATAACCGTTACTTTGATGGAAGCCACGATTCCAATCAATGACTCGTAAAATTCCTGTCCACATTTGAGGTCAGAGCTGGCAAAGGTATAGACTTCGTGGACTCAGTAATTCCTAAAAATTGATCTGTCAGCGCTCGACTCCAGCATAGGTGGTATAGTATAGCCTATCTCTAGCGAGCATCGAAGAAAGAAACGCATGACTCGTTTCAGAGCCGGCTATATTTGGACATCCTCGCTTGATATCTGGTGAGCGGTAGGGCATGAATACCCGGCTAGTGACATGAGTAGTGAGATTGTTGATAAATTCCGCTATGCCACAGCATATGGCCATGAACTAGTGCAATCCGTGGAGGCCCGTGTGAAAACAACCCCAATGGGTGACTTGGGGTTTCATCGAGAATGACTAGGTAACTGTTTTACAGAATCATGCAGGCATTGAAATGTCAGACTGAGAGAGATCTTAATCTAACCTGACCCTCAAGGGCAACGCAAATTGCCACTATCAATCTTATAGACCTCACCCTAGGAGTAAGTTGTATAGATTGCAAATAAAAGCATTTCAAGTTGTACGGTCGTACCCATTTGTCCGGTTAGAGGGCTGAAATTCAGGAAACTGGGCACATATTAGTAGATACACGTGCATACATCACAGCGTTAAATTGAGCTCGGGACAAGACAATGCTGGCTGGTAGTACAGCAATACACGACTGCACTTACGTACCCAATCAATTCGGAAAGATAACCGGTGTCTATTTTCAAATTCGATTTATAAAAAAGGCATTTATCCGATTTCGGCTGCAAAAAACCTTTGTCTTCATCGTGTTTCGTCACATTTTTGCAACATCACACAGAGGCCGTATATCCATATCCCCGACAGCTTAGCTGAGCACGAAATTATCATACGGAGAGCTTGAGATGTAATTTCACGTGCATGAAGAATTCGCAAAATCATAGATAGAGCGCAAGTTAGTTGGATCTTACTATTAAGTGGCAACAAGAAATTAGACACGAATATGTTTGAATGACATACTAGGTAAGGTTTAGGTAGCTGGTAAGCAAATAACTTTAAGTACGAATCAATGCAATTCTAATGACGTTGACATGGAGCACCTTGTTCCTTCAGTCATCTTTAATTGCCTAAATACTTTGTAATTATCGATCTGAACGTTCTTTCTTGCTTCCAACGACTCATGGATAGACACAAAGTAGGGGAAATCACATTAGTATCACTCATTATTATAGAAAAAACGATAAGCGTAGAACGTCTGGTGGTATCTCTGATACCTGTAACTCCGTGGACATGTCGTAATTTAGATCCCAGAGTCATCGTCAACCAATCGTTGAGAATCCTGCCACTGATCCCACTTTTCACAGGTATTTGACATCACTTCTGGGTCTATCAGGTCTGGAATGTTACTATACTGTTCAATAAATTGCATAGCCAGCCCTTCAACAGTATGGAAACCAATGTGACAGTGCATCAGCCAAGCTCCAGGATTATCGGTTTGGAATGCAATGAGAAGATAGCCGCCAGCCAGGAGCATGGCTGTGTCCCGTCGCGGCGGATTTAACAAATTGCTCACTGGTGTGTGTGAGCTTGCGTCGTAGTCCCCTATACCTTGTTCCAATACAAAAAAGTCGTGGCCATGCAAGTGGATTGGATGAGGGATGGTTAGGTCACTCTGTATCAATACATATGCCCATTCGTTTGCTTCATCGAGCTTTACCACACCGGAAGTATTGGACCAGTTATCCTCGTGTTTGTAGATTTGAAGAAGTGATGGGTCTTTCCAGTCGACGAGCATTGAGACATCATTAACCTGCCAAACCAGTATTCCAGAAGCAGTACTTCCGAGGGTCACTGTTTCATTTTCATAGTAAGCGACATTTGGGTCAACAACCTTAGGGACAACCGGGGAGAGACTGCTTGTTTGATCAATGCAGCCTGTTGTGGTATTGTATCCAATGGTAGTTGGTGTGCCGTGTGCACGGTGACCGTAATACACGATTCCCCTGATATTGTCTGTACTGTTATTGTTTGAACAGTCAGTTTGTGGGACAGCACGCATCCAGAATTTGTCGGCAATATGAGCTTGGTCAGCTATCACGATAACATCGTAACGTTGAGCTTGTCTAACATCAGCCCCTATAAAGCAATGAGGACCAGAAACCAACAGAACTTACCAATGCCTATCGTGAGCACGTCTGTTGTGAAAGGTTTGACTGGAACGAGATCCGCTTCTATGACGGTCATGGTGTGGTTATCAATGGAAAATGTAAAATGGGTGTCAATGGCGGTATTTATCAGTCGTAGACGATACGAAGTACCTGGCTCGAATTGAGTTGTAAAGCGTTCACCAACTTGATCCCGGCCACTGCCCCAGACATTGGTACCGTTAATGAGCCCATTTTCCTGGTAAGGAGGACCACTCGTCTCTGCATAGATGAATAGCTCGTCGGGAGTCTCATGGCTCCAGTCAGTCAATATAATGATTCCTTGATCCTCATCATAGTTCGCGCTGGCAGGCCCTTCTACGACGATGCCTCCGATCAGGCCTTCCCACGCTTGCAGGCTGAAGTGGGAATGATACCAGGTCGTTCCATATTGAGTTGCACGCCACTTGTAAGTGATTGTGTCCCCCGGTGCAGTGGGACACTGAGTAATTGAGACAACGCCGTCATTCTGATTAGTGTTTAATTGACGGATACCATGAAAATGGATAGAGGTGCCATTGTTTGACTGAGATAGATGATTTGTGACATGGACTATCACTTCATCGCCCCAATTGGCATAAATTGTCGGTCCAGGAATTGAGCCATTGATTGTCTGAGTATATCGAGGAATTCCGTCAGGGGCCAGTGTGGCTTCCTTAAGCTCGAACCAATACTCCCGAGTATCACCAGTATCTGGTGCAATCGAATAGTAGTCCGTGTGGATATCATAGTCACACCATGTAGACCGGTCATGAGGGTTATTACCAGGGCAAGCCCTTTTTCCAAAAACAAATCTGAATTCCACAAACAATACACAATACGACAAGAAGTTTTTCATGTACATGGTGGGAGCTATCAGTGAACGTCTTCCTCATGCAAAAAGAGAGAAAACAAAAAGCAAATAGATAGGTGAAGATTTACTCTGGGAAAGAGAGATAAGTATCTTCAGGGTTTCTTATACTCGTTTCCAATGGTTTAAACATCAATCACGTTCACTCAGGACTTTATAATACTTTTAGCACCGTTTAATTTACAATACAGAAGCACCTGGTGGATAATGTCCGAGAATAACTTCAGAACGTATGCTTCTTGTCATGGAATTTGATGAGATGTCCGAAAATGTCTCACATGCATGATAATGGCGTTGATTATACCTCCCAATGACTTGGACCTCTGTTCAGATCCTTTATTTAGTCTCATGGGGTCCGAGTCTTGACCTACAGACTAAACGTATCCAAGACATATATCTCTCACGCAAGAAGGTGGAGCTAATAAAAGCTCAAATTACAATAGAGGAGACGTAAGCAGAGGGCTCGGTAGGTAACTAGAAGAAGCTTGCCCATGGTTACTCAGGTTTATCTCCCAGATCCAGAGAGCTATCAAAAGTTTCATTTAGCATTTTTGTAAGGCGATATATGTCTCTGGCGAATAGAACATTACACGAAATTTCAATCCATCATTGGCTAATACTCATGCACGACCTAGTCGTCTTGCAGCGCCTGGTATTATACCCTAAGCAGCATGGACTACAAGGTGCCTGGATTTGTCTCGGTTCTAGTTCCGCAGAGATCTTATGCAACCAATTTAAAATGAGAAAGGAGTGGATATATTCCACGATAACGTGTACACGTATTTTCCCGACAGAGACGCAGAAATTTCGATTACAACTATAAAAGTGCTACTTAGTGACACCTAGGTACAATGCAGCATGTGCTTTTTTATTTTAACGAGATTGTATACCACTTAATGCCGGATAATTTCGACCACATGTTACCAAGAGAAGCACGAGTTAATTGATCTCAGAGGTTATTGCTTTTGATACATCACGAATATCCCCATAGATGATATATCATTACATGTCGATAACGCTAATGACACTGAACTTTCATCAAGTATGATTGAACTACCAAATCATGCTTTAGATTCCGCCACTTCCAATTTGTTAATGATCTAGATAGTATGTAGTTGCACAAAACTCATTGCTGTATGGTGTGGTCGACTGAAGTCCGATTCCCCACTGCGCAGTTGACTGCAGAAATGTTGCGTATCTCATTCAGGATTACGCATGCCTCTAAGCCACAATGATTCCATGTCTTTCTTTCTTTATTTTTTTGGTTATTTTTGTGTTTCCGGGTGATATGCATATTCGCAGGCACCGTTTGCAATTTATAAAGATGAAAAACTAAGTCCGCTTGTCCACTACCTAGGTGCCTCATGAGTTATCTACGACGAAATAATAACTGAAGATATTCGCAATCATTTGAGTCAAATTTGGAAGCTGAAACATTGACATCTTTTCTAAATGGCTCTCAATATCCTCCTTCTTTCGTTCCTCGCTAGCTATCCCATTTTGTCCTCGGTTGTGGCGGCAGATTCTGACTTCACCCTCTATGCATATGGCACAGACATAAATGGGCTAGAGTTGTTCTTTGCAGATGGTATTTGCCCCTCAAATTGGAAATGCTAGCTTCTATGCTATAACTAAGACAAGTTATACCGCAGGTAACGCTCAGGTCGGGGATATCAGTACTGCAGCAACTTCCAATGTGTCAAACGTTTACTGTAGGTTGCTCAATTGCTCCTGTTTTTACACTTGCCTGTGTGTATGGCTAACACGTGGTTCGAAAATCTTTCATATAGTTACTCTTGATAGGGGCGAACTACTTGCCAATCCCAATCTCACTAGCACTCGGACGTTCAGGCCAAGTTTCAACTCCACTTGGTCCAATCTTGAGTTGAATGTTCCGGTAGACGATGACTCCAGCAACAGCATTAGCTTTACTCAGAATTTTATCTCCAATGAGACCGGAAAGTGGAGATTTTATGGGCCCTCCCTTCTATTTGATACCAGTTCAGGTCAGCTAATTTCGCTTTTCTTCGCGAAGCCTGCGGCCACTACCGGATTGTTTGACCTAGTCTGGGATTTGTCAAAGGCTGAGCAAGAAGAGAATCCGGATGCCAAACCGGTAGCTCTCAGGAATATTGCACCCACGAGTGGTTGACGTGGTTAATGTGGACCTGGCATCTCAAACGAAGCCAGAAATACAAGCTATGTAGCACAGATCAGCGTGTATCAGTCTCTACTGCTTTGTTTACGAGTCCCTTGCTTAACGGCTACGCAAATTCGGCTGTGTCAAATCGATGTGTGTCTTATTTCTCACGCATCTCTGAAGTCATGATATAGTCATTTATGCACAGAAACCATATCTCTGCTATATTGAGCGTCTCTATTGCAATACGAATCCACATTTGCGGTGTCCTCTGGGCATTGAAAAAAACCAGGAAAAGCAAGAAATGGAGAAGGTAGACAAAAGAGAGAATAATGAATGGGATGTAGTTGCAATTAGCCAATCAGTGTGTACAGAGCCGCTCGCACCAATAACAGCTCGGACCCGCACCTAATCGGCGCCAATCCAGATCGATCCGGGGGCGATCGTTACTATATTTAGTAAAGTGGATCGCATTACTTTTCCAAGATGAATTGCGCAGCTATGGATGTATCTTTTCCTCATGTGGAATTAAATCACTGGCCATTTCAACAAACAAAATGACTAGACATTCTTCGATCTCTGACGTGCGATATGTCTGGATTTCTCTTATCAATCAAACGTAATATATCACACCGCCAGGTAATAGTTTAGCTACCAGGATAATTGAGCTGAAGCCGAATCATCAGCCGGACGCGACGCAACCAGCAGGGATGTAAATGACTTTGAATCTGAAAGTCTATTCCTAGTAATTTGATCATGTCACTGGCACCGCACGACTCGTTCACGACTTTTTCTTGCTTCTGATTGAATCTTCCCGAGAAAGGAAGCAACCCTGCCCCGATTAGATTCATCTAGCTGCGAGCTGGCGTAATGGCGAGTAGCAAGGCTACGTCCTAGTTGCTGTTTGTCCACGTGGACCGAGTAGTGGGGAGTTAGTGGTGTTTACTATGCTGTACGACTGAGATAATGGCCCGCAGTCTCCAATTATACATTTAGCCCTGCCATGCGAATCAATGAACCTTGGCCAAGAACTCTCGATACCAAAAGTAGAATGGCACTGTGAAAGCTATTTAGCCCTTCTGGCTTCGCTAATAAGCTGATTAGATACCCGAAAGCTGAAGTTCTACTATTGACTTATGTCGCTGCCAATCATCTTATCACTCACGGTATGCAAGTTTGAAGTATGGATCCGGTGCAGATATGAAAACTACGTGTCACATCCTCCAATTCCAGCATCGCAAAGATATCAAATTCAGGATTTAGTGCTAAACAATGATAGCCCAATGCTATGTTCTCGTTATTTCCATGGAATTACTCGGATCCCACAAGGTAGTTGGAGTCAAAGGCGGGTCTTCCATGCGATCGTCTTGAAATGAAGCAAAACAGTGGAGGCAATAAGGCTATTTTATGCATGTGAGTTGCAAGGAAGAACAGAAGCATCTACAAGTGCCTGATCACAAGTGTCCATAGAGCAAAGCAACCGTCATGGGAATGAAGGTACAATGCCTGGCCGCTGCCGTGCCAGATTCAGAAGTGGGAGGAACAGTCGCTTCTCCAAAACATCGCCATCTTCAGCCTGATTCTGCTTCGCCACAAGAGACAATAGATCGTTCCAGGTGAGCCAATCCCATCCTTCGCATTTATGCGGCTCGAGCACCCGTGGGATATCGTTCTCGCTTTTCCTCACGCAAACCATGAATAGGGTTATATAATGCTTCCCCTCGGCCGGCATGTAATCATTCGTAGCAGTCAAAAATTTGGGTTCCGATATATCAAGGCCAGTCTCTTCCAGAAGTTCACGCGCAGCGCAACATTCTGGCGTTTCCCCAAATTCGAGATGTCCGCCGGGCAGAGCGTAGGTCCCGGCTCCGTGGGAGTTGAGGCGTTTGCCCACCAGAAAGCGGGGATTCGATGAACTTTCGTGATCGGAGTAAAGGACAAAAACGCCAACGCCTACTCGAACCTCGGATGCCATATTGTCTAGTTTTTCTTTTTTCGGCTTGTCGTCGTAATGCTTTCAGCCGTGTCCTGCTTATGCAAGCCAAAATATGCAGGTCGTCGTGCGCACTATTGGCGTCCGGAAAAATTCGCTTCCACTATCCACAAATGGAGTAGCGTCTTGATACACTTTAATTCAAGTATAACAGCCCTAATTAAAGGCCCGGAGTCGCATGAGCACTAGTAGTGACCGACAGTTCTCATTGCCGCGAATGACATGTCTGATTTCCTAAACCAGAAATATGCAATGTCAACGCAATAATGTACCTAGAAAAGAGGAACACTACAAGGCGATGTTGTCAAATGTTTGTAAATATTGACTGATAAGGCACGGGTGCCCAATTTGTTTCTGCCAAATAGAGTGTCTAGAACATAGGAATTACATTGCGAATCTCAGCGAAGAAGTTCCCATGCACCTGTTGACATCGATTGGGGAAATCACGGACACAGCTGGTGCATTACTCGGAGGACAAAGGAAACCTATTGGAGACCAATATTACAGATACAGAGCATTGACGCATTGCCAACAAATATTCTTGCATGAAATTATTTACTGCCTCAAGATATGATACGTCACAGCCCGAGTCTGTGCATTGTGTAGATCTTTGTAGAAAACCGATGGGTTCAAATCAAAGATTTGTATATGTACAATATGGGTATTCAGCAGGGGTAAATCCAAGCTCTTTCTACCCTTGGGTGGCTAAGGAAGACTCTACTTTTCGCACTCGGACTTGTTTAAACAATTGTTGAAGGAACCTTGCAGTATGACCGAAGAATGGCAATATGTTAACTATCATGTAATATGTATTTATATGACACGCAATATTATCAATTCAATACAACTCATGAGCGTAGTCAAATGACACGTCTGCTTATCAATGTTTAATTCGGTCAACTCTTTTCTGGAGACCTACCACTGCTGCACTGCCGTGACCTTCGCCATGAAAAATGCTGACCTCATGTGTTGTATGCTTGAGCATTCATGCAGAAATCAACGAGGTGCAATTGAGAATTGGGGTCCAATTACCCGTCCATGTCCTCGGTACCACCTTTTATGTCCTGAAAAACCTCACCAGGCTCACCAGGCTCTTTTCCAGTTCTTCCTCACATGATTCCACCGTCGCCATCAGCGACTGAGCATATCTCAGAGTGCTTTATTCTTCAAAACTTAGCTTCCTAATTCTTGAAGGAAAACTCTAAAACCGACAGCCTCGCACACAGTGCATTCACAGTCCGCCATATGAATGACTAAAAAAGAGCCTTACGAATCTTAGACAGAAGAATATGAGGAAATACTGTTGCTTCAACATATGCCATAGCATCATCATAAACGAAGTCTAGGAGCTTGTTCAGCTTGAGGTCTGTTCTCGGCTTCTCTTCTCGGTCCGGTAATATCTCATATTTTCCATCTGCGGCTAGCGCAGTAAAATCACGTCCTCTACGCCAGTCGTATAGCCAAGTTTCACAACTACACAGCCGGAGTCGTTGGTGACATGCAACCGCCGAGCCGTGTTAACAGCCGTGAAAAAAGTAGGCGTTTCCATCAATATGATATCTGTGATAAACAGCATAGTAATTGGATTTTGTGCTGTCTAGTCGAATACATGTTGAACAACAACATGGAGATGGAAATATTGCTTTCGGGTTGGAGACGGTCTCATTTTCAGCACAGAGGCCATGATATCTGAATAAGATAGTTTCCTCCTGTCATTTATATTGTATACTGCATTCACTTTATTTTGACAGTAAAAATTTATATATTTCAGAAGTGCTTGTACAATACAGCTTGTGAGATTTATATTCACAGCGGTCTTATACTCTGCCATATTGGAGGATTGTAGCTATCGCCTAACAACATTATCAAATGGCAAACTAACAATAACATCAAACTTCACTGAGTAATAAAGTCTTCTAGACATATCACTTCCAGTGAAAGTCTTGCCTTTAGAACACGACGCCCTTGGTTCGTAACGTCTTTTTTCCCACAGGCACATTATTTATCAGTAAAACCTAGATGAAGGCTAACTCAAAAACTCCAACTCCAGCAGCCAACATTCTCGTCTGCGCATACCAAAGCTTCCTGGATTGCAAGTCGCTCGCGGCTTCCAACGGGGTAAGAAAGCTGCACAATAAGACTTCATAAATTCTCGCCAAATTTGGCAGAGCAGATGCCGGTTGGTAACGTTCCAGGGCTTTGGTAAATGTGTTCGTCCAGATAGCACCACATACAGCACCGCCAATAGCGTCCCCCACAGAGCCAATGACGTATAGCAAAGCAATTACAGCAGCGACATGCTGTTGATCGACAGCCACGAGCACGGCCAGTTGAGTTAAAATTGTGAAAACACTTCCATCAATAGCAATAAAGATCTCACACATGACAAGATAGCCGATATTCTGATTAGGACGACGGAAGTAAATGATCAACCCTAAACCAAAGATGTAAATCGGAATGGAAAAGTAAAATGTCCACTTGAAACGCCCTGTTCGGCGGATCAGATAACCAACGATAAATAGATGGACACCAGACACGACTTGAAAGGTACTGTTAACATAACCGGCATCAGCCAAGGATAGATCATTAACGACCCGCAAAATGAGGGAAAAAAGTAGTTCCAGCTGTAATATGAGATTTGATATGTCATGTCAATAGACATGCTTCAACAACAGTCCGATCAGTCAGAAATTCATATTTTAGAAAAGGTGACGGAGCGAGGTATGTCTCATATAAGCCGAACATAACCATTACCACAAAGCCGACCACAATCATAGAATGATGTATTCAGTCTTCCAGCCATTAGGAGCAGAGCTAGCAATAGTAAATGATAGTAAAAACACTATCAGACCCACAGCAAACAGTATAACTCCCAGTACTATTATAAGAAAAACAAATCAATATCTCGCAGAATTGAAGAGAACAAAAATTACTTATGTACAATCAAACTCTATCATTCCATTCCACAGAGCTTTTGGAATGTTCCAGTTCATTTTTCTCTCGAAGTAATAATACCTTGTTTCTTGGCTTTGCGCAGGTTGAGCTTTAGCATGCAAGCCAGCGCCTGTTTTCGGATGGGAAAGCACCACATCGGTGGCCACCTCAATATCTGACTCGGCCATCGCGATAGATTGAATAACGCCTGGCAATCAAGAAGAGTGGAGAGATGTTGAAGATGGAGTTCTTTAAGTCAAGATATGTCAAGTTATGGGAAGAAAAGGACTGGGAGAATAAGGAACAGGGGGGCCGGGGGGGTTTGTTCTTGTAACCGGCTCACATGTTAGGTTTAAACGATATAAAAAAGCACGAAGCAAGCTAAAAAAGTGAGGTCCCCGCTCAGTAATTTGGGGGGAAATAAATAAGTTCTGTCAATACCACGTACTTAGGTAGTAATATGATATCGGCTAATTTAATGTGACAGCAGTTGATCGAAGTGAACGGAGGTAAGAGCTACAAAATTGACCGTTTATAACGTTCCTTCTAGGCAATGACAGACGACACGATCATCGCAAGCGAGATGATTTGAAAAATATAGGAATATTTACATACATATCCCGAGCTTACATATCTATATACGTATTATTATAGAGAAAAAATTGGACAATATGTTGATGGTGATCAATGTGGTGGACGTGATTGAGAAGATGGATTGAGGAGAACAGAACCCGGTTGGCACCTTGCCAGGAGGATTCCACTTTGTAATAGGTCAGGCTTTTGGGGCCACATACATATTCTTCCAAATTAGCTGATAGTTAGGAGTTATTACGTATTGGTTAACACCACGGATAACCAGCCAACCTCTCAATTTGTTAAGTCCGATATTCTCAAAGCTTGATCAATTACATTCGGTGCGCAAGTCTAGTCTAGACAGCTACCAACAGAAAAGTTTGTGTCTAGCACTGTTGGTTGTCCGTTAAGACAATTCAAGTTTCCCCGCAGTTAGCAAACGCTGCAAATTTGAAGTTCCCAGTCTTTTCGACGGGAATATTTAGCTAGTGGGAATACAAGGGGTAGACAGAGGTCGAATGGCTTGCTCCGTTGCAAGGGTTTAGAAATCATATACCTACAGGCGGTTACACTAATATGTATAATCAAGTAAGTGGCCAATCTTTCAGCCTTTTTCTCATTGCCGTCAGGCCACCATGATTCTGGAGACGCATGAACCTTGTTGTCGTGTTGCAGTTCAATGAATAAATACGAGCACCAAGAATTTTAAATCGCCGAGTTGGTGTTTTATTTATAGCAACTCGACGGTGGAACGCGCCAAGATCACATGCCAGGATAACGAGGAGGCCCGTTCGCGATTGGCCCGCTGTTTCCGGCAAGAGTATGATGTCATGCACGGGACTTGGCACCCGTCCGACGGATCAGGAACACGTAGCCCGAGCTTGCTCAATACCGCATTTCCTTCTCTGTGACCTTAGATGTTGTTTTGGCTCTATCATGACATGCTTGATACCAGTTCTATCTGGCTCCTACGGGACCTCGTTCTTTGTAACGTTCAAGGTCCGCCTTACCTGCAGCGTCAATAAAGGGAGCCGCCTGTGGAGCCCGCGCTTGAGCCGCGCCGAAGATCCCAGCTGTGGTTGGCTGGGTCTGGGATGATCTCCCTTGGCTACCCCGTTTCCCCCACAGTCAGTGCTGTGATCGGCCATTACGTCGTTTGAAACGTTGCTATCCCTTTCCGAGAGTGAAGATGATGGACGTACCCAGGCCGGGAACCGAAGATTGCAAACACAGTTAGTTGACGGACTCTCCACGCTGTCATGAAAATTTAGTTACATTTTACCCGACCTGATAGCAATCCGCCGAGCAACGTCCGACTGCTCAATATGACCAAGGCTCAGCGCCTCGCAGCGCATGACAGGAAGGAAGAGCGCTCCGTACCAGCGCCAATCATAGCACGACTCATTGGTAATTGCCATATCATCGTTAAGTTAAATGTTCTGTTCTGCCGAAGATTTCCCAGCGCGAGCAGGTCGTGGGCCTGGCCAACGAGAGGCCCCGCTAAGCCGCATTCGGCTGCTTGGGGCAATGCTCCTGGTGGAACAATCAGTTAATCCATCGCCGAGTCAGGAAAGCAGATGATTGCCTTCCTCTCCCTGCTTCGTCCCCCTTCTTAGAACGGTCCATATCTCGGAGGAAAAGAAAGGAACCTCTGCTCAATCCGGTCACTTTCACAAGCCGTGAGTCTTTGCGCAATCCTCCCTGTCCGCTGCCGTCTTTTGGTACCCATCTGCATTTGCTCTTGACATTTTGGCGCTTCGATTCCAACTGACATCCCAGTATACTGTTCGCGCGTCCTCGTTCGTGCTCGGCCTCCGTGTATTGCGAATGTGTAACTGCTCTTCTCTCTAGTTGTTACGGCTCTCGGTTTGCTTTGCATTATTCATTTGATATGCGGTCGCTCGTTACACTTTCGTTCTTGCTTGGACAGCTGCTCTTAACCGTGCCTCTTGCAACTGCCATCACCGTCAATGCCAACGATCTCAACTCGCTGAAATCTGCCGCCGAGACCGCCGCTGCAAGTGCCGTCAATTATTATAATAACCGCGAGAGCAAGCTGATCCCGGGAAAGTTCGATGGTACATGGTGGGAGGGCGGCGCGTTCTTCACTTTCCTCATCAATTATTGGCATTGGACTGGCGATAGTCAGTATAATGACTTGGTTACAACTGGTTTATCTTGGCAGGGAGGAGAGGACAACGACTTCTTCCCTTCCAACTATAGCAGCTACTTGGTAAGTGCTTCTTAACCCGCCAGTCTTTCTCGCTCAACGTGCCGAGTGACCTAATCCTTGATGGCGGACTCCTTTATTTAGGGTAACGATGACCAAGAATTCTGGACTTTGGCTGCCTTGACCGCCGTTGAGCAGAAGTTTCCTGATAATCCCGGGCATCCGTCCTGGCTTGAATTGGCTCAGGGTGCTTTCAATGACTTTGTGAATCGTTGGGAAACGGACAAAGCATCATGTGGTGGTGGTTTGCGCTGGCAGCTGTATCCCACTCTAGCTGGCTATGACAGCAAAAACGCCATCTCCAATGGCGCATTTTTTCAGATTGCTGCACGTCTGGCCCGTTATACAAGCAACCAAACATATGCCGATTGGGCAGAGACAGTCTGGGATTGGTCAATGACCACGCCACTTTTCGATAACAAGACATGGACTATTTACGATATGACGCGGATCTCAAAAGATTGCAAGGACCAAGATAATATGCAATGGTCCTACAATTACGGGTCTTACGTAACTGGGGCTGCTTATATGTATAATTATGTATGAAAACGCTACCTGTTAATCTCAGACGCTGAAAACTGACTTTCCTCCTAGACAAAAGGTGACACCAAATGGAAAGACGGTGTCGACGGACTTTTAAATACAATTTGGTATACATTTTTCCCACAACAATATGGCGGCAGCATTCTAGACGAGGTGGCCTGCGATCCGATTCTAACTTGCAACCGCGACCAAGTGTGCTTCAAGGGGTTAATGGCCAACTGGCTGTCCACCATAGCATTGATCGTCCCATACACATATTCTACCATTATCGCCAAGCTAGACGGCTCTGCTGTCGCTGCCGGTCTACAATGCAGCGGCCCAGACTCGGCCTGTGGAATGCAATGGTTTAATTCAACCTATGATGGTACTAGTGCAATTGAGCAAGAAATGTCTGCCCTCAGTATCTTCTCCAACACCCTCGTTGGATTTACTTCGAAGAATGCCCATTCATCGTATACGCCTCCGAGCCCAGCGGCTCCAGTCACTGCTGACACTGGCGGTAACAGCACCAATAATCCCACTGGTGGGCAAAGTACCTCAGGATATCATCCGCCAAAGTTACCAGCCATCACAGCTGGTGATCGAGCTGGTGCGGCTATATTAACGTTGGTTTTCTCGTGTGCATGGATAGGCATGATGGTTTGGCTAGTTGTCGGAGGTGCCTACTAGCCTTGATCTCCCATCTATCTAGATATATACCCATCATGCATATCTTTCCAATCCGGAATGTTTCTTTTCTTTTCATTTCGCTTTCTTGTGTCTGTATATATTCCCATTGTCTACGGTTATGGCTTCTATGAACAACGTCATTGTAGTTGGCGTTTGATATTTGTCTAAATTGGTGTTCAGTATATGTCATTTTAAATGTGAAAATATTTACATTATCTTGGATACCTAGGTGTATTCTTACTCTGCAACTTTAAGCACTCTACCAGTGTATATATAAGCTGTATTGAGTTATACTCTATCATGATGAACCAGCTAGTTATGGCTAAAGTAGTCATTTTACCAAGTACAAGGACGAGTGCTTCTCGACTCTATCTCAGATTAAGATTCAGCGTCTTTAAACTTAGGTATTATGTATCTTAGATCGTCCTTGATCCTGTCTTATTTTGTGCTTATCGTTCTGAGCAATCTTCAAGTATGAAAAAGATATCATACCGCCGGAACTCTTAATCTCTAATCCATTGAATTCTAAGGTTTTCATCAGATTCCACTAGCGTGGCATATGCGGCATTTTTAAGAATGAAAGGAATGAATATATAAGTAAATGGCCTATCGCAGACTGTGAACTTAGTGTAACACCCAAGTTCAAATCAAATCAAGGAGTATGTACGAAAAAGAAAATGCCTCATTCAAATCTAGGATATAACCCTCTTCACGGCATAAGAGAAAATTAACACAAGCTCAAGGACAAAAAAGAAAGGTAAAACGTGGAAACAATCATAGCGCACGAATAGAAGCGAGACTTTCGCATGGTTAATGATTGAACTTTCCACCACACACGTAGAGTAGTCCCACACTAACCATTTGTGAATCCCACATATTTTACATAGATCACATCAGTTACACTCGTCCTGGTTATGGTCGTTGTCTGAGTCGTTGTACTCAATCGCGGCAGTGCAGTAAGTGTCACCCAATGAGTGATGGTACTTGAAACTGTTTTTGCAGCAGGTACCGTGGCGATATCCGTCACAGTCACAGTGACAGTCTCTGTACCTCCTGCCACTACATTTGGGGCATCATTAGCTATTTGAGGCGTTCTGGATGCGGGCTCGCTGCTAATAATAGTTACCAACGCTGTTGTTGTTTGGGTCATTGTAATTGTTCTGGTGTCTGCTGGTTTATCTGATCCAATGTTGCTCACCGGAGGAGCTGCCGTATTTATTGCAGTAATCGCTATAGTTCCAGTAAAGATAGTACTGGTTATCCAAACACCAGGGACGGTGACTGTTACAGTGACAACCACCGATGTTGACGGAGTCACAGTTTCCTGTATAAATCTGTGATTAGTCTTGGAATGCTGGAAGAGCGAGAGGGGACAAGAAGCTTACACTAACAGTGACAACCACACTTCGACCCGTCAACGGTACGAGATGTCTTATGACTGGTGCTGTACCAGTCACAGTGAATTCAGTCGAAGTGGCAATATTCTTCGGTATGATAGAACTGTTCGCCTCATCTGCAAGCAGAGACCTTTTCATCGGAACCCCAACAGTCCTGGTGCTTATAATATCTTCTTGCCATGACGTCGTAAAACTTGTTCGCGATAGTGTTATAATTGTTGGAGGTCCTGTCACTAAGGTTGTTCGAAAAATGGTGATCATTGACGTTTTCACTAGACTGGAAGCATCTTGAGTGGTATCAGTGATCGTAGATCGCTGAGTCGCAGTCTGGGTTACAGTGAAAGCAGTCCCAGGGGCTTCTTGCCCTGGGGTTACTGCTTCTTCTATTCTTGTTGCTGTTGCTTTTGTCGTCCTTGCTTCCGTAACTGTAATTGTATGAGTGGATGAAATATATTCTGCAGCATTTAGCGGGTTAGAAGCCACTGAAACCACGTTCATGGTTATAGTCCTCATTGCGTATCGGGTGTACGTCATGTAGAATGTTACACTTTGATAAATAGTGCTGGTATAAGTGATAGTTTCAGGTACGGTTGTCGTGACGTAGGCATATTGGCGTTTAATGTTCTGGCTCTCAGTAGAACTTGCACTTGTTGCGACAGATGCATAGTTGTCAACATCGAACGGAAATGCAGTCACCAAGGACTGAAAAGCAGCGAGATAGGTGACGAACTTGCGAACTACAAGATGTACTCTCATTATTCGTGGCTATAACTCTCCGTTGGAAAAGCTCGACCCGCAACATTCGTTGACTAAGGATGTAGAACATAAACATCAACTGTATTTCTGACGCCAGTCACATCGTTTCATCTATGACAAAGATCATGGCAGGCATCCCGGTCAGATCCTTTGAGATATCACAAGTATAGTAATCACAAACAACCCAGAATAGATCCGGTCTCCGGGTCGACAAAGGATTGACAAGCCACAGTGCCTACTACCAGGTAGCGAACTAGATTTCAGAGGTATGACTGGGAGGGAGAAGAATTTGACAGGGCAGTAGCGAGTCCCTTGGATTACCAAACCGATGGTTTTTATTGCTCGCTTCCCTGCTTTCGCCATGATGTGTGCTGCCACAGATATACTTCGTCTTGTATCCTCTAACTGGAAGAATAATCATCTGGCAACTTTAACAAACAATGTGGACGCCATCTATATTCCCTAGGTTATTATTACTATTCTCAGATTTGTTTAGTACACAATTCGCGTCCAACAGCCTAGAGGTTCTTTGCCCAGGCGATTAGTTAACTTAGTTACGTGTCCTTTTAGGTCTGTGCTGCGTTATAACATCTATATCCTCAATGGGCTCCTAGGAAGCTCTCATTTCAAGTCCACATGCAGATTGATAGTAATCTCATTCCTAGTTCATAAATACTCGAAATCCGACCTTTTGTTTGTCGTTCCGTCTAGACTCAGAAGTAGCGGACGCACTAGGTTCGCAAACACTGTTTGAATAGTATTTGCAAGCCACAGCGGGAATTAATGTAGGCCTAGACTGAACTTTCGACGAATAAAATACAGAAAAAGCCCGTCTATAGGTTCTGCAAGTTATTAACTTCTGTCCACAAACGGATAAATGAGACATAGTTCCACGCCGTAGCCCTAAGTGATGGAGAATGGATATTGACCTTTGATGTATAAAAGGAATAACCCTTTTCATTAATCAAGCAATTTTTGCTTCTCTTCGAGAGAAAGCCAAATAATTACAGAATCCGATCAGGCATCATCCTCATAGATTTACTCGAACATCTCTTAATCCCATCCATCTAAATGACTTCCTTGAAAGTTCTCATTTGCGGTGGCGGCTGTGCTGGACCAGCTTTGGCCTATTGGTTATCACTATCTGGTCATCAGGTTGTTGTTGTCGAGCGTTTCCCAGCTATCAGGGCTACCGGTGCCCAAATTGATATTCGCGCGCAAGGAATCGAAGTTATCAAGCAAATGGGCTTGCTTGATACAATTCGTACGAAGCTCGTTCACGAGCCTAGTGTTTCTCTAGTTGACTCTGCAGGCAAGGCAAATGCAACCATCATGGCGAATACTTCCGGCAAGGGTGCGCAGTCTTTGACATCTGAGTACGAGATTATGCGCGGGGATTTGGTGCGCATTCTTTACGACGCTACAAAAGGCAAAGTGAATTACATCTTTGGCAGAACGGTTGACTGCTTCGAGCAGGATGAACAACAAGTTGTTGCCTATTTCTCGGATGGTTCTTCTAATTCATTTGATCTGCTGGTGGGAGCAGACGGTCAGGGGTCGCGCATCTGAAAAGCTATCTTACCTCGCGATAGCCCCAATCCTTACAAACGACTTGGTATACAGCTAGCATATTCTTTTATTCAACGTACAGAGGACGACAGTAACTTCCACGAGATGTTCCTGAGCCCTGGTGGTCGACTAGTTGCGCGCAGAAGTCACAGTCCGTCAGATACCCAAGTCTACTTTATCCTCAAAGACAATTCCGAGAATTTCATGAGTCTCTCCAAAGTTACCATCGAACAGCAAAGAGAGTTTTGGGCTAGCCGATTTGCCGATGCTGGATGGCAAACTCCTCGTTTTCTGCAGGGTATAGAAGCCACTAATAACTTTTATTGTCAGGAAGCAGTGCAAGTCTGCATTGACTCGTGGCATAAAGGACGTGTCGTTCTCCTTAGTGATGCTGCGTACTGTTCATCCCCATTTAGCGCTATGGGGACTACCGGAAGTTTTGTAGGTGCTTATGTTTTGGCAGGGGAGATCAACCGCCACAGGGGTGATCTAGCCCAGGCTCTGATTAACTATGAGCAAAGATTGAGACCATTCGTGAACGAAATGCAAAAGATACATCCTAGCTTCATACGCCTCATGTTGCCTGACACCCAATTGGGAATTTCCGTTATCCACTTTGTCTTAGGATTAATTTGTTTTCTTCGCATTCCGGGATTTCTATCAAGGTTCACCACTGAAGACCAAGGTGGTTGGAAGTTGCCAGACTACCCTAAGATCTACCAGACAATTCAGTGATGATGGCTTGGGGTCCCAAGTCGAATGTGTTTTCATGAAAGCAGCATATCGATCTCCACTCTCTTAGATTCTTTCATTTGTTCTCGCATGAGCTACTAGATTTATGAATCCTCGACCAGAGATACAAGCATGGCTAGGAGATATGTTCTTCATGAGATAACTATTATTTTGATATTTCCGATACATTGCGTGTACAATAACAGAATATTTCTCAAGTTGCTTTTCAATTTACTTCGTAATCGGCCTTTGAAAGTCATAAACTGCTTTCTTCGACAGACAGGAAATACCAGATGGCCAAGACAACAAGCAAGCATTTAAATCCAAACTCCAATACTTAAATTTTACTAGTGACTGGGACGTTTATCGGGGGGTCCACGGAATATGGGATCTTCAGTTCCTTTGCAGTTATCAAGACAGCCTTCTCGCCCACAGCAAGAGCTGTGGCATACGTATTCGCCGAAACGTTGAAGGGGCAAATAGACAAATCTTGCAGGCACAAAGTCAGTATTTGTAGTTGGACAAGAAAACACCAAGTCTACACTCTTGATAGCTTACCGACAATCTTTAATCCACTAACGCCGTGGACGTTGAGACTACTGTCAACAACGCCACCATCTTCCCTGGGCTTCATCGCACACGTACCCAAGCTATGCCAAGTTGTATGAACTCTCTCCCTGATAAATTTTCGAATAACCTCGTCATCTTCCGCCGAGTAGTCTATATGAATTAGTTGTTCTCGTGACCGAGAAGCCTCGTCAACAACCTCGTAGCTTGCTTTTGAGCCTTCGGGAAAAGTTGGGTGTCCCTCTTTGAGTGGACCTTGATAGTAGGACATTCTGCGAACTATCTCTCTTTGCAACTTGTACCCCCAGACCAGTTTCTCCAAGTCTATGGGATTAGAGAGGAAGCCACAGTTAAACTCAGGCACGTCCACTGTTGAAGGCCCAGTAATATGAATTGAGCCCCGCGAGTACGGGTATGGAGTATATGGACCACATGAAAAATATTGCCCGACATCAATGCATGAGTGATCACCAACGTACCCCGCAATCGTAGCAATTAACATCAATGGTTTCTCTGCCTGGGTTTTGAAATCTGCCTCCCAGGCTCTCTGCAACGTAGGATGAAGGGACTTGGGATCAACAGGACGGAGCTTCCCGACACAGTCCAGCCCATTCCAGCCTATCATGTTGCGCCCTGGAGTTTCTTTCTTCTGTTTCAGAGCTTCCTCCAATGTTAAGCGTCCACTGACTACGCCGTCGATCGTTTCAGAAATTCCCGCACTCGACTTATACGGGTAAAAGATCACATTATGATCCTGATAATTGTTACCCACGCCTGGCAGATCAGATACTACGTGAATACCCAGTTTAGATAGCAGCTGTTTATCGCCGACCCCAGACCTTTCCAGAATTTGGGGGGATCCCAACGCACCACTAGCAAGGACGACGAGTTTGCGTGCTTTTACGGTAGATATGTCCGCGCCGTTCATGCTGTATTCCACAGCATTGGCTCTCTTGTTGCCATCGAATAATATTCTAGTTACGCTGACATCGGTTGCAACTTGAAGCTTCGAAATCCCCTGGTCGATCAGGGGAAATAAGAGACAGTGAGGCACATCTTGTCTTAAGCCAGTGTTAGGATCTATCCACATATTGAACTTCTATACACCCAGGGCGCCCATAGCTAATTAGCATACAACTTATTAAAGTAACAGAAGAAGAAATTGTCACTCACACCAACTGCATTTGCAGTATGGAAACTTTGAACATCGGCTGTTGTCGATATGCCAACATCAGAGCAAGCCTTGAAGAAGTCTTGTTGAAAAGAAGGCTGGGCGTTGGTTCCTGCGGACACGCAGAATTCGCCATCGTAACCGTGCACGCTCGTGTCAATATCTGGATCGGTGTCATGAAATCGCTCATACTACCCACGTTGTTAGGGTGTCTCTCGAGTTAGGGTCGAGTCATGGGACAGGGTATATGAAATTACTTTCTTGAACATGGGGATCATGTCTTTGCCAGTCCAACCCGTAACATTCCATGCATCGAAATCAATTGCCTGCGGTCTCGAGTAGACCATGAAATTGATTGAGCTCCCACCACCCAGACACCTGCCGGTTGGAACTATTGATTCTCTGCCTGCTAGAGCCTCCGACGGCTTGGACTTATAAAAGGACGCTCGGGGCGAATCGGGGGCAATGTTCATTAGGTAGAATGCAGGGTTGACTACTAGAGGGTCGTCTCTGGTGTTTGGTCCATGCTCTAGAACTACAATGGAAAGCGTGGGATCAGCTTTGGCGAGACGCGAAGCGACTAGTATTCCGGTCGTGCCTCCTGTAGAGTTTGCATTAAATCATTAACTTTTTGCATCGTAGATAACAATATAGCGATTGGCCCACAAGGCGAGAGCCGTTGCATACCCCCTGCAATCACCACGTCAACCTCATCTGGAATTGAATGATTTTTTGACATGTTCGTAACATGTGAGACGAAGAATGGCCATACAAGGCCAGTTTGTAAAACTATGAAGTATGTAAGAGCCTGTAGGGATTCGATATCCTATTGCGGGCAAAGGAAAACAGGAAATTCAATAACGAAACTGCAGGAACATAGCACGGATCGGTCTACACAGGACATTTTATATACGTAGAAGCCATCAGCCACTGGTATACCCAAGCACCTATGCACCCAGGGATCTAGGTGATATCTACCTTGGTTAGTAAATGTAGGCCCAGCCCCGTATAGATTCAATGGTCGCTTCCCCACCGTCTCACTCGGCTTTTCAACGGACGCGCCCATCATTTCACGAGCTCGAACACAGCCTATCACATTATTGTGATTCCCCACTGTTCTTGCGCAGCTGTCATTTAGGGTTCCAGATGATAAAATTTTAGACAGCCCAGTGGCTAGATTGAGGAATTGGTGGGTTGCAATGCAGATATGGGACACTACCTACATAGTACGTGTGCGGTGACTCGCCAAACTACAGATTATTATACCAACTACATATCTAGGAATACCATGGAAATGAGGTGTTCATATAACTTTCTGTGAGCCTCAAACAAGTTCTCGGCCGGTTTTCAAAATAAATGCGTTGCAATAACGACTGGAATAAAAAAAGAAAAAGACCAGGATGCACATGTGACCTGTCACTTGATATCTATGTACTGAATGCATAGAGGCGCTCTAAGGCAATTTAATCATCCAATCGCTATTGCTGTACTTTTTTTCGGTTTTAGCGGTGACGAAACAAGAAGTGATTGAATTCTTGTCTATGCGTACTAAGACGGTCTAGAACATGCCTGGCCTACGTCGAATGCAGCCTAGAAGATGTCGGTCAGTATTCGTTCTATTATACTAACATTGTAGATAGATACTTGTGGACTTTGGCACATTCATAGATGGCTTTCTGTCTCCGATCATGTGAAGTCCTTGCTTTTCGCTTGTTACAAATATATCCTAGTTATCCACCCAGTCACTGAAGTTCATGTCTAAGATACATCAATCTCTTGGTTAAGAGGCTTTATTTGGTTCAACGGTGTGAGTTGCTTTCATGCCGCTGTTATCAGTTCCTGGATTACTCTGAGGCTCACTTAATTTCTCTTGAGTCTCTTGCGGGGCATGTCTATGGACGACTATCCACGTCGGTATTATACATAAACCTAGACGGACGTTAGCATGGTTGCCTGATGGTTTTGATGAAAGTATTCAGAAAGCACTAACCTAGCAAGATGGTGTTCACTGCCATCGGTACCCGACCACCATACCAATTTCTTGAGTTGAGACCACAAGGAACAGCTTCATCGAAACTTTCCTGGCCCCTAAGGATGCCGGTCAATCTAGTGAGTTCTGCAATGTTGTCTGTCAGAGAACCAACGAAGTAATGCAGCCAATTCTCCACTGTCTGTTGCGCGAATGACCACAGGAACAATGCAAAAGCACGTTTCACAAATTCCGGGCTTGAGTAATCCAGCATCGGAGGACTCGTTGTGTATTCTCCTTGAATTATCCATGCATAGATCCATGTGACAATGTGTACAAGAATCACATAGTACCACCCATAGGTAACACGCTTTTTGGGGTCAATTGATTTCCAGTCAAGCCAATGAGTGATCATTTGAGAGGCGACAATTGTAACCACGTCGCTAACGAATGCAATCAGTGCTCGAGCTCGCACTCCAAAATAGTAAGTCTCGAAGTTGCTAGAGTATTCGTTGAAGTACGCAGCCCAGAATCGTAGCTCACGCTTCCTGCTCTTGCGGTTTTGATGTTGAAAGCCAGTACGATTGCATCCCCAATAAGCGGACCCAAGGTCCTCCACCAAACCTAGATATTGAGTTATCGCGCTCTTTTCGAAGGCTCAGAATATCCAATGGCAACAGCAGAAATCCCACACGCAGCGGAGCCCAGCAATACAAACCATACATTTCATTGGTAATCAGGCCTATTGGCTATCAGGTTCTAGGGTTGAGAAAGGATGACGGTTCAGTTATCTACTTCCGAAGACACCTTGATCATATCAAAAGCTGGATAATTAATCGAAGTCAACATGCAATTATTTAAAAAAAACGCCGAAAAACAGGTGGCCGTGATGGACAGTTGTGTCGAGATGCCGGACTTGTACTAAATCATGGTAAATACAATTCTTTTTCTATCAGTGTATATACCCAGGAATCAAAGGAGTGTGTTCCACAGGGTTTGGGTAGTGGACTAACATATGAGGTAAAACTCCTAACAAAAGCAAGGAGGTGTATCATATGTAGGCTAAGCCCATCACTAGCAAGAATAGAGACATCAAGCAAATGCCAAGGTAGTACGTAGTTTTTTGCATTTTGGATGAAAACAACTTATGTATGAATCATAGCATCGCGTCCCCATGGGGTACGACGCACGGGTCCGTGGTCCAGCCACGTCCCGATGAGCGAAGCTTGGGTGCCACAATTGCCGGAAAGGGAAATCATGGAAATTATGGGGCCTTTTTACGATTTCCAGGGTTGCGCTCCGGCCACACCATGGATCGATGTGGATATAACCACCCGCTATAATTCTCATTTCTCTAGTGATCCTTTCTTGTAACCACGTGTAAATGCCGATATCTTGCTTCCTAATGTAGCCTATCAGACCAAGCCAAGACACCCTTTATACAATATGGTCACTTCTCATCTGTGTTTTTGAAAAGGGTCGCTTTAGTATTCTAAACCAAACAGTAACGGATTAGGTACTATGAATGGGTTTTTATGTATAAGCCTTCCGAGCTTACGCCTTAGGCTGAATTAGTATCTTTACGTGCGCTGCCTTGTTGTTAATCAACTCCAAGTAACCCTTCTCAATTGCCTTGCTGATTGGCACCACAGACGTGACTACCTCCTCAGCTGGAATTTTCCTTCTTTCAGGGTATCAATGACTGCGACATAGTCATCAGCCGCGTAGCATATACCACCCTACGGCTTCTTTTCTGTCAAAAGCAGACGGTTGAGATAGCTGCCGCAAGGGCTTCTCATGGATGGCAATATCAAAAATTGCGCCATCAATTCTTGTTGCAGCCTGGTAGCATCAAGGGCTACGTCCACTCCCTGACCAGATGTCAGGTCATGTACCAGTTGTGTTACCGGATCTTTTGGTCGAGTCCCGCCCATATGCGTAATTTGCGCGAGCGGGTTGACAACATGATCTGCTCCGAATTTATGTGCTTGTTTATCTCGCTCATGACAACAAGGCTGCTTACTATAGCCAGCATTAGAATTGTTTCAAACCAATAGGCCCAGCACCGAGTATGACTGCCTTTTGCCCTTTTTCAAACCCGCTTAAGCGGATCGAATGCCATGCTACTGCGAGCGGCTCGACTAGTGCACCGCCTTTTAACGATACCGTCTCCGGCAAAGCAACACAGCTGACTGCTTTTATAACAATCATTTGAGCAAAGCCGCCTCCGGGTGCGCTGGGTCCATAAGTCGCCCACTTTTGGCAAAGATTCCGCTTGCTTGCCTTGCATGCAAAATAAGGCGCCTCGTTATAATGTCGGTCATCTAGGGGTGGAATGGCGGCAACTTTCTGGCCAGGAATGAGATCTTGAACGTCATCGCCAACCTCGGTCACTGTACCAGAGAACTCGTATCCCATAGTGATGGGAAGTTGAGCGCCAGTGTACGAATGCGGCTCTCCTGCTTTGGGGGGCGGATGGGGGGAGAAGAATGGGTCCTCCGAGATATTCGTGAATGTTCGAGCCGCAAATACCGCCGTAACCAATTTTCAGACGGACTTCATCGGATTTTCACAAAGAATTAAGGAAAACACGTGAGTATGCTGTAGCTTTTGGACAAGTTTACTATCTGCAGAGGAAGACAATCCTACAATGCCGGTAGATAATTTTTTTTATTGCCAACTGTTTCGGGCCATAATACAGGAGAGACTGTACCAAGTTCGAGGCTGATGCAGATACTGTGATATCCATCTTGATTGCTAACGACGCTGGTCTGGCGGTTGTGGCGGTCGCAATGATAGATTGATGGACTGATGGGAAGAGAGAAGATCACTTCACAGAAGCAGCAAATGTTCAGATCAAGTCCCTGAAACTGGTGAGGCATCACCATCAGACCTCGGGCATCAGGCATTGGATATGATGAACCTATGAAATGGCCAAGTGATGCTACGTATGCAGTTGCCGACTACATGGCGTCGCGCGGGGCAAGCATGCGGAGAGACCCCGGCATTCAGGATCATCTGACACACTGTTTTAGCCTGATGAAATGCTGCAGCTCTCACTGTAGATGCGTATTTCAGTCGTGGCTTTTTGTGCAAGTCAAGGTGAGAGAGGCGGTCTGGCTGTCATGTCTTTGTGAGGAAAGACGCATGGCGCTGGGGAGCATAATCTAACAAGACTGTTTGTTTCAAGTCACATAGTAAGCAGCCAAGCAAGGCTCTGCATGTAATGTTTATTGTCTGCTACCACAAACAGATATTCATCGCTATTAGGGTATGCCCTAGAGGCTAGAACGTGCAATTGCCAATAAAGGACTAGCGCCACCATCGAGGCGGTGAGATTCGAGAATTTTTATTTGCCGCCGGAAAGCCCCACTCATGGTACTTTTGAACATGATTTTTTGGTGGGGGAGCGAGGGGAGCGAGGGGCAAAAGTTGGAACGTATTCGCTTATATAATCAGCCGATTGTCGATCAAGCTCGATGGCCATTTTGCCACTGACGACACCTTAAATATTCACTCCCCCCATCCTCCCTCCACTCGTCATCATTGTCATTGTCATTGGAGTTATCATTCATTTGATTCAACTGGCAATGGCGCCTCTCAAGCTCGACAGCAAAACCCTCTCGCAAATCTCGACCTCAGGTAAAGGACAGATCAAGGTCCCAACCTACCAGCGCGATGGCGCTGTCAAGGAAGGAATCGTTCATGTTGGTGTTGGCGGCTTTCATCGCGCCCATTTGGCCGTCTATGTCGACCAATTGATGCAGAATCACGGCGTTACCGACTACGCAATTTGTGGTGTTGGCTTGCAGCCATTCGACGCAACCATGCGTGACGTCTTGGGCTCGCAGGACAGTCTCTACACCGTGATTGAACGTTCAGCCAGTGGAAGCGTTGCCCATGTTGTTGGCAGCATTAACTCCTACCTCTTTGCACCGGATGATCGCGAGGCTGTGGTTGCCAAGATGGCTCACCCAGATACGCATATTGTCTCGCTCACCATCACCGAAAGCGGTTACTACTACAACGAGAACACACACGAGTTGCAAAGCGAACATCCCGACATTCAGTTCGACCTCGACTCCGCCAACGAAAAGGCACCCCGCACCACTTTCGGCTTCCTCTACGCCGCCCTGGTACGACGCCACAAACAAGGCCTAAAGCCTTTCACCGTCATGTCGTGCGACAACATGCAGAAGAACGGCTCTATCACACGTCACATGCTCGAGTCGTTTGCGCGCCTAAAGAACCCCGAGATTGCAAAGTGGATTGCTGAGCAAGGCGCGTTCCCTAATGCCATGGTCGACCGTATCACACCTCAGACATCAGCCACCGACAAAATAGCACTCTCAGAGAACTTTGGCATTGAGGACCAATGGCCAGTCGTCACGGAGCCTTTCATGCAGTGGGTTATCGAGGACAAATTCTCTGACGGCCGCCCGCCATTTGAGAAGGTCGGTGTCCAGGTTGTTAAGAATGTCCACGACGTCGAGCAGTTCGAGAAGCATAAACTGCGTCTTCTTAACGGTAGCCACTCAGCTATAGGCTATCCAGGTCAACTAGCAGGCTTCAAATACGTCCATGAGGTTATGGAAAACCCGTTATTCCGCAAGTTCGTGTGGCAGATGATGCAGGAGGAGGTGAAGCCACTCTTGCCTGATATTCCAGGTGTCAATATTGATGAGTACTGCAACACGCTTATCAACCGTTTCTCCAACCCCACAATAATGGATCAGCTGCCTCGCATCTGCCTCAACGCTTCTGGCAAGATTCCTCAATTTATCATGCCGTCGATTGCCGAGGCGATTTGGGTTACTGGCCCGTTCCGGCGCTTGTGCTTCGTCGCAGCTGCTTGGTTCCACTACATCAACGGCGTCGACGACAGCGGTAAGGCGTTCAACGTTGATGATCCCATGCGTGAGGAGCTTCAAGCCAAGGCTCGCGCAGGAGGGACTAACCCGGCCGAGCTACTCAGCATTAAGAATTTGTTTGGTGACGACTTGCGTAACGACAAGAGATTCGTCAATGAGCTCACTATCGCTATGGAGGACATTGCCCGGGACGGCATTTTGAAGACACTTCCTAAGTACATTGACTAATCGTTGCGATGAGGGGCTTTTTTTCATTTTGGAAAAAAGGGTATGCCAATCTTCTCGAGCGTCGTCTTATTTTTTGGTTTTTGCTTGGGTCATAAAGGAGTGGTTTTACAGGAAGACATATCATAGAGTTGGATATAATAGACAAAATTCGCCAAGCACGCCTCCCCTGGATGTCAAGCCTGGGAGATCTTAGAAAAGGCTCAGTACATACGAGTTTCTGGTACAATATAATATTAGCGTCACACAATCGTCTTCTAGAAACGTGGGTCTATTCTTGGGGAAGCCAACTCATCTCTGCATTTTCCCTAAGGATATAATTGGGCATTTTATGTTAAAATGATGCTCCAAAATCAAAATATCCAGTATTCATCCACTTCACATAATTCAATGGTAGGCCATGCGCGAACAAATACGTCATGACCGATCGATCTCGTGGCCGATGTAACTAAGGCTAAATAAGGTTGCGCTGACATATCCACGCTTTTGAAAACGAACCAATGATGGAACCTGCAGCGGTCTTTTCACTTTCTGATGCCAGTGCCATATACTGCGATAGTGATCAACGGTCTAAGTGCGTGACGAGACAAATGATAGACGATATACCTACCTAGATAATGCTATATTTTCTAAAAGCCGTGGGGAAATAATATCGACATTCCAAAAAAGGTGCAATGTTGTCGGAAATAAGAAAACGAAGATGCCTAGGTTCCGGCTGCTGTTGCTTGAAGGGGCTACGTTCTCACCGTCGCAATAATCCTAGCCCTAAGACCAGTCAGACGCAAGCATGTTGAATTTTTACGAATGCATGAATTAGGTACAATTCGGATTGGCTTCATAAATTCTCTCCATTAATCTATATTTCCAGGAGTTTCTACTACCCTGAGTCGGTTCAACAAATGATAACATAGCTTGGTATGGTCATGACCCTAGAGTCCTCGTTAACATCGCGGAGTTGCGGGCGAAGGTGAGTTGAACAGAGTCAATCTCAAATTGCTCCAGACAGCAACAATACCCCGGAATGACCTCTTTCGATAAAGACATGAAATTATCAACATGATCATAAACTTTTGACTATTAGCAGGACCCGGTGAGGTCACATCGTCAAACTTCACCCCGGCTTCCTGCCCGACAATCCGCGACGATCACGGCATGATTGCCTTATATTTCCCTCTCTCCCCCTCCTTTTTATGTATTAGTCTTCAATCTACTATATATATTCAAAAAGATTACCAAGGTACATCGGGTGCCATCATGCTGCAATACTTGTCCATTGCCCTTGTTGCCATTTTGGCCGCAGTCGAAGCACAGCAATCCGCTTATGGACAATGTAAGAGTCGACTTCAAACTTCAATTATAACTGACCACTGTTAACTTAAATTTCTAGGCGGCGGCCAGGGTTGGAGTGGCCCGACACAGTGCGCTACCGGATATACATGTAGCGTGGAAAATTCTTGTAAGACCTTTGCGTATGATGATTTCTCGTTCTCCAACTAGATTACTAACCCCGTGTATACCTATTGGCGAAGACTATGCCCAATGTCTTCCTGCAACTACCATTTCTACTACCCTGACGACCGCTGTTTCTTCATCCAGCAGCGTGATTATGCCGTCGACAACAACGACGGCGACGACGACGACTACTCCCGTCACTAGTAGTGCAGCCGATGCATCTAGCAACCCTTTCTCTGGTTACCAGCTTTATGCAAACCCTTACTATTCATCTGAGGTTCACACTCTTGCTTTACCGTCTTTGACTGGCTCCCTTGCGGCTGCTGCGACTCAGGCAGCTGAGATTCCCTCATTTGTTTGGTTGTGAGTTATTGTGATATAGTCCTTGTAACTTTATTGCCCATGTTCCCTAGCTAGATAACATGTCTTTAAATCACTAGCTAAGAATCAAGAACAGGGACGAGGCCGCTAAAGTGCCTACTATGGGTACTTATCTCGCTAACATTGATGCTGCTAACAAGGCTGGTGCCAGCCCTCCAATCGCCGGTATTTTTGTTGTCTACGACTTGCCTGATCGTGACTGTGCGGCCGCTGCGAGTAATGGGGAATACACGTTGTCTGACAACGGTATTCAATATTACAAGGAGTACATCGATAGCATTAAATCACAGTTAACAACTTATTCTGATGTGCAGACCATTCTGATCGTCGGTAGGATTATCAATCTGAAAGGGAAAAAACATATACAGCCACTAACAAAAACATCTACCTATAGAGCCTGATAGTCTAGCGAATTTGGTTACCAACTTAAATGTCGCGAAGTGCGCAGAGGCTGAATCGGCTTACTATGAATGCATCAACTACGCTTTAACAACACTCAATCAGTCCAACGTCGCCATGTATCTGGATGCTGGTCATGCTGGGTGGCTTGGGTGGCCTGCCAATCTTTCGCCAGCAGCAGAGCTCTTTGCAGAGGTCTACAAGAATGCGAGTTCTCCTGCATCCCTCAGAGGCCTCGCCACTAATGTTGCCAATTACAACGCTTGGTCCATCAGCACCGCCCCTTCATATACATCAGGCGACTCCAACTATGATGAGAAGCTTTACGTTAACGCTCTTTCGCCCCTTCTTGAACAGAATGGGTGGACTAATGCCCACTTTATTACGGATACTTGTATGGATACAATTCCTTGCACTCATTGAACACTTCAATAAACTAACCGAATTTCATTATTAGCCCGTAATGGCGTTCAGCCTACAGAACAGCAGGCATGGGGGGACTGGTGCAATGTCATAGGCACAGGCTTCGGTGTGCCTTTCACAACAGATACTGGTGATGACCTGGAGGATGCCTTTGTATGGGTTAAACCTGGTGGCGAAAGTGATGGAACATCAAACAGCTCTGCCACTCGTTACGATTATCATTGTGGTTACAGCGATGCATTGCAGCCAGCTCCAGAGGCCGGTACCTGGTTCCAAGAATACTTTGTCCAACTTTTAACTAATGCAAATCCATCTCTGACTTGAAGGGATCCTTGCAATTTTTTACGAATTTGACAAACGTTCTCTTGCTTGCAGACTATCTTGAGGTTTTAGTGCCATCCTGCTTCCGAACTAATGTCACCTCCGTTATTCCGAGGGGCTGTGTTTGTCTTTAGGCATCTTGATAGCTTAATAGTTTACTCTACTTCTAATATGGCCAGGAAAATTCTAAAGGGTTTCCACTATGAAGAAAAGGTCAATGCTCAGATACACACCAAACAACTTATAGCAATTTCAATTTATTGCTAATTCTTCCAACGACAAGCGTGTTCGTTGGTTTCAAGCAGAAAGAAACTGATCCTTTCATCCAAAAGCACTTCATTGTAGTTCCTTTGCTAATTTTCGTTTGAAAACATAAGCTATATCATAATATCAATCACTCTGTCTCATCATGCGTCCATCCCATAAGCCTTGCAGCCTTGTCCGTTGTCCAGAATGCCTGGTTTTTGGACATGTCGCCTCTGATTTCTGCTCGGGGAAAGTATTTCATGGCAAGATCTTTTGAGGGTATCTGCTGGGTTGTAGTCGGGGCCAATATGTTGATCACTTGGAATCCATTCATATTCTCGCTCTTCTCGACTGCCAGCAGACAGGCTCTGGCTACTGCACGTGGGTTGACCCATCCCCACAGCTGTCGAACCGCGGAGTCTTGCCAGTTTTCTTCGTGCCTTCTTTGAACCTCTTTCAAGGGGGCAACCTCGTGAATTCTCAAACAAGCAATATTTAACCCAGGGAACCAGGCTGTGAAGGATTTTGCCTGATACTCAGCTTCTGCCTTTGCTAGGGCATAGGCGTCCGTGGGTCGTTGAGGCGCTTCTTCGTCAATTGGAAAATAATCAAATTCTAAAGGAGTATTCGAGAAGGCCAGGCCAATAGCATTTACAGACGAGGCATAGCAGACCTTCTTAATGCCCAATTCAGCGGCGGCATGGAATCCGTTAAACGCTGCATTCACGTTGTTGTTGTGTACATACCAGTTTGCTTTGCCGACAGGGTCTGGCACAGCAGCAAGGTGTATTATGGCATCGCAGCCCATGAAGGCTTTAAGTGCACTGTCATAATCCTTCGCAATATCTGCTGTTTTCATTTCCGAGTTGGGGGTGCCGTCATGTTCTGTATGAGTGCGGTTGATCTGAACTGTTTGATGCCCTTCCTCTGCGCATAACTTCACCAGTATCTTTCCCACAAGTCCACGAGCTCCTGTAATTGCAATCTTCATAATATTATGTCGTGTTACCCATATGCGAGCTCTCGTATGTATAGTGATATACTATTTATGATCAATAAGGATAATTGCGTAGGTAGGTAGCTTGCCAGATTGATCCCGAATAATTCACCTGTTTTACTATGTTTTCCATGTCTCAATAGATTGTGGCAATTCAAATTTCCAATTCAATGGCCGTGGCTGGTTCCATCAGTTTATCGTCATAACACCGCGTAAAAGTTGGATCAAAAATCCGTCCACTCCCAGTTATTGAACTCGGCCCTATCGTTAGCTATATCCTTTCTTGCTTTAATAATTTAGGTTCATGAGTTGATTAGAGAGTTTTAGGCATGATAAATTGCAGAATTGATGATATACTAACAGGCCGCTCGAAATGTCGTTACGAGTTAAGAGGATTATATTTTAAGATTGGGTTATCCCTGAGCAACGCACTTGCAAATTTTGAATACTAACCTCAGTTCAAGAAAATCTTGCTATATTTTGATGGACAAATCGTCCGTGGTTGCTCCTTAGAGGATAGCTGCCAGACAACGTGACCAATTGAACCCTAGTTAGCCGTCAGTCAATCAGGGCCAAGTAGTAGATAATGAGATGTGCCAGTGGTGTTCCATTTTGATGGTTTTACTTCGTTATAGTAAAAGAAAAGAAAAGAAAAGAAAAAAAGGAAAAACATATAAGAGTTCAGAACTAAATCCCTGCCACAAATCTCTCAACTTTCGCCATCCATTCCGCTAGAAAATGCACACTTTCTTGCCCGTCCCACCCGCTTGCCATCATCGCAACTGCCAGTAGGACAGATGAAGAGGACAGGGTATACGGTGTGGGAACTACTGTTCCAATGGGACTACCAACGTCGTCAAAATTGAAGTTTTCATTGAGTAATACGAGACAGCCTGGTCCAAATGCAGCGATGTCATTGCCAGCGTCGGGAAACCCCATCCGTAAGACTCTGTGAAGTTTCATGTCCACTCTATTCATTCCATTGTGGCACTCACAACCGAGATATTGACGCCTGATGTTGGTGGTAGAAGGTCATAGATTTCTATTTGTCTTTGATGATTAGACGTATAGCCACTCTCGATCCACATATTGGGCAGGTCAGCGCAAATAGAGTATGCACCGTCGACTATAGGGAGAGGCGCCAGGTTGTCAAGTAAGTAAGTCCATGCTTTTCAGTCATATGCAATCTTTAAGCCAAAGCGCTAATAAGCTAGCTCAAAGGTTGGATTATACGTTGCATTGAGGCTCGTAGTCTCAGAGGAAACATCGGTGGACCGAGGTCGTATACTTGCGTCGAAGCATTCCACCTAAGGAACCATCCATGTTGCCAGTGGTTGGTGTCCAGCGATACTCCAATCCAGCAAAGTACATCGGATGAGGCTATTGCCAGATAAGCAGACAATTGACCTTCCCTGGGGCTAGTAAGTGTTCATATACACCCAAACCGCGATCTAACAGTGGTCTATTTGTGCCATCGAGCCCGATTTCCGAGATGCCAAAATACCATTTCAAGATAGAACTTACAATACCATCCATTCTTTTGTAAACCATATTCTTGACGAGGGCCTTTCCCTGTGCTGTTGACTGCTAGTATATACAGTTCGTCTGCGTCAGGTCTACGAATCAGCCAGAACTGGGCCCACCAGTTTGACGAGGATTCCTCGATGACAGCGAGCTGTTTGCTGTTGAGCTCCTGGGAGAAAATTCGGCTGTAAAAGTAAATCTGTTTGCAGTATTTCCTATCGGGTGTAATACATATCTATGTACTCCCTTATAGGACCTGATCTTCGCCGCTTGCTCCTAGCCAATAGAAGTATAACGAGTCGTGCCTCCAAGTGTATGAATAACCACAGCACTTTGTCATTCTTTGCTGTATAATGCTCTGACATAGCAATTCAATCTCATACAAACGGACCCTCAAACTTGTTGAGTTTGGTAATCAACGGATAATCGAAGAAGACACTTAATGAGTCATCTAAAAAAAATTCGATCAAATGTCAAAGGCTATAACGTCAGAATACGGGTCTCCGATAGCCTTGACGGAGACATTATGCCCATGCAGAGCAAAATTCGAGGATATGACTCCGCTGTAGGAATCTAGGGTCTGCTCCATGTACGTTTCATCCACTTCATTTACAGAGATATTGCGCCCGTTATAGAGAAAGCCAACTCGGCCCAGATTAACCCGATATGAATTTTCAATTGGCCATTGTGAGCTGGCTGTTTTGGCAGCGTTCGGTTGAACGTAGTTGACCAGTCAGCCATGTGTCCAGCAGTCGAGGCCGGTGAAATCCGACAGCTCGGTCTTGGGGGGGTGGTTATAGGCAGAGGGACATTGCACCAACACCATGAGGGCAGTGTATTAAAAGGAAGCAGGGTTTGTATTGTCAGCACCAAATGCGAAGTTTCCGTTTTCTACCTGCATTGGTGTCGTAGTTGTGCGTATAGGGTCGGACAACATCTTGACGATCGATTGCTTCTGCATCGCCGATAGTAGGCGTTCCTAGGATAGGTAATGGCAGTATCGACATGCTCTGCTATTGGCTGAAGCTTGATACTAGGATTATTCTCCCATTAAAACCCCTACATATGTACAATCGCTTCGCCGGTTTCGCGCGCGGTTTATAGATCGTGAAAGATTGGAGGGCCAATCTACATGAAAATCAGTCAAGCTCATTTTCTGTTTATTTAAATGCTTTTTCTCGTTGACCTCGGGAAACATATTCCCGAATTATATATAACGCAGACAATCATGCCGAAAAAGACCTGAGTGGTGGATAAAAACTTCCCGGCTGATATTAATAGCCTAGAGGATCGACATCTTGGAAGAAGAGCGGGGTGCAGGGCAATGAATTTGTAAATGCTCTTCACCGTGACTTTCTCTCTTAACATTCCGTCAGGCTTACTTAAGATCTTGAGAAGACTGCAACCATTCATAACAGCGGCCCAGCGATATAGCTTGAATCGCATTTCACGTTAGGGTTGTAACTAATCAAGATTTTTCTCCGTTTCCCCGGCACAGATACATGAATGCTATACACCGTCTCCCCTGCTACTACGTTGATTACATCCATGTATGAAACCTTACATGGTTTGCAAAATACCCCTAATTATCCACCAGTTGGCTTTTCTTTCCCACTAGTCAGGAGAAAGTAATAAGATGGCTTCATGGCCTATGTTGATAATAGAATCAAAACTACATTTGCTAGAACAGGCTCCATTGCAAACTTCACGTGAGCTTAGGAGTGTAGTAGCTTCTACTGCAGTGCAGTTCTGGAATTATGTGGTTCACAGTAGCCTTGATCACTGCCATATTCTTCTCCATTGCCTCGGGACAAAACGCATTCGCCGGTGCAGTGGGCTTTGGAGCGGCTGCGACTGGAGGCAATGATGGAACGACAGTTTATGTCACAAATCTCAACGATTCCGGGACAGGCTCATTTCGTGATGCGGTCAGTGAGTCCAATCGCATAATCGAATTTAATGTCAGCGGGTATATTGAGCTAGCTTCAGCTGTCTCGCTATCAAGCGATATTACCATAAACGGCCAGACAGCCCCGGACGATGGCATTGGGATCATGGCAGGTGAAGTGTCGGCATCTGGTCAAAATAATATCATCATCCGCAATCTACGTATCAGACAGGGGACTCTCGACTCGGACACTGGCAAGAGCGCATTTAACATGGGGGATACGTCAAATATCATCCTTGACCACTGCTCATTTGAATACGGCCAGTGGGATACAGTCGATGCCGTTGGGGCGGTAAACATTACTGTATCAAACTCAATAATTGCCTTACCTATCGGTCAACAGTTTGGAGCCCATGTCGAGACAGGACCGTCCACGTTTTACGGCAATCTATGGGTGAGCGCACATAACCGACAGCCTCTCGCAAAAGATAACACTCAGTACATCAATAATATCGTATACAACTACCAAGCAGCATATACAACTGCAGATACCAGTGGAGACTTCTACCACGATATCATCAATAATTACTTCATTGCTGGTCCTAGTACTACAAGTTCTGGAGACGCGTTCTTTCAAGTCAATGCCGGTCAAACAGTTTACGCTTCTGGAAACTTTATTGATAGCAATAAGGATGGTACATTAAATGGAGAGGCTGATAATACGGTTGGGGGTGCGACGGTGGCTAGCACTCCCTGGGCAGATACATCTCTTAATATGGCCATGCTTTCTGCTGCTGAGGCCTACACTTCTGTTTTGGAAAACGCAGGTGCCACGCCTCGAGACGAAGTTGATTCATATGTCGTTTCTCTCGTCAAGTCTCTTGGTACCGAGGGGGCAATAATCGGCAGCCAGGATGATACAGGATTGTCAAATGGTGGCTATGGAACGCTATAGAAAAGCACACAGCTAATAGGATCACGCACTCTTTCATACTGAGGGTCTTCAGTCAATGACAACCTTTACATATGAATAAGGATAATACATACTCTGCTTGCACTCAGCGGCAGAAGGTTTTTAGTCTTTCAATACATCATTCTATTGTAGAGCTTAGGCATATTACTACCTACCCTTTCTAAGGAGTAACACAGGCAAGTACTACATATTGATGGGTACAGTTTTCAGAGTGTAAATCCCAAGATTTCTGCATAGTTTACGCAACAGCTTACTTCCCCATTTTCCCGAACACATGGTATATTTGATATTCCGGTTTTCAGGTGACTCCAGAAAGCCTCCTAAAGTCGTATGTGCTACGTGACTACAAGAGTAACAAGCTGTATCTCCACTCGTTTAGTAAATGCCGACTACTTAGCAGTACGGCATTATCTGAAGTATTAAAATTATGCATCAGCGAATACAACTTTTCTAGGAAGTACCTTCTTGCTATGCTCCAACATGCGTGAAACTATATTAACGCCATGGGATATTCCGCATGTGCATGTAGCCTCAAGGCTGCCTGCATATGCACATTGCCAGTAGAACCCTGGTAGAAGAGATTATTTCAATTGATAAATATCTAAATGCCGACGTTGGTCAATTCGCCGATTAGACTAAAGAAGACATCGCATTGACCAAGAATACATGCAAACTCATGTTTGCTGCGCACGCCAGTTGTGTAACACCGTGGTAACGTCGCCAAGGATAAAATCTGGATTGTGGTTTTCTTCTCATCCGATCAAGCATGATACAGATCTTAAGGAAAATCGGGTACAATTAAGGAATGGCCATAGCTTGAACGAAGTTGAATGACCAGGTCTTTTCGTAAGGATGGCTTGAGTTGCTGTTGTCTCGCATTATGCTTCCTTCCGCTCGATGTACGTTAGGATAAATCAAACATGAAGCATGTTCCAGTCGGGAGTTCACACCATATTGAACAGGGCAGGGTAGAAGCGTCTTGATCTTGATCCTAAGCCCTGCGGCAGCTGTAGATATTAGAGGGTGTGACAGCCAATCATAATTCGAGCTGGTAAACCGTGAGTTCAGCCAATCGCGATGCGGAACGACCCGCCAGAACTTTGAGCGTATCAGAACGTCCGGAAATAGACTACGTACACGAGTATACATCTTAACATGTATATGATACGTGCGAAGAGCAAGGCATAGACATCTCGCTGTGAGCTGGATTATGCGTAGGATACGGGGTTCTCCATAATAGCTTACTCATTCAAACCCCAAATAGGAAAATGCAATACACTCCTTGCTCGTGCCAGTCGCATGCGAAAGCCCAAAAGGGGTGGGGTGACTTGATCTGCCCAAAAGAGCGCGAAAATGCGAACAAATGTGCCAGGCTAGTCCTCAATTAGCCATGTTGTACGGGGTATTCATTAATTACAAGCCAGTACTCCGTACTGCTCCGTAATACAAACTAGTACGTTAGGGGGGAATGTCTGTGCTTTTGGTTCTCAACGGCGAACGGCTTCTTTGGGAGGCCACCTCTATTATCTGTCCGCATTGGGATTTAGACTATGCAATTGTCTTCGCACGATCTCGGGCATCGAGAGTCTAATCCAGAAGAGGAATAGTCCAATCGAGATTGTCAACAGTCACGCTCGGCAAAAGCATAAACTTAATAGCCAGCCCAGCCCGTACGGAGAAAGATTTCTCCTAACGGATCAAATTAATAATATGTATTATGTATTTTTATTCCTTACTTGAGTGAAATGAATAGTTACAGAGCAGAGAGTACGGATAACCGGGAGTATGTTTAAGAAATAGCGCACGAGAAAGCGATTGATAATCAATGTGTATGTACATACATATTAAGTTAATGCATGGTAATCTAGCTATTGCAGAGAGCATTACCAAATGACTGGCACCATCGCTTAAGCATGGCGGGTTGTTGCCCTGCATTGCATAAACCTTTGACAGGCAAGAACCGTTACGGAGTATCCGTCGATCCTTGGTCCTGCCAGCTTTTGCTCCTCCGATCTGAATTACCTTTCTTTTCTTTTTCAGTATTTGGCAGGGCGTGGAGCCCCTGCAGCCCCGTGGACGCGCTAAGTGCAGTTATTTGGAATTATTCTGCTCCACAGCTGATCCTGATGAAGTATGGAGTAGCTACTAGCAGACTAGTGGCATATTCAATGCGTTCTTAATACAAGCATTAAGCATTAAGTTCGAAAATTTAACAGGATTTTGCACAGTAAATTCCCAATATGGTATCGGCTAGGTCGGCGACTCGGCGACCATAGAAAGGGTGTTTGCATGCTCCCATTTAGTGTGTAATTAGTATACTTCGTACAGCGGACGGCTCGCGGAGTAGCAACGTTAGCTGGCAAGTCTATCCTTGTCAGGTACCACCAGGGACCAGCCCGGTCTTCTTCATACCTAGCCCTAGGGCGACCTGGTATTGAGTCAAAGTGATTAATCTACAGGTGGCGACTGTTACAGAGCAGCTGATCTGGGATCGTCAAATTTAAACACCACATGGGCAATTTAGGTAATCTGGCTCAATTGGCCGTAACTAGTACAAATAGAGAAAACATTGTCTTTTTAAGAGAGGTGAGTGGGAAAATAATATAAAACTCTGAGGCGTTCGGTGACGACGATTTGATCTTTAACTCAAGTACCGCAGTAGCGGTACGACACCTATCACATAATAATCATTATACCAGTATCATGAACAAAAAAAAAAAAAAACGACCATGTACTACTTAGTCTTACTACACATACAAGAGCTCGATAGGTTACAATGAACTATGCTTGACTACCATGTACGCGAACGCTGATGCTGCAGCGATGCAACCAAGCTCCAATCACCCATAAAGAAAGGAGAAACATTTACGAAGCGTCCGCGCCAACGGCTGGCTCAAGCTGGCTGCACCCTAATAACGGCGCCGTCCCTCACTTTTTTAGGTTCTGTGTTTGACAGGGCTTCAGGACCAGAGTAAGCGGGCAAGTGGCCAATAGCTGGGTGGGACTAACAAGGACAAGGATAACCCTGGATCGATAGATCTCCCTGTGCCTTAGAAGGATTCACTTATACTTATTTGTAACATATTCATTGGCCACTCGGTTATTTCGCTTAACAATTGACCGTGCGATCGTCGTCCTCTCGGTATCAAGTCAAACATAACAGAATGCTCCGGACACGAAAAAGAAAAGAAAGACACACACACACACACACACACACGAGGGGCCCAGTTAATTTTCATCAGGCGTTGGATGTAACCCCCTCCCCCTTGCTTGCTTGCTTGCTTGATTTCTCGCTTTTGTCCGGGATTCATCCCCATTCCGTGTACAAGAGTAGTGTACCCTGTACACGTCACGAGGAACAGCCATGCCGAGTACGGCCAATTAGACGGTCTTATTGAAGGGGACTTGACAAGGATAGAAGGCAAACCATGACTTCCATGGTTATGTATGCGTTGCTCAGGGACCGAGTTCGTTGGTCTGTACATTAGCAATATGTATGTAGAAGTTAGTATTGCTGGAATCCGAGTAACCGGTCTGGTCAGCTGGATCTTATGTCAGTTGTAATTTGAATTATTCCCAGATGTAGAGATATCTAAATACACAGGCAATGTCAGAGATAGAGAAAAAGCGGGAGGCAGTGAAGAATATAATGCACATCTGACACCACACAAGTAATACCTATATAATAACAAAATATATAAACAAAACAAAGAAAACATTCATTGAGTGGTATAATAAATTCCTGCGCCATGAAAATGCAATTGTCGTTCTAGTACTCAACCAGGGTGGTTTTTCCCGGAAAAAAATAGAAACCCCCAAACGAAATTAAGATATCCTCCCAGTATCCAGTGCTGAGCTACCTTGAGTAATAAAATGCCCCGTAATTTTCCTTAAGAAAATAAAAAGCACATGCCAAAAAAGGTCAACTGTAGAACAAAGTAAGATGCAAGAACGGGTATAAACGGCTGATTAATTAATTGAGCAAAGATTGAAGACCCATGCGAGAGTCACGAGTTGATGATGTTGTCGTCTCAGTAATTGAGTTGGTGTACTGATGATCGACGCTCCAATGTCTTCTAAAATTTGGATCTTTCTCCGTATTATGAGATATGTAAACTTCCTCCCTAGATGAGTTGGGATGGTGCGAAAACGAGTAGGTCGGCGCGCTTCCTCGACGTTGCTGCTCTGAATAGTATGCTTGGCGTGCATCGATGGGTATAGGAAACATTTGCGGCGACGGCAATGTCCTCGGTGAAGCAGAAGACACTGAATTAAGATCGGATACCATTGACGGTGGTTCCAGCGTTGATATCTCCGAAAATGCTGGAGACATTATCGCAGATTCTATAAGTCGACTGCTGCCGGTTAGAATGGGCGCGAGACGCCGGGCGTTGTCATCTTCATGGGTAGGCGAGGCCGATCGTTTCTGAAGAATCAACTGAGAAACTGGAACGGGGCTTCGGTTTCGACGAGCTTTTGCTGGCGAAACCGCCGACGATCTTCGGGCATGATGTTCATGGTCACTGGCGCGGGGATATGGGTGCTCAATGCGGCCATTAAATGTGCGCGAGGAGTGCTGGCCAGTCGTCTGCACCACCAGACCTCGCCTCTTACGGTTCATGTTGCCATTCCACCAGTTTTTGACTGCGTTATCGCTGCGGTTGCCCAGTCGGCGTGCAATCTCTGCCCAGCGCTTACCCATCTCATTGACCATACATTCGATCAGAAGCCCCTCGTCAGCAGAAATGGGAGTGTGGTTTAGAGATGGCTTCAGGTTTTGATGAAATCGTTCTCTACATTGCTTGGGAGAACGGAAATGCATCTGCTGGGAGATGCGCACCCAATTGTTGGGCCCTTGTTCATGCACTAGTTGAAGCAGAGTGCTGTCTTCCTCTGGGACCCAAGGACCACGCCGGTGATTAGGCGCCATGGCAGCGGAATGCCAAACTGGTTCGGCGTGAAATATGAGAGAAGACTATATCGAATGTCAGACTTCAATTCTTCAAGCAATAGAACTAAATAATTTGCTAAATTCCCGCTAGACAAGAAATCCAATGGTATGTCCTCTCTTCCTTGCTAGGGATATGGATGCCGAGGGGGGGGTTATTCCAGGTAGACAAGTCCCAACTCACCCAAAAAAGAAAAGACCAGAATTGGGTGCCAGATGAATATGAGATCTGGTAAAGCAAGACGCAGGTGCTTCCCTCTCGTAATCGAGTGCAGGAAGGAATGAAATCAAAGTCTTTGGATGTTGACGATTGAAATCAGACAAGACCACAGGAGGGGCGGGCCCCAAGATATGTATACTTCCAAGGTTATGAGCGATCCCTCGGCAAGCCAGCGGCAGGTCGAGCCACGCAGAAAAAAACAGGGACGCCACGGCCGATGCAGCAGCAGCAGGCAGCCCACTCGAGATCTGAGATCTTCGCGACTAAGAACCAAAAAACGAACCTAAAAGACGGCTAAAACGAAAGGCCCTAACTCCGTAGGAACCTAGAAGGGAATAAACCGATGGGGTGGGTATAAAGTATCGTAGCTAGCTAGCTAGCTAGCTAGCACAAGCCAGGATGACAGGAATGACAGGGGTCTGGAAAACCAATGGAGCAGCTGTCATGGGAATAAAACAATCAATACACAAAAGACATGGATAAGGAGGAATAAGGCTTGAACGTGAAGAGGAGAGGGGCTGAAGACCTGGCCTGGTACAGATACGGTACGTAATACAAATACAATGTACCCAGGTATGTACTGGGACGGGGTGGTCCGTATGTCTACCAACAAGCAACGGGGAATAAGTCCTACGCATTTATTCAGAGACGGGGATATATATGTACGGAGTTCTCCGTACACCGTCAAGTAAGAACTCTAAACGGGATGGGCGGATTTCACCATAGTTCAACGTACTACGATTAAGTGCAAGAGCGTTGGTCTGATTGAATATTGGCTACGCAAAACTTGAAATTTGTACGGAGTAATAAATACAGTGGAGCCCAAGGGCCTTCATTCTTGCACACAGTCGTCGTGTTTACTAGTTTTTTTTTATTTCCCCCTAATTTTCATGCCTGTGGATCTTTTCCCACACGTCAAATCAGTATCGGTACGGCAGATGCAGCATGCGACTGTGGAACAGATCGTGGGGATGATGTGATCATTGATTATTATTTTTTTTTTTTCTTTTTTTCTTTGGTTTTTCTTTTCTTGAGCATCCAAAAGTTAGAGTGGAGCAAGGCTGAGCATTGGCATCAAGCACGGTATACGGAGTAGTTAACTATACTTATATGATAAGTCTTCTTCGCATCGCACCTGGACACATACTACATAGCTACTCGTACATGCGAGTATGAGTATGTTGACCCAGTAGAGATGAATGCTATAGTTATACCATGCAGCTATTATACTCTGTCGTGCTCTGTATAATCTTATAGTTGACCCGGGGCTTTGGGGTTGTCGACACGGGGTGCTACGCAGGACGCTTTGGTGTGCCCCACCCAGGGGGGGAGGGCTATTTAGAGCGCATTTTTGCGCTGTTTCGTTACATACATTATTCATTACACATAATATAATGCAAATTGAACATTGGCTGCCTGGCTGGGCTTAGCGTTCAGGGAGCTTCAGCCAGCCTGTCATGGCTGACGGCACATGCCATGGACGCAGCCGTTTGTGCCACCGGTTTTGCTCGGATGATCTGGAGGCGTTGATCAATATTCCACTTCGTACAAGAATCCTCCGGCAAGAGACAGACTTGGTGTTTTTAGATTAATATTATTGCTTGCTATAGCTCATGCCCTGCTCGGTTTGGGTCATGAGAGAGAAGCGAAGCTAGCTGAAAGAATAGTCCATTTTGTATCCGGCGTTTGAAAGCGGATCTCTGGGTCAGCGTCGGGCTGAACACTGTTGATTGCATCATCTTCAATGCTATTATAATACTATGACTATAACATGGTATGGCACTTATAATGTATACGTGTAAGGCCTCTTTTCGACATGGCTTGTGGGGTGAATCAGCAAAACACCACTATGGGTGAAACAATAGACTCGGCTCGCTAGCGTCGTGGTGCTTCGTACATTTTGATGTTTAATTTCTATTTTATGGTTCCAGCGGGCGTTAATGGCTAGCCAGGCACTGCGGCGCGATGGTTGGCTGAGCCCGCGAGTCCGTGCAGCCCCTTAAAAGACGTTGAGATTCGTGGCATACGGAGTACTCCGGATATTATAATTTAGATTGCTATGTATTATATCTATTTATATTCCCTACGCATAATCAAATCAACAGCATCGATGGATTGTATTACGATTACTCTGACTACCAGCGACAGCACGATTTCCGGTGACATTGCCATATAGTATAAGGCAATTGAAGCAAACTACGTACAGATATAATATACTCTCGCATCGCTGCATCTAGGGATGGTGTGCATGAGCACACGCCAGCCCTTGGCCCAGCGGATTTACACAAAGGCTAGTCAATAATTTTCCGACGGGCTCGAGCCATTCCAATCTATTGTACAAAGGGGATCCATCCTTGGGCTGATCTTCTCCTTTTCTCACCACACGCGAGACTATTGAATCGACCAGCTCAGCCAGCCGCTTTCACAGTCCAAATTTGTTTCTAGCCGTGGCTGTGCTTTCCGAAGATCCTTCTCCGCCCATGTGACATTGCGCGGACTGATTGGCTTGCTCAAGCCTCAGCGCTGTGGCGATCTCGTCGGGTATGTTTCGATCAGTCGAAGAAAGAAATGCGCAGGAAGAAGGCCTTTACCTGGTGCCGAGGTATAGACTGCGATCCAACAATCACCCCAAGGCATGAGGTACGTTTGCCTTGGCAAGCATTTGTACAAAAATCGGGGATTGTTGGTCACCTACGTAGAGTTAACTAAAAAGAATATATGTAATATACCAGATCGGTATTGTATTGTTACTAGCGTGTGCCATCGTGGGCCAATCCAGTTTCGGCGGCCGAGGGCTATTCTGGGCCACACCATTTGCCCAGTTCGGACAGCGCCGTTTTAGCCCTACGTGGATGATTGCCCAACGCGGACGTCGGCGACCATTTTGGATCCTCGGGCTCCATCCGGGGACTACTCTACGCGCTGCCATTGGCCACAGTTATTTGAAATACTGAGATGGGGCTAGCTCGAACAGGCCTAGTCCATAATCTAGATGTGCAAACTCTATCTCGTCGTCCCAATAAGTCTCACAAAAAAAATAAACCCATCAACAACAACCGCCAAACATGATTTTTCGACTAGAAGAATTCCTCCTGCCTTGCCGTGTCTCGCCTCGCTTAGTTGTTGCTTGCTCTGCTCAATGCCATGATAGGCTTAGTCCCCGAGATCCCTATATCCCATTATATAGATCCTTACCGTTGTCATTCCTGCACCCTAACTACATACGTGAATTATGACAGCTAGTTAGTTCCATCTGTCTATGCTTTGCATTTCCTCTTTTCGAAGCCCAGTACGGATGAATGATGTCATCTTTTTTTTACTCCGAATTCTATTGAATCTTCAGTACAGAGTAGAGGATAACCTTTGGCGTGCAATCGTGCGAGACTCTTCGCTAGACCGGTGACTCGAGGGCTTGTATAGAGTAATTATTGGGATTGAAGACGTATCAACGATCGCCGCATTGACCTACAACCGGCGGACTAGAAACCAACTGCTACTCCGTAGTCTTCAGGGGCGACTAGTTGGATATTATGTCATGCATTCCATGCTTACCGCTGCTAACTACGGAGTGTATGTATCTATGTGCCGAGCGGGGTTCCTAAAGTCGCAGTCACGACCGCTATGAAGCATCTCTGGATGTGTGCTATGATTATATATGTTATCACCTGCAGGTACAAGCATTGAGTTTGTAACGAACAATAGAGTACACGCGTGCTTTCGTTCTTCTTTCGTTGCTTCTTATCTACAAACTAGCCCTATGCAATATATACATCAATAGCTCACCGGAGAAACAAATCCACGAAAAGAGAAATCAGATGGATCGCATTGTTCTTGTTCAAAGTCGTCATATACGATTGTGTACTTCCCGTAAAGAGTAAAGAGGCTGGAGCATCATGTACCGTTTTCCTGTCAAAACCGCCCACGGCCATCCCGGTTTTCAACAAGTTTTTCAACAATAAAGAATTGTCTCAAATTTCAGGCGGTTTGTTATGGGGCGCGCAGCGGGACAGCGGCCCGCATATTAACCAGAGCTATGGGTTTGGGTGATCCAATCATAGTTGTCTAGGCAGTGCCATGGCGGTTGGCAGTGAAAAAGCAAAGCTGGAAATGCTTTTGGTTGGCTTAGCACTATTTTCACAGTGCGTATCATCATGCGTATAATTACTGATTAGTGCGTGCTTCGTCGTCACATTACGCCTCACTGCGGCCTCGGTCAATTGATGCCACGATTAGCGGCGTTGCGTCGAGCAATGTTCTGTGGAGGGGTGAATCGCTATTGTCTTCTGCATCTAGCTAGTTAGAGTTGCCCCACAGCTCTTCGTATTATTATGGGCTCAAAGTACGGAGTATAGTCACTTGCGGAGGAGTACATTGATCTTTCTTACTTTTCCACCTTCCTGATAAGGGTAGATTGTCGTCTGAAAGCGAAGTTGACGGAGACTAAACATTCCGAAAGAAGACACATCCTTGTAAGATTTTAAATACGCAGATCCAGACGGAAATCATATCCGTAGATCTCCGCTGCCAAGCATATGCAGCAGGACATGGCCGGTTTCGAACATGTTAGGGTTTTCTTTTTTCCTTCCGAGGACTACCTACGACGCTACCACCTACTAGCTATGTACGAACACCAGGATTCATTCAGTCAGCCATGATACATCATCTTCCTTCAACTCTAGTAGTTTTGCTTCGTTCTGATCTGATGGTGGTGCAGGCTTTTTTATCCTTTCTCTTTTGTCTTCATAGTACACAGTAAGGATCATCTTGGATTACATTGTCTCTAGACTGTTTTGAGGCATCATGTGGAATAAACTTCACTTTCTATGTCTATAAGGATTAAAAAGATCTCAACTTAGGACTAACATGGCATAGATGCTTACTTCCTTCCTTTCTTCCTCGAAACTAGTAGGCGCACCTCTTATTCAACGGGGTGCCTGCACTGAGAACAAGAGTACCGTTATTTCTTGCTGCCAAACAAAGATGCCTCAAGCCGCGCCTGTCTAGCCGTCTCTGCTCGCTTGTTCTCTGAAATAATCATCTGCTTGCATTCATCCCACGAAGCAGCGCGGCGCTTCCCAGTCTTGAATAGTCTCCAAATAGCAGGAGTGAATACGCCATTCTGTAACAGGTTGTAGAATTGTCTATCCTGCAACCATAATTTCCATGCACGCCAATTCACCCAACCAGACGACAAATTCTGATAGATACCAGCTCCAGATGCCCAGTCAATCCACTTCAGCTGGTCAGGTAGATTCAAGAAGACAGGATAAAAGGTTGACTTATCTAAGGGCGAATAACGAGCTTGAAGAAGATCCCTTTCCTTCAGATGCCATGCATGCCAGTCCTTCATTTCGCGCAGCGAGGGTAAAGGCGTTCGGTGTTTCCATATTTGACAAATGGCAGCTGCGGTCATCTCGTATTGAACAAAGCCAGGGACCGGAACGAATCCGAGTCCGAGGTATGCAAGGGACATGCGAATCTTCTCGTTCTCATGCAACGGGAAGATGTTTCGGTAGAGATGAGGCTCTTCAAATTCGTAGCCGGGAGGGTGTGGATGACATCCTGCCGTTTCCGTGCCGTCAGAGAAAACCAGGTCGTCAGGCATGCCACCAGAGCTATAGCCGGTACAATAGATAATAGAGTCTATGTTCTCGAGTATACGACCGTCGGAGAGCTCAACGGACTTGGGGCCAGTGATGCGGCGAACCGAAGGAACAGACTCTGCTATTCCAGAATTTAACAGCCGCCACAAAGCGTCTCCCAACACTGGGGGTCGAACGGCTATTGAAGGTGCTGGATCGAGGCCCCATTCTTCGGGGATGTTGGGATAGGTTTTCTGTGATTGCTTGGTTATGCCCTTCTGCGTCAACCACCAGTAGAAGCGACTGAAATTTTTGTTTAGGAAGGCCATGAAAAGAGTCTCCTTGAGAGTGGTACTGTCAAATGTTGCACCATCTTCACGGAAACGCGATAAGAGCAAGAGGCCTTGACGATGAGCCATATAGACGTGGTTGGCAGCGTGAGATTCAAGAGCAACACACACATCCTGGGCGGTACCATGTATCCCAATGATCAACACATTCTGTCCTCGAAATTCTTCGGGTCGGTGGAAGTCAACTGAATGAATCACTTTTCCTTGGAAGGTTTCTACATTCTTCAACTTTGGCCACCGAGGGTATTGGAAGGCCCCTGTGGCTATGCATATCTTGTCAAAATGTTGTGTTCGAACTTTGCCAGATTTAAGGTCTTGAACGGTGACTGTCCATGGCTTTTGATTGTTTTCTGAGTACTGCATGCGGAGGACTTTGGTGGAGAGATTGTAGTATTCTTGAAGTCCAAAATTGCTTGCGTAGTCCTCCAGGTACTGGAGGATCTGCGCGGCTGTGGGAAATGTGTCCGCATCTTCATTGAAGGGGAAATCGGAGAAAGCAGACCTCCATTTGCTATTGTTGAATACGGTAGTGGTATGGGCTGAGATCGTAGAATCCTCTGTGCCTCTCCACAGTCCACCCAAGTAGGCTCGGCATTCAAAGCCAACTACCTGAAAGCCCTCTTCCAAAAAGGTTTTCATTGCGACCATCCCAATAGGGCCGCCGCCGATGACACAGACGGTTACCGGTGCCATTCTCGTGTTGTTTAGCGACTCGACCGTGTTCTTGGACCCAGAGATGAATCCCTCGATGGCTCACGGTGCCAATTTAGGTAACCTGAGCTCTTGATCTCAATTCTCGATGCGAAGTGACAGACGCCACCACGGATCTGGAGATCGGGGGCTGCATTTATATAACAATGACTGTGGTTCAGTCAGCCAGGAGTGGACAGATCTATGTGATCATTTTATCTTGTCTCTGCGAATGCATCCATCTATTCTCTCACACGCACACACACGGAGTTGGTTATCGGAGTTACTTGTGAACGCCGTTTCTTTTAGTGTCAGATATTTACCGAAATGGCAATATTGTAAACATCGTGATGTTCTTAGACATGGCCTCACCGACTCGGGTCTATTGCCAGCCCCTTGGGAAACTCCGTTGTGAGATGTCTGGAAGACTTTCTTTTTCGGTTGCTTCTTTTATTCTTTTTTTCAATGCATTCTGGGACATATAGTGCCTGCCAAGTGCCGAGATCTACCGAGCACAGAGCGTCTATCAGGCGGTGATCATCCATCTGTTACCTAATCACGGGCCATGGTAAGGCGGCACAGCTGATAATTTTTGGCCGGACCGAAGTTGTGCTTCTGAGAATGAACGTCGTTTTTCACTCTTTGCATGATGCAGGTTGATGAATTGCTTGGAAGGTGTGCGGTGAGCCATGTCGGATACCAGCACACTTTGTCCGCCGTATACTATTGGGGATATTCCAAGGTTTCTTTGTAACACCCAAACCGCAAGAATGAATGAAGTATGGAGCTAACTTGCAGAGGCTTCGTCGTCTTCCTGTCCATGTTGATAGACAGTGATTTATACCTCGGAAGTATGCCTTGCTACATCCCAGCCTTGTTTTTTGGGAAACTAGTCAAATCAAATACATATACGACGTCGGACTAGTTTTTCGTTTTATTACCATCACGTAATCAATATAGACCCTTTTATTGGTTAACTGATATATTATAATTACATACCGTCATATATTATCTGATGCTCTAGTCATTGCATTGGATTTTGATAACCATAGTCTACAATGTTGTAAAGCTTCATTAACGTTCCTATACGAGTAGTAGTGCTATACTAGATACCTAGTATCTATTTTAAAAGAAGTCCTTCTTAGCAAGGAAAGGGAGCAGCACACTTTACGCATTGTTTATATTGGAAATTCAGTACCTGCGTCACATATATATATATATCTAACTAGGTACACGATGATATATAAGTGGGAAGTTTTCTCATTCGTAGAATAACTAGACATAAGATTTACTTATCTACAGGTTATTCCGCATAAATTTTTCGTACAGTAGAACCACAAAGACGTTTTTGAACTCCACCTATCTATGTATGTACCAATTGTGATGTAGTTTAGTATCATTATGTAAAGAGTAATTATGATCCTATGGCCCTTATTTCTTCAGTCAAAAATATTTGTCTGCATTCAGCGAGCTGGAAAAAAAAAAGAAATGAACTAGGTTTGGCCCTAAATCGTAACTTGTTTCTCCCTTGCCTCAAACCGATCGCAGATTCATCATTTCACGAAAACATATCTTCAGCCCGACGTCTTCTTCCACCACGCCCTTCCAAGGTATTCGAGAAAAGCTCCTTGCCCGCGTTCGCATTGTACTTGTTTGGAAACAGTTCTTTCACAGCCTGCGCATTGCCTTTGATTGAGATCCCGCTCGCCGCCTGACCACGAATAGCCATGCCCTGGTCATTGGCAGCCCCTTTGATGTGTAATTCTCTTTCTTCCTGAGCCCCATCAACAAGAGGTACGCTCATTCGCTTTGAGAACAAATCCGCCGTTTCATCTGCAGCATCGAATGCGTCTGACCGTCTATGGTTGCTGTTTGCCTTGTTTGGGAAGAGTTCCTTTTTCAGGTAGCTCGCTGCCGTTCTGTTCGGAAACAGCTCTCTGGTATCTGGATTACCGCTTGAGGGAAATAGCTCTTTGCTACGATTTCGCCCATTTCCGGCAGAAAGTCGAGGCGAGCGTTCACGAAACCGTCTGCGACTCTGTTGCTGCTCATCGTCACTTCTCCGCATCTCGTCCAAGTCATCCCGCCCGGGAGATGCACTGCGATCGCGAAGTCGACCTGAACCCAACTCACGTTCTGGAAATAGCTCTCGATGCTGTCGTCTGTCCCTCCTAAATCTGCGTCGTCCTTCTGTATCCGAAAACTCTTCGCTCGAAGTACCTCGGCGATCGCTAGCAACGCCACCATCGTCATCATACATATTAACAGTGAACCCATCGTCTCTGTTCCGACGTCTGCGATGCTCGTGGTCATCAAATCGGAGGCGCCGATAGTCACCATCGTTATCATCACGCCTGCCTCCTTGTCGGCGTTTCTCCGCGAGCTCACGACGCAACTTCTCGCGAGGGTCATGCTCCGGATGCATTAGATAAAACCGGCTAGCTTCATGTGCTCGTGGTTTTTTACGGTCTGTCTTTACTGCAGACCGTACTTGCAGGACCGAATCGGGATGCGATAAGAAGGTTTTTGCTGTACGTAGGCGTAGCGATGGTAGTACTGAGATATCTTCCTCGCCTAGCTGTGTAAAAGCAGTAAGAGCCCGTAGACCAACTTCTTCAGATGAGTAGACAACATTGGCGGATGTGTCATCAATCCATTCAACTCGGCTGGGTGTTTCGTCGGGGAAATGGTCTGTCGCAAATCGCTTGATATCATCCGTAGTCAATTCGTCCACGCCTCGGACATGCACCTTCTCGTAATGCGCTTCGGAAGTTTGGGGTTCCACAACACCATTCTCAGCTGTAAATGCCTGCTGCTCAATATTGTCCTAATCCCGTTTCGAGAAAGTCAGTGCTGAGAGATCAACTTGAGAGGTTGCCATTGCTAAACTCACTGTTTCAATAGCTTCTGCCTCAGGGAAAGGGCCCAGGTCAATATCCATATCAATATCCATTGAGTTCTCCATGTTGTCGACGACGGGATTTGTCGGCTGAAGGGTCGCCACTTCCATTACGATCGAGGTGAAAGTAAACCCAGAGCTATGCTGACATGGAATTAGATTTTCTGGAGATAGCAAGAGCGACCAATGCAAGCAGAGTGGGACGTACTAAACGGAAGGATTCTGACAAACGTAAAAAGCGTTGCTTCTCAATTGCAAGTGAGACAAGATGATAGTGCTGGTTGAACGTTTAGCATGTGCCTTTTGCTCGTTGCAACTTCTGAGCCGACACGTCTTGGCCGACGCTCGAATGCGGAGGAGCCTCACGCCTCCACGGCCGGATGACTAAGCAGGCACTAACGTATTTCCCGGGTAAACCGCGCACCTGTAATTCCTATACAAAATAGACAATTTTACCCCCCTGTAAATTCCACAAATTTATATATAAAGTAGATCTAAAAACTTAATATATTAAATAATATATATATAAGAGCTTATTTATAAAAAAATAATAAGAATCTATCTATAGTTTTGTTAAGATAATAAGAAATCCGCTAGTAATTATTGTAATTTTTAATACGAAAGGGTTTATAAGATATATAGAATCTATAAAGCTATATATATAATAGTATATGAATATTATTTGATATATAAACTTTACAAGTCTTGTTTATATATAAATTTGTGGAATTTACTGGGGGTTAAAAATATCTATTTTGTATAGGTGCGCGGTTTACCTGGGTGCGCGGTTTAGCCGGGAAATACGTTATCTCCCTGACTTCCTCACTTCGCTCGGATGAATCTTTGGCATTCGGATCACTACTCGCATACGTGAGGGAGTATTGTTATGTGGGACTTGAATCAGTAGAACCTGTTTTGATTCCTCTAGAGGAAGAAAAATGGCATCACCAGATCACACAGCCTCTGAGTCTCTGCTAGCAAGCGCTCTTGTAGCACGCTTTCTGCGGTCGAACAATTACAACGAAACTCTGCGTACTTTCATCCGTGAGGCAAATCTGCCTTCCGACGCCGGGGCTATCAAATACAAGTCACACGATCACGGCAATGTGGAGCAATGGACTCTGGAAGGGATTATCCAGGAGAAAAAGAAATTTGATCAGAGCCTGTCCTTCGAGAGATATGGCGATTCGCAGCTCAGGGAGGATGAGTGGAGTATGCCGGGTGAGTAGGCATGTAAACTGCCCAGCAATTTATGCAGATTAGCTATTAGATATATGTACATGCTTATGAAAGTTGATGTCTTTAGCTCCCTCGTCACCAAAAGTTATAGAAACGCCCACTTCGTCCAATCTGCTCTCGGTCTCAGTTGCGCCATGGCAGATAATACATGCTGATGACGATCAAAATGCAGCCTCATACATCGTTTCTACTAGCGCCGATAAACGTCTGAATGCCTTCAATGTGGGCTCAGACAACGCAATAGCAGCCTCAATGGCAGGGCTTTCAAACTCGCCTATCCTGTCCATTGCTGTTATTCGGGGAGGGAACTATCACTTTCTAACGAGTATGTCCGGGCAACTTCTCTTAGTGCGGAATACTCAAGTAATAGACCAAAGAATGGACCATACAAAGTACGTAGTCAAAGTTCTTGCCTATGAGGAAGATAACAGCGAAGATGTATGGATTGTTACCGCAGGATGGGATTCCCAGGTCCTGATCTACCGCATGGCTGTATCCTCGTCCTCTCCATCCGTAACGGATCATAGGATAGGTGAGCCAGTGGGATCGGTCAAATTGCCAACAAACCCAGAATCTGTACTCCTTGTACATCATCCTGAATCCCAAGACCTGACGCTCCTCGTGTCACGGCGTGACTCAACGTTTATTTACTACTACGATCTGGAGCCACTGCGCTCCGCCAGCACGTTACAAAAGTGCGAAGAAATTGGCAAACAGAACCTTGCACCTCGTTCAAACGCATGGGTCGCATTTTCACCGTCTTGTCTCGCTCAAAGTCCACACGATCCTGGGTTGATCGCAGTCGCGTTGTCAACATTACCACATATGAAAATCATGATTGTCCGTTTGTTGTTCCCGCCCCCTCATCGCGATATTATCGACGACAGTACCAGTCACAGTTCAAGCCGCAATCGTGAGGTCGTAGCAGAGAGGGCCCCCAGCACAGATACTCCGGTTGGAGCTTCTACGTCCGCGCCTGGAACCCAACTCAGTCAGGCCATGGCCTCACTGGCTCTTCAAAACCGCGAAGATGCCGCCATTGTCATCCAAGCTAATACCCTTGCGCCACAGACTGCTTACTCAACTCCTCAGGTTGTGTGGCGACCTGATGGATCTGGACTGTGGGTTGGCGGTGATGATGGAGTTATCCGTGGTATTGAGGCCAAGACAGGCAAGTTGGTGACAACATTGAAAAATGGTCACGAAGTGGGCAGTAAAGTGAGAAGTATTTGGGCGGGTTGGGTCAATGTAGGTGGAACAATTGAAGAGTGGGTTGTCAGTGGTGGCTTTGACAAAAAGTTGATCGTGTGGAAGTAACGAGATATCCAGAACATCAAGACCTTCCAAGATTACAAACTTTCACGTGATATTACACGCTCACGAATGGTTTTCCCAGCGTGAAACGACGGTAGGCAAACGTAGCTATACATAAATAACTCTTTTAAATATCATATAGCGGCAACACGACGTACAAATGAGATGTCATTGATAAAGGGAACCCCTCTTCAGTTAATTGAGTATAATTCTACATAGTTTTGAAATAGACTGAAACGCGTAGGTAGACAAATAATTATTTACATCAAGGAGTCTATTTCACGTAAGTTTGGAGGCTTTCAAGGACCTGGGAAGCAGTTAGTAAGACAATGTACAGTTGACATAGAAATAGCGCGGCATACCTCAAGCTCAATCTTAGCCTCGGCGATATCCTGCTCACTGCCGCTGCCATTGGCAATCTTCTGAGCCTCAGAAATCTGAGCACGGATAGCCTGTTATGTGTATTAGTGCCAATATCTTCCAATGCGGCTTCTTTTTTAGGTAAAACTGACATCAGCGGAGAAATCCTCCAAGGCGAAACCCTCGACGGCGTTAATGCTGAGGCGAGAGTCGGGCTGAACGACGGCGAAACCACCAGAAACTAGAAAGAAAAGAAACCAGGATGGTTAGTCAACGCAGATCGGGACGAATGTTACTGCGCAATTCCCTTCGATGCCGGGCATTGTAGGATTGGTTTTCACGCGGACGACGTACGGAAGAATTGCTTGGTGCCACCGCTCTCCTCGAGGACCTCGACAAGGCCAGGCTTCAACTGTTCAATGGATGGGACGTGGTTGGCAAGAATACCCATCTCACCGGACTCGGCGGGAATGTTGACTTGGACACTGTAACAATAAATTAGAAACCCGTACAAATATCGTCTGAGGGCAGCGCGGATGATGCGGAACATACACGTCAGCGGACTTGAAAAGGTTCTAAAACAGTGACACGGTTAGCAATTGAGTCGTTCAAGATGGCCGTTTGCTCAATGCGTTGAGCAATGCTTTTTCATCATACCTGGTGAGGCATAGCCAGGGAGAGCTTGATCTTGTCGGGGACAGCATCGGCATAAGTTCTGCGACCAGCAGGAACGCGAATGGCGGTAGGACGCACCCGGAGGGCAGCCCGTGCGAACCGGAGAGAGCTCATTGTGCAGTTGTTTGAGGGGAGGTGAGGCTTGGAGACGTTAACCTTCAAATGCTGAGGTGGTTCGAGAGAAACGGTCAAAGTCGGAAACAAACTCACCAAACCCGATCAGAGGCTTGGCAGCACGTCACGTGATCGATGTCGACTCGATTGGCATGCCTTTCTTCTTTCTCCTCGTCTGTGAGGAATGTACAATCGAATGGTGTAATATTCTTCAATTGGTTTCTGACTAGATGTGCAACAAGTGTGACAGAACCAAATTGAACGGAGACGCCACTGTCTGTATTACTATGCTATCATTTCCTCCGGAAGTCTTCTAAAATGTAGTCGCAACTAATTTGACCAATCAATTCTGCCATTGAATGGAAAAAAAGGATTCATTTCAAATAAAAAAGATTATTGAAATAGTTAGTTACCAAATTCTATAACTACTATCGTTTTGTCATTGATACAATCCTGGGGCCTTGATGTTTGTATTTGTACGTAGTTACTGGCGGATTGATATGGCACTAGCCACTTTCGCCTAAGCGAGATTGTCCACACAACCCGAGCCCTACCCGACCAGCGACACTTCTTCCTTCTCCAGTTCAGCCTTCACTACGACAACCTCCTCATCGCGACAACACCGTCAAGATGGCCAGTACGTTTTGCACCCGGCCATGCAACTTCTTCTTATTACACAGCATGACTGACTTGCTCGTTGTTTAGAGTCCAAGAACTCGTCTCAGCACAACCAGAGCAAGAAGGCTCACCGTAACGGGTTCGTCAATTATCGCATTCCGCATTTTCGCACAAGAACAGCACCTCTTTGACCTCCTTGCGCTTCCCTTCGAATCTATTAATCATCCGAATGGCTTTGCACAGTCTCACTAACGCAATCTTTTTCATCTGCAGTATCAAGAAGCCCAAGACCTACCGTTACCCTTCCTTGAAGGGAACCGACCCCAAGTTCCGCCGCAACCACAGACACGCTCTTCACGGCACCGCCAAGGCTTTGGTACGTTTCATTAAACTACTTCCACCGGTTCTCGCATAAACCAGGCAGAGGAATCTGTTGCGAAAGGGAGAGAAGGGTATACTAACGGCTTCTCTACAGAAGGAACGCGACGAGGGCAAGCGGGAGATTGCTTAAAGGGGAAAAAATGAAAAAATTCTGAAAACGTGAAAATTCATCTTGATTATTCGGCGAAGGTTCTCTATTTGTGAGATAATGATCTATCATGATTGTCAAATTAGACACGACAATTCGACTCGAGCGGAGATGACATGAGGCTCGACAATTTTCTCAGGAAATCCTTTACCTTTTCTTTCCGCAGGTAGAAACGAATCTTTCTGTCCACCCGTTTCGAGAATGAGATAGTCGAAGATATCTGTCGTAAAGAAGCATTGAGAAACGAGAAGGGGGAAATTATCTCAGGGAGCAACCGTCTGCTTTCTGCGATGAAGGAAATAAGAACGCATTATCCGTTTCCGTATTGATCAGGCATATGTGTGTACAGCTTCGTGGCTCATTTCCATGCCCGACTGCTGAAGGATTATTCTTAACGTGCCGAGAATATTTTTGCACTCCAATTACCAAACACCCTACTCCTTTACCACATGGTGGCAGGGTGCATGGACGGAGAGCTACATATCGTATAGTAAGCCGTAAGCCAGATTTTGTACGGAAGGCAAGAAGACTTCTAATAAAGTCAAAGGAGTTAATCGCTGATTCACGAGTATTTTGGGTTCGGATATGGCTAATCTATCTTCTATCTAACAAGGTGATTTTCATTGGAAACATGAAGGAGAAATACAGGAAGCCGTTCATATCTGATATCAATAAATACGGCTTGTGAATATAATGAAAGTTCTTATTCCGTCCATTCTTGCGCCTTGAAAGTGACAATCGGGTTACGCAGAAATCTCACATTTCGAATCAACCTAACCTCTGAAGCTTTTGTTCGCCGCAAATGCTCTCGGAATTGTTGCTGTTCGTCTGTCAATTCGACGAAGGTGTTGTCCGTGGCAGCAAGCTCAGCTTTGCGGGCCTCCATCGTCTTTAGCAATACAGCATGCATGCTCGAAAGCACTTTTTCAGTAGATTTTGCAAGGGGCAGCTCTGTTGGAGAGACATCGTCCGGTGATATCCAAGATTTGGTATTCCTAAGAGATGGCCCCGCCGCAAAGACCGCTTCACGTAGGCGTGCCACTGTCAAGGCCGCAAACATGTCCCCTGTGCCATTGAAATTGCATTCAAGGGCAGAAATATCGACGCGAAAGAGACGCGGGGAACCATCAGAACGAACAGTCGAGCCGATGATGGTCATCATCCCTGAGGGTGCCGTTGAGCCAAGGTTTGATAGTTGCACTGATGTGACGATAAGATGAGGGATCGAATATATCTTGTGTATGAGAGTTATGGCCTTGGTAAGATCACTCGTTGTGGATATTTTTATTCCAGACAGTGTTCTTCATTAGCTGTTAGTAATCATCTCTGCCTCCTTTTTCATGCAGCGTATAGATATCATGACTGTTAACTCACTCGGCTTCAAATTGATTTGGCAGAATTAAATCTGCGTGGTGAATTATTTTCTTATAAGCTGGAACAACATCTTCAGCCACATACAAGCGGCCCAGATCGCCCATGACAGGGTCGAGAACTGTGGGGACTATTGTTTAGCAATGGAAGAAACATAATGAGAATGAAGAAGGGAGGAATATAGATGCACTCACCCCAGAAAAAGGACCCAGGCTTTCCCTCCGCTCTGCGTATCAAATCTTGCGCAATATCACCCACCACTTCAACAGCAGCTGCACTGGGTGCATACCCAGAGAGTAAGACATCAAAATCAGTGAGGTAACTTTGGGTTAGGCCCTCGTAGAGGTTGCGAATTTCCTCTGCACTGGTCTTCGTTCCTTTTACTTGTCGATATCCAGTATGGTTACCTAACAACGGTATCAGTCTAGCTATTAAGATTGAACTGATGTACTCATTCAAGTCAACGTACTAAAATGAACCGTATTGATTGCAGCCACTTCGCAGCCCAGGGATTGCATCACATATGTGGCCATTGTATTTCCCACAAATCTGATAAGACACAGTTGATCAGCTAGAACAATCCAGAGATGCGATCCATTCTATAAGATGACTAACCCATAGCACACCTTTTCGCAGAAGTTAGCAATCCGTAAGGATGAACCGGGGACAGCGGAACGTCCAATCAAAGCAAATGAGCACATACATGGCTTGCTATTGCAAGGACCTTTGTCTCCGGAACATCATCTCGTTCCTCGGAGGACGACATTGTTGCGGAAGATGCCAGCAGATGAAGTTTCGATCCTCCTTCAACACTCCATACGATTCTGCAGTACTATTACTAATAGTTAGGCGGGGGAGGCTGTCTTCCACGTGGTTTGCAGACTTGAGATCGACAATGATCAGATATACTGATAGGGAAATATATAGAAGACTGTGCGGAATGTCTGTAGCTTCTCAATTGTCGATAGCCGCTGTGTATGACTCAAGTAGATGAGGTTTTGAATCGAGAAATTATTCACAGCGCTTATCATCGCAAAAGCTTGGTGGGGGAATTTAGTGCCTAAATTACCAGGCATGAACAACAAATTGCGTATGACACACGTATTCGTTACCATACAGCGGCTTCCCTTTCAGCATATGAGCCTATCCTGACTACAAGTGAATACAAGTGACTACACGCATCGAGAAAACATGCAAGACAAGATCATCTTCGATGCATCATGTCTCTCCGATACAAGCACAACAGTGGTGGACTTTATTGACTCGTCGTCCTTCTCGACTAAGCCCGATCGATGTACCGACTCCAGCTGAGGTTATCACCGTTCTCCGGACTTCGAATCTACACCTCGGCCAGCGTCCGTTCAATTTGAGGACCTTGACCTCCTTCAAAAATTCGGTCCCTAGCTGGTGGTTGGAGAGGCACTATGTCTGCGTTTAATCAAGAAGCATCTAGCTAACAAAGTTCCTGTGCCCGAAGTATACTGTTGGAGGGTCGATGGCCACGACATCTTCATATATATGGAGCTTACCAGGGGAGAAAATTGCACAAGCGGTGGGATTCACTCGGAGTTTTAGATAGAGAATTGATTTGCAATCAGAGTTTCACACCTTCGGTGTGTTGAAAAAGATCCTATGGATTCGTATATTGGACTGGTTCCTTCATAGATGGACAGACTGGTATAGAGCGCTTGTACACTAACAGTATATAGGATCACTTACTCGCCAACAATTACGGAATATAGTTTTCCGAGATTTACCGCCGGGGAAGCCTTTCAAAGGGGACCCTTCAAAAGTATCAAAGAGTTTAATGACTGGCTCTCTACCCTTCCACAGAAATTGGTGCCTAATTCACCAAAATACATTGATCCATATCGAGTATTCCTCCCTGACTCTGGAACTATCAAGTTCAGTCACGGCGGCCTGCATCGGAGTAACATCATAATTTCTTCGACGAGTCCTCCCCGTGTCCTCGCGCTGGTTGACTGGGCCCACGCTGGCTGGTATCCTGATTACTGGGAGTTCTGCGAGGCCCTATATACGTCCAGCTATAAAGAGGACTGGCGGAATATTTGAATATAGAAATTCCCGAGTCCATATCTGGCCGAGTTTGATATTCTTGCTGAATACGCCATGCAAATTGGCGCGGTATAAGCTCAGCAATGCATTTTCCCATAACCTTTCTTCCGTATATGATACAAACATCATTTGTGATCAACTTTTTGATTCTCATTAAACCGTTCTCCCGATATGCTGCAAACCAATACTGTGACTTGGAGGATCGCGCTTCGAGTGAACGATATCAACGGCACTAGCTTCTATATATCCGAGGTCAACAAGACGACGGATATACTCCAATGTCCGTTCTTGACATCTCCTATTGGTCGTCAAGATAGGTATTTACGGTGTAAGTGAGTAGAAAACAGGAAAGACATGCTTAGTTTGCGAGAGATATATCTTGGAGAGAAAAACACATCTAGATATGGGAAAGCCTCGCGAGATAATCAATTCAAGCGGCCTGTTTAGTGTTTGATTTCATTGCAGCAGTTTCGGGTCTAAATAGCCAACGATTAAACACATAATTTAGGTAGTCAACTGCAGATGACATGCCACATTGAACGAAATGGCCTGTACCGGAAGCCCAGAGCTTCCAATTCAATTGGCTTAGCCCCAAGCAGAACAACGATACTGCTTTCGTATGAAATTTTCTTTATTCCTTGCAATGTTCATAAATATCATTTGTTTAATCTTGTGGGAAGTAACGTAAATCGGTAATAGAGAAAGGTGTATAGTCTGAAACGCGCATCTATAGAATCAAATAAAGCCATTCTATCCGTCTATTTTCCGGTACTGCCAAAGCCTCCCGCGCCGCGAATGCTCTCTTCCAGTTGTTCCACAACCAGAACTTCAGGGGTATATATCTAGCAAGAGCTGGTCAGCAAAAAAAGAGTCTTATAAAAAGAGTGTAACTGTTGTAATACCCTTTCCAAAACAAGCTGGGCAACACGGTCTCCTGCCTTGACTATTTTATTGGTAGATTTCGTGTTAGCCGATTTGCGGAAAAAGAGAAACATTCCAAGGAAGAGCTCGTTTCATACCAGTGAAATCGACGTCAGAGAAATTGAAGAGCAACACTTTGACTTCACCTCGGTAGTCAGCATCAATAACGCCGGCTCCAGTGTCGATGAAGTTTTTAGAAGCGAGTCCGCTTCGCGGGGCAACACGGCCGTCTAGTTGAAACCATCAGCATTAAAGGACAACATTGTTCGCATCGACATATTCATTCAGAAAGACGTGAGCAATGTAGGAATAAGCATAGCATACATGTGCCTTCGGGAACTGCAATGGCTAGCCCAGTGTCGACCAGTCCCTTTCCTTTCGCTGGGATCACAGTCTCCTTGGCGCTGTAGAGGTCATATCCTGCGGCAAAGGCAGAACCGCGAGTCGGGGCTTTCGCGGACTCGACCAACTTCTTCACCAGGAGCGAAGGCTGGGGCTGGGAGATGGAGGTGACGGCAGTGCCATTGCCGTTTGTAGAAGCCATGACGGAGGCAATGCTCGACGAGACGGCGTTGCTGTCGGTGGTGGTGGTGGTGGTTTTTGTTCTCTTAGGGAGCGGTGAAGCGGGGAGTGACGGGGGTTCGTGGGCAGCGGTGGGAGCGGTGGATGTGATGGTTTCTGGAGGAGGCGGTGTGGTGTCCTTCGTCATGGCAGTCTTTTAAATCGCCGGCAGAGGGAGAGAAAGGGTTGCAAGTTGCAAGAGAAAAAAAACATCTCTTCCAAGTCTGTATCGCATCGCTTGTTTGGGACGCGTTTTCTTCGAGGCGGTGAGCGACGCGCGCGTCGCTCATCAGTTTGCCCGAACGGGAAGAAGGGCTAACCCTAGTCACATGTATTCCCTGATGGGGCAATATACTTTCAGCTTTGATGAATACAGCGCGCACAGCTATATGAAGTTTCGTTCCTGGATACATCTGAGACATACAGTACACTGTATAGGAAGCTGCCCCGGGGTTAGGCAATGGCGGGGGCCCGCGGCTATTGACTTCTGGGCGGGCCGAAAGTCTGGAGAAGCTCCTCAAGAATGCCTCGGCTGTTGCACCTTCAAAGATCTATAGAGTATCATTCTACACACAGCGTCAAAATCGACCACAATCATAGCACTAGGTTTAGTGCTATTTACAAACAATAAGTAATCAGAACGACGGTGCCACTACCGAATTTCACCAGCTCGAGGCCCTCGGGGAAAGCAACTGGCAGCCATGGCCGGTCCGGTGCGCCAACCCATTGACATCGCATCATTAGAGGCATACATTGAAAGCAAACTGCCATTGATCCAGACGCCACTAGATGTGAAGCAGGTATGCAGGGGCTTTCTCAGATCCGCTAGATATTTGCAGTGCGTATTAATGTATAGTTTCTCATAGTTCGGCTTTGGCCAGTCAAATCCTACATACCAGCTTATTGCTGCCGATGGTAAGCAATTCGTCCTGCGCAAAAAGCCTCCGGGAAAGCTTCTTTCCAAAACGGCGCACCAAGTCGAGCGCGAATACCAGATTTTACACGCTTTACAACCTACCGACGTACCAGTCCCGAGAGTGTATATTCTATGTGAGGATCACAACGTGGTTGGCACGCCATTCTACATCATGGAATTCCTAGACGGGAGGATGTTTGCGAATCCTTCGATTCCGGGTGTGGATGCCCATGAGAGGAGGGAAATGTATGGAAGTCAATCTCTCCCTTTCAATCAAGCTCGATCGGAAATGTGCATAGCTGACTGTTCTCATACAGGTGGCACGACGCACTTCGAACTCTCGGAAAACTGCACCGCGTTAGTCCGAAGTCGCTTGGCATGGATAGATTCGGAAAACATACCGGGTTTTACGACCGTCAAATCTCGACTTTAGGGCGAGTATCACATGTGCAGGCACAGACGGTTGATGTAGATACCAAAGAGCCCGTTGGAGAACTTCCGCATTTCCAGGAGAATGTGCGTTTCTTCTCGAACAAGGCTCTACAGCCCCGAGACCGGACGACGTTTGTGCATGGCGATTTCAAAATCGATAATCTCGTATTCCACAAGACCGAGCCGAGAGTCATCGGTATTCTCGATTGGGAAATGGCGACTATTGGCCATCCGCTCTCGGACATTTCAAACCTAACCAGCCCATACTATCTGGACTCGGCGGAGCATAGTAGACAGAGTTTTCAGCCAGGAGGGACTCCAGGAATACCCATTAGAGAGCAATGTCTACAGTGGTACGCCGAAGTTTCTGGATATGATCCGAGACCAGATATAGACTGGGGAGACGCTTTCTTTTCCTTCCGTGGATCTATCATTATGCAGGGAATCGCGGCACGCTACGCGTTGCGACAGGCAAGCAGTGCACGAGCGCTGGATTATATCAAGAACATGAAGCCATTTGCTGAGGAGACATATCGACGGGTGAAAGCAGTAGCGGAGAAAAGTCAAAGAGGCCGTCTGTAGTTTGTTTATTTGTATAGTAGTAACCTTACTCTGGAATTGGCCTAGGTCATATGCTGTTTTCTCTCCTGGACTCGTGGATTATACCTACGGCATATATATACTTAGGTAATATGTTTTGTATACCGTTAGATCTATAAGAAAACTAGGTGGGTGTCCTACAATACCTAGGTTGATAAACGAGGCTTAGCAGTGTGATGAAGACGCCTGGCATGCAATATCAAGTCAGCTTAAGGCTTGGAACTCGGGATTCGGTTTGATTTAAATGCCCTTCCTATCGTTTAGCATTCTATCTCGCCGAGGGCAAACCAAAAACACTCTGGTTCAGGCAATATAGATGTGCCAGACCGGTCCAGCTCTTAATGATGAGACCTCAAAAGTTTCATATTCGGATGTATATTCCGAATTCGAATCCCTTGTGACTGAGAAAGGTTGTACTAGGTTCAGCTCACAGTATTCTTACGTGATGCAAGTAACTAGTCTTCTAGCAGAATGGACATCTATAATTGATTATCGATTGGCTATGTAATCAGTATATTCATTTGAGCAAAATGTGTCAAACTTACATTTTCTTTCGTGATAGACTACATACTAAGATATACGCTTAAATTGAACTGGCTTGGTTTACAACGCGAGACGCACACCGGAGACCGATTTTTAACCTGCAATGTTGTCCCGGACATATATGTGTAGGTAGATAGCTTGCTGTGCACATCAATCTACGCACACCGGGCTGACCCAAGACTTCCAAGATCACAATCGCCCGGAATTTCGATTATTTCGATTCCATCCCTTTCCACGAAGATTCACCGAAATGCACCTCGTACTCGTACACGATTATGCTGTGATAGAAGTAGTCTGACTAACTTCGCATCACTCGGATTTGACCATAGTCGCATTGAGAAGATTTGCCAGAAGAATGAGGGGGCCAGACTGGGGTTATAAAAGATCGTCGACTACTACCTAGGCGCATAGTGTGTGATCACCAGACCATAGGCCGTCGGGGGCCCGGGGGGGTTACACAGACCGGACTAGATATGCGGTACAAATTCATCCAAGATGGGTTAAAAACAGGGTTCGGTTGTGTGGATTGCACGGGGATGAACACGCGGGCGGTTTACTCGTGTAGTGATACACCCACGTAATCAAGGGATTCAGACGAGAATCTGGGAACTGCCTATGTACCTAGATTGGTGATCAACTCTTTTAACTCTATGGATGGGTCGCCTGACTTGATTATTCGGCTATTCGCCGTTTTCACCTACCTAGCCCTCTGCCCAATCCAGCTTGGTTGCTGCATGCACGAAGTGAGGAGCCCTATTCAGTCTGCAGTGGTCTTCGTGCCCAAGATTGGGTTACAGGACAATCTATCTAGGAGCTGGTTTTGAATGCAAGTCTGTTAGACTCTACAGAAAATAAGGAGGGAACGATAATAATCGGATCTATTGAAACTCTGAAAGCTTAACCGTATGCGGCTCAATGCATCTTCAACGAGTCTTTAATGTAGCTATTTCCACAGCATCAAGAGACTTCGACCCCTAACCAACAAGACAGGCAGAGAAATTACCTTACGTTCCTAGATAGATCACTTGCATTGATAGGGATGTTAGGCACCCCGATTGCTACCCCGGCCTTCCGGCTGCTTCCAGACGTGTGAGGCTGAGTAGCACGTACACGGTGCTCTGTACGTGTACTCTCGTCCATGGCTGTTGTGCACAATTACTGATGAATCGTATGCGAGTTATGCAACCCAGCATTTGGAGCCGCGTTAGTTAGGTGCGTTGTACGTACTACATGCATGTAACCACGCCGTATAAGCGAGCGCTCCACGGTGCGTGCCGATGGTAATCAAAGCGGGCTGGGGATACGTAATCAAACGCTTCCTTGCTTTTTGCCGGGCTGGCGTGTTGGATGTATTATTATTGGCACGGATATACGGAGTACACATCCATGAGTTATTCTCGTTGTTATATACTTATAGCATGTCTATATGCTCATCCTTACAGCCACTGCTACGTAGATACATCGTTCCGTCTACCAAACGTGACAATAGGCTTGTGGACATGGGACAATATGCGGAATTGCCTAGTACGGTCACAGCTATTAATGAGGCTATTACTGCAGGCCAATTATCGACGGTTGCTGCCGGGGATTGCCGTGGTGGATCAGAAACAGGTGCACACGATTGGCGTGTGGCAGGCTTAGTGGGCCCCGGTGGATTTATCTGTCGGCGGTTTTAGCCTTTAATTTTTAGCCTCTTCGCTTTTAGCGCATATTTGCCCGGCAAAGTTGCTCTGATTGGACGAGTGGGGCCCGGGGCCAGCCCAGGCTGTAACCTAAACAAGCAGAGCCGCAAAAGGCAAGGAAAAAGCAAAATGGCAATCGCTTCCTTTGTCTATCGGACATCCGCTCCCTGCCATTAATTAGCATCGCTGATTCGATTGCTCGATGTCTTCGTGCTGCTGTTCTGGGTTCTCGTTTGTGTCTCCAGTCTATACGCACTGGGAAGACCATATTGCACTAAACGACCTACACGTATCGGCCCCGCCCGCCCTAGTATGCTTTGTGGCGCAAGGCTGCGTCAGCTTGTTCCTACGCAATAACATCCCGTCTGAAACCAAGACTAATACCGTATAGGTATCTACTAACACGTATGCCTGGATATGAAGTCTTGAATGCATTTCACTTTTCCTCGATACGTAATACGCGGCTATGTCTGGATTGTCTTGAATGCAGTATGTAAGATGTGTATATATATATTCTGGCAACGTATTGGTAGTTGCTTTTGTTCCGAAAGCCTCGATTCAAGGAGATCGTTCTACTCCCGGGATACAACCTCGCCCGCGTTAGTCGGTTATCCTCCTGTGACAGGCGTACGTAAGAATGCCCAAAGAGGCTTGCTTATAATAAGGTCGGTGCTTCCCTCGCACTCCATCCTTGGCGCTTGAAACTTGTCAGATGTCACACGCCTAGCTAGATTATTCTCATTCGTCGCACCAATGGCTGAACTTCCGACAGCCCAACTCGTTCAAACACGAAGAGCAAGAACTTAGAAGGGCATAAAGAAAGACATACGTAGTTCCCGAGCTCCACTCCATCGCCGCATTTCGTCTTATCGTCCCAGAATGTGCAGCTCTGAGGCTCGTGCGACCTGGAAACTGAAAGAGACAGCTGAAATTCAGTTCAACTGAACCACCAAATCTAAAAGGAGCCTCAAAGGGGGTTTGTCCGCTCCCCTCGAAGGTCCTCCTCTCAGTCTTCCTTGTCCCACGGTGGGCTTTGGTCGCATGAAATTTCCAGCATACGTCTCTGTACGGTTTAGTGCATGCAAATTTATTTCACTTTGGCACTTTGTAGTGTGCGGCGCTTTTCTCTTCCCTGCTTTTTTTACTTTTTTTTTTTTTTTTTCTCTTTTTCCACTTCCATCCGAATTTTTTTTTTCAGCCTCCTGATGGCCGCTGCGTCCTAGACCACTCGCTCCACCGGCTCCCGAAAAATTGCGTCGCGGCTCTCCCGCATTCTGATAATAGCTCCATACATACCACATCACATTAAGTGGAAGGACGAAGGGAATCTCGCTTTGCCGGATGTCTGCTGTGCTACTCAGGCGGTAGTAGCATCCTCCTGGTTCTGCATTTCAGGCCTGTTCTGCATTTTGGCATTTGGCTGTCCCTCGATCATCGCCGACTCTTGGGTTTAGCGTTGCCACTGGTAGTTTTGATTGCGCGGCGCGAGTTCCAGCTAGTTGCGTCCGTCGAGCCCCCGCACCCTGCCATTGGCTCGCGGAAACGAGCATTCGTCAGCTCTCCAAAATCAAATAGCGAGGTGGTTTTCCTCCTAAAAGAACATTACGTTGCAGCTTGCGCGGGGAGGTTAAGGGGGCAGGGCCAAACCGTTTCCGCAAACATTTATTTATATTGGCAAGCGCTGCGGTGCGGTGCGGCTCTTCCTCAGGCAACCAACTGTACACAAACAAGGAAGGCACGAGGCACTTGCCGGACTTGCCGTGGTAAGAGCACACAACGCACTCCCTCTTCACTCTTCACTCTTCACTCGCCATCCTGTTTGCAGTCCTCAGTTCGGCTTGTTCAATCGCATTGTCACTTGGCGTGCTCTTCCATTGCATACAAGCTTCCACGCCCTTGTCCACATTTCCGCGGATTGCCGCGCGATTCGTCTGCTCGATGCTTGGCCAACTAAACGTTGCTAATCTCATGTCTAGATCTTCTCGCTGCTCGTTGGAATCGCGTCCTCCGTCTACTGCATCGTCCACTCCAACGGAAGCCGACTTGCGCAATACCCGGGGCTATTTTCTGTTTGTCGAGGAGCCATCCAACCACACCGTCCATGGTTGGCAACGAGCCGCATTCATGTTGTCCGACGTGTACGATTCAGATGATGCGTTGAATCGCTCACCCGGTCTTAAACCATCTGTTATAAAATATGGACCGGACGAGTCTATCCCACCATTTTTGCAGGAAAAACAACAGCGGGCATTGGGCGATGGCAAACAACAGAGTTCGACGAGTCCAACGAGCTCGGAGAGCCGGTCGCCTAAGTATCGTCGACGGCGTAGGAAACCTCAGTCCTCTTTAGGTGATGCCGTCTTGATTGGTTTTCTAGATCCTAATAGGCCTGACATAGCTAGACAAGCCGGGCAAGAGACATTAGGGCCAGACTCGGACGAATCTGAAGATGATAAGCGAAATCGCGCGACACTCACTTCTTCTTTACCTGTCGTGACGAGGGCAAGCGATTTTGCCAAAAATGCTCTGGAGTTGATTCCGGATGTTCAAGCACGCAACAATACCTCGTTACCGTCCATTAAGGAACTCGTTCCTCAAGAAGCCATCTTCTCAACCAAGCCACCCCCTCTGCAGACTTCACTGGAGCCGCTTCGGCGGCCTAGACAGGATAGTCTAGCAGATTCTAGCGTTGGGAAATATACTATCTCTTCATCAAACAAATACGAAATTCTTCCTGCCCTCCAGGCACCGACACCCTCAGCAGTTGGATCCCCAGATAACACACAGAGCTTACCGTCCATACGCTCAGCTGTTTTCGCCGAATTAGAGAGCAACCCATCAACGCCTTTTCATATGCTAACGCCGCAACTTACACGAGGGACCAGTACACAGTCAGAGCTCTCAATCTCCCGGGTATCCACAGCTCCAGCTTCCGATTCATTTCAAATACCCACCCCTTTCTCCCATCCGTCCCCGATGAGTTTGAAAGAAATGGCAACTACATCCCCTGTCTCGCAGTCGCAGTATATGATGCAGCCGCCCAGCTTAACACCTGATACATCCAACATGACATCTTATAGTGAATCATCGTTACGGCAAACTTCGATAGGCCAGAGTCCTGCGAATAACTATCCTACGCCTACCGAGCCGCGGTTAGTCATGGACGAACGCTCAGATACGCTCGTTTCTGGTACAAATCTGTTCAAGTGTCCATACCCTGGTTGCACCGCTGCTGCTTTCCAAACACAATATCTTCTAAAGTAAATATCGTCCCTTTTTGTTGTTGTTGTTGTATTCAATTATGGGTTTCGGAGGGTGAAACTAATATTTATCATTCATCATTAGCTCTCATGCCAATGTTCATTCCCAAGACCGGCCACATTTCTGCCCCGTTATTGGCTGCTCTAGGGGTATAGGTGGCAAAGGGTTCAAGAGGAAAAACGAAATGATTCGCCATGGTCTAGTGCACGACTCACCAGGATATGTGTGTCCATTCTGTACGGACCAGCAGCATAAGTATCCTCGTCCCGACAATTTACAACGGTACGTCGCATGAAAAGTGGCAGTCGGTATAGAAAACATAGAAAATGTGCTTTTTTGTTCTGACATTGTCATACGAACTAGGCACGTGCGAGTCCACCACGTGGACAAAAACAAAGATGATCCAGAGCTGCGAAATGTCCTTGCGCAAAGACCCAAGGGGAGTGGGCGAGGACGTCGACGACGTGTTCATTAGTGGAGGTTTTCTGCGGTTATACTTGAAATGACTTGCACGAGGCTACCTGGATCCTCCTGAGGGTGTTGCCCTGCCTCGCTCCCGTGCTATTAATGCAGAGTGCGCTGAGCTATATTTTAAACAAATCTGAACAAAGGTACGAAAAGGGTGAATAAAATGAGTGCGAAGATTCATAGCCAACCTCTTTATTTACAGGGACCATCTTTTCACTTTACGCCAACCAACGAGGCACTGCAGAAGCAGAAAGTGATTTACAGACATTTAGGACCCGCCCCCTCCCCCTGTGATTTCAGATGGATCTGAGATTTGACAATATGAATATCAAGTCGAACGGCGAAACATCTACAAATCTTCTCCATAATCGAAATTTTACAGGATAATGGCTCCCCAACGACGGGTAACGGTTGTGGCAACCATGCATTCTCGTATTGTTTGATGCGGAGCTCAACATACATAGAGCGGTCCAATGAACCAAAGGTATTCGCCAGAAGATAAAGCAATGCGACAATAAACGAAATGCTCTTTCGCTAGCATAGGGACTGTTGATATTGGTGAATTCGGTGAAGCTTACAGCCAGCGAGATAAAGGGACTGCATACGCCGCCCCATACGTAACAGAGAATTTATGATGACCTGATGAGATATGACGTTGCATTAATATTTTTATAGCTTATCGCTCCTATTTTACGGAATTTACTCCTCGATATATAGACTGAGCACTATGTTTATATGTCTTTATTATTGTTCACATTCTTCGTGTATCTATTGTGCATTTTGGAAAATCATTGTAAATACATCTGCAAGTATATTCAATCAGCGGGCTCTTTTTGCGTATTTTCCAGGGGGCTGAAGCATATACTTCTTACTCATCGACTGCCATGCAAACTGAGTTTCATCTTATAAATCTCAATGCAAGCCATTTGTTTGAAAAGATTGATGGCTCTTCATATTGTAGGTATTATAAGCATGCTGCGTTCACGCTTTATATTGGCCCTTGCATTGCATTGCCGTTTCAAGCATACGTTAGGTAGAGCCATCTTCCCAGCAGAAATGGTGTATTAACAGAAATATAACATGAAACGATGCATGGGTCTTCATGATCCTCTCGGGCGGTGGCTGACAAAAATGCTTGAATGGGCGAACTAGTTCAGAAGGGTCTAGATTGAGCATTTTCACACCGGCTTTTTTTTTTTTTTTTTGTGTGTGTGTGCCATAGTTAGCTTGTGAACTAGAGAGTTCCGAATGAAGCCGAGAGAAGACAGGTTATACTCTTCAAGAAAGTGTCTTGCTTACGTCTACCTACTGTACCAACATCTAAGTATTGTATCGGCTCTTAATGTCCCGGATTACGACTACGATTACCTACCCAAGGCATCAGTGAGGCATTTGATGAACGCCGTGAAACAGCTCTAGAATGCAGTTATAACCTTCTACCTAAGCAACAACTGTACTTCAGCAGAAGCGGCGCAATTCTTATATATCATCCACGGATAACTTCAAGAATGATGCCCATTACCGGGCCGTTGATCTTGATGACCAGGAGCACATGATCCATGCACCCAAGATTTAAATAGAGAATGCAATAATTGATAGACAATGAATCATAATAGGTTGAGCTCTCATTTGAAGAGTGCCGGGGCCAAATGCACAAGCCCTAGGTACCCATGTCCGTCTTAAAACTAATCGCTGACTTCGGTAGCATCATTTGCAGAGAGAACTCGGCAGTCATCACAAGGGAGAGAAAACAACAAACCAGAATAAAAATAACCATATGTGTTGGTTAGCTGTAAGGTACTATTTGGCTGTAGCACCAACTTCCCATGATGATCGATGCTCGGCCCCCGCTGCGCTGCAGCGTAAAACGGTTAGCATACTGCGTAATATGCAAGATTGCAGTTAGCAACTATGATTCACTCATCCATCCTCTTTGAAATTCCTACTTTTAGTATCATGCGTTTTAGTGCAACGTGCAGATTCCCCTGGGGGCGGAATCCCACCTACGTACGTATTAACGTGCTTACAGATGGCGGCGCCAAATCGGAAACAGGAATCCTACGTGTTTCTTCTGTCTGTTTTTTTATTTATTTTTCTTTCCATGTAGAGAATAAAATAGGACTCCTTCTAGCGCTTCCCCGGGGTTTCAGGTCAATGTCCATGCATATAGTACACCTGGGCATGCCGGGATATTCATTGAAATTCATTGCCTGCACAGCATGCCTACGTATATTTTTTTCTACCTTGCAGACTTCGGGAATTCGAAGAAGGATAACAATAGTACCTAGATAATACGTTAGTATCCACTTTACCAGTTCGGTCAAGCCTTTTAGTTAGATACTCCGTGCATGTACTTGTTCACCTTCTAGTGCTTTAAGTAAGCACTATCTCGATGCGATTAGCATCCAAATGTCATTCTTTACACCCATGACTCTTGCTTCTAGCCGGTACTTTTGTAAATTTCCGCCGGCGTCGCTCTGTTCTTTTCTGCCCCCTCCCCACCCTCATGGTAGTATGACGATGTATATGTGTGCGAGCAGCGCAAGTTATGTCCATTGACGATCATCCGGTCTGTATACCTAGGTAGACTTCTTCAGCATAATGCAGATGAAACCGTGTCTTGGGGAAAGCTCCGTTTCCCAAGTGTAGTCATCAGCTCCATGGCCCTGCGTTTTCTGTTCCTTTTGCTTTCAGCAGTGTCGAATTCCGACATGGGGTTATTATTATTAGATGTCGTATTCTGGCGATAGCCTGATTTAGTCAGGGAGACACACCTTCCATATGCCGTCTTGTATATAGTGTCAATTATGTGTGTCTCTACTTCTTCCCTGAAAACTATAATATGAGGTGGTCTACCCTCGAATTTTCACACTGAATAACAGTCTCTCATACACAACAAACTACAACAGCAGCCGCAGAAAGGCGACTCTTCGCTCAACATAAAGAGAAAGTACATCTGAACGAACAAAATGTCGGGCTTTTATCCTCAGCGACAACGTATTACAGAAAATGAAATGGACGAGGAGATGGCGCGTCAATACTATCAGAACATGGGATATCAAGTGGTATCTCCCAATACGATGCCTCAGCTATCAACAATGATGCCGGGCCCAACAGGCTTTTTACCGACTGAGTCTAGCTATCAGGCACCATCGCCAGAGAGATACTATCAGAATCCCTTTGGTCAAATGCTATCTCCTCCTTCAGCAGTTGCAATACCGGGATACCACCCTTCATCATACAATGGATACATGTCCCAAAATATAACTCAAGGCGACAATCCTCTCCCTCTTCAAATAGGGGGTGTAGCCGGCATGGAGATGCATCCTCAACCTCAGGGCTATCATCATCCCTACCCCAGAAATACAACAGTACAACGCCCTGCGTCTCCGTCTGACACTGGAGATCTTGAAGAATACGGCATCCAAGAGCCAGATGGCACATGGCGTTGCAGATACCCTAGCTGCTCATCCAAGTCCGTCTTTACGCGAGCCTGCGACTTGCGAAAACACTTTAATCGACATAATAAGTACCTCTTTTGCCGATACGATGGTTGTCCTCAAGCTACAGAGGGTGGATTTTCGAGCAAAAAGGATCGTGCTAGGCATGAGGCAAAGCATAACCCGCAAATTCCCTGTGAATGGGAAGGTTGCGATCGAGTTTTCAGTCGCATGGACAACATGAAAGACCATGTACGTCGGATTCACTCCAAGGGAGGTCGATGAATCCATAGGTTTGTCCTGTTTTATGCATTAAGCCAAGTTTGCCTTGATCTTGTACTTCCTGTCTATTCGAATTCATATCCATATTTAAATTTATATTCTTTTTCTTCTTTTTTTTGTTCTCTTATTACTGTGTTCAGTCCATTCATATTTGTATTTTGTCTCTACTTTTGATACCTAGGTATTCTTTCCATACACACCCTTTGCTCATGTGTTGTTCTTCTCTTGAAACGAATAACCACTAGAGCATATCCATGGAGTCTGTTTGGCATCATTTCCCTTCGTCTTTAGTCTGTATAAAAATTTGGGCATAAGGTAATGAAATTTGAATACATCATTTCTTTCGGTCAAAGTTATTCACAGTCGACTCTCCAATAGGCTGTAGCTAGTATGTTGCGCGAGTACTACGCTGCCTAGCTGAGTGATACCTCAACTCAAGCACTACTGATTGCCCCATGTGGACCCGTACATGTGATAGTATATAGTCTTGTTGGGGCGCGGGGCTAAGAAAACACACAGAATGAGACGCATTTCAGCTTGTTGTGAAGCATATATAAATATAGCATATACTCGCAGGACTGGCTGTGTAGTGTGCTTGAAGGAAGAGCTGAAAAGCGTGACAGATCTAGCCCTATTTTAGGTCCGAGACAGCGGCATTCGGTATGCCGAATCCGGTAAGGTGGTCTTCAAAACCGTCAGCATCTCCAGCTTTTGCCTAAATAGGAAAATAAATTAGCGACAATACATGCATGTCTTTCTAGGTTTATACTCTCCCTCCCTCCGTCTTAGCTGATATGAAATATCAGCCGTTCGGTGCTTGCGGGGCTAGACAGGAAACACGAGTCGGGCGGTTGCAATATGAACAAAACCCGCCTTTTGTTCACGAGGGGGCTATATGCGAGGGACGGATAGATGCAATCTGTGGTTGCTCATAGGAGATATCACTCCCGACTTCCGAGATCTTCACGCGGGATGGCTTTTGCTAGTATGATATGTCTAGGCAATTATTCGATTAAATCAATCCATCAGCGTTGCTATAGGGTTCTCTCTAAGGCCGCTTGACTAGTCATGAATTATCCGTAGCATAAGTACGGTCACCGAATAAGAAAGTCTCCGGCACTTTCGATTTTGATAGTCGGAGGTAGTAAAGGTCACTATGTTAGGGTTGCTTTTTTATTCAGTTTTCCGCGATCTTTCGTCTTATCAATTATTGTTTCCCACTCAATACAGGGCGTCATTTTACATGGCTAGTAACGGATCTCATTGGATATAAACTCACTGAAACAGCTGAGAAGCTCGATGACTCGGGATAGAATGTACAGCACCTCAGGTCATGTGAGTAGTACTGGCTATCCTGTAGACATGTGCAATCAGCATGACGCTTAGTGGTGATCCAATAGCGTGTCTGGAGTAGGTATATCTGTCATGGTGGTGAGACGTCGTCATCGGATGCTGAAGATGCACGGAGTATGTGCCTTATCCTGGGTATATATTGATATTGATCCTTGTCTCCACGGGACCAAATAATCCGCAGACTATAAGTATAACCATGTCGGGCTATCCTGAATAAGTAACCTATTCGAATACAAGTAACGTTAGTGGGGTCCGAGCTAGATATTCAAGGCCGTGATTATCTATCTCATGGATCGTCCATTGTAACCATTTCTCGATGTATAGGTAATTGATTGATGACTGTTTAGTTAAGGCTCATAGGACATACTTCATTTGTAACGCGAGATGTATATTCCCTGAGACAGATTCATAGGGCAGTCAGAAGATTCTAGATGTGCCAAAATTGCATAGAAGACCGAAAAATACTTGCTTCGCTACCGAGCAGGTACACTTGATGACTAGGCACAAAGTGTTGAAAAGGCCGGGTGAAGGTAACGTCTATCTATGCATAGCCCGTCCCATGCGACAAGAACATAAATGTGTGACCAGTTGCAAGCATGCAGATTGTGGCGAGGCCGGTAGGTAGAGTCGGTCACATAGGCAGAGATGATTTGAAAACATGATACCATCTGCAGCAGATCTAATAGGCAGGCGCTGTATAATAGCCACTGACTAACATAAATGCTTTCGAACGTATCTCTCAGGAACCCGCCGTCTATCGGGGCAGGCCCCCATCCTCGGATAGAAGCGGCGTTCTCAAATTAGGGTCTTTGTTGATGTCTTCATCTTCCTCTTCTGGATCATCTCGCGATCGATAAAGCACATAGTGCTGATAAACGAATATCGCATCAAAAAGGATAGTCACGTTGCCCAACAAGAACTTGATAGGGTTCCCAGTGACGCCGCTCCAGTCGGCTTCAAAGCTCGAGTCTAAGATCAACTGCACGAGAGACAGAACTCCACCAGTTATATCTAGCAATATCTGTCTAATATCCCAGCCCGTGGTGGACTTGCGCTTATAATTCAACCATGCTTGTGGAACATATTTGACTACGGTGATGATGACTTTGATGTACGACATGGCGTAGAGCTACAATATGCAGGTTAGTAATTAATCTTCATCATTCGGGGATGAAAACGGCAAAGTTATTGACTGTCTTGCACTTACAACGTCAATCCAGGCCCAAGAAAACGGATCAGCGCCGCTGTCGGGGCCTTTGCCCAGCACATAAAACACCAGCAGAGCGACTGCAAGCAAGGACCCCCAGAACAAGCCAGCTATGGGCTTACTGACGCGCTGATATGGAGCCACCTTAAAGCCCCAAATGATAGGAAAGAACTGTGAATATACGATAGCGCTGAGGATGACAGCATGCACGGCGAAGGCAAGATCGTTCAACTGCACAGATGGCTCCGGGGAGGAAGGATTGCGCGCAGCATATTGTTTCCGAATGAGCGGTGAATACAGAAACCCAACAGCATATATAGTATAACACACAAAACCGAGAACATTGATGGTGGGAAAGTCGATTGCTAGGCCGTAGGTTGAGCGGCGACGGAAGTTGTTTATCGGCTGCGGATAGAATGATAGTGACCAGCACACGGTGCTTCGATTTGGTAAGAACATGGATGATTTAACTGCACAGAGACCCTACTTACTAAATCCAGCCTAACAGCCTGCAGAGGAAGTGAAAGAGAGGGTTAGAGGCGTGTTCCGTCAATGCGATACCCGGGACAATCAACGAACGTACCGTGATAGCGCCTTGATGAAGGCCTCCACACCATTTGATGCCATGGCGTACGAAGTATCCCTAACGACGAGAAAGTTGTAGGTTTCTATTGTAAGGGTCAGCTTCAGCTGCTCATGCTTGGAGGAAGAAGGCAATAAATAAGAACTGGAGAGCCATTTGAGAGCAGAGTCGCAGTCCGATGTCGTCGAGTCGTTATCAATGAGACCCGCAAATCACGCCATGCGGTTTAGTGTTGGGCGTCTCGCCGTGGCTGATAAGCCCAGCAGACACCTTGCCGCCTGGGGCATCCAAGTCCCGGGCTGTGTGAGGCCTGAGGCACCCCGCCTTGGCTTCGTCGTCCGCGACAACGCATCGACGCTAAACCCGAAACAGCAAACTGTTGTGTCCTTCCAAACGTTGAAGCGTCCCATCTGTCTCGCTGCCATGATAGCCTAGATCCATCTCCATCGGTCGTCTCCTGTCGTTGCTCCATATGCAGATGTTTGAGCATTGGGGATAATACCAACAGCGTGTATCTTCCAATTACTCGCTCCAAATCTCTCCTTCTCATTGCCTGTCGCTCGCTATCTTTCCCCTCCCTGTCGACGCCCCGAAACCGAGCCATCTGACATTTTCGTCTAAGCCTACACATATTCATCGGAATATATCATTATCGTAATTTGCCTTCTACTACTTGACGTCGCATGGTGCATACCTTCGCGTGGGGGGTCTTACGAGATCTCCTGCATTGAGTTGAACATTCCTCAGCTCCCCAGATCGATCGAACGTGTGGATACTGCGAATAGCAAATTAAAGGATCTATACACGACGACACAATGCCGGACACACTCTCCTCTCCGGGGACGAGTACATATTCCTCGGATACAATGTATGTTGGAGATGGGACGTGGGATAGCACAAGGAACACATTCTTGCTACCCAATTTGATGGGGGTGAATTTTGACACTATGCGATATAATGGTACAAACTCATAACCCAACAGATTTCTATAGACTATCACTAATATCATTAAACGTCAATAGGCATGGGGAACCGATTTCGAGACATGACGGGGTATTATCCATTGATTGTCGCGCACGGTGTAATTGCAACAATTGTGTTCCTTGCATTGGTACCTGCCTCTGTTATCATAGTGCGATATTATTCCATATATGACCGCTACCAGGCTTACAGATATCATGTCTGGCTCCAGGTGTTGACTTTGCTGTTGACAACTGTCGTCTTCGTGTTGGGATGGTTCGCAGTAGGACCATCACGAAGTCTTACCAATCCACATCATGGCATTGGCTTGGCGTTATATGTTATGGTGATATTTCAGGTTCTTTGGGGCTGGCTTTCTCACAAAATAGAACTGGGCGGGAGAAGTTTTCGAACACCCCTGGTATTAGTGGTATATATCATCCCTCTTGCATGCTCGCTCCATCAATTTGATTAGTGACTAACCTCGCTGGTGCAGATTCATCGCTGGATAGGCTGGGCCACTCTGCTTCTGGGGATTGCTCAGATTCCATTGGGCTTAACGTTATACGGCTCCCCAAAATCCTTGTTCATCCTTTTTTCGATAGGAGCATTCTTCTGGCTTGCTCTATTCTTCATTTGCTCCTACGTGTACGATGAAGATGGTGCTAATTATGGCCCTGACCAGGACGGCCGTGGCAGCTATGTATCCGGGCCCCCTCCTTCTGAAGAAAGGCGTCATAGTGGCCTCGGTCGTATGGCAGCAGCAGCAGCTGGAGGCGCTGGACTAGCAGCGCTTTTCCGACATCGATCTCACCGCCGCGACGAAAGTGATGTCCAAAGTTCTTATATGGATGAAAAATACTCAGATGAGGGTCAACATCGTTCGAACTGGACGAGGCGATTAATTGAAATCGGTGCCATTGGTGGCGGAATTGCATTGGCAAGATCGTTGTTCAACAGGAGAAGAGACAGAGAGAGCGACACCGAATCCGGTCGATACCGTCCGACGCATGCTCGAAGTGACAGCATGTCAGAGATGACTGCGAGTAGGGTTGAAGAGGGCCGCGACGTCTCGGGTACTCATTCAGGCACTCAGGGACCTTATATGCATCCGGCAAGACGGCAAAGTTACAGCTCCATGGACTACAGCTACTATACACAAACAGATGAAGGCCAGGAAAATCGCCAAGGACATGGCCAAGGACATGGTGTGCGAGATGCCATCTTGGGAGCTGGGGCCTTTGCGGCAGTGAGAAGTCTGTTCAGGCGTGGGAAACGTGACAACGAACAACAGCGAGTTGACGAGATCAAACGGCGGGACATGGAGGAGGAGAAGCTGGCCAGAGCAAATAGTAAGAGGAAATACACCGGGGATGGCTTTTACCCGCGAAGACAGAGGCCATCACAATCTGTGCTCTCTAGCCAAATGACCTCGGATATAACACCTCGTCCACCGCGCACACCCGGTCCAGACGAAGAAACAGTAATGACTGGAGGTGTCATGGAGAGACAATCGGACATTCCCCCAGCTCCCCCAACACATCGAGTGGTATCAGGAAGTGCAACTGGCACAGACATTGAGTCTGCCGCTGCCGCGGGCGCTGTTGCAGGTGCTGCTGCCGGATCAACTAGCCGCCACCGTCGTCGCAGTCGTAGCGGTGGTAGTAGCCGACGTCGAAGTGATCGTCGTGATGATGTGTCTTCACCGCCAGTATCTGTTAAAGTGCGAATGCACAATGACGGACGCCATGTCACTCTCCGGAGACTGACTGAAGAAGAAGCAGCAGCCAGCAGAGAATCAAAACGCCGGTCCAGAGAACGACGAGGGTCGCGTAGACGTGGTAGTGCGAGCTCCCTCTCCGGCAACGAAACGAGCTCAAGTCGATGGCGGCGTGTTGAAGAAATGGAGCGTCGCCAGGCTGAGCAAGTGCAGCGTGAGCAAGCTGCCGCTTTGGCTGCCGAGTCAGGCGCAGCAGCAGCAACTGCGCCTCCCCCTCCAGCACAATCACCATATCCTCCCCTTGCTCCACAACCGCCAGCAGCATCTTTCAATTCAGCTCATCTTCCACCACCATCAGCATCGTATGCTGGTAATAGTCAGTTGTCTGTTCCACCGCCTGCACCTGGACCACCTCCACCACCAATGATACCGGTGCCATCACATGCAGCTACAAGCCAGCAGTCCATGATGCCGCCGCGCCCTCCATCAAATATGCAGCAATACCCGCCAACTGCAAGTATCACGTCTCCAGGTACTTGGACGGGCACCGAAGCTAGCGCAGATTACGCCAACAATAGACGAAGGCGTCGAGCTGAGCGAGCTCAGGCTCGAGCGAGACAACAGGCACAGCATAGTGTGGAATTTACTTGATCTCATTTACGTGTTGATACATCATCTGCTTTGCCAGCATATAATGAACATGATGCCCATGATTCTTCAAAAAGAAATATTCTTTCACTCCCTTTCTCTATATTATTTTGTGCGTGTATGAAATCACATATATAATGAATGCTTCATGCATTTTCTTGTTGGGTAATTTTCGGCGGGCCTTCTGCCATCGGGAGGCATGATTGAGCGAGTCAAATGTGTGAATGAAAGTATGTATGTAACGCTGGTTTTTATGTCACGTGTTTCTGTTTACTTGCACTTTTTTACTGTATATAGACTACCCCCTTGTTGTTTTCTTGAATGAATAAACCCATTTTCTATTGCTTATATCTAGTCTATTCTCTTTGAACATATATGTAGACTGTGGTTGTTTGAAAAAAAACGAGAGAATGAATACCCTTGATCTGAATAAGTGCTAGAATGAAAATCAAACATTCTTTCTATTTAATAATGCTCGACAGATCCATCTCTAAAAGCGACATAATATTTACATTGCCCGTGAACCAGTTCTCTAAAGAATTAGCATCGCCAGCTTCCAGTCCTGTTTCCAAGTTCGCGGGTCCAGCATTGTATTCTGTGGCTGGTCCTCCGCCCCCAACCCCTGCTGCTGTTGATGGTGCTGCCATCGCCGTAGGTGGGGGAGCTAGTCCGGTTTGCTGCTGCTGCTGACCAATATTCAAAAAGCCAGCTGCGTTAGGAAAGCCAAGGGCGCTGAGGTACGGTTCAAAATCATCAATTGGGAATGGCGGGTTGTATTTAAATGCATTATTTGAGGTGTTTTCGGTGTTGCGGATATTAGTTGTTGATGTGGGCGGCGATGATATGGAGTGTTGTTGGTGTATATCATTGAGGTGATGGCGACTCTGGCTATCAAGGTGGTTATGATGCTGATGGTGGTAGTGATGTTGTTGGCTAATCTTGGCCTCGATGTATAGCTCCGCAACGCGATGGAAGACATGGCAGAGTCGCCAGAGTTTCTCGGCTGCTTCTACTGATTCACCGGATGATTGGAGAGAGGATACAAAATCGCCTAGGCACTTCAAATCGTCCAGATTTGCGGTGGCGATTGCATGGCAGAATAGGACCATGAAGGGCGTGAATGGACAGTTGATAAGGACCCTGAGTTCGTACTATATTAGAACACTGGCATGGATAATAATAGGAAGACGAGCAAGAATCAAAGACGGAAAGGGTTTGATGTACCAAGAAATATAACCATGCCAGATATGGCTATTGGTGTGTTTGTACCGCTCCGTATTTTGCTGGTGCGCCCTCAATGCCGCTCGCGCCGTTTCAATACATTCATTGCTGAATATGGAGGAACTATCCAGTGGCCCAGGCGGCACCACTCGGTAAGCCAACGTCGAAAGGCCATAGTACATGATCGCAGAAGAAGACGCAGCTGCTTCGTAGTAGAGCGGATTATACGCACGAGACGGGTCGAGTTGGGTTTGTGTCTCTTGATACCATTGTCGCATGTCTGAAGTGATTTGCTTCGCCCTTTGTGCTCTTTCAGTTGTTGATCCAGAAAGTGCGCGAGGTGAATATAGTTCCTCGTATATGCGCCCTTGGAAGTATCCAATTTTGATCCAATGGCGATACAAGGTGTCCCACATGCTCATCTGGGAATCAGTCGAGAGATCAGAGAAGGTTAGCGTGATATCGAAATCTTGCAGAATCGACGAGTGGCCCAGTCGAAGGGATAGTGATTTATCGAGAATGTACGTAAACCAAAACATCCTTTTCTTGAGATTTATATCCAGCTGACTATCGCCAGGCAAGACCACAGACCTGTGATAGCCGAGGGTCTGGCAAAGGCGAGCCGCGGTCGACGTCAATGCCCAACATAGAGAGGGTTGGGATATGTCTATTGCATAAGATGCCTGAGTACAAGGTTAGATAGAAACGACCACAATAAACCCTATACAGAATGCCCACTTACGCCGAGCAGTAGCGCCTGCAGGTTCTCGTCGGTAGGCGCCATGAAGATATTAAAATGACTGATAGCATATTCGAGGTTTGCGCGACAGAGGGCTGCGTTTTCAGCAGCTTCGGGAACATTTTTCCCTTGTATGAAGGCTATCTCCTTGAATAGATAGAATAGTCCACCGTTCACCAAGGCGAATGTGCTAAGAGAATAGTCCTCCGTTGCAAAGTAGACTTTCCTGCACATTTCGTTGAATTGCTCAAAATCTATGAAGGGATGATCCAGGAAATTATGATACTCTAGACGAAGGAGGAGCGTGTAAGCATTTATTCTGTGTCTTTCCATCTCCCTTTATCTTTCAATTTGTTTTCAATCTCACCTTTGGAAAGCCGCAAAAAAGACACAACAGACTCAAGACTAGGCATTTTAGCAGACGAGAAATTAAACGACGATGCATCAGCTTCCTGATTAGGAAATCGATAGTCGTGGTTTCCAGGCGACGCATGCTCCTGCTGCTTCTCGATGAGGTTTCGCAGCGCAGAAAGGGCATCTTGCATCTCATGATTACGGCCAAATACTGCAAAGTCATTGCTCATGGCATTTTCAATAATTCGGGTTGCATGCACCGAGTGGGCACTCAGCGATGAAGCTCCTTCAAAGGCAGCATTGTCGGTATTGACAGTTTGCACTTCCCCTTTAGCACTTCTGGGAGTCCGCAAGGGGGAAGCATGCTTGGTTATTCTTTCTGCCTTTGGACTTATGATTGTCGAAAAGGGAGTTTGTGTTGTTTCTGCTGCTACGATTTTCGGAGTTGGTGCTGACAATCCTGAATGCTGGATGGTACCTGTAGTCGCAAGGGACGTCAGGTTTTCAAGCAGAGATTCTATGCGTGCCAATCGCTCTTCGATCACTTCGACTTTCCTCTCACTGTGACGGGAAAGGGGGACAGAATTATCAGAAAACGGTCTTGAACTCGAATTAGTTGATAGCAAACTGACTATTGATCTGATATCAAGACCCGCTGACGCTGTTCTTTAGGTCTGTTGGCAGTACGGCACGAAAGGTTTGAAGCTCTGCAGTTGGAGCAGGGAGATCGTTTATCGCATTTTACCTAGAAAACGTGAATATGTATGAGCTTTTTCTCCCATTGTTAGATGAAGACGAGAATAGGCCACCTTTCGGTTTCGACAATTATCGCACTATAATGTATACAAACATCGTCAGCGATGATGCCAGATCCGGACATATACATAGCAAGCCACACCCACCGCTCGCCAGGAGGGGATACTTTCATCCCTGGCCGTGACTGGATCTTCTTGCTGCATACTAGTTATGAGAATAAATAATCATTGAAATTCTCAACCAGGTCTGAATGCGACAAGAGCTGAGATTTGAAGCTAGAAAGGCGAAGGATCGGAATCCGCGGGGGCCGCAAAGTGGGCTTGAAGGACACCCCCTGATTGGCCACCTTCGACCTTCTATATACCACCTGGGTAGACAACTCGAGCTCAATTCGCAAAGCAGTAAATTGATAATAAATGGGATATGGAATATAGTAGTATAAGAGCAGAATAAAAACAGGCTGTCATTTGATTCTCATTCATTATACATAAACCGGACCAATCCTCTATTTCAGTTTCCTAACAAAAAGAGACAAGACAAAGACAAAGACAACAAACGCCATATTGTTAGATATTACATTATGTACTCAGTAGGTATGTATGAAGGATCGAGTTGCAGGAGGGCAAGCTTTATAAGCACCGCAGGCGAAAGGAAGGTGAGAATATACATATATATCATAGCACCGCTTAGAGAATCGAAACAAATCCCATGCATATTGTTAACAAATATCCAAGCAGTATGGCCAGAGACGGAGGTGTCGCTATGAGGCTGCTAACCGACGTTGAGGAAGACGAAGAAACGTCACTGCTGTCATCGACCGTTGCATTGACGAAATTAGGACCGCACCCGATGTTGATAGTTTCAGCAGCTGGGGTGTATGTCTCCTCGAGAGGACTACCATTAATCGCAGCGGCTTGAAATACTGCCATAGTAGCTTGTGTGCATTCATTACAGGTCGGTCGACTACCCCCGGGCAAGGAATTTCCAAGCGGTACGAAAAAAAGATAATAATTCGATATGTTGCTGCTATTGGTAGCTGCCTCAGTAAAGCAAAAGTCTCCGGTTGAAGGGTCCTCAAGACAAGCTGCTTCTGCAATCGGTTGATAAGATATCATGCCATCGTACGCCTGAGTGACAACAGGATTTCTTAGCTTGTAGTCTGCGCCGCAGTTGCTGGAGCTTGTCAAGTTGGAAGCTAGCTTCGTCATGTATGTAGAACAGGTCGTCACGTTGGCAGAGCATGAAGTTTCAAGGACTTCATCCAAGGTCACTGCAGAAGCCAGGTCTTTGAAGAATGAGTTAGAGTTCTGCAAAAGGAGCGAGACGGGATAGCAGGATTGGTAGGTGTCATCAGAAAGGAAGTCTGCGAAAAATTGAGGACAGCTGGATGCTGTGAAATTATCACCCAAGGTATCAAATGCCGTGGGAAAGGTGAAGTTGCTGCTGCCATCGGAAGTAGACCTTGCAGCTACGGAAGCAAGGTCAGTTACAGCTGCCGGGGTTGACCTGGATGCATCGCTTAGGTCTAACGAATCGATGGTGCCTTCGGGTTGTTGTATGGGCGAACAGTAGCTGTCCGGGATTAGGCATAAAATTAAGGTCAGAGGTAACAAGGCTCCCACGAGCCTCCTGCTGTTTATAGATAGCAACATTATCATGATCGAGGACCGAAAGTAGATATATAGATAGATTTCATAGATGCGTAGATCTTAATAGCGAGCGACGTGGGCGAATGCAAGCCCTTTTGTTTCTCCTGTCGAGGTGGGTAAAAAAAAAAACGAGCGTGAGTAATCCTCGGTGATTATCGTGGCGACTGTTGAAAAGAGCGTGGCGGTCCGATGAACATGGTCTGTCAAGGTCGGTTCAATGGCTTCATCTATAAGCAAGCACTGGCAGAGGGCATTGCCTGGAGTAAAAAGGTGACTTCGCTTCAAGACAGACAAACGCACGCACGGTATCCGCTCTGCCTTTCCTTCTGATTGAGGGCGTACTCGTCGAAACTATCAAGCCCGGATGTACAAACAGAGAAGTCGAATATCGGCCACACTTCAAGGAGTCAGACTGGCCACCGCGTCCCCAGACGGCCCCCTCTCACGACGACGAGTGTGTTCACTGCAGCAAACACGCCTGCTGGGGGGAGGCGCGAGCTATAAGAGGGACTTGCCCAGGATCTAGACCACGCTTGTCGGAGGGCCGTCCGACTTGGGTTAGATCAGGCCCGCCATGGCCCCAAATGCTCCACTATGCCATGCGACTAGATGCAGCTAGCCCCTTTGAGCAAGAGATTATCTAAGCTGGACCCTCCCCTTTTGAGCGGCTTGGGTGCCTGGGGCATCCTTGGCCTCAGGCACCCAGTCAGTACCCCGTGACTTGGTGATCCCTGATCTCACAAGCCAAGTCGCAAGCCATCACGTGCCGCGCCATCGCCCGAGCTCCAGCGGACAGCTTCCCTATCCACATCCAACCTTCCTCGAATCCCATCCAACCCTTCATTCTCGCGCTGTGCCCGTCGAGGATCTTAGTCGCCCGCCATGCCCGAGTCCGTCGACCCCCGGATGACAAGCATCAAGCCCCGCATCCGCTACAACACCATCGGAGGCATTAACGGACCGCTGGTCGTCCTCGACAATGTGAGGGGACAGCTTGACACAGGAAGTGGGCTACATGCTAATGTGCTGTACTAGGTCAAATTCCCCCGTTACAACGAGATTGTCTCGCTCACACTGCCCGATGGCACGGAGCGTTCAGGTCAAGTGTTGGAAGCTAGAGGTAAGCTCCCCGACCCGCGTACCTACTATATAGAATAGCCTGCTAATCTCTCTGATCTTTACTATAGGCAACCGAGCCATTGTACAGGTACGAACCGAGACTAATGCCATTCTGATCTACTTGCCTGCGATATATATTAACTAGTTTGCTAGGTGTTCGAGGGTACTTCAGGTGTTGACGTGAAGAAGGTAGGAAATCTGGTTAGAAAGCTTCTCGCTTATAGAGTTGCTGACACTAGGATTAGACCAAAGTCGAGTTCACCGGTCATAGCTTGAAGCTTGGTGTGTCTGAGGACATGCTGGGTCGTGTGTTCGATGGTTCAGGACGTGCTATCGACAAGGGTCCCAAAGTGCTTGCGGAAGACTACCTGGATATTAATGGCCAGCCCATTAACCCCTACTCCCGGGTACGTGATACCGCCAAATTCATATGCATGTTCATCTAAGCTGACTCAATTTCCTAGGTCTACCCGGAGGAGATGATCTCTACTGGTATCTCTGCCATCGACACTATGAACTCTATTGCTCGTGGTCAGAAGATTCCAATTTTCTCCGCCGCTGGTCTGCCCCATAACGAGATCGCCGCAAGTATAGCCAGGCAAGCCAGTCTGGTCAAGAAGCCCACTAAAGATGTCCATGATGGTCACGACGAGAACTTCTCTATTGTATTCGCTGCCATGGGTGTCAATATGGAGACCGCCCGATTCTTTACTCGCGAGTTCGAAGAGAACGGCAGTATGGAGCGTACCACACTCTTCCTGAACTTAGCCAATGACCCGACTATCGAGCGGATTATTACTCCTCGTCTAGCCTTGACAACTGCTGAATACTATGCCTACCAACTCGAGAAGCACGTTCTCGTCATTATGACTGATCTTTCGGCCTACTGTGATGCTTTGCGTGAAGTCTCCGCTGCCCGTGAAGAAGTCCCTGGTCGTCGTGGTTATCCTGGTTACATGTATACAGATTTGTCGACTATATACGAGCGTGCTGGTCGTGTTGAGGGTCGTAATGGTTCTATTACTCAGATTCCTATCTTGACTATGCCTAACGATGGTATTAACCCACTTCCTCCTCTTTCTAACATTTCTTTATTCATTCATAACTGATTTCATCATAAACAGATATTACGCATCCAATTCCTGATCTAACGGGTTACATTACTTTAAGTTCCCTCCTTTCTCAGCTAGATTCGACTAGTGAAACTAACATTCTGTGCAGGAGGGTCAAATTTTCATTGATCGACAATTGGCTAATAAGGGTGTATATCCACCAATTAACGTACTGCCATCACTTTCTCGACTTATGAAATCTGCTATTGGCGAGGGTCGCACGCGTAAGGATCATTCAGATGTATCCAACCAGCTCTACGCGAAGTATGCTATTGGTCGTGATGCTGGTAAGTTTTTCGGTCTACGTCCACCCCGTTCGTAAATCTGACAGTATTTCCCGCATAGCTGCCATGAAGGCCGTCGTTGGTGAAGAAGCCCTTTCTGCTGAAGACAAGCTTTCTCTGGAGTTCCTCGACAAGTTCGAACGCAGCTTTATTAGCCAGTCTGCCTACGAGGCCCGCACCATTTTCGAGTCTCTGGACATTGCCTGGAACCTACTCCGCATTTACCCCAAGGAGCTCCTCAACCGTATCCCCAAGCGTACTCTTGATGAGTTCTACGCCCGTTCCGCTCGCAAGATTGCTAGCAAGGATACGCGCGATAACTCAGGCGAGCGGCAAGATACCTCGGCGCAGCAAAGTACTAACCTTATCGATGCGTAATCTTGCTGCATGAGTGTTTTGTGTGTTCGTAGGCCAGTATGGGATTAGCCCATATTCTATCTCTCTTCCAAGGACCTACCATCTATAATCATCTTGTTGCTTCGTGCACGCCCTTTTCTACGTTCTTGTAGTTGAGGTCTCGGAGCTTATTACTCGACCGTGGGGCGAGGGTGAAAGTAGTGTTTGGGTGGCTGTAACCAATCTCTGCGTATATCTTCCGTCCCGTTGCATATATCTTTTCGTGCGGCTGTATCTTACCATCTATTGCGACATATCTTTTCTTTTCTGGCTTTGCATGTTAATTGGTTGGTTAGCTACAATACACTTGAAGTCTAGCTAGACCTTAGAATCTCAGGCCTTGAATTGACCACTCGTATAGATACTTCACTCCTGCCTGTACTAGTCCTTTTCAACCCTTTCCAGTAAGCCTCCCCACGATGATTAGTCTCTGAATGCACAGAGACAGCTCGTATTCATACCAGACTAAACCCTAGGCGGCGGTCTTGAGCATCTTGGCATCAGAAGCCAGGCAGAACAGCAACAAACAGATATGAGACATTGCAAAATATTTTTACTGTGGAGCAGCCTAAGCGCGCCACAGAGTTGCCAGTACGTAGCATACCAGAAAATTGGAACCTGCAAGCGAACAGACATGAGGAGAAAATATTCCGAGACTAGATGCTAAGGATACTAACTGTCCGGGCCCCTGCATTAACCTGGGAAGTGGATCAAAAAAAAAATACTCAAGTTCATCTGCCTACGTAGCTAGTAGTTGCAGAGTACACAATCTGGTCTGGTCATGTGAAAAGGCGCCAGCCCTAAAAACTTCAAGAGTATTCCGGCATCAACGAAATGTAACGAGTGCAAACACTTAGTATCAGTTGTAATGATTAATAAATGGCAGCGCTCACACCTGGCGGCAAATATCTAGATATGGTATGGTATCAAAAACAAAAACGCCCCAAAAAAAGTAACGTCCCCTCAACTCCTCCGGTTAGAAGCCTCACCCAAGGCAATGCCAACAATACTCCGTTGCTGACGAAGCGGCCCTCCAAACGGATCTCCCCGACTAGCTGTGGAGAGAGCCGGGCTGGTGAGAGCATCGCGGTCTCGTTTGATACGGAAATACGCCAATTTAGCGAACCGGCCAACTTGATTCCAGAAGTGTCGCCCGGCTTCATGGCTAGATATACGATCAAGCAAGTCCACAGTAGCATCGCGTACGGCGATGTCGGGATGGAATAGTCCGAGACTAACGTAGAAAAGGCCCGCCTGGCTCTCCGGTGTTACAGTCAGCAGCTGACAGACGCCGGCGTAATCGCGTATCGCATGTGAGAATGCCATGTAAATTGTGCCTGCTTCCTCGGGTGGTAGCTTCAAAGAACGTAGGCGGTCATGATGGTGTTGCAAATCCATCAGTTTTATGGGTCCCGTCGCATTGTACGATGTGGCCACATCTTGGATGAATCCGTAATATGATCGAGTGTTCCTCCATCCCTCAATCCGAGAGACGCATGCTGCAAGCTCTCGGTGTTTACTGACCTCGTCTGGCCACACGTAGCCATGGCCACGGAGGGATGCGAGATTCGACGGATCGGCTTTGGTGCTACTGGGACTTGATGCGGTTTCCTCTCCCGGCCCTATGATATAGAGAGCCGATGCTCCATAAACAGTCTCTTCGAAAGCAGCCGCCACTCTGGTAAATTTATAGATATAGGCCCGCCATTTAGCACGAATCACACCTTCTCCATAGCGCTGGCTAATACTCCGCTGGATGTCATCCATAAATGCCACATCTCCTGTGGGGTCAGTACCCTGTCCCGATACATTGCTGGTGTTTTGATGCTGGAAGAATTTTAAGCCTTCTGTAAGTGGTGCTGGTTCAACACGACTGCTGATTTTCATTCGACCCGTGGGTAAATCACACAACAAATCCCACCATTCAGGGTGATTCGCGAATGTTGGGTTGGTAACTCCAGCAACAAAACCAGGCACCTTGAGGAGATCGTCGATTTTGGTTAAGTCGGTATATGGAAAAGCATGACGAGTAAATCCCCGGAGGATGCCACCAGATGCCAAAGCACAAGCAGCCAGTACAGCCTCTGCTACTTCTCCCGATGGGCGGTTATGTCCAAGGAAGATCACCCGTTTCTGGGTGAGCATAGCATTAACCAATACGATGATGGGATGCGTATAGGCTCCATTGGTTGTAAGGTGCGGGTGAAGGGCGAAAGGCTGAGGGGTTGTAGAATGCGGAGTTGCAAAGATTTGAATTAGTTTGATTAGTGAAAAATCACCCACAGTCTCTGGCCAGATGACGGTGGGCACTTTCACTGGAATTGGGATATCGTTATACACCACTTTTGATTCAAATTCATGTGTGTCGCGTGGCAGCGCATAGCGTGATTTTGTAAGTGACTCTGGGGAAGATGTGCCTGGAGTATGTTCAGACCCTTCATCCGCAACTCGCTGCTCAATCATACGCTCGAACTTTTCAATGAACATATCCTTTGAGTCACTAGCTTGTAGGATACTTCGTTCAAGAAGAGTAAAGCGAGGCAGCAACGATAGATCCATCGCATTGACCGCGTTATATAGAGAAGCGAGAGTCTCCGGATAGGGGGCTTTGAAGTAATCCTCCAAGGCCAACAGGAGCAATGGCTACCGTATGTTAGTATACCACAATACACATGCAATTTAGAACTCTTACTTTATATATATGAAGAAACGAGTGGCGTGTACAGATGGCCATGGCCTTAACGACGGCTCCGCTGCTTGCAGTCAGCTACCGCTAGGTCAATGCAGATGGGGATGACGCACCGGCGAACTGTATTGTCTTGCTTCGTATTTACCAAGTTCAACACGTACATAAGAGGCGGTCCCTCTCCTCCATCTTCCTCATCATCGCTGCTATCATCCTCGTCTGAGAATACTTCGTCACCATTCGTTTCATCTTCACCTTCGTGGTCCGTTTTCTGCTGATTCCCTTGTCTCTTCCGCCGCTTTCTGTTAGCCGCCTTTGCTTCTCCCTCTTGTTCGTGTTCTTCGTCGTCTTCGTCGTCCGATTCCGTGTCTTTGTGTAGAAAGAAAATAGTCCAGTCCTGGCTTCGTACATGTGTCTGATCCGGAAGCATCAGTTCCGCGAGCATACTCTCATCACCGCTAATCGGAGCAGGGTACTGGTGTTCCATTATCGGACCGCGGTCGATGTGGAAAGAGGCCACGAGAATGTATTCCACATGGCGTTCAGAAGAGTCGAGAGGATACTGCGACTTGAATCTCCGCGACCCATTGAGTAGGTCTGGATGCTGAACTGATCGTCGCCGAGGAGCTTGTTGCGCATTGCTTGGTGTGCGTCTCACAAACGAAGCCGCAGGAGATAGTTTGGTCCTTCCACTCACACTGAGTTGCGATGATGACGGAAAAGAAGTCGCAAGTGACGATTTCTCATTTTGAGAATCACCGGTCGGTGTTCGGGTAGGCAACGTATTGGACATGCTGTGTTACTAATTAATAGCAGGCATTCATGCTCCTCGATTTTCCCCTTGGGGCCAGCCTGGACCGGATGCATTGTCAGTATGAATCCCAAGAATTGACGCAATCAGATATCGGCTTCCTGGGAAGACGGGAAAGCAGCGTCTTTGCGAGCTTCAGGCATACAGTAGAAAACGCAGGACCACGCTAGCTGCTGGCGGGGATAATTTAGGGATTGCTCTCGCTCGTAGCCAGCTGGGCTCACAGACAATGTGCCTCCGAAGCAGGTCACATGTGGTCGATAGCCATTGGGACGTTCCGCATAGCTGTTCAGGTAAAGAAGAAACTAGAAATTTGGATGCATGACAGGGGTATGGTGGTTTCACGATGAAACCGTTTGGTTGAGTCCGCGCTAACTCCGCACTGAGACGGGCCTGGCGGACTGAGAACTCAGGCACCAAGTTTCCCCAAGGAGCTAGTCTCCCGATAACACGGAGGGGCGGGCTGATTGGCCAATCACATTGCAGCGTCCAGACATGGCAACCGCTTTGTTTACTCCCTCACATTCACAGTTCACCACAGAGCATCGACAACGCCGTGCAAAGCCTTGGACAGAGCTGACTCGACGCTGGGAGCTGGGAACTAAGGGACTTCGCAGGTTTACTTGAGATCAGTCGTGCATGCGCTCGATCTTTACCCACCGGTCATTCACCAAGATACAACAAGTAAACAACCAAGTCATAACGTCGCAACCAAGGTGAGTTCTTGTTCAAAAAAACGACGCCCCAAAATCCGTTGCTGAATACTCGCAGATGAACTCGAATTTGCCGTATAAACCATCTCCACTGTCTTTTAATTCCCCGCGCGCATCGCCATTCCGACGCCCGTCATCGCCAGGCTCGCCCACCACAGCGATCCGAGCCAGCACACCAGCCAGCTCACCTGGGAGAGGACATACTCCAGTCACCTCTCCCAGCAAACTACATCAGTCATACACTGTGGGTGATACCGAGGAAGCATTAGCCGAGGATGATCAACCAGTCTCGGCCTCTGCCCCAAAGTCACCACGATGGCGAGAATCACCAGTGTCGCCGACAAAAGGCGCTTCCGGGAGGAATAGCTTTTCATCGCCATTAGGCGTACGATCGCCGCGTCCAAATGCTATTAGCAACGATGCCATATCGAGGTTGCCTCCGTCTCAGGTGAGGGACATGCGAGAAGCATTCCAGGTCCTTGATCGCGATAACGACGGTAGCGTCAATCGTGGCGATGTAGCGGACGTCCTGTCAAATCTGGGTATGTTGAGGGCTGAGAGTTAACACTGTCTCTGCTTGGTACCATAGTTTTCTGACGGATTACAAATTAATCAGGCCGAGACCCGTCATCAAGTGCAACCGCTCAATATTTCCCCGCTGGCGCGGCACAGACAATGAACTTGCCCACATTTCTGAGTACCCTATCCACATTGCTGGCGCCATTATCTTCTCAAAAGGAGCTTCTCAATGCGTTCGCCGCATTTGACGACGACGACAGCGGACAGGTGGATGTGGCGGAACTGCGTGATGCTCTTCTCCACACGAACCCCGATATTGGCGAGAGTCCTCTCACAGAACGAGAGGTGGACGAGGTCCTAGACGGGTTTACTGGACGAAGGGCGTTTGGGGGCAGGGGAAAACTAGCAGGGTTGCATGGACAGAAACGAGGCGAGGTCTTCCATTACCAGGACTTCGTTGGCAGCATCATGGGCAGTTCGGACAACGGAAACGGGCCTAATAGTGTAGCCAAAGCTGGCTCAAGTTGATAAGCTAGTCAATGGGATAGTGTATATCATGAAGGTGCTTGGAGTTTAGGTATATATAAGTTTTGATTGCGTTCATGGCTTATTATTGTTATTACCATGGCTTTTGGCAGTATCTAATAGCATCAACAATCTGAATAAATTTGCGGAAATCAAGTCTTTTCATTTTCCTGTACTCCGTATGTTGTCACAAAATAATAATAAAATATTTCATATAGCATATATAGACTTGGAGGCGAGGCTCCCATTGGCCCGTCATGTGCCCAGCCGCAGCTTAAGAGAATCCATCCATCAATTAACGCGTCCAGCAGATCGCGTGCAACCCCCCGCATGCACTGCAGAAACCCCCGAATGCAGACGCCGAAGAATTCCAAAGATTCCAGTTTGCTTTTGCTGATGCGCCGCACCGTCTGGCGAGCTGCTTCAAAACACCATGTCGCCTAACAGCAGCTCTTCGCTGGTGAACACGAAGCTGCCGTTTGTACCTCCCCCAGCCTCCCCTCAGTCGCCTCGCCGCCTCCGCAAGTACCAGTCGCATCAAAGCTTGACATCAACGTCGTATTCGAGTTTCGGGCAGCCATTGTCCTCGGCCGTGGGACTGAATGGAAACAATAGTCGCCAGCGCGATGCCGCTAGCAATGGCACGACACAAGACCTTCAAGCGGAGGTGACAATACGAACCCGCGGACGAGCAAGATCAAATAGCGAGTCTGGCTCAAGTAACGTCGTGTCCCTGGTGACAGCAACAGCAAAGACAAGACGGCCGGCTAGGAAGACGGACTCGTCGGGCTATTTCATCAAGCGGTCGGGTTTAGACGCCCTGCTGCGTGACGGGCCAGCAGATGGGAGGCTGCTGGAGACCTTGCAGGAGCTGAGATTGATGGTCTTGTCAAATCGAGTAGATGCAGACTCTGATGGCATGGTACGTATGGTTCTAGTTTCAAACCTGCTGCTTCTGGTCGCTAATACGTTGTCCGTTTATAGTCAACATATCGAATATACCTGTGGCTAGCTCTTCTTGGTGTCCCTCCACTACCGACGGATGAATATCTTGAGCTTGTTCATCGAGGAAGATCGCCTGCATATACAAAAATACGAAACGACACGTTCAGAACATTAGCAACCGATCCTCTATTTAAACGCCGAGTTACTGAGGCAAGCCTGATCCGTTTGTTGAATGCAGTTGCATGGAAATTGCATGACGCCCAACAACAAAATGTTAAACAACCATCATCCCGGCCATCTTCAAGGAGGAAGGAACTTCTTGAGCTTGCTATAGATAGCCCGCCAACTATCAAAGAAGAGCCCGAGAGCGAGTCAGCACCACCTATAAAACCAGCGATCTATGTGCAGGGCATGAATGTTCTTTGCGCTCCGTTTCTCTATGCAGCTCGCAGTGAGGTAGAGGCGTTCGCGCTATTCCATTATTTCGTGACCAAAGAGTGTCCCGGGTATGTGCGAGGCGCAATGGACGGGGTTCACAAGGGGCTTCGTCTAGTTGACCGGTGTTTGGAGATTGTCGACCCTAAGCTTGCGACCTACCTTTTCTCAAAAGGAATGAATGCAGAGCTATATGCGTTCCCGTCTGTTTTGACTCTATGCGCCTGCACTCCTCCCCTGCCGGAGGTGCTTCATCTGTGGGATTTTCTGTTTGCTTACGGGCCCCATCTGAATATTCTGTGCATAGTGGCACAGCTCAATCGAATGCGAGATGCAATCTTGCAGAGTGAGAGGTATGTCCATATATCCTTCGAATCGAGTAGGCGAGCATTGATTTGATTAACTTTATATGATCCACAGCCCCAACAAACTATTACGATCATTCCCGCCACTCGAAGCAGACAAGGTCATAAGTCTGACAGTGTCTTTCGTACGAAAGATACCTGATGATTTATATGACGATCTCGTCGATCACGCCAAATGATTGAAAACTTGATGTGATGATATCCATGACATTCTCAGCGAATTGGTAGCAAGTTTCCCCTTTTCTTTTTTTCTCTCTCTTGATTTGGAATGTTATAAAGCTTGATCTGTATCATATTTCATGTTGTACAATTTTCTCCTCCTTTCTTGCACTTTGAAATCACGAAGCTTGAATTATGGCCTTAGACTGTTGTTATTTCACCGTTTATTACTGCTTCCAATGATACAGGGCATGAATAAATTACGATACCATATGCTTGTGCCATTATATACGTCTCATCAATGTATGTGTAGATATTGCAACTAAGCAGCTTCCCATTGACATCTCGCACACTGACACAATCCGCCGAGTGCCCCCTTCGCCCAATCTCTTCGCTGCTTGACATCAAGCCCAATATCACAGTAATGATTTAATATTTCTTCATTCTGGCGGATGATAGGCGAGCCGTCACCAGCCTCCTTCTCATTAGATGATGATGACTTCCGTCTCCAAACAGCCTTCTCCTCCTGTTTCCTGACGACAAAACAAATCTCTCCGCCCCATTCCCATCGCACATTCGGATCGCAGGAATGGTTCGCTAGACACCATAGCGGATGCACGGCGCAGACTTCTGGGCCGCCGTCCCAGGTCGACAGACGGCCGGATGCGGTGCCCCTGAATTTGGCATAGAGCGTATTCAGTATCCATGTATCATATCGAGAGAGAGTGGTGAAGGGGTCTAGACCCATTTCTTCGAGAAGGCGCATTGGCTGGAGGATATTGAGTTGGAAGGAGAATGGCAACGCGAAGTCATTATTGTCATTATCATTTTCGTCACTCGACAGACGATCGTCATGATATTCGTGGAAGTCACCCCATATATATTTAATCTCGGGCAGGTCTAGGGGATGTGTGTCTTGTGTGGCGGCCATAGCAATAGAGCGCACCAGGAGGAGAAAGTAGAGATAATCGGCTTTGTCCTTGGGGTCAGCAACGTCTTTGCCGATTGATTCCAGCCCTTCTTGACCGCAGATGGCTCCGTGGTAGGTTTCTTGGGCCTGGTCGTGGCAGGTCTGGCTGCAAAAGATGATGTCGTCGCATTCTTGACAGGCGACTGCATCGCTGTTGCCATTGCCTGATAGATCGGGTAATGGTCCGTTGCAGGCATCGCATAAATCGTCATGCAGACGGTTCGTAGCCGTGAGAAGAGATGATTCTCGTAGAATAATTTCTCCGGGTTGAAGATCCCTTTTCGCAAAGAGACCGAGTTGGACTGACACTTCTTCTCCCTCTCCTTCACCATCGCCACTGTTTGCTCGGCCATCAAGACCATCGACGGGGGCATTACCATGTAGAGCCGGTAATTCAACAGCTCTGACTTCGAGGTTCGGCGCCACTGCCTCCAGCCGCTCGTTGAGCAGGGCGAGTGTCTCTGGGGCTTTGCGGTTAGGTTCGTGATCGTTCCAGGGGTAAAGGACTCTACGCGCATATCCCTGGGCAGGCAGGGTTGCGGTGCTGCCCTCTGGCGCAAGTATTTTTGTTTCACCGGGCTCTTTGAGCAGGTAAATCGCACGGCTAAAACTATCATTATTCACTGACCCGGCTTGGTTTTGCTTTCCCTCTTCCATCAACTCGGACAAATGCTCCATGGCTCTGGACTGGAAGTCGTATGCATCACGCAAGCACCCACATCGCGCAAGACTCTGGACAAGAAGTAAATATGTCTCGCCAATCATGGAGTCGTACTCTTCGCGAGTGATTTCGACAAATTCTTCGTCCTCATCTTCATCTTCATGATCATCCCGCCGTCGTCGCCGAGCAACATACTCAGCTGAATCAGGCTCAAAGACACATTCTAGCAAGGCCAACGCCCTATATGCGTCTGCCGCTGCAAGATCATGGAATCGCAGTTTGGCATATATCCTTGCTCGGTCTAGATATATATGTGGATTGTGGGGGTCGATGTTGTTGTAGATCTTGGTTGATGTTTCGGATAGCTGACCAAGGAGATCTGTGGTATGCGTGTCTGGCGACATGGTTGATGGATATTTGGTGAGTGGTGAGACAATAACTTGTTGCTTAATACTGATTGATTCATCAAAGGCAAAATCTGACATTCATTATCCATGGAAGACGCGCAAAGATTAAACATGTACCTGTATGGCGGGGTGTAGGAAGGAAAAAAATTGAAGCTCAATTTTGATTGGTTGCCGCATTTTTACAACCCTTATCGACAGCACAGCCAATCAAACTAATTCTTAGCATAGTTTGCGTTTTAGCAAGGATTTCCAATTTTTATCTAATGTATCTATCTGTGATGTCGTGTCATACAATTTAGATACGACTGAATTTTCCAAGCGATGAAAATCAGAATTTTGTCAGTCTCTTTTGGGTGTTGTTGTTGGCAGTATAGCAGATACTGAAAACAATGCCAGTCTGTCTACCCTTCTCTGGAGGGATATAGTTTATAGATCTCATCATAATGATTCCTTTCTCTGTCGCTGCTTCCGATTTTGGTGGTGATAACTGTCCCGAGTGGGAAATGGCATGAAGATATAGTTAGGCGGGATACTCACATCATCTGACAAGAGTACACGTGTTAGTAGTTGGGCTGAAACTGACAAGACGTCCAACTTACTGTGCAGTTTTCGTCAAGCACAATGGTAGCATCTTCGCCAATTTCCGCAGGAGCAGGGTGGGCATGGCCCATTGCCCGACGCTGTCCGAGTGACACTGCGAGCCGAGCCAACATACTTCTCTGTGATGTAGTGAGTATGAGATTATCAAACATTTGATGAGAGCCGTGAGACATAAAGGAAGTGAAAATTTACCGTTATGTAAGCATCACTCAGTCCGCCTTGTCTTTCAATATCGTTCTGGCTCATGATTTGATAGCTGTTTTTGATCCTTTTACAGCTTCGAAGACCAAACACTTGGGAACCATCGGCAGTAGTGCGCGGGCGACTGCCGAACATATTTGCTGGGTGGTCAGGATTTAATATATTAAGGCCGTGGTGAGCGTCATCCTGTGCGCGCCTGTCTGGAGAAAATATTTTGATTGTGTTGTCAATTCCAGAAACTGCCATTGTAGGTTCGTACGGATGACCTGGGGAGAACTGTCAGATTCATGTTGCAATGTTTCACGAGTAGATCAAATTAAACCAACCTTGGACGACATTCACAACTTCTCCATCTCCTTCAAGTATATTCACCAATTTGGCCGTTTTGCGATCCCAGATGAAGACATGTCCGGAATCACACCCACTAACAACATACTCATCATTCAATCCGTAATAGTTAACATCCTTGACTGTTTTAATGTTGCAGTGTCCACGATAAACCATTTCATGAGTGCCACAAGGAACATCGCTGTCAACATCTTCCCTCTGCCGACGGCTCGAGAAGCCACCTTGGTTTAGATATCCCATGATATCTTCGTCGTCATAATCGTCAACTTCTTCATTATTCTCATCATCGTCGTCGTCGTTCATATCATCGTCTTCGTCAATTTCTCCGTCAGAATCACCAAATCCATGGTTCGTTCCTTCACCAAACATGTCAAAGTCATCAGACTCATCTTGTGATGAATCACCATACGGGCCAAATTGTATTGGTTCTCCAGTTCCGTGGTTGCTATGTAAGATTGAGCTTCGTCTGTTGACTCGGTTAGCAATCGAACGAAGTTTTTCAATATCGTCTTCGTCATCTTCCGTGTCGATCTCTATTTGTACTCGCTCGCTCTCGATATCATCGTCATCTTTCAAAAAGGTCCGCAAGCCACCAAATGCACGATTGGCGAATTCAAAATTGATACCTTCACCGATTCTCATCAATATGCCTCTCCCAACTTTGAGCCCCCAGAATTTAGCGGCCGCACGTCTGTTCAAAGCACGCACGATTCGTTCAGACGGCTCATCTTCATCCTCTCTAGCGGCAATGCCATCCAATTCTTCCAAAGGGAGCCCGACAGCTTTCTCAAAAGCCGCAACGGCAGCTTGTTGTGTGTGGAAAACTATACGAGATTCATCGCGCTCAAAGCGAGAAGCATCTACATCAACGATTGGCGAGGATCCAGCTAAATCTCGCAGATAAGGAATAAGACAATGCTCAATTGCACGATCACCCTGATCTTCTGGTATGGGAAACCGAGAGCGATTGCGAGGAGAATTCTGGTTCAGCTTGAATCCTTCAACAAGAGACTCACGACCACCATCAATCCAGAGGAGAATTGCCTTCAAAAAGTCATATGCGAACTGCGATTCCGAATCAATTATACCATCCTCTGAAGGCGCTGGTACTATTCGATCAAAGGCCTCTGCTTGATGAGTACCTTCTACACGTGCACCTAAAGAAAGAGCCACAGTCCCCGAGGCTTGGACGAAACGTCGAACAGCTTCACGATTCCGCCGCAGAGTCTGCTGAAACATCACAACATCTGCAGAAGGATTGATTGGATACCTCCAATGCCTATGAACCTCATCCATCTGTTTTAGGCAGGTTGACGCATGACTTAGGGCTGCTGTGAACGAAGGCTCATATGAGGCGACATCGTAGTGACGTTGGGCCTGGGACGTCTCGCGGACCGATGCTTCAAGAGAGAACAGAGCTTTTCGCATTTTCACCAGACCTTTTGCAATTTCCAGACTCAGCTTTTGTGCTTCAGTCAGAACCGAAATTCGCGCCCTTTCAATAACATGCTCGGGGGTATCACTGTTCAGGTCCTCCGTCAACGAGATTGGAACATTTGCTGATTCTCCATTGCCATAGCGGACACCGAAAGACATTTCTAAATCGTCGATAGGGGATTCTTCTGACCGAAGACGGGAGTGAGGTCTCCTATTCGCACTCGCTAGGGATGTTGCGGAAGCGACCTTTTCACGCTTACGCTTTTTATGTGTGGTGGTCATTTTCAATGCGTGGCCATTCTTCTGGTTCTCCCTGGCATCCGGACTGCGGATCAGGTCAAAACTGTAAATCTGGTCTCCAGACCAGCTGACTAAAATCTCGTTTGGTCGCGCATCGCTAATTTTGCAAGCAGTAATGTGGCCATTGTCATGAGGTTTCATTCTTGATTGGCCTCTCGGAGCGAATCTTCGAACACATCGAGTCGCATTGCTCATAACATCATCCTCATAGGTACCTTCCGAGGGAGAAAAACCGTTCAATTGGCCTTTCTCGGCTAACAAGTCACGTCCGATCATGCGACGATCGTGGAGGAAACAATGAAGATGGGCACCACCCAGCGCAATGTACTGTGGCTGGGATGCAGAACACGAGATGGTGTTAAGGTCAAGATGGTAGCGCTTATATGAAATTAAAGGGGGCGGAATGTTAGAATCATCGTGATATAGACCAGGCCTGTAAGCCATGAAACCCTGCCCACCGCGTGGTGCGGGGTACGAAGAGGAAGGTTGCCGCAAATCCCACTGGCGCACTTCACCGTCTTCCGAACAGGTCAGGAATAAGTAGGGGGATGACTCGGTAACAATTCTCTTGACGCGATCAGAGTGTGAGCGGTAGACGCGACCGTTGGTATTCTGGTGACTCAAATGACGGACTCCGGCGAAGAAATCAGTCATCCGCCTGCTCCTTGATGCGGCGAACGCGTCTGTGACAGGAGCGGCGGAGCCATTTCGGAAAGAGTATTCGATATCAAACACTCTCACTTCAGAGTCGCCGGCGCAGGTAATCAGAGTTTGGTCGTTGGAATGTGGCATGAACTTGACCGAGAAGATATTGGCTTTATGGCCAGTTGATATTGAGGTACTGAGCGCAAACGGAGAAGTAGATGAATCAGGCTGGTAGGAGTATAAGTTAAGGTATGTGTCATCGGACCCGGATGCTAGCAGCCGCCCTGATTTGGACCAGCTGCATACCATGTCAGTTACAAAGTTATGCAGATGATAACGTAGAACCTACCTCAAGGCATTGACACATCCGGTATGTCCACCCAGCTCATTGACAATGTCCAAGTCATCGATCCACTCGGAGGCGCTGTAGACGCCTTTGAGATTAGAAATCGATGAGTGATGGCCCAATTCCCTCTGCAGGATTCTATCATAAATGGACGGCTTCATTATTGCGGGTTGTAGTTAGAAGGAGTGACTGTTGGTAGGTGGGATCGATGTCTGGAAAAAACGAGTTTGATTAATCATCCTCGTGAGACAGCTTAATGATTGCAAGCCAGGCGCCTGAGGCCATGGGATTGAATGACACGGTACTTTTCTTTTTTCGTTTCGTTTTCGTTTCTTTTTATTTATGTTATTTTTTTTCTTTCTAGTCACGCATCATTCTTATTTGCACGAGTGCCCGACACGCCGACTGATTATGCGCAAAAGGGACGAGACGAGACGAGACGATATTCGCACTAACGGTCAGACTCGAGGCAGGAGACCCTGAGAGCTGCACAGTGAACAAGCAAGCAAGAACAGACGATTTGTCAGAACATGCTAGCAGCGCCTAGGCTCTGGAAGAACCGAGTGAACGCGGGGTGGAAATTCATGGCACGTCACGTGTAGTATGGGCAGAAGCAGAGAAGAGGCAAGAGGCGAGAAACGGACAGAAAAACAGGGAACGAACAAGATCAAGATGAGACTGTGGTTTGGGTTGGGTTGGCTTGGTTTGGTTGAGGGTTTGGGTTGGCGCGGCAAAAGGTTTGCAGTGTTTGGTAAGAGCACGAGAAGGAAGGTGCAGCGCCGGGAAGGAGGACGGGGCGGGGGCCCACCAATGACATCGGGGCGCCTGGTCTAGACGCTCCTGCTTCGCGCATGTGTTGTTCTCTCTTACATGCTTTGTATCGACTGTGGTGGCTCTCGACTGCGCTCACGCTCATAAGGCACGGCTTGCTCAGATATTATCATCATCTCCATTATCTAGAGGCATACTCCGTGGTCATAGACGCCGTATAGAACGCTGCCTGAATCCGTGACATCACCGCGCTGGAGGTGGGTCGCAGTTTGGACTCTCCACCCGCCAGGACGAAATCGTCCAGCTCTACCACAGCTTACTACAGCTTGCCAGTTGTCTCTGTCAGGCCGAGTCCCGGAGATAGACGAGTCGAATGTGTGGTAAACTAGCAGAATCAACATGCATTGCTATTTTCCTTTTGTTTGGCTGCTCATGCTGCGTGTACGAGCGTCGGCACAGTTGATGCATGCTGGCGGGACGGCTGCTGCTCGGACATAGTTCGGCATTTCCAGATGCGCTGATTGGTCCGTTCCCCGGCCTCCCATCCGATTGGCTAGAAAGATCTACTACACTTGTTCACACATCGTATTCGAAATCATGCCTAGGCAGTTACCTACATCAAAATATCTTCGCAACTACAACCCTGACCCCATTCGAGCCCGGCTCGGGGACGCCTACGAAATAATCCCTAGCAAACCGTACGTCCTCAACGGTGGTTTCGTGCGTTTCGAATTCAAAGCGCGGCAGGACCGTTGAAAGCGTGAGAAATATCTCGATATAAGCAAGGCTGTCGAGACTGTTAGCTCAACCTACACTCTTCAAGAGCGGATACAAGATATCCAAAGCAGGTATACATACTTGATACCTACGCACTGGCGGCTGCCTTTGCCGAAAGAGACCAGGTAGCGATCGAGACGCAGGTTATTCTCCTTGGCCTCAATCCAGCGATCGGGCTTGAATTCCCATGGATCCGGGAAAATCGTTGGATCCATATGCACAAAGTAGTTGCATTGGCTAACTGGTGTCTAGTATCAACGAGCAGGTGAGTAGTATGGTCATGAACAAGTGGCAAGAAAAGTTCGACACGTACCGATGGCGGGATCGCCCATCCCTTATACTCGATGACCTCGCGAGCAACCCGAGGCAATCTCGTGGTGACTCCATGCATCAAACGGAGTCCTTCATTGATTACAGCATTCTGAGCATAGCGGGGGTGGGTTAGATCTAATGCAAACTTCCCGACATGCTACACAGTCTGCACTCACCAGATACGGGAGCTGCTCTATTTGAGAAAGAGGGCTCTTGTCCGAGTCTAGGCCCACCGTTGATAATTCCTGGCGTAATCTCTCTAGCATTTCTTTATTGCGAAGAAGATAAAATGTGACGATTGACAAGACCTTCGCAGTGGTTTCGCTTCCGGCACCGACTAAAGTCTGAGCTTCGTCCTGAAGACGATCCGCATTCTTTTCCTCAGGAGACAGGTCACTATCTAAAAGAGCCTGGAATATTGTACCGTTCGACTTATGTCCTGTACGGTTCTTGTCAATGATTGCATCGACTTGCTGGCGCACCATTTGTTGCCATTGCAAGAGTAAAGATGCTTCCCGCGCGATTTTGCTCAGCAACCACAATGGGAGCAACTTCATGATTCCAAAGGCCCATGGAAGCTGTCGGATTACCGCGCCGCTAGCAGAGCCGCCGACAACAGTCTCTTTCCATTCAAGCTTGAAGTCTGGCTCGGCCAGATAGTCGTAGCTCTTTCCAAAAGCATAGTGTGTTATGATGTCCATCGTCAAGGCCATATATGCGGCATCGAGTCGCACCACTTCTTGGGTTTCGCAGGCTTGGGAAAATCGCTGGCATAGCATCTCAAGCTTGTCTCGAATCAGTTGTTCGGCATTGATGTAAACGGCACGTTTGGAAAAGAAGGGATTTAGGGCTGATCTTCGGATGCGATGTAGGTCATGAGAAACTGTCGCAAAGGTTGATGCTGGAGCGCCAGCACCTATGGTCCAACTACCATATTTGTCCCGCTTTTTTGATGCAGGCGCATATATGACATCGTAGAAATCAGGGTCCTTGATATGAAGCTCGTGCGGCGTGATGCGAACGATTGGACCTGTGCTTACACAAGTCAGATGCGTTTCTTTCGTTTTTATTCTTTCACAACCTCGAGACGCAATGGTTGATATCGCACGCACCATATTTTTCATGCAAATTCTCGATTTTCCAGATGAACTGTCCTGGTTTGATAACATCATAATAAAACTCATACCATCTAGTAACTGCGGCTAATTTGGGCCCTGGAAATCTAGACAATGGGTGGAAATATAGCCGATAGAGGGCTCGCAGCGCCTCTAGTGCCAGCAAGCCAACTGCCACAGACGAGAAAAGGGTGAACATTGTAAAATGAAATTTCTCCAGCCAGTCTCGCTCTTTCATCCGTTGATTCAACACTTAAAACAGCGACAGACAAGGAACCCAGATGATAAAAACGGGTTAAGCAGCCTTTTGAAGGTCAAAGACCCCACATACCAGGTACTTGTTACATAGTATTACTTAAGCTCTCGGTAAATACACAACTTAATGCTGAACGTTAACTTAATAGCTAACTTCTGATTTATAAAGATTGTTTGCCCGTGGTTGGTTGGTTGGATTGGGAGGTATGTGCTCGTCGTGCATGTCTGTACCTCGGAGTTAACATACTCAGTACCGGCTAACCATGGGCTAAAACAGTAAATTGGGGTGGGATTCTTCAGGCCATGGAAGGCTAAGCGGTCTGACAAGGGCTCGGGCATATCAAGTCCTTATATAGGTAGTATCAGACACGCTGCAGCCAGCTAGGTAGCTCAATTGGTCATGGTCGACAATGCCGGGACCCGGGCACCATCAACCCGAGAGTTTATACACCGTAGTACGCAGTGGGGTTGCAGTTGACACCCCTTCTTACCGCCCACATTTATTGCCTCCAAAACTTACATAGTAGCATCATCAACCAATGGGATGCCAACACTAGAAGGCACTGTATGATAATGAACAATGAACCCACTACCTCCCAAGTTGTCAGTGCTGCCTAATACCATCCAAGTACGATCAGAAGACATTGACCAACTTATACTGTAGCTATTTAGTAGCGAAACTGCGCCTCCAAATACCAGTGAACCCCCCACTACCTTAAACCAGTAATAATCAAGGCTCTTTATGATCATCTTCTTAAAGCCTCAGTTATATCTAGACAAGATAGCAGCTTTTCTTTATAATGAAAGCTAGTTCTTAAAATCTGGATTTATAAGATATATGTTTATAGTTTATATCTGACTTTTAATTGACTACTCGATGCATGTGCATTTGGGGGAGTAAGTTGCAGGTGAAATAGGCATTAAAAGTGAGGTACCGACAATGAGCAACGGAGGGTGCCCGATCCTTTGATCCCGCTACCTGTGGTCAGAATTGGGACGCTTAGCAGTCTCGGCAATCTGGTAAAGTGCCTGCACGCGACATCACATCGCTATCCGCCGAATTTGAGGTCTAGGCCCGGATCGCAATCAGGCGCTCCGCATTGGTGGAGCTAAGCTTTATTTACAATCGGTCCCGAACATACTCTGTAACAGCGCAGCGCAATGCGAATACTACTGTCTAGCAGCCGGTTAGCTGTCATTCCTTGTCTGCATTATCGCAGAGCCGTCCAATTCACTATGGTCTCATCAGGCAGATGGGTTGGACGCTTTGTCTTCTCAATTGACATCATCTCACGCTTATAATAATCAGTAGCACGAGTGATGACTACTACAGGTGAGCTCCATGGATTGATCCTCGTGACTAAAATCCTGGCCGCGGACGAATAGAAATTGCGGCTAAGGCAAAACTTAACGCTGAGCGCGGCTAATTCCAATTTAGTCATTTGCACCGCATGTATTTAACTTGCCCGGCTCATCGTGGGGAGGCAGTTAAATGCTATTCATTGCTCCAAACAAGCTGGGCAGATTATTAAGCAGCTGTAAAGACCCATACTGGAAGGCACAATGGCCGAGTGGTTAAGGCGGCAGATTTAAGATTTAAACCCTGCTGACGAGAGTCGCGCGCGTTCAAATCGCGCTTGTGTCAACATATTTTTTTTTCTCTCTCTCTGTTATTCACGACTTATCCATGCTAGGTTTATTTTGTTGGCAATCTCGACGAGATATGGTTGGTTATATAAATGAACCAAACGCAAACTTTATGTTTTTATTCAGGGTTGTAAATGTATGGCATACCTCATAGTTGTAAGAACAAACCTCTAGTAAAGCCTGTTAAGACCTTTAGATGTAACTACAACAGGAGTATATGTCGACAATGTGAGGAACTGCCGCTGCTTTTGCTTATTTATGGCCATGTTGTCGTTCAAGTTTCTCAATTTGACAGTGCGCCATATTACTACAGGAAGACGTGTTTTTACTAACAGTACCATAAATTATCTGGACCATACTAGAACTGCAAAGTCTATGATCCAACTTGTTCGCCACTCGAAATTCCCTGTAATACATCAGACTGATGTAGGTCCAATATCATTATCACCCCCTTGTTTTTTATTTTCGATCACTCACTGCTAATTGGTTGATGCAATATCAATTGCTGATATGGAATTTCCTGTTTGTCATAACCCAAGTATTCATAAAACAGATTATGTCCAATATATTTGCTAGCAAGCTTTCACGTAGCTCGTCTGTATAGTCATCTACAAGTTCTCTTGTAAACAATTTTTTCGTAACGTATCCCCAACTCACTGCCAATAACCAGGTCTGCCCGTAAATCATCATGTCGCAAATAGGCAATGGATCGTTTGAGGCTCCTAGAGCAAAGCAGACACAGGAAAAGCCTGGGTAGTTTCGAGCTCCGTCATATTACATCTATACAAGCTGACTCTGCGACAGGCTTGAGACTCGAATGCAACCGCCAAGCGAATCCACGCGCCTAGAATCGAGCACCGGGCTTGTTGAATACGTGGGCTCGAACAAATTGAAAGATAAAAAGGCCCTGATCACCGGGGGCGAGTGAGTATGCTCCTATCCTCGGCGAGAAAAATGAACTGCTTATTGATATTTGCGAAAAGTTCAGGTATTGGCCGTTCTGTGGCCGTGTTATTCGCCAGGGAGGGCGCGGATATCACCATCGTCTACCTTCCACGAGAGCAGGAGGATGCAGAGAAGACAAAGTCTCTTGTGCAGAAGGAAGGCCGCGCTTGTCACCTGATCGCCGGTGATTTGAGAGAAAATGCGACATGCGAAAGCGCAGTCAAGGAGCATGTTGATCGGTATACCGCCTTATACTCCTATACATTTAAATCTCGCCGTATGTTGACAATCCCAGGTTCAAGCAAATCAACATTCTGGTCAACAACGCTTCTCAACAATATGTCTGTAAAGACCTTGCCCAGATCGATCTCGACCAGGTAGAGAATTGTTTCCGGACCAATATCCTGCAAATGTTTGCCATTACAAAATACGCGCTCCCGCACATGTCAAAGGGCGACTCGTGAGTTTCAATCAACTTGAAATTATTGGCACTGGGAACTAATCTGGACCTCTTGTAGGATCATCAACAATACATCTGTCGTCACCTTCCGTGGATCAAGTAGCATGGTTGACTACGCTGCAACTAAAGGTGCGATCGTGGGATTCACCAGATCCCTGTCCTTACAGCTTATTCCGAAGGGCATTCGTGTGAATGCTGTGGCGTGAGTCTTTAAGCGCGGTTCGACTGGAATGAGCCTCCTGTGCTAATCATATTTCAATAGTCCTGGCGCGATTTACACGCCGATTCAAGTGGATAGTAGAGATGCCGAGTCAATGGAAGGCTGGGGTTCGAACAAACAGCTTGGGCGTCCTGGACAAGCGAGCGAGGTGGCTACCAGTTTTGTTTTCCTGGCTAGCAAGGATGCATCTTTCTATTGTATGTTCTCCCTTCTTTTTTTTTTACCCCCTTCACACTTGACTAGCTAACAAGCTGAGCAGCTGGACAAATTCTGCATTGCTATCCTCTCGGTGACTAGTCTGCATTTTGCTCGTCTGAGTTCATATACCTGTATTATAGGCAGAATAAGCCTATCCTCTGTAATAAGTTAATTGTCCCTTGACTATCTGCTTGGCATTCTAGCAGACTTCGATATGTTGATGCTCCCATCACCGAGGGACTTCTTCTTATGTAGTTAGGGTCTCTGTGTAATTTAGAGTATGATGTTTGTTCATATGTCGCTAGTCCTAGATAGCCTTCCAGGCTCCCACAGAACAGGCCGAAGAATTCTTCCCCAGTCGATAGTCTGCCGTAACCTGGTCTGCTGCTTGCGCAAGCCAGGATTTCTCCAAACTGACAGTTTCAAGCTCGATTGTGCGCATTGCTTTCAATTCATCAACCATCAATCTTAGAATCTCGCGCTGTTGCTGCGCAATCTTTACCAAGGCCGAGCTACTATGTTTCCGACAAAAGTCGTCCTCATTAATGGCAAAGATTGTCATCTTTGCTAGCTCTCGCAGACAAAGTTCGGCTTTGATGCTCAGATCGTCGACTTCATCTCTCCATACTCGGCCTAGCGTGTCAATGTATCGTGGGTCTTCTTCCTCTAAGTTAGTAGCAGACGTGGACAAGTTATCGCGACTTTCTCTGACGCTTTCGACCTCGGCAAGCCACTCTTCAAAGGCTTGAATAGCCGACGTATATCGACCAGTCGCGTCCGTGGTCATGCCTGCAACTTCCTGGGTCACGCGGGAGAAGCTCTGAATTTGCGCTTGAAAATTGTTTCCATCATCAATCTCTGCTACGGTGGCCGAATCAACTGACCAGTCGTATAGAGCCTTGAAATTCAGCCGTTCTTGTATATATCTTTCCTCGTCTGAAAGGGCCCTGTACGCCGCCGCTACAGAATGGTGTTTTTCTTTCAATTGATTTTCAGCAGCAGATTTCCATTCTTTATCCTGTTGTAATGATGACGAATAAAGAAGGCAGAGCTGTAATAACTCCGTCTGTAGAGCTGCAATCTCTGGCCGTGCTGCTGCTGCTGCTGTCGTCACATTGCTTTCAGTAGGCTTGCCAACTCTCCGTTCGGTAGTCCGCGGCGCTTCCTTCTCCTTCTTCAGACTGTAGTGTTGTTGGTAGGTCGTGAACTGAGGGCGCGGCTGCTTGGCAACGCCCGGTTTCTCTGGTTGGCGCGAAGCAGTCGGTAACAGCGGCGGCGTCCCTGTCCCTGTGGTTGTGCGAGCAGTGCTCAGAATCTGACTGCGATGCCTAGTATGCCCCTTTCCGTCCGCAGAGCCAACTAGTTTTGGTGTCGATTGTTGACGGAGAGACGCGGACCTTGTTGGTCGGGCTGGAGGCGGCATGGCCGTTTTCTTCGTAGCAACACTTGCGGTGGATTTGGAGTCATTTTGCTGTGGCTTGACGGGGGATTTTGATCTGGTTACGACTCGCGGTGGTGACGGCGCTTCTTTGACATCCTGGGGATCTGCTCGAGGCGGCTCTGGCAACGCTCGTCCTTGCGCTTTCTTCAAATCGGCCACGGTGCGTCGTTGAGGAAGTAGACTCTTCTTTCGGCCGGCATTGTCTGCTGAAGACACGGGGATGGACGAGCCGACTGTCGTCGAGCGCTGCCTTTGAAGAACACCGAGGCCTGCAGGAGGGTTCCCAGAGCCATTGCGCGTTGTTTTCGTCGTGGCCGGCATCGGGGATGATTTTATCGTGACTGTTGATGATTCCATGATGTCTCACGGAAGGTTGGCGGCGCTAACTCGGTGGTGGTCAGTGCTCGGGCTTCCTATTCAGTAACTAACTACGTAACTACTAGCCATATAATGGTTCATGGGGATAGTTTACTGCCTATTTCTACGAACTGCAAGAGAATAACGGTTTGTGGCTCTAAATATTCATTTGTTCAACGATTAAACCCCGTGTATGTATCATCAGTCACGAAACGACATCACAGACTGGCCCGCTTCGGGAAGGACACGCCTTCTGTGGCGGCGTCGTCAGAGAACCAGGATACCTTGTCGGCGCCATGGACATTAACCAGGCCGCTGGGGAGACTGTGGCCCTCATCTGTGTCGAAAATCCTCTTCAGGATGTCCTTCTTTCCCCCGCCAGTGGCGACAAAGGCAATGCTCACCGCGTGCGTGACCACGGGCAGAGTGAGAGAGATGCGCTTGGGAGGGGGCTTGGGAGAGTCGACAACACCCACCACCCAGGCATCTTTTTCCCGGAGCTGCGGGTGACCCGGGAACAGGCTGCAAGTGTGTCCGTCGGGGCCGACGCCCAGTAGAATCAAGTCGAAGACGGGCAACTTGACGCTGTCCTTCGCGGCGAACGTGCGCTTGAGATCCTCCGTGTACAGGTCGGCCAGTTCGGTGGGGTCGTCATCGAGTACGTGCCCAGCGTCAATGGGGTGGACTGTGGGCGCACCCAAGTTGGCCGGGATCTTTTCCATCAGCTCTTCCTTGATGAGGTGGTAGTTGCTGTCGGGATGGTCCAGGGGCACCGCACGCTCATCGGCGAAGAAGATCTCCCACTTGGAGAAGTGGGCTACGTCTTCGGCAGAGCCGTCGCCCGGCGCGAGCAGAGCTTTGGCCAAGGTGTTTGGAAGCGATCCGCCTGAAACGGCGATGCGGAAGACGCCGTGGCGACTCAGCGCGGTGTTCTGGTTGATCAAGACATATTTGCGAAGCTGTTTCGCCAGGGAGTCGACGTCCGGGAAGCTGTAGAGACTGGGCATGTTGTCGTCGTGTACGTAGCGGTTGAGGTGGGTTGCAGCGGGGTACCCCGGTCAGCTGGCGATGGCGATGGCGATGGCGATGGCGATGGCGATGGCGATGGCGATGGCGATGGCGATGGAACCAGCACTGTCGAGGAACTCGTTGGCTCACTAGCTAGGATATATTGATGCTGTATAGATATGGATACAGATATTGTTGCAGGTCAAGCAGTGGAAGACACTTCCGCCGCCGTCAAGAATTGAGGTGGGGAGCGGGCTGGCGGCATGACGTCGTCCAGACAGCCCTAGGGTTGGTTATATTAACTACTATACTGTGACTATTTCATTCCGAGACAATGGCTAAAAGTACTGCAGGCAAAAAGAAAGAATTAATAGAAAGAACCACGAAATTGCAAGATTGGTCAAGACCCCCGCGCAGCTCGAATTTCGGCGTCGGCATAGAGCGTTATGGCAAGCAAGATTGGATGTCAGAAGCACTTTGAGTATTCCAAGGTCCAACTTGACGCATGGTTAAGAAGGCTAATATGTGGCCAGTTGTTGAAGCGCCGTTGAGATGCACGAGATAGTCGTCATCGGCATTTTCGAATTGCTGAAAGTGGCGTGCTATGTCTTCCATGATCCATAGTCTGCAAGCAACTCTTTTGCCTTTGGCAGAAACTGAAGCACTTTAGGTGGTAAAATGGGCTGTGCACTTTTGCGGGAGACATTCCAGAGGACGCGAAGAAGCAAGAATTGCTTATATTGCATCTTTGCGCCAGAGACAAGCTCTGCTGTATGGACTGTCTTTCCTGCAAGCTGCTGGTTCTTGACCGCAGTTTCCCATGTCGGCTGATCGTGTGGTAAACGCCTGCGTGCACTACTCATCATCACCTAGGATTTTGCTTCTAGGAGAAGCCACTCTGTGCGCTTCGTGTAGATTCAGAGGCAAAGCAAGCATCCTTTGGATGAAATTCATTTCTTCGCTTCCTCAAGTCTTGCAAACGCTTTTGACAGCAGTTGGCGGAAGAGACACGGCTAGATGCACCTGCCTGTCCTCCACACTCCAATACATGGCGGATGGAGATAAAATGTTGGGACATGATTCTCTTTTTGATCCTGCAAACGCCTTTCTTCGTTAGGGCTCAAGCCGGCCAAGCGGTTTCGACGTATCACGAAAATTACCTACTTAGGTAACATACGGTAATTAAACGTGATTCAGATGAAGGCGATGATTGCTTTGCGCCTAATGAATGCACAGCTGCGATGGGCTCGATACATCAAACATATGATGGTGTCGGTACATACTTTCTTATTATTTGTCCGTGACGATGGCTTTCATAAACCCTAATCTGTATATCATAGGTTTTGCTCTTCTCTTTCATTGGGCCCCAACATGCTAGGATTATTGAAGCCTACTTTGATGGCAAGACTTTCGTCATGCGCCTGACCAGACTTTACGATCTCCGTACAAAGGATGAGGCGGCATTGAAAGTGTTTGCTCAGTGGTACCTGGGGAAGCCGAGGGGGGTGACCACGACTGTTCCTGAATAGGCGTTGTTTGGATGATTGTATTGTAATGAGGAAAGGATTGGCGGAGGTTTTTTTTTTTTTTTTAATTATTCTTTTCGTCGTTTTTCGAGGTTTTGTGAGGTGGCAATCAGCGCTGGACGACGGTTAATACCTTTTTTCTCTGGGTATTATTGATGGATATTCGGGGTTTATAGCCTCGCCAAATGGCTAATGTTGGGGTTCAGGGTATTCATTAATGTCATATATCATACAAACATACATTTCTTTCTTCGTGTCTTTGTTATAAGATTTCCCCTTGGGTATAGAAAATAGGGTAGATGTAACAAATCCTACTTTTCAGCCACTGATTCTCGAGTGGGTATTGATTGATCTCGCTGGACATTCTCTTTGTAACAACCACATATATAATTGACGTTGCTTGCAAGGAAACAAGCTGCAGGCAATGACAGAGGACACTGATAATGGATATCCCCGCTTAAAAGAAAAAAAGAAAATCCAAGACATGGCTGCCAGATATCTTCAACCACTGAATCAAATAAACGAATCAAATAAAGTCGTAGCCCCCATGTCTCCATTCCTTCCCGCGTTGATCTGCTCCGGTCCGATTTGGGGGCTAAGTGAGAATCTCTAGCTTCTATGTATATTCTACATATTTTCGTACCTAGGCACCTAGTATTGATGATTGAATATATCAAACCCGTCTAGAAAAGAGTCCAGCTAGACCTGATGGCTGCCGTGTTGTCTTGCCTAGATGAAAGCTTCTCTTCTTACCTTTTTTGCGAAGATTGAGGAGCTTGCCAGAAGCTGAAGAACGAACGTCGACTGTCCACGATGTCTAGCGTTTGTGGGCAAAGAGACAAGAAATCGTCTGCCTGAGGCACAGACTTGGCGTAACCCTAACTCAAAGTTTGCTATACATAGTAACCGAGCCTCAATATGATTGGCACTTTTCCATGCTCTGTGCTTACAGAGTCATGCTGCAGAGTAACTAGTTAACTAACTACTTATAGTGTCAACACATGTCTTGTCAGAGTTTTCCCCTCCAAACAGCCCAGACAATTAGCGCCACTGACTAATGGAGTGAAGCCGAAACATCCAAGGCTCGTTCATTGGTCAATGGGCAAGATTTGTCCTTATTGATTTATTTCTCATTCTTGTTCTCTGTGATTTTCCTCCCCCCAGAATTGATGATTAGATGACACTGAGCTATGAACTAGTTAAGTTACAGGTTCTCGTTTGGATGACGAGGACATGTACGATGACGCCATGTGCAGAATGAGGCGTCGCTGGTGTATTTTTCCGTATTCAGTTCGGCTTCTTTCATACGACAGCTAACAGAACCGAGTGAAGAATACCGTACCGTACCGCTCGGCCCGCCGCTAACCAAGCTTAGTGGTTGACTAATCTCGTAGCCTGAACGGCAAGGCTGCTCCACTCTTCGTCTCCAAGACAGACAAGAACAGACACGACGAGAAATCTCCCTCGACTCCTCCCTCTTTCTGCCGCCCATTCTTCCTCTCTCCTAACTACCGACTCGAGATTATCTACACGCCCGTTTCCGCCGTCAGCAGCCCCCGAGAAACTGCCTCACTTCGCCCAGGCGCGTCCTCCGACTCCCTACCGAACCACGCCCGAACCGGTTTTCTTTCTGCCTGAATCACGAGCACTGCCCTGCCGGGCTCGCCGACGCGAGCCATTTTTCCCCGACTGCAGAATATTTAGCATGAATTCGAGTTGCCAGGCCTGATCCGCCATCTATCTTGCTCTCTGCCTCTCTGCCTCTCTGCCTCTCTGCCTACTCTTATTGTTACCGCTATCATCACCAGCCATGAGCTCCCCGGCGTCCAGCCTCGCGTCTCCCGCTGCTCCCTCCCATCCACAACCACCGGCCTTGTTAGACATTGTACGATGCTCTCGCTGCCAGAGATCCCTCAGCATCCAGAATTCGTCCACGCCCGCTGCAGGTGTGGTCCAGTTCGGCATGAATTCCTACTACTGCAGCCGCTGTGCATCCATGGTCGGCTTCAATAACCGCTGAACGCGCCCCACAATTCTTCGTTATTGAAGATTTGAACCCACAGAAAGGAAAGAAAACGGTCATCAACTCTCGAATACACACGGACCTCGTTAAAACTGCGCCTTGGAAGATGGCACGACTCGATCGTATTTAATTACCAACGAACGCATGGAACGAACCTTGCAGTCCTACCCCCAAAGGCTCGCTGACCACCCGGCGTCATGTGCAAGAACGCGACAACCAGCGAGCTAGATGACTCAAACTTCCGTCTTCGTCGAGACCTGCACAGACGTGATTTGTGTTAATATCATAATGGTTCGCATGGGGCAAGGCACCTACTACTTTACATGAACCGGCATATCGCAATTGGAACATGGACTGGATGATATTTATATAGCGCGTTGTTATTACTTCATTTTTATTTTCTCTTTCATTAGCTAGGTGATTCAGACAAGGCCGCCAGCAAAAGTTCGTCCTTGATCCACATATCTTGTCATTTATATTCCCACATGGCGGGCGTTGCTTCTTCTTGACATTTTTATTCCGCTGATACCCTCGATTATCGCATTTATGGACCCCTGAGCGTTTTACTGATGTGCTCGAGTTGAGCTTTTCTTGATGATACATTCGCTGGCGTAGTTTGATAGCAACAATAACATTGCACTGAATTTTCTTATCTTTTCTTTCTTTTTTTTACCCCCTCCCTCTTTAATAAAAATTTAGATTCTCGTGCAATGAGTCGGAAAGCCTGGAAGCAGCGGATATAGGTACTACTATTTGGTACGCAGATCAATCCATGGGTAGAACCGGTTAACCGACCCGTTCCGTGGTTCCATACAGCTGACCATGTCATAGATTCTATTCATGACAACATACACTCGTCTCCACCATTAATAGAAGTACCATAGAGGCTGAAGATAATGTCTGACTGTTAGCATAAATGGTCCACATATTGAATATATAATCAATGAACTGGCACGAATAGGCTGTACTTAACACTACCTATTAAGGCATTGGTCTTGGAAGACTAAACTAATGAATGTATGTTTCGCTCAAGCAGGGTTGCGGTGTATAGTGATAAGGCCGAGTTTAAGGCTGGTTAATTTCTGAGTTCATCAGAAGCTGAATTGCAAAGTTATATAAGATTATTGTTAGCCAAAGTAATCAGATTACTAGGTATCTGGTCCAATTGGAAGAGTACAGGAGTCTGCTTTGCCTGGTACATACGTGTGGTTCAAGGACTAGATACGATGCAAGAGAAATGTACAATGCTTATCAAATCAGTCACTGCTGGCTTTCTGGACTGAACGGTATTGATGTTAACGACTTCACGTTCGTGGTATAGTTTTAGGGCTAAGCAGGGTTAGGCTGTCAAGTGACCTTCGTTATCCCGATGTGGAAAGCATTCAAAGGATGTCTGCCCTCTTCGCTAGATTATCAATACAAACTGTGCTCCCTCCGCTATGATTCCATACAGGAATGGAGGTCAGGCATACACGCCTATGCCTAAGTGAATTCGAGTTCTGCGGGAGTAACCGCTAAATGCATTGATAGTTGTGATACTGGGATTTGTTGTTTTGCATAGCCAGGCGCACATGGGTGGTCCAATCTAAGGCCCAGACGTCAAGAACCAAGTCGTCAGTGAGTCAGTACGTCACCTGGGCATTTCACTGCATTTCTGCCTGTCTGTCAAAACGCTGCATGCCGGGAAACCACGCATCTGTTTGCTCGAAGCGGTCAATTAATTCCAATAGATAAGGCAAGTTGTGGTGACGTGACTGTCTTGACATCAATCATGCATCGAATATAATGTCATCGATATATGTAGGCCGCTTGTTTGGTTGGCTTTTTGTCATTACACAACATTAGATATGCAAGACACACCAATGGAGTTGGACTCCTCTTACAGCCGAGGGTATACCGATTCTCAGGTATGTGCATTTCATCCGTAATCTGAGCAGAACGTGTCGAAGGAAGTGTAGCGATGTCTGACTGTAAGCCACCTGCAATAGTGTCTGTGACCAGGTAGCATCCATATGGCGAGGGAATTATCATGCCATTGCTATTTCAGTAGTCTCGCACCTGTGCTTGGAAAGATGCCTAGGTAGAGCCAATAGGTAATGCGTGCCTTTCCAGATAATCATACCTATTTAGCATTATAATTCTTTCATTTGCTGTCACAGAAATTTCGAGGTTGATCACGAGCTTCCATGTGCACAGACTCATGCTTTCCTCCTTCTGTTGTCTATGTGTCTGAGGATGATACGCTCGAATAGTTACGCACCTCCTAGGTATGCATACCCTTACACCGACTTTGTCGACGCCGTATCTCTGCATGGCCAAGCGAGCCGGACGATTAGCCATATTATTAAAGGATTCCTTCACCACGGACAAAATTATTAACAACCTGCCTAGGCTTAAATCCTTCTTGCTCGGTATCTGGTAATTAGGATCAAGGCCATATCCATAAGTATATAGATGGACGTACTCGGTGCTTAGGTATTTCCCAACAGACGATGCTAACCGGCTGCCGGTTTAGCCGTGGTCACTTATGTTAGCCTTAATAACAATCAACTAGTTAATAAGAGAAAGGCCGATCCGAAGCACACCATGCCTAGCACGTACTCTAGTTTGGTAAACGGGTCAATTGGTCGATGACGATGTTGCGTGGCTAATGCAGGTTGGAGACTAGAGAGAGGCAAAAAGAAGACATATCACATACGCTACCGAAAACGGCTGCAGGCATGTGCATTTTTCGTCTTGACTTTTGACTATACAGTTTGTACATTCTCTTTCTCCTGCCAGATGCCTAGCTCAGAAGACGGAGTGGTACATAGTGGAAAATGAATTCTAGACGAAGTAATTCCCATTTCGTTCAGAGACAGTCTGTTTATATACCTAGGTAGGTACTGGGTAGTTTCGAAAACACAAGCCATTGATTATACCGGACAATTCTGGGTCTTCTCACCAATTAATGAATTTCCTGGACCCCGGTCACTTGGTTTTGCTGGGATACCCCTGTATGTTCTCGAGTCACCGAACAGAGGGATGAGCGTGACGATCTACCCACCCCCGGGCGTGTTAGAAACTAGAACCTGTTCTGTTCGGTTAACATAATTTGTTTATGGATACAATGGCATACATGACATTGTGAGCTCTTCGAACTGTTGAGAATGGATTCTTGAAATGTTCTAGAATCCGCTCCCAGGCATAATATACACTCTAGTTTCTTGGATTTCCGACATCAGTGCGTGCATATATATGAGAAGCAGCAGAACTTCCACTGTTTATTTTGTGCCCGCAAGTGATTTTCTCCCTACAACTTAATCTTTGAATTGATGAATATGCTGTGAGGATCCAAATTCCCGGAAATGGAAGACCGAGAAACATGGTGCAAGGCAAACGACCTGTCAAATGCAATCTCTTCCTCTCCACTTTCCTACATAGGTAGTACGTAGGTAGTCTGTCTGCAAAGGTCTGATGCATACCGCATGTGTAGTTTAACCTTGAACCTAGCACCGCGAAGCAAGGAAATTCACAGTCATGACTCGCCAAATAATCGGTGCATACTTTTTGCAGTTTCGGTTTCTGTGGATTTATCTCCGCTTTCCGTCTGCTATCGTTGCGGTCGAGAAAAGTGTATAAAGCCGGTAGCATTCGAATACGTACCGATTGAGATAGAGACCAGGGTCAGAGTCCACGTGGCAGGGTCTCAAAATGGCATTCATGAAGCTGATTGGCATAGTGCTGTATATCCGTAAGTACATCATTTCTCCGACTCGGAGTCCCTACGAGTGCTTGAGGTTTATATAAATGACACTAGGAAAAAGAAAAGAAACAATAAACGCAGACAGGGAGTAAACGGTACCTGCGTATACATCCAGGGATCACACTAGGATCCAATTATACGCCAAAGACTGTTCCAAGGTTGGCTGGGCTACCCCGATTGACAGTTGAGCATCGTTATAGATCGGCTAGATTAGCATACGGCTAGCCTGGCGGTAGATGATCAGTACGCTTGAAGGAGCAGAAGAAAAGGAGAAAGAGAAAAAGCAAATATAGAATCAGCGTGAGACTTGCAGGGAATATGCAGCTGAGAAGGGCCTCCCGCTCAAACGGCCCCTTAGGTAGCATGTTTCCAAGGTTATCGGCTCGTGAAAAACGCAGGCAATCAATCTGTCACAGAACTTCCAGCTGTCTTATTTTTAATACTCCGATTCCTTCCATACAGCTTCTATTCTCTCTTCTTTTTTTTTTTTTTTCCCTTTTTGGGAAAGAAAATTTCCCCGGCTGCTTGTTCTGATCTAAACAATATGTAAAGGAGAGAGCGTGTTAGGGTTATGGTTGACGCGTGACTCTCTCTCTTGCTCGTAAATCAACAAGGCAACCACCATGAGAGAAGAAAAGAAAAGAAAAAAGAAGAAAAAAAAAAGAGTAAAATAAACGAACTGCAATGTGAATACGTCTGCCACACCGTTTGGGTCGCTATCTTGTCTGCGACTGCGACTGCAGCTGCAGACTGCCAAGCTTGGTTGCTTGGTGATTGGCGAAACGATAGCCTCGTCTGCAAAACCCGGAGTCTGCCACATTTAAACATTCTCTGGCCGGCCTTCTTTTTTTCTTGACTTAAAATTCCTATTCCCTCTTTACTTTTTTCTCGCCGACCCACTTCATCTCGGATTTTTCGGTGCGGAAACGGTCCTATTTGATCACAGCTTTGAGGCCGGTGAATCCCCCAACCCGCTGGCCTGCAGTCGAGGTGGCGGACGTGCGACGGAATAGATGCATCAATCACGTCTGTTTTTGCTGTGGACCACGTCCCTGTTTCTCCTCTGTGTCGTGTTTATATTCGCTTCGACCCCGTTTGTTCTCTCATTGCGTGGTTGATACACCCGCTCACTGGCACAGCCTTTCACTTGATACTTGTTGATTTCGTCTTCTGTGCATCTTCGATAGCAAATACTGGCAATATCAAGTCGGGTTCCATGATATCACCCTTCACATTCCAAGGTTCTTTAGGGCTTTATCTTCTAAAAAAGTTTATAGAGGGACATATCCATCAGTCCATGAACCCGGAATATACGGCACTGTGGCTAGGACCGTCTGTTTGTTCGTCGTTTGTAAAGGTAATGATATAGGTATTCAAGCACCCACCCCCAATTTCTTATGGCATCAAATCAGTTGACACTGGAGAAGCACACCTGAGTTTCACACACTCAAGATGCACACGATGACTCCCTCGCCACGCGATAGAGGTCGACGGGGACATCGGACTTACGAAGAAGAATTCGTCCTTTATTTGCAAGGGGTTAGTGAGTCTGATGCTAGCGACCAGGCTACAACAGCATGCTCCAGTTACGTGCTGACTCTGTATTCATTACCTACAAGATACCGGCACATTGTAGATGGCAGGAATTGAAGGATTTTGTTCGACAGACTGCTCTGCACATCCGACAGGCCGTGGTTTATGATGATGAGCATGGCTATCCTACAGGATTAGGCCAGATCATTGTCAAAAATGAAGATGAAGCATGGCGAACGTTCCGTGAGTTCATAGCTTGTTTCCAACATGTAGACTGCCCAGGATAGCTAATATTTGAAACCTGATGATATCTGTGCAGGAAAGTTATCTTCCAGTGGATGGGAGGGCCAGCCTCTGACCGTAACTCTGGCCAGAGCCAGTTCTCCAACCAGTCCCATAGCTGGTCCTACACGAAGCTCTTCAGCCACAGTACCTGCTGCAGCATACAGGGGTGCCATGCCTCACAAACTTGACATGCCTATTTCAACTGAGTAAGTAGGACATAGAAAGGGAGGAACGAACGGGACTACCTCACTCACATAATCATTGCAGGCCATTACGAGCACCTTCGACAACAGCAGCGACAACAAGTTGTCTACCTCTGATACCTATGCCTCATTACACCCCCATAAGTCACGGACACGCTTCTCATCATAGCTTCCCAACAGCACTGGATTCAGGGTTTCAATCGCCAGCTTGGAACCCACATCCGGAAATGCTCGCCTTCTCACCAACGATGGCCGTCTTTCCGCCACCAGTCGATCAAATAGAATACCCATATTACTTTCCATACTCACTTCCAATGCCAGTCTCAATGCCGCAGCCTATGTACACGGAAACGGGGCCCGATTATGAGCAGCATCGTCAGGCCCCTTCCGCCCTCCCACGAAGGTCGACATCCGCGTACATAATGCCAAACTCGTACCCTCAGCATGGATATCAAATGTATGGATACGAAGCCCATAAAACCGGTAGCGGTATTCACAGCGGTACAAACACATATCCAAACGACGCAGCGTCGTACTGCACTACGGGCATCCTCTCCCAGCGAACGATGCCAATGCAGCCAACATGCAATATCATAATTGACAATATCCGTCCAGGCGTCGATCAGCAGACACTTACAGATCACTTCCGCGGCGCCGGGTACATGCTTAACTGCCAAATCATTCGTTATGACAGTGACGAAAACGGAGGTCGCTACAATGAACATAATTACCCAGCGCAGTGTTACGCAACGGCCACTTTCTCTTCTGCAGACGAAGCCGAGAAAGCTGTTAAAATGTACAATGGATCTGACCTTGCTGGAAGCAGGGTGGTGGTGAGACTGGATTCGAAATGGGACGATGCTTCTCTTGACGACTCTACCCCCTCTACTACTACAACCACCGCTACTACTGCTGCTGGCGGTGGCGATGGCGGTGGTGAAAGTGACTGGTCAAGGTCATTATCATTTACAACTTCCTCGACGCTTCCACTGCGCTCGTCAGTGTCTGAGTCGACTGTTGCATCCATGGGGGGATTTTCGGCTTATTCCGGTAAGATATATCGTTATCATTCTTCTCCTCCTTTTCCTACTTGTCAGTGAATAAACCCCATCTGATAGTCATGAACTACTAGAATCCCCCAAACCCCAAGTATTGGTCGGCACAACAACTCGAAATCATCGCCATGCCAATAACCGAAGTAGGAGAGATTCAGGGAAAGAGTTGCTGAAGTCTGATATCACGACGACCACTACCCATCTCGCGCACCCGGAAAACGTACAAGAGCATGGCAACGATGATAAAACGTCCGACAAACAGAGGAACAGCACCAAATACGCGCAGCCCTCTTCTCGTTCCCTATCTCCCAAGTCTAGAAATACCGAAGAGGAATCTCTGCAGCAGCCGTTGGTGGTGAATGGGTCTATTCTTGGGAAGCCGAAGATGTGATTGATGGTATTAGGTATATAATGCGGGGAGGTTTTTTTTTCTCTTCAGATGCAGGTTATGATTGTTGCTTCTCTCTTCTTTCTGTTGTTGTTAGCTCGACAACAGTCTTATACTTAAGTTTAATGACAGTCGTGGTGGTGGTCTTTTCTATTCGTGAATATGAATTAAATACTTTGTTTTATTGACAGCGCCTAAGACTCCTAAAAGAATGGGAAGAGCGCTTCTTCCTAATATAATCAATCATTGTTAGAACAGCAAGTGCGTCTGATGACCGGAAACAGGAACATGAAGACAAAACGAATAAGGAAACACCGAAATCCAAATGAAACCCTAACGTGCATATGCCTATAATCTACAACCAAACCAATCTTTCAATTGTTTCATCTCCGACGGTTTCGTGGCGGTGGAGTGTAGGAGACTGATCGGGAGCGTGAGCGAGACCGACTGTAGGAGCGTCGTCGAACGGCGCCTCGGTCTCCACCTCGACGCGGTGGAGGGGATGGTGAGCGAGAATACGAAACGGACCGGGATCGTGAAGGTGATTTTGTATACGATCGCTCACGTCTACCACGTGTGCGAGGAGGTGAAGGCGATCTCGAGTATGACAACGAGCGCGAGCGCGAGCGTGAACGTGAACGTGATGGTGTATAAGATCGACGCCGACCACGCCCTCTATCATTACGGACAGACGAGCGAGAAGGAGATCGAGAAGGAGATCGGGAAGGGGGACGCGAAGGAGACCTTGTGTATGATCGTCCGCGGCTGGATGCACGATCGCCACGTGGGCGTGGTGAGCGCGAGCGCGAGTACGATCGAGAAGAGCCCGTGTAGGAAGAATAGCTGGAATAGCTAGAATACGACCTCACGGATTCCCTGTCTGAGTCGTCTCGTGCTGCAGGTAAAGCCGGGATAGTGGGTTTGGGTAGATTCTTGAGATGTTCGCGCATTTCTTCTGTCAGCACACCCATACCGATACTGGTAAAGTAGTTGATTGAGAATCGAGTGTTGCGAGGGTTATCCAGCGGGAACAGTCCGTCAAAGCTAGGTCGAAGCACGGGGTCTGTAAGACGTTCCCTCAATTTAGGGAGCCCCATATGCTCAGCGAGGTCTTGGAACAAAATCTTTATAAAAATACGGCTGCTAGATGTCGTCTCTTCCTCGTTTAGGTGAATCAAAGATAGCACATGCCAGCCGATAGCATCGTTGCTTAGAGCATGACCAAAAAATCGAGCAATATTGCGCAGTCTGTTTGTTTCGTAACGGTGAATGGTTTCGTAGTATTTGGCAAACGACTCCTCGAATAAGTCAGACCAGAGCCGATTCAATTTGGCAAATCGCTCCCCAATCAATCCGTAAAACTTTGAGTATGTACGCTCTTGAGAACAGCACTCAATAATCATCGACGGCAACTCGGGTTCCTTGCCGGGAGGGAGAGAGATTTTCATCAATTTGTGACAACATTCTTCAAAGTCCATACTTGACATGATCGTCAAGTAGATTGTACGTCGCAGATTAACAAGATCCGTATTGCTTTGGTCTTGAATCTCCAGCTGCTCCTCCTCGGCTTCTTCGTCCTCGTCGCTTTCATCATCATCTTCGTCGCTTTCGTAGTCACTTCCCTCGCCCAGAATCTCTGCCTTCAACTTCTTATAAGCATCTTCATGCTCCTGCCACTCCGGATCAAACTTGAAAACATTGAGTGCATCCTGTGTCTCAATCTCATCATCCAAGCCTACGCGATGCGTTATCTGATCTTCCTCCTCAACCAAGTCGAGCTCCTCACGAATTGCCGGGTTGTCTTTGAATCGGTCTTTTCGGACCTGGAACAAAACTTCAATCATATATTGCACTCGCTTATCGATATCGGCTTCATGGAGAATATTCCTGAACTGGTCGAACACCGCCAATGCAATAGGCCCACTCATCTCTTCCAGATGCTGTCCTACTTCACGGGTCAACCCGACTGCAATTTCAACGCTGTCGTCTGTAGGCTTATGAAGTAAAAGCAAGAGGATCTGAGCCGCCACCATTTCGTGGACTACTTGCTGATTGCACAAGTGGGCAATGAAAGTAGTCGAAGAGATGCAGACGGCTTTATCATTTCGCTTGAACGCTTTGCGAAATTGGACAATTAGGCGATTGAGCAATAATTCTCCGACCTGAGGAAGCTTCGTATTGACAATTGCTGCCATTGCCGCGTATATAGGCGTAAAAGGCAAAGACGCGGCCTGTGCTTTCATAATGCTTCGACAAAATAGACCTCGACCGCGGATTAGATTCTCGCCGAAAAGTTCGGGTACGATGTGCTTGATATTGGAGACGTTGACTTTGTTGATCAGACCGTTGATAGACTTCTTCAATGCCTCCCAAGACATTCGTTGATATTCCTTGCTGGATTTGTCCGTGATCTGAGCCTGCAGCGCACGTAGGCGGGCCGGAGGAATATACGTTCCTCCTGATCGCATATTGAGGAGCTTCTCGTATTCGGCTTTGGCCGCGGCCTGCTTCTCATCCTCGGTCATGGGCTTTCGCGCAGCATCTCGTTTTTCTTGCTGCTTTAGTCTTTCGGCAAGTTGTCTTTCCCTTTCCAACGCACGGTCGGGATCTACATAAGGCAAGTCTCTGACATCGCCCGAAGGACCGCTTGGGGGAGATTTGCGGCGGTTGGGCGACGGCGAACGAGAGGGAGGAGATCGCTTGCGCACGCCAGATGGTTGCTGGGAGTACGACCCTCCTGGAGGAGGAGTTGGTACTCGAACCGCAGACTGAAGGACCACCGGGTCAGACATTTTCCACTTAACCGTACTAGCCTTCAAAAATCCCTGATGATGGAAGGCCGTGCCGTTAACACGGGCTTTTGGTGGCTGGTTTTGGGGAAGTCGACTCTCACCTCCAGGCGCCGGCGGAAATAATTTAAAGCAAAAGCTTAGCCACAGACGACACCCGCCACCGGAGTCAGAGTCACGTGATCTCATACCAACCTGTCCAAAATACGGAGTAATGCGCCACGCCTCAGGAGCGTTTTTCTCATCACCTCACATAGCCTTTTTCAACTAGCAAGGACAGCTGAGCAGAGCCTCTTGATCACTATGGTATGTCTATTTTACAAGTCAAATACACTCGCCTACAGCTTGATAGATTTCCAAGCTAATTGATTGTTTCTGTAGCTCGGTCCACTTGTTGGTTCCGCCATGCTGCTGGTCGCAACTGCGATCTTTCTTTACTACACGGCATGGACTCTTCTGATGGTATGTCAAGGGGAGCTAGCGATTCTTCCTTCGCTGCCAAAGTACCACTAACTGACCGATGCCCTAGCCTTTCGTCGACCAAGGACATCCTCTGCATGATCTCTTCCCTCCGCGCGTCTGGGCGATCCGGATACCTGTCATCCTTACCCTCCTAGGCTCGGCTGTTGTCGGGTCATTCCTCGGCATTGTGATGATTCGCAGCAGCAGAAAGAAGGCTGCAAAGGCGAAAGCGGCGGCATCCAAGAAGAAAACATGATCCCTCGAGACGTCTTGGTCCACAGTCCGGCAACCTCTCTCTCTCTCTGAGCCTTTCTCATTCTTGTCGCCGCCCAGGCCGCGTTACTGCATGCGAACAATTGGAACAATTGGGGTACAGGGTTCTCTTCCGATGGAATGGCACGGCTGTCCAAAATAGTGCTTGTGGGTGGTACACGGGGCTCCGTTCATCCTGCTGTATGCACCCCTTGACTGTATAAAACAAACAAATAAATAGCGTTTTAATTAATCCATCATCATATATGATTACGAACCTTTTCTCTGCGTGCGCGGTGGACTACACTAATCGGTTTCAGTTTGGGTATCATGCATGATGGCTGATCTGACCGCATCACCTGACACGAGGGCTGGCCATGAGCGCGAACCACGGGAATGTCATGGCGGGAAGAGTCATGTGCACAAACATAACAATCAATCATAAATAAAGCAGGGCATTTGTTTGCCTGCGTCCATGAGTAATGATGATCGAGCATGTAGGCTTCGATAACTGCGTCGTACGTAGGTAGCTATACGAACTTGATTTTTCCTGCCAGGTGGGGCTTTCCTTTTTCAGCGGCCGCCGCTTTTGTGAGGGCGCTCATGGTCCCGCTCACTGAGTAGATTTCAGTCCGGGCTCACGCTCCCTGAGCAGCTCAGCGTCATCACGTGACCAAATTTGGGTCCGTATTTTCGCTTCACTGAGCATGATCAGCTAGCTACTCACTGTTCACTCAGTACTAGCCACATGCTCGGTATTTCATCTAAGCATTCTTTTACGCCCTCGCTATCCTATTCATGTCACAAAGTAGCAAATTGTCTTATATGTTCCCTCTGCCATGGTCTCTCATTAGAATTATTCTCATTACAAAGAATCTTGATACGATATCAAATAAACAGGATTTATAAAATCGCGTAATAAGTCGTTCTTCACTCCATCCGTCTCAGTTCCACCTTCTGAAGCATTTTCTTTTGAAAACATCACTGGAAGCTCTACTAGTATATGTCAATATTGTAGCGTGAGCTACAGAACCCTAGGAGCGAAGCCCAACACGACAGCACGGTTCAGCAGACCGAAATCCAGAGAGCAAGAGCTACAGACTTATTATAACTATGGAGAGCTATGTCTCTTAGTTGTCTAAGCCCCTAGCAGAGAACAGAAAGCGTGTTTGGCAGAGCTGGTAGGGAGACCCTCAGCTTAGGATTTCTGTACAAACGCTCTGGCGATCACTTTTCAAACTGTTCGAGATGTACGGAGATAGCCAGTGATTCAGGATCCAACTTCTTTCCTCCTCATAAGATAGGTCTTAGTCTCCGTGCGTGGATCTTCGTATGGCGTGCCATCACCACTGCTATTGTTCGACATGCTTGAAGATCATTCAGTGTTATGACACCTGTCTAGTTGATCAATAAATGTTGTCACATACACTGTTATCCTCAGTGATTTCAGTGCCCTGGTGTGAGGGTGGGGATATATTGTCATAAACGGTACTAGCGACTATTATAGAAGTATATTCTTTTCATCGAAACATCAGTAGTTCGAGAGGTCCAACAAGCCTTTAAGACAAATATTCAAACTTCTCTCATAAGAAGCTACGCCTTTTTGATATACCTAATATGCTTTTGCTACTTAATAGATCCTCAGATGAACGAAGTATCCTGGTTCTTAAACTTCCAGGTATGAAGCCCTAGTCTGGAGGGCAACGACGAGTTGGTATGTAACAGCGAGACTTTTACATTGAATAAGATCTCATGGCACACGTAGTAGGATTTTCGGGGTATGTCATATTAGAATTTAGTCCAATGAATAAGCGTGAATGCGGCTATCTTATAAATAGACTCATGTTTAAGAAGCCGTTCGTGGCATGACCGAAACTTTTCATGACTGTATCCGAGATTCCAGCACAGCCACAGTACAGAAGCCTTACCATGCTGTTTATTACAGAGGTAATTATCTTTTCAGCACAGTGGTACGGGTAAAACACTTGGGTAATCAATACCTGAAAGTCGAACCTTTACAGGTATAAGATACATGTACTATTACCATTGAACACGGTGGAGCGTAATAGGTATGGTATTTCTCAAGAGCGGAATAAGTTCCGTCATTGACGGAGATCAAATTTCGGGGGGTTAATTTACTTTATTAGCAAACAATTTATAAGATATTCTTAATAGTGGGAGTAAGGTTTAAATTTAGATAGTTATATATGTGGGTAAATATATTTATATATTCTTAATAAATTTATCTGTTCATTCTGAATTTTTTTTTTAATATTGGCAGTTATATGTGTTAGATCGCGTGGTCGCGTATGGTTGATGGCTGGAGGCCCAGCTGTGGCGCATTTTGGCTGCCCACCATGCTTTCTTGGTGTTGGGCGATACCTTGAGAGCTGACGAGTAACCTGACACACAGTCAAGCCAGATAAATCGGTGGTTGTAGAGATGTTTCAAAAATTAGGCTTCGACAGGTGGTTGTTTGAGTTGATGCCAGATCTGTGGGAAATGATTATGTAATTAGCGCGCTAGTGCCCTTTGGGTTAGCACCTCCGGGCGTAATAAAACATCCATTTATCCATCCATACATCATGAGTTTAAGTCGAGGAAGGCAGATGTCTATAACACAAACTATTACAAGACTGAATCACTACAGTAGATAAAAGACAATATGATATAATCTATCATGGCTGATTAGAAGTTAGCTAACAGTATTATCGCTATTCATATGGGTTCATGTACAATAGAGACACAAGGATAGTTACAGTGGTTGTATCCTGCATATCGCTTAATTGCGAGGGGTCGGGGTAAATGAAACAAACAAACAAAACAAAACAAACAAAACAAACAAACCTGTATAGGAAAAATTCAACATCATATTTTTTAGCATATATCTACCAAGCTTGAGTGAAAAGTTCGACCTGAGGGGATGATCACCGCTTCATTTTCTTGGCTGAGCGTATTGCGCCGCACATATCATTTAGAGAGATGTCGAGGTAATCAAGTCAACGAGACTCCTTATCTTTTAATAGACCCGGATCTATCTCAACAATTGTAAAGAATGGCTGCACCAAGGGCCACTGGGACGACAGAATGGTCGTTTATAAGGGGCAATGGAATCGAGTCGTTGGCTCACAAGCTTGGCGTGCCACTAGAAAGCTTCGTGCTACCAGACGAGGGGTTTGACTGTGGATATTGATGAGTAAAGATAACAACAAGGAACGTAGAAACTTGATGTTCCCATTAGGGATAGTAGGAATCTTAAAAGAGGAATTATAGCGAGAAAACCAAGCCATGACTTTATTCAATCCTCAATTGCACAGATCGATGTGTTTCGTTGAACCATCGACGTGGAGTTTGGAAATAATAGTTTGACCAATATTGTTATTTCAACAAGATCACTTTCCATGGACGTGATCACCAATATAAAAACCAGATAACTTCATTCTTAAACACAATCCTATATTATGATATCCTTGCACACACGCCGGCCCTTGTAGTTGATCACCCATCTTCCTGTATCTATTTTGCTGTGTATTGTTTTGCCGTAATGGAATCATCGATTGTTATTGTATCACTTCTGCGCCTTGCAGGCCAGACTAGACGGATTACTCCTTCCACGTCCCGAGGAAACAGTTCCATGACCACCCTTATCCCTGTAGACCCCCATACCATGACGGTGAGCTCCTTCTTTGGCCAGGCGTTGATGGTCAGACCAGACGATACACTTGAGTGGAACCATTTATCCATGCCAAAGTTTCCTTTGCCCTCCCAAGAATTTGGAACTTTAATTTGAAAATATTCTTTCTTGTGTGAATGGAGCTCTGCGGGTTGGAATACGCGTACATCGGTTATTTCAGGGCTGCTGCCCCATATCTCACATCCTACCTGATATTGACTGCCATTCCCGGATTCCCAGCCTTCATAGTAGATAACTCCTCGAATATGCTGCATACTTCCAGCTGACCCACCACGCAACAAGTACGATAAGCCGCTGTTTAGTTTTGCGCCAGTAGTCTGGTATTCGTCGGCTGGGCTTCCACTGAGTAAATCGCCAATGGTTTTCACATTGATTTTTGTAGTGCTTTCATTTTGCCCATTCCCTCGGCTCTGGCACCATTTGTCGAATTTTGCTTTGTTGTCATGGTCTCTCAACAATTCCAGTCGGGAGCTCTCATCGCCTCCGATGATATTGACTTGACCCTGCACGGTATTCTTGAAGCGGTCTTCTACAGTTCCTTGGTTGACATTGGCATTGCCAGAAATAACACCTGCATAATTTGCCTTGACACTCAATCCCCAGGTCTCCTTGTCGGAGGAGACCACGTCGCTGGTTTGCACCTTGAACTGATACCGGGTCCCAACGGTCCCGCGCACTATGACATGCGTGCCCCAATTGAAGAAGAACTTCCTGTACGCTTCTTCGTGCGTGCCATTTTCGTCCAAGTCGGGGAGAGCTTTCGCAGCAGCCCAGAATCTTGGATTTATGTTGTCAATTACCATTTCGTCATCAAGCAGGACAGAGTAGATTTCCGTCTGAGAGCTGTAAAGTGCATACAAGTCGGTGCGTTTGACAGACTTCTCGTAACTGTAATTTGCGCCAGCTGAAACTGTGACCGCTGAGTAGCTGCCTGAAAACTCGACACCAGTGGAGAGTTTGTCGATCAATTCAGAGCCCGTCAGAACGGTGAGATAATTCGCAGTACCTTGGCTGGCTCCTTGAACGAATCGCACATTTTCAGCAAGGGACGCATGAGCGCCGTTCAGCCCTGGAATCTGTGCCTTTTTCTCTCCAACCAGCTTGATTATGGCAGGCAAATTTGTCGTTTCTAGGATGTCGTTCACTTTAAAAATATTTGGATCTTGATAAAGTCAGTGACAAACATCTTTAGTGAAGACTTGGGGGTCAACTCACTCGCCAAAAGATTAACGCCTCGACCAAGATAGGTCCAAGTGGGTAACTTTACTGATTCACCCTGCGGCTGCTCAGCTGGCGCCTGTGCTGCTTGCACCTGTTCATCTGGAGCGTTTTGAATTTGCCTCAGTTGATCCAGCTCTTGTTGAGCTTTTGCCAGTTGAGCTTGCAACTCTTGAGCCCACCTCTCTTGAGAATGTGCCTGTTGTGCTAGGCCTCGTTGATCTGGTGCTAGTCGATATTGCATCTGTTGAGCTAGTTCTTTTGCTACTTGAGCCAACTCTTGAGCTAGTGAGGATAGTTTATCCACTGTCACCCGTTGAGCCGACGCCGATGGAGTAGGCGACACCAGTGGGGTCCAACAGCGTCCAGACAGTGCGCGTGGAGGTGGTGCTCTTCTACTTGGCAACATTCTGAGTGTAGTTTCAAATAACTAGATGTTTTATGTTGATAAGAAAAGAATTGGGTTCACCGCGACGATTAGTGATTTTCTAGCTGGCTTTAATATGATGACTGGATCACATTTAACCATAGAAGATGATTAAAGAATAAGATTACAAATGTATTAATCCATGGAGCAAGTGGTGGATGAAATTCATGGGATACTACCTTTTCTCCAGCGAATGTGGTTAATGTTGTTGTTTGCGGTTGTCCACTACCATTTGCAGAGCGCTTGTGTTACACAGAAATGAATTCCACCAAAATGTCAACATACTACCTTCTTATAGCTTTCTATGATGACAATTAGTTAGCGAGAAAGTATGACGTAAATCACTTATCTAACTCTACTATGGATTTTTCTGGATAAGCAAGTCGTAGCTGAATACAGTAGTCGTCAAAATTGAACCCGATTTTCAATCTACAGTTTTCAACATAATACGCTGCCATGGTAGCAACCAAAGGTGCAGCTTATTGGTTAAGTGTTGGCCCAAAACAATCAGGCTTCGTTTCTAAGGCCGCCTTTAAAATGGTTCCCTTTCCTCGCTTAAGTTTTCTTCGTCAGAAGCCTTCTCAATTGTCGAATTTGACGAGACTTGATGCTCAACAGTGTCACCAAATGTGAGAGCGATTTGTTCCAAAGGAACTCGCTTTGTCTATTTCATGGTAAGCGATGTCTTATGAAACCCACATAACTATAAACTGGAGTAAAGCCCTTGGAAAAATGGCTGACCTCAGGAAAGAAAAATCATGCTATAAAGAACATCACTGTGGTAACTACAATAAACATATAACAACGGATTCGGAACGCTGTATTAGCTAGTATTGGGAATACTATATAATCTGCACATCCCGCCGCTTACCAGCTGTCAATACTACTGTATCCCTCAATGACATTACTATCCGCAGTATAACTACTTTATCCGGAGATTAGTAGGAGTACCTACTCCAACTAGAAAGCATACCTTGAGAGTCGTTGTCGTCATAACAAGATAGATCTGTGTTATTATGTCTTTTTCTTATACGCTTTACTACGCTATTGATGAATCTAGACCAAAAATGATGTAAATATAATGCCAATATACTGTTAGATTGCTAGCAAGTCTTATTTTCCCCGAGTACTATACAAAGATTGACAGTACTATTTGACGATGATAAAATCTCTTCATGGAACGCAGACCCCAGAATCGTTTATCTATATCAATATTTCATTATTGTGAGCAATCACTGCCATCACTATGCTATCACTTTCCCTTAGTCATGTACTGAAAGCCTCGCTGGCATTCCTCACTATGGCCAAGTTCGTCTATCCTATTCCTCATCATACTACATGTGATAATATTGAGACTTCTATTGGGGTATTGAATGACCAATCTAATTGTGGTCAATCTTTTGTTGGTCCGAAGCCTAGATACACTGGGCTCACTTACGGTAACTGTTACAAGTTGGGTCGTGATCAATTTGTAGAAAGGGAAACGTGGCTGGGGAGGGAAAAACGGTACATCGCCATATAAGTTCGGATTTTCTGCTGCAAAGGCCAAAATATTCCGAGTGTGCAGCGAGACAGCCGGAATCTGCTTTACAGAAGGAGGACGACCAGGAGAGCAATTCCTGGATACCGAAAATTTCTACCTTCGGGATCTACTTCACCCCGACCAACCTTATATCCACGACGACCACAACGACAGGTTTCACGCGGCTTGTGGTGATGCAAACATTGCTCAATTCCATGTTTCTGCAGGGCCTTGCTGGAACGTCGCTGAATGGGAAACCTGCCCTCTCGACTTGCAACACACTTTTTATAGGACATTGAAGGGGGTATACGTCGATGATTATTCATATATGATAAGTAGCGATATCGAAAACGCTCAAACACTCTTCTTCAAAATGGAGGACTGCCCCTACTGATATACAGAAAAGGGAACCCGGTTAAAGAACAGGGAACGACGGCTGGGAGCATCTGTGGCTTTAGAGAATTCCTATGGTTTCATTTTGGAAGGTCGATGAAAGGCGATTTACGCCTGGGGTGATGTTCCGTTTCCTGAAGATGCGGTGTGTAAGCTAGAAATGAAACAGTATTTTTTACCTCGGAATGCTATAGTTTAGCTAAGTATCTAGGGATTAGCTATAAATAGGTAGGGATTTTACTATATTGATCAGCTCAATCTTTATAGGCTCACCGGACTAGTCTTACACCAATCCTTACTTCGTGATCTAGGACCATACTAAACCAATAGAGAATTAGATACATTAAATCTCTGTCCAGCTGCCGTTTGAGAAAGGCGCACGAATTCAGAGAAATGAATTGATTGGTACGCTGAGGTGGGATATGAGGTTTTTGGTCTAAAGGCGGTGTAGGTGTGGGGCCTGACCGCCTAAATTCATACTAACATAATTACCGGGGTGGACGTTGTATTAATTATGAAATTAACTTTACGAGCTGTTTCGTAACATTGACCACTCACAGCTTTCAAAGTTCAATACGTGTAATAGAGCCCCATCATGATACAGCAAATCGTATCTTTGGTTTTTAATGGTATGACAGTTTCGCGTCAGACTACGTATATATTACAATACATAGCACAGCCACAAGTTTGTAGTGTGGCTGTTCAAGACAGATACACCACAATACTGTAATAAATCGGTATCAGTAGTACCAAGAAAAAAAATCCGAAAACAAGGCCTTGCCTCTTAGAACGTCGTCGTCAATCATTCAACCTGGCTGAATCAATTGTTGACATCTCCTCCAAGATTGGTTAGTCTCTAGTAGAGACGGAATTCACTGTATATTTTCTAAAAGTACAAAGGAAACCCGCTCTGACCACATAGTGCCTGGAGAAGCATCTGCGTCACTTGATATCGGAGATATAGCTCCTTTCTAGCATAGTTTCTGATCGGTCGTAAGCTGACTACTATTTGGTGTCATGCCAGATTTCCAACTTCAGTTATTATCAAGCATGGTCCGTAGTAGCATGGGCCCTTGACCACAGCGTAGGTAGTTGCATGATACTTCCAAGTCACACTTCGAAGTCATAGGACTACTAGGTCTTCGTTCGCTGCAATAGCATTGTAAGCATTTCGCTTTTTCGGTATTAATGAGAAATCTTATCATATCTTCTTGGTAGTGAAAGAATGTTGAGAGGGTAGCTTAGTACTGTAGCCAACCTTCGCATCTTTAGAATATCACGATGCTGTAAGCGAATTTGAGTGACAGTAAACTAATCAGTGTGCTCAACGGCGGATCACTGAGCATCCCTTCGAGCTTATGTAAAGCTCACTGATCTGATCACGGCGCTCAGGGTCGTGCTCAGTTCTACTCAGGGAGTAAAAGCGGCGAGGGGGTGAGCACTAAAACGGAAGGGGAAAGCCCCACGCGTCAGGGAAAATCAAGTACGTAGGTAGTAAGCAGCTAGCTCCGGTTGGGACGGACCTGACTATCAAATCATGCAGGCGTGCACCTTCCCCTCCCCCACTAGCATACAAGCACGCTTCGGTACTTACCCCCGTGGGATCCTCCTCTCCCTCTTCCTCCTCATCCTCCTCTCTCGCTCTCCTGTCCTCATTACTTCCTCTTGTCTGTTCCCCCCCGAACTATATCATTACCCCCACTGCTGTAGTAACTTGCCAAGCTGATCCTGCACTGCGAGTGAACTTCGCCGTCCACGCCGCGGACTGCTTGTACTGTTATTGCGTCATTGATGCTCCGAAGCTCTCTGTGCCGAGTCCGCGCTTCGCTGTATGAACCGCCCCAAACTGCTCCTTCTTGACATACCGCTGTGTGTTCTGGAAGCACTGCTTAACCTCTCGTTCCGCGCGTCTGCGACTGCACAAGCTGTTTAGAAGTTTCGCGATACCCGGGCCTCTGACCTATCCCCGACTGTTGCGAGGCTTCCGTCAAGGCTGTCATCTAGTATCGCCGCACTTCAGACGTCGTCCCTCTAGGCGGCCATCGGAAGAAGACACTGTCACAAGGAGCCAGGTTGCTCCGAGTATATAAACACACCTTCAGCACCTCACGCCGACTTGCCGGCGTTCCCCGTTTAACCGGCCTTCGTGGATGCCCCCCGCAGAGTCAGAGAGTTCCTTCCGTCCTGATAACCAACTGTTCTTTAACAATAGCCCTCCAACACACAACCCCATTCCAGTGCAAGAATTAACTGCGGGTGGGAAGAAGAAAAAGAAGAAGCATGGATCAAAAGGAAAAGATACACCAGCCAAATCATCAGTCCCGATGGAAGCCAACGAGTGCGTGTTACCGTTCTGTGTGATTTAGCAAGCACCTAAGCTTTACTAACTTGGAAAATGTTGTAGTATTTCACCCTCGCCACCATCACAATCCGACCCCTCCTCGTTCCCGGGAGTTGTCTTCACCCCTCCTGTTCATGACACCGCCTTGTCTTCAGCCTCGCCGGTCTTAGAAGCATTAGGCTCCATCAACAATGTCGACAGCGATACAGCTATGCGGACCGGTGCATGGGCAAAATCAATACCGTTTGGGAAAAGTCCCCCAACCGACCTGCCGGAACCTGGCTTTACTAGCGGCTCTCCCCTGAGTATTCCGACGCCATTTGAACGTCCAGGATTCGGAAGCCACGTCTCGTCATCGGCGTCTCCCCCTCCAGCGAGAGCTCGACCGACTAGCTACAGTCAAGCCGGCTTTGCCTCCTCGCGTCATCGATCTACAGATAGGCAGATGCGCCATTCAATGGGCGGCCATCTTCAAAACCAGCCTCCCCTGCCACATCTGCCCCAGGCCCACTTCTATGGAGCGCCAGAAGTGGACATTCCTGTGCCGAACAGGCTCAGTGCCGAGGATAATTATTCGTTCTGTGGCTGGGATACCATATCGGACCAGTCTTTGAAAACAAGCAAATTAGGAGGGCGAGTGCTTGTGGTGGGAACCGATGGGGGACTGGATGTCATGTCGATTGAAGACCAAAGGACACGCACTGTGGGGAGCTTGACTGGCTTAAATGGCCGCGTTTTGGATGCAAAGATACTGTCGCATACATCTAAAGACGACTCATACGCCTCTTCGCGTCCTCATGTGGCTGTCATTCTACATGGCCCCATGGCCCATAAAGAAGACGCTGTAGAGACCTCCTCTGCAGGGTCTGAGCAGAACGAGATTCTTCCCGGCTTGCCTGTAAGACCACCAAATGGGGACCAGCGACCACAGGCCAAAGATGAAACAGTATATCAAACCAGTGTGGAGATCTATTCAATCAGGACCGGGGAACATATCGCAACCCTTTTCCAAAGCAAACCCGCACCTTGTTTTGACAGCTATCCAAACCTCTCTTTGTTGGCTCCAGCACCCGTTGGAAATTTGAGACTGTTCACCACTCATAATTATGTTGTCGTCGCTTCTGGAGTGAGTGGCGAAGTATTTATTTATGGGCTTGTATTATCTGGCGCACCCGGATACCAATGCCTGGGCAAGACGTGGACTAGTGTACAATCAAGAGAATCAAGGCGCTACTCGACATCTTCTAGTTCCACGGATCAGGATGGTTCGCAAGCTGATGGCCAATACGGTACGGCTTTTACGGAAAATCCTATCGTGTCTCTTCATGGGCGTTGGTTGGCCATTGTTCCACCGTCGTCCTCGTCAAGAGCTCCGCCTCTTGGAAAAGTCCCTGCGCATCTTATACAGAGAAAGATTCCTGGCCTCGATACCCACATACCCCCATCAAAGCCGGCTATAAACTGCGCCACAGATTTAGGGGAGGGTGAAAGCTTATTCGACAAAGTTGCCAGGGGGGTGGCTCAGGAGCTCGTCAAAGGTGCTCGATGGATGGGCGATCAAGGACTTCAAGCGTGGAATAACTATTGGAATAAAGATCAACAATCGACACAAAATGGCAATCCACGTCGTTCTCCACAGTACGAGACGCAGCAGGGAACACATGGTTTGTTCCCTCCTACTCATGGCCAGGAAACATCTGGAGCATCTTCGGAGCCGGAGTTGGTTTCAATAATTGACTTGAAAAAGTTGGAGGACGGACAAGATCCCAAGGGCTCTGCGTCAGCAACGGTTGTCACCTTCCAGCCTCGAAATGGTTGCAGTTTTCTCTCATTCTCGCCGAATGGACACATGCTATTAAGCGCCAGTAGAAAGGGTGATGTTCAATATGTTTGGGATCTCATGCAAGCCAAACATTGCAGATCTGCTGTTTTCCTCTCTGAAGAATTGGCAAGCAACAGCCCCGCTACTGCCCATGTTCGATTGATAGCTCGGTATTCTCGGTTGACTACTTCGAGTATTGTGGATGTCGCATGGACCTATCCAACGGGTGAGAGATTCGCCATAATTACACGCAAAGGGACTGTGCATGTGTTTGACATTCCGCGACCTGCGTTTCAATGGCCACCTCTCCGGCGGGTGCAATCGAAAGCTAAGGGCCCCCATCCAGAGGAAAGATCCTCGCCAACAGCTGATCTGGATGAGAAAGCGTCATCGAGTAGTCCATTTACCACTGCCATGAAACTTGTAGGAGGCTCGACACAACCTATACTTGCCGCTGTAAGAAGTCGCACACCCAGTGTTAGTGCCAACTTTTCCGGGACATCAGGGTTTGGCATTTCGTCAGCAGCTGGCATTGGCGGCAAAGCCGTGGCAGCAGGCCTAAGCAAGTCTGTGGGCGCAGCCACTGGCACTGTTAATACGTTGCGTCATGTGGGAGAGAATCGTTTACACCTCACTGGTTTCGCAAGAGACCCCGTACCGTCCCGCGTGACTTGGATATCTACTCGCAACGAATCTTTACTTGGCATTGTTGACCATGGGTTATTCAAGCTGTATAAGATCAAACGGCATACAGACCGAGACAAGGCACGACGCCAACAAGCTGTTATAGGAGCGAAGGTGCTTGATCTCAAGCTACCATTGTATTTGCGGAACCCATGTGGACCTTTACAAATTGGTTTACCCGTTGACGGAAATGTTCGTGGGAGCTGGTCGTTGCCATCACATGCACCACATTCCTCATCCGCCACGAAAATGAAGTCTCAACCACTCTCGCAGGCCGAGATTGAGACCAATACACCATATCAGCCTTTCCACACGGACCGCAGAGTCAATCTTTATGTATTGCGAGACTCTGCTTCAGCCTCAAGTCACATGCAAGGACCATGGGTGTTTGGAAATGACATCCCGGCTCAGAAGATTCATGTCCGACCCCTTAATCAGAGCGATGATGAAGAAGACTTGCTAGATGGAATAAGTGGTGCTCCTGAAATGGAGAATCTAATAAGGCTTGGAAATAGTGCTGACCAAGTTGAAGAAGTTGTCATCACTACCAGGCGTAAAAAGAAGCACTCTGATGCGCCATCTATCGCGTCCCCAGCTGACGATGACGACGGCTTTTTCGAGAATGATTGTGATATTCTTGATTTTGCACGAGACAGGGTTTGAAGTCCGACTTTTCCTGTCTTACTTGGTCAACTTTGTTGTCATACGACTTTTCTATTACTTAACATTGGGAAATTTGGAGTTCTTGGTTGCATTAAATCTCCATTCGATGGGAAACTTTGGATTTTCTTTTTGGTTCTTCGCTTCGATACAGGTGTTTCGGCGCACTGTTTTACAAAGGGCATTCGTCATTTTGCTCATCTGTTCAACACATTTTGATATCTCCTGGCTAGCACCGCACACAGTCCCCAACGAGACTTCATTGACATGACTCCCATAGCATTCATACCCCTTTTCTAACACCTGTGGATTTTTGTTCCGTGATTTGACAAGGCGTCGTAGTACTATCGACTCCGAACCATTTGAAATACCCGCAAAAAAAAGGAGCATAACATAGAAAACGAGAAAAATGGTCTGGTCTGGCTTCCATCTGATATAGACAGTCGTTTCGCGTTAGTTACATGAATATATCCTCAAGAATATACAGATATTTTCTCGCCTCCCTCTTTCGCTTGAATTTAGTACTTAAACGACTCATTTTTTTAGTTCATATTCATAGAGTGAAAGGTGTGGTTTCTTCTATCCACCACGCCTTGAACTCCTGTAATCTCCTGGTCCGCTCTCTAGCCATCTCCCTACCAGTCTCCGTCTTCATCATGCTTTCCAGCTTCTCCAGCTTCTCACCAAAATGAGCAATCGACTCATCGAGCTCCCATGCCGTGCTGGACGACTTCCTCTTGGAACCCTGGGACCCGAGGTAAGTAAAAGTACGCGCAATGCCCACAGCGCCAATGGCATCGAGACGATCGGCATCCTGCACAATCGCCAGTTCATGATAGCCCGGCTGCGCGATCAAAGCGCGTACCTTTTCCGGATTTTTGGTTTCATTGGTATAGGATACGTTGGTGACTATTGTCTGGACGCGTTTTGCTAGTGTGGCATCTGCGCCGTGGCGTATGAGCGCATCGTAGACCATCTGTTTGGGGTCTATGCTTGTGCTTGCACCGGCTGCAGCGCGGTCTGCAGCAGGCAGGTATTTGTGATCGCCTATATCGTGCAGTGTTGCAGCGAGAGTGACGACGGCTGTATCGTACATTGAAGGCGCAGTGTCGGGGTGACGAGCCAGTTCGCCTGCCAGAACGCGATGCGCCAGCGACACCACGCGGTGGACGTGGGCTGGGTTGTGCGATGGGTCGTGACCTGCCATACACTCTGTCATGTAAGCTGTCATTGCCTCGATAAGGCCTTGAAGCTCCTTTGGAGTTTCCATTTTATGTACAGGTCTATTGCAACCTGTGGACGTCGTGTTGGAGCGAGGGTATGAAAATTGGAGGGGCAAGACAGAGTCTGCCGAAGTCAGCCCTAATTGCTCCCTGCCAAACCACGCCTATTCTGCAGGTATTCTATCAACTATATATTTATACCTAGATATTACATATCCCTTTCAGCACGGTTCACGTACATAAGTCTTATCAAGTAGAATGAATATTCACCATTAAATTTCCCCATCATATCAATAAGAAGCTTCTCCCCGTAACATACAGGTGACCCAGGATTCTCCAAAGTTAATTTTAGAGGATGCTGGTTTCCTCGTTGTCTGAGGTCAGATGTATCTTGGTCACTACTCCAGACTGGTGCTTGATACCTCTGATTTAGTTGGTCAATGAGTTTTGTTAGCAAGTCAGCACTCCTCAACAATCGGATGAGCAATAACATTCAGGTAGAGTATTCCAACACTTATTGATCACAGCTTCTGGATAGTATAAATTTGTGTGAAAACACTGTAAATACCATGTATTTCTTGCAGACAAATTAGAAGCCATCCGTGCTGACTGATATCAAACACTAAGAAGGGTTCCATAAACGAGATACCGGTCAGAGTAAAGCCGGAAGCTATTAGGATGACCCTTGAGTTGTCTCACTCGTGATAGCTTCACGGGTAACCTCTAGATCAACTTTGAAAGTTGCATCTAGGTCTCCGGTTGCCAATAATATCCCTATAGCTTATGTAGAGCAGAAGACAGCCGGAAAACGTAATTCCTACGCAGGATAGCCATATACATGATACATGTTACAACAAAACCCGAATTGCGAATGAGAGCTGGAAACAGCAAAGGAAATGAACCTATGTTAATTCCCATTATGACTAGACTAATAGTACATAAAGTTTAATGCCATAGGCTTCGGCGCAGTGCAGGATTTGCCTTTGTATCTCTCAACCAGGTACAGGCAAAATCCGGATTGGTTTGTACGGGATATCTGAAGCGCACTGCTTAGTTCACAGGAAAAAGGCAGCCATAATTGCACCCAGAACACCGGCAACACCTAGCTGAATGCCGATCTGGCTGGCAGCCCCGGTTTCGCTGGCACTGGTGCTGCTACCGGTGGCGGTGGAAGTAGGGGAGCTGTCTAAATCGTCTGATGAGGACGAACCAGTCCGTTGAGCTGAGCCGCCATGGGAATCCACGGCTAAACAATTCATATGGTAAGTAAATTGTCCTGTTCACTGTTCGGCAGTAGATGGAAAGGATGAATACTTACTGCCACTCAAGAGCGTATGGGAAGCGCTGGCGCTACCGTCGGTGGCCGTAGCAGTAGCAGTAGCAGGAGGGAGCGTAGCAGTGCCAGTGCCAGTGCCGAAGAATAGAGAGCTGTAGCAAGACTGCTGGCATTTGGCATAGGCTGCAGTGTCATCGGGAGTCCCGCTTCCCTGAGGACAGGCAGCGGCGCAGGCTGTAGTGTCGTTGGCCATGGCAGCGTCGGGGCAAGGCACATTATAACACACGGCATTGCAGCATGTATCCTTAGGATCACCTATTTGATTTTTTTTATTTTAATTGTCAATTCACTTGGCGAACCGTCGGGAATAGGCAATATGAAATAGTACTCACATTTGGTAGCACAGGATGCTTGTGGTGACAAGGAGGTGGTCGTAGCATCTTCCGAGGCAGCGAGAGCTACCAAGCCAGTGAGAGCAATAATGCTGAACTTCATTTTGTGCTTCTTTGTAATCTGTATGAAAAGGGGAGCGGAGAGACGTGGTATAAGGTTGTTTTAACAGGCTGGCAAGTGAGCGAATGCTAGAGAGCAAAGGAAACGATAAACAGATGCATTTACTTGAACAGGGGAGGAGAAGAGCGCGGAGACATGAGCTTTGTCATAGAAGACATGAATCTGCCATGGTTACAGGACTCCTTGGCGAAGGTAAACATAGAGATGGGTATTTCTCGCATTTCGGATTCCTTTCGATCACGGTGGAGAACAACAACAGAGCAATACAGAGAATTATTGGCTTATCAATCGGAAGGGATCTATTTCCAATCTCTAAGATTGGAAGCTGTGAGGTTCTTTCTCGATAATTCGCCCCTGACATTGGTAGATAGCGATCCTTGCATTCCATGTCTCCTGGGAGCTATGCCCATTTGTTTACCTCTGAATGATGTTGTGTCACCACACGTGTATTGAAAGAGACATTCGGAATTTGGTTGCAGAACCAAAAAGCCAGTGCTTTTCGCCACAGCAACGAGGCCAAGTTGAGATACAGATCGATGACTGATGGCGAGGAACTACGGTGCATCTACGTCACGTGCTTTCGCGACGCGCTTCTGACGCCAACCGCTCCATTCGTGAATGAATGTATGAACCACATTCATTTCGACGGGGCCAAAGGGCCGGTTTCAGCGCGCCAAACATGCCCGGCGAATTCAGTGATTCTGACCTTGATGGCTTCATTGTAAACAGCCAGGATACGGCCTTCAAGTCTCCAGAAAATGACGCCTATTCAGCGCGTCCGGCGAAGCGAAGACGCTTGAACAATGCCGCCTCTTCACGAGCAACCAGCGAGAATAACAGAACAGATTCGTCTAGCGAATACGGAAGCGATGGATTCGAAGACGACTTCCCGCTGCCGCCGCGTCGGCGCAATCGAAAATTCGAGGATGATGGAAGTGAAGAGGAACCCCAGTCAAAATACAAGATCTTCGTTCCCAAGAAGACCAGCATCCAGGAAAATACGTTTGTGTCGCAGTTGACGCAACCGCATTCAAGCCCATCTCAGATTCGAGGTCCCCGATGGAAGAAGCCAGACCCACCAGCTCAACAGACAAATACACTTGGAAATATTGGCAGTGCAACTCGATATAACAACGATGACGATGATCTCCGAGCTGCCATAAAAGCCTCGTTGCATTCCTTTGAAGAGGAGCGGGGTGGTCCGCCGAATTTAGCAAACGAAACTATAACACAAAATGTCCCGAATACAACGCGTCCAGCAGCTGCGAGGCAACAAGATGCAAGCTTTGATTTTGACGATATCCCGGAAGATGCGTTCGACTCGTCTCCATGTTTGTCTCCTTCGGCTGAACCCACTACCTCGAATCTTGTCACCCAATTTTCAAGCAGACCAGCCCTATCTCAACGCACGAATCTTCGGCAGACGACACTGTTTCAGTTGGCCACACGAGACCCAGCACAAGCAACCCGTTACGTGTCGCCTCCACCGAGAGATGAGCCACCTACACACCATAGATTGAATGACCATGCATTACAGACATGGGTATACCCTATCAATATAGGCAGTGTTCGAGATTATCAGTTCAATGTTTCTCAGAAAGGGCTGTTCCACAACCTTCTGGTGGCTTTGCCTACAGGTCTTGGAAAGACATTTATCGCTGCTACTGTGATGTTGAATTGGTTTAGATGGACCAAAGACGCTCAAATCGTATTTGCTGCTCCAACAAAGCCATTGGTTTCCCAACAAGTAGCGGCTTGTTTGGGCATTGCGGGCATTCCTCGTTCCCAGACAACTCTCCTTACGGGTAATGTTCCTCCAGGAACTCGTGCTGAGGAATGGCAGACAAAGCGAGTATTCTTTATGACACCTCAAACATTGATCAATGACCTGAAAACGGGAATTGCGGACCCAAAACGCATCGTCTTGTTAGTTGTCGACGAGGCTCACCGAGCCACCGGTGGCTACGCCTATGTTGAGGTTGTGAAGTTCTTGCGGCGTTTCAACCAAAGCTTTAGGGTTCTGGCATTAACGGCAACTCCTGGATCTACTGTGGAGGCGGTTCAGGCCGTCATTGACGGTCTAGATATAGCGAGGGTGGAAATTCGTACCGAGCAGTCCCTCGATATCAGAGAGTACGTACACTCACGCAATGTCGACGTCCAAACATTTACGAACTCCGAAGAAATGGTACTTTGCATGGATCTTCTGTCTAAAGCATTGCAGCCGAGTGTGGATCAGCTGCGAAATATGAATGCCTACTGGGGACGCGATCCATTAACTCTTACTGCGTATGGCCTCACAAAGGCGCGACAACAGTGGATGGCCTCTGATGCTGGGCGAAACGCCAATTTCGGGATAAAAGGAAAGATCAACGCTCTCTTCACCGTCCTGGCTAGTCTAGCTCATTCTATTGACTTGCTGAAATATCATGGCATTGTCCCTTTCTACAATCATTTGGTGTCGTTCAAATCAAATACCGATGGACAGAAAGGAGGCAAACACCAGCGAGCGATTGTTCAAGATGACAATTTCAAAAAGCTTATGGACCACATCCAGCCATGGTGTCGAAACCCCGAATTCATTGGACATCCAAAGTTGGGATACCTTAGAGATATAGTTCTGAATCATTTTATGGACGCTGGCGAGGGGACAGCTGGTTCATCGACGTCCAATACCCGGTTAATGATTTTCGCCCATTTCCGAGACAGTGCTGAAGAGATTACAAGAGTCCTTAAGCGACATGAACCAATCATACGACCGCATGTCTTTGTAGGACAAGCCAGTGCTAAAGGTTCTGAGGGCATGGACCAGAAAACCCAATTAAGTGTCATTGACAAGTTCAAGAACGGTACATATAATACTATTGTTGCGACATCAATAGGTGAGGAAGGACTGGATATTGGCGAAGTCGATCTTATTGTTTGCTATGATTCCTCCGCCAGCCCAATTCGAATGTTGCAACGAATGGGCCGGACTGGGCGAAAGCGCGCTGGTAACATCATCCTACTTCTTATGCAAGGCAAAGAAGAAGAATCCTATATCAGAGCAAAAGACAACTACGAGAAGATGCAAGAACTCATTGCTAGCGGCACCAGATTCACGTTCCACGACGATATATCAGCGCGCATTCTTCCCAAAGACGTGAAGCCAGCTGTTGACAAGCGGGTGGTCGAAATACCCCCTGAAAACTCGCAAGAAAATCTTCCTGAACCCAAGAAGAAAGGCCGTGCTCCAAAACGTCCTCCTAAGAAGTTTCACATGCCGGATGGGGTTGAGACTGGGTTTACGAAAGCTTCTCGAATTGGCGAGAGCAAAGGCTCTGATATCCGTGATATGTTTCAGGCGAAAAAGAAGGATAACAAAAAGCAAAGAGCCCCTGCCCCACCTGTGGAGGTTGTTACTGTCCCATCTAACGAGGAAGTGGCATTGACACCAGAACAAGAACATCAACTCGAGGTCAGATACCGCAATGTCGGAGGTACGGCGCCTCAGTTTACCAGCCGACCACGCAACGATGCCTATCCCGACATGCAGAGATCCTCTAGACCAACAAAGTCTGTTGGACATGGGAATTTAACGCGGAGAATGGTGGATGTTTTGAGAAAGATGGCTGCAACGGAGCCCAGTTGCGGTGGGAAATACAATGCGGTCCTAGACGACATCCGAAATAACGCCCAAACATTGATGAAGAACAAGGCTTCTACAGAACGCGATCTGGGCTCATCAAATAAAACCAAGTCAGGAAGGGGTTCAAAGTCTGATTTGCGGCCCTCGAGAATGACATCTATAAGGGGCAGCCCGTCAACCTCGTATGAAGACACCTTCGATTCCGCCCATGCTCGCTCCGTGCACTCCCCACAAGATTTATCCGATGACGGAAAGAATGGTTCTCTTTTTGTTTCTCAAGCGAGTCTTGATACGGACTTTGACTTCCCCGACGTCGAAACACTTAGTCGACGTGTTGCTGCTTCCAGGGCTTCTAAGTCGAGGCTGACTGTAATCGATAGTGACGACGATGACGATTTTAATTTTTTTGGCTAGATATATTCCTCTATGTTTTATTATTTTATTTTTTGCTATTTGTATTCCTCATTGGCACAAGCGAGCCCAGAGTGTATGAATCATGGAGTATGTAAATAGATCAAGCTTGCTTGGCATGGAATTAGTGCTCATGACAAATCGGAAGTTGATCTTCTTTTACGAAGCTTTGTTTCGTATCGGAGTCCACTTCAGAATATAACTAGCCTTCGTTGAATTCACATGTTGATTGTCTGTTTTGGCCAGGCTTAAGTAGCTCCGCTTGGCGGGCCGCAAGTTGATCGTCGGGTTAACAACATCCCAACTTTCCACTCGCGAGTTGTGTTGTTTTGCAATTCATTCCTCACATCTCAATCATGGCTGATACACAATTCGACAGTGCCCTGTAAGTGTTATGAACTTTCACGTCTCGATGCACCTGTCCCTGAGCAGCCAAGTTAGAAGATGCACACCACGCAGCTTCCCTCCATACCCCGCGCGAACTCCATTGCAGCTTAGCTTTGCTTCAGGGAACATTTACTGACGCATCAATATCGAATCCAGTGACCTCCTTCGTCGGCTCTCGCCACGAGATACAGGACGAAATCTCCAATCGATTACAAGCCTTGTTCCAGACCTAACCGAAGACCTCCTCGCCTCGGTCGATCAACCGCTCGAGGTGCGACGATGCGCCAAGTCCAACCGGGACTACCTCCTGTGTGATTACAACCGAGACGGCGATAGCTACAGATCTCCCTGGAGCAATGAGTTCGATCCCCCCATAGACGATGGAACAGTCCCCAGCGAGCGAGTGCGGAAGCTGGAGGTTGCGGCCAACGAGGCTTTCGATGTATACCGCGAATTGTACTACGAAGGCGGTGTTGGGAGCGTCTATTTCTGGGACTTGGATGATGGATTTGCCGGTGTTGTGTTGCTGAAAAAAGGTTTGTCGATGGTCGATCGATGGGATGTGACAATAGCCTAATCTGCGAATGCGACTGTTCTTCTAGGTGTGACCCCTGGTGGGAAGAGCTCTGGAGCATGGGACAGCATCCATGTTTTTGAGGCGACGGACCGTGCTCGCATGACACACTACAAATTGACTAGCACTGTGATCCTACATCTCGCCAATGAAACCGATGCTCTGGGACAAATGAATCTCAGTGGGAATATGACACGGCAAATGGAGGCGGATCTTCCTTTTGAATCTGATGCTAGCCACGTGGCAAACGTTGGCAGACTCGTTGAAGACATGGAATTAAAGATGAGGAATCTGCTTCGTACGTTGATTTCGGCATTGGTTTCGCATTTACAAGATAGCTAATTAATGGGAACAGAGGAGGTCTACTTCGGAAAAGCAAAGGATGTTGTTGGTGATCTTCGAAGTAAGTTCCCATGTCTTTGCATTATGAAAAATTCTTTAACGTCGTGTACAGGCATCGCTCCTTTATCTGAGACAAACCAAGAGAGAGCCGCTCATCGGGAAATGATCAGTTCTATGAGCAGGAGATGAAGATTCTGAGTTTTGGGATGCCTTGTAGGAATGAATACATGACATGGCCGTATAAAGTCCCTCGCCTGCTCACCATATCCATTGGCCTGAATTTTTGTAAATCCTGAGACTTATTCCTTCAACATTTTACTGTAGTCACCAAATAGCAAATATTGGTTGAAAGCCGATGGAAGGCCTTGGAGCGCCGTGGGGATTAGACTCTATCCCGAGGTGTATTTTCCTTGCCGGCATGACGAAAGACAATTAACTTCGTTCGTAGGAGCTGTAGACCAATCTCGTCGGTTAAGGGTCTTGATTCTATTACAAGGCGGGTAGGTAGATGGCGCTTTCCGTTTTTGATTGTAATATGTCCAGCTGAGTACTCAAGTTGAATCGGGAACCATCGGCCCAGGTTGCTGGTCCATCTGGGCGGCAGTGTCGCGGGTACGGTTCACAAATTCCCGTGCAGCAGCCCATGATTCGGCTTCCTTGTCTTTTCCCACAGTATCTTTGCGGCTGTTGAGCCAGCTAATCTCGAGAGGGTTGAATGACCCTGCTGCGGTGCCTGTCCCACCCGCAGCTATGGCGGATCCAGGAGCCGTAGCGTTCCCCGTTTCGCTCTTGAACGATCCATTGGCTGTCATAGACTCGGGCTCAAGTATTCCGGCTTCTTCGAGTGCGTAAACCTGCCGTCTCAACCGGACGTCGACTGACGAGAGAAGGGAGAAATATTGCGATGTGGCGACCTTGAACGCTGCCTTGCGCTCGTCGACCGAATTTCCCGCAGTGATTTCTGTTGATTTTGCATTTGTTAATGCTTGTATTGCGAGACCAGCAGAGGTGACAAGTTTCGCAATGTCCTATGCACGAGGAGGGTCAGGCTCGCTATTCCAAATACAAACTTTCAGGGACTCCGCACTTTGTCAATCTCATTCAGTTGTCGGATTCGGTCTGCAGATGAGAACGTCGGGGAGCTCGTCGAAGGCGCCTCCTTGTCCATTTCGACTTTGCATGAGTAAAAACACCATACAAACAGCGACTACCTGCTTGTGACTTGGTTAGGTTTGGGAACCCAAAATAAGCAAGATAAATCACGTGCAGTCCCGCCAGATCCACGCTAGTCCATAGGAGGCTTAGCGGAATATCAAGCAGCGATTTCCCCGGTCGCGAATGCCTCCATTTGGAACGTCAAATTCACCTTAAATTCACCTCGTCTCTTCGCGCTCGGTCTTGGAGACTATGCTGCCCTGTCGCCAGTATATCTAGCTTCCACCTTTGGCATCGCACGGAATACCGTTCTTTATACTAGACGATCACTATGTCTGCGCCTGGCGGCGGTGCCCCCAGTCCTGCGCCGCGCAGTGGCAGCATTGGTCCCAATGCCTCCATGCAAGTGCCTCCTCAGCAGCCTTTGGCTGCAAATCCACCAGTGGTTCATACACCAACGACTCCTGGTCCATCGACTCCTCATGCGCCTGTGTCCCAACAGAATCTTAATCAAATTGTGAGTTCCTTTTTCTACATCATAGATCGTGTGGCCCCTTTGGCAAAAGACATCTGGGGCCCGCTTGGCCAGAGCCTTCCAGATCCCGGTGCACTTTTTACTACATTATGTGTCGTCATTTGCGGTTTAGCAATATCTTTCCAGTGTACTTTTCCATATACATTGTTTGACTCCCTAGGAGAGAATTAACTTCCCCTTCCTTACACGCCGCTTCTTCCGTCTAGATACAACAACATCTTTAGCTTTATTACTTGAAAGCCTCTCAATCTCCTAACTCTGACCTTGTCCATCTGTTGCATCGTGTGCTTTTTCTTCTCGTTTGATGACATGTTTTGCTAATCTCTATGGAAAAGGTCATCGATTATCTTGCCAAAAAGGGCTACACAAGAACCGAGGCAATGCTTCGCATGGAATCTGCCAGTCAGGAAATAGATGGCAGGTCTTTGCCCCAGCTTAATGAAAATCAACGACCAAAGTATAGAAATGGCTTCGGTATGTTTATCCGAGCGTTTATAGATCTATCATGCATGTTAAGCTAATATTCAATTCATAGATCTCCTCAAGAATTGGATTGAAGACAACCTTGATCTATACAAGGTAAAGCAGACCCTCCACCAAACCACAATTAAAAGGGGTGCTAACTCGCAGTCAAGCCCGAACTTCGACGAGTTCTCTGGCCTCTATTTGTCTATTCATTCTTAGATTTGGCAACCGCATTATACCCACAGGATGCAGATCAGTTTTTTAATGCCAATAAAAGTCTTTTTCTTCCCGAGCATAGCGAAGACATACGATCACTGCAGAAAATAAGTCTGCCGGAGCACGTTCAGGATAACGCCACGGCAAAGGTATACAAAGGCAACAAATATCGGGTTATTCTCAGCAATCCTGCATTCGCCAATTTGATGCAGTTTCTAGAAAACAAATCCAAGGAAGGAGGCTCTGTCATGTCTGCGATCCTTAGTAGCTATTGCAACATCATCACCAAGGACCGAGCAGCCGATGAGCGCTTCAGTTTTGCTGCCATGCTAGGTCGTGCTGACCAAACGAGTACTTTTCCCGCAGAAGACGAGGGCATACCAGGCCACCACCCCGGTTCAGCTTACACAGGTGATAACCCTGCCATGACCGGGACCCTGCCTAAATTAAAGCTTGGGAAAATGGCCCCTGAACCAGAGTTAGAAAGCGATGTTCGTGCCGAGCTCGAAGAACATGACTCAAAGAATCCTCCTCCACCTGGTCGCGGCACTCTCGTTGAAGAGTATGATCAGATGATCAAGGAGGAGGAGGAAGAGGATGCTCCTACACGTGCTGAGATTGCCTTTCCACCGTCGACAGCTCGTGACGTTGCCATGGAAGTACAGCGGGTTAAGGAAAATCGGGATCGTTTCCGAATCGAAGGTCGTTCAGGTGGCGTTGGTGTTGCATGCTCTGTGTGTCTGTTCACATTCCACAATACTTACGATCGGTAAGTTATGATACTCAATCATATATTGGATATATTTGGTGCTAACCTCATGAAGGATGATCTGTACTGATTTCTCCGACGACAATATGTTGGTTGCTGCTGGGTTCGAGGATTCGTATATTCGCGTTTGGAGCCTTGACGGCAAAGCCATAAAAGCTACACATGAAGGCGTGGAGGAACACACTAGCACGCCTTCGAACTCGAAACGTTTATTTGGCCACTCTGGTCCAGTATATGCTGTCAAATTTGCTCCTTCAGCACAGCGTTCGGAGAATGAAATGGCTCCAACAAATGCTCGATGGCTACTTTCTTCATCAGCAGACAAAACCATCAGGCTCTGGTCACTAGACTTGTGGCAATGTATGGTAATCTACAAGGGACATGACCAACCAGTCTGGGATTTGAGCTGGGGTCCTTTTGGCTATTATTTTGTGTCTGGGGGACACGACAAGACCGCTCGACTATGGGCAACTGACCGAATCCGTCAACAACGTATCTTTGCAGGTCATGATCAAGATGTTGATTGCGTCTGTTTCCATCCCAACTCGGCGTACGTCTTCACCGGAAGTTCTGACCGTACAGTTCGTATGTGGGCAGTGACTACGGGTAATGCAGTGCGTATGTTCACAGGCCATACAGGCAATATTACTGCTATTGCATGTAGTCGGAATGGAAAACTTCTTGCGTCTGCTGACGATCATGGCTCTATCTTCCTCTGGGACTTGGCGCCTGGCCGCCTGTTGAAGCGTATGCGTGGACATGGCAAGGGTGGCATTTGGTCTTTGGACTGGAGTGTGGAGTCGACTATCCTTGTATCATCAGGCGCAGACAATACTGTGCGTGTATGGGATATTGCGCCTCCAGCGCCTGAACCAAGTACGAACCAAGCGCGGCTGGCGGCTGAAAATGGGGTTGGAGCAAAACTAGATGCGAACACGACCGCCTCTGGTACGCAGGCTTCGACTTCCGTGGGACCTGGAGGTAGCAAGAAGAAGGGCAAGGAGAACGTGGTGACTCCAGACCAAATCAGCGCTTTCCCCACGAAGAAAAGCCCCGTATACAAGGTCAAGTTCACGAACATGAACCTGATTGTTGCTGGAGGCGCTTATCTGCCATGATCAATGGCTATGTGTACAACATTATTCTTCTTCTTCTATTTATTTCCTCAATTGGATGTCATATCAAAGGCGTTCTGTTCTTTCTGGGCTTGGTTCTTTTTCTTTTTCTTTCCAAAATGATTCTCTATTTGGATACAGGAGGCGCATGGTGAGGCTTAGAACTCGAAGGTCTCCTGGGAACTACGATACCAAAAACTGCTTTCTTGTTTATATCTAAGTATTGCACCTTCATAGACCTAATTCAAAGAATACAGATATTTGACTTGGCACCTAATCTTGGGCACAGCACTCATCAATCAGTGGAACGGGGCGCATATTTTGCCCTTAAAGCTGCAGCGCCTGGGACTTGCCGTGTATGATTATGATTATGACCCTGGGCGGTGAAATCATAGCAATGAAAGACAGCTCGCCATCACAGAGTCACAACCTGTCTCACACCAAAATCCTCGCAGGAGAAAAGGAAGAAGCAAAGAAAACATGCCTTGGCACGCACACAGCTGCCCATTCTGTCACAAGCAGCACGCAAACAAAGATGCCCTCCACACACACTTGGAGCAGTACGTCAGTGAATGGCGTATTCCTGCTGATGGGGCTCACGATGTCTTGGAGATCCACAAGATCCTTCACGCTGGTGACAGCAACCATGGGAAGCAGTACAAATGTCCTGAGTGCTTGAAGGTGATTGACACCCAAAAGCACTTTATTGCACATGTCTACTACCGAAAGCACTATGGGAAATACCTCTATGGCTTTGAGCAAGGCATCAAAGGACGTTGCCAACAGGGCTCATGGCCACTTCCCTTTGACGAAGAGGCAGCCTTGATCCCACAGCGGAAGGGGGTGTTCAACTTCCTTGGTCTTCCCTATGGTCAGTTTGTCGTGAGTAGCATGCAAATTTGGGCTAACTTGTGAGAATCACATCGAATCTAGACCTGAGACACATGATATACGAGTTTGCCTTGGTCTTTGGGGAAATCGTGTTTCTGAGGAATGGAGTCGGCGTGCCCGTCGAGCCAAATCAACAGGGACTCTGGCTTCAGCATAACCCAAAAAGCAACCCTCTCTCCCTCTTGATCGTGAACCGTCAGATCTACGACGAGGGGCGCCGTTTATTCTACAGTCGCAACTCCTTCGTCTTCGATTCTCCCGACATCCCAGTGTTTCTCATCGCTATTAGCCGCTCAAATGCAATGCTCCTGCGCGAGGTGCGTTCGGAGGATGAGTCGCTTCACCAGGACCGGACAGGTTTGATTCGAGATTTTTGGGTCTGGGAGAAGGAAGATGGCTCGCAGACAGATATCTGGAGCGACGACGAGGCGTGTGGGAAACTCGTAGAGGCTCTCGAATCCGACAGCTTCTGTTTTGCGAGGCATCCACGCCGGCTTCTCCATCTGAATTCGGATCGCTTGTCACCGAACGACATTCGAAAGCGCTACAATTTCAACGTTGTCTTGGGCAGACGTCGGTATGAAAATGGACGGGAAGCTGGGATTGGAAAGGCGTCGTTTGAGCTGTATGCAGGGCTGTAGTTGGCGAGTAAAGATTGGCTATGGCTCAGCTGTAGACTTTTGCCATGATTTTTTTTTTCCTTCTATTGCTATGTAATTCTTCCTTGTTTAAGTGCCACCACATATGCACCTGATGAGCTCCTTGTCTGCACTTATTGGATAACAGGATGTTATCTGAACAGCTGAACTGCTTGTCCCTAATCCCCAGTAATACAAAAGGCAATGTATTCTTCACCCGAAGTGGGGGTTCTTAGTCTCGCCACCAGAAAGCGACCATCAACTAACTCATCTGTGCAATAAGATCATTCCTCTGTCTCTCGTCACACAGAAGCGGAGCATGTTTGTTCCTATATATTCTTTGCTTGAATGGACAACATGAGCGACCTACAAAAGGCATTTGTAAAGGCCCGGCTCGCCAAATTGCCGCCGGATATCCCAATCCCCGAAGAAAACGACGAGAGCTCTGCTGCTGGCAGAGGCACGGGCACTGGCACGATAGAAGAGGAGGATTTCGACTCGTCGTCGACATCGTCAGCTTCTTCCACGGGGACTGTTGTCCCCTCTGCAGCTCAGAATCTCTTTGCGAGGCCGTCTTTGTAGGTTTTCTTACATCTATATCATGCAACATTTCTTTCCCCCCTTTCCTTGTATACTGCTGGTTGGCTGACCTATTGCCCAGTCCAAGAAGCCAGCGGAAGGACTCAAATGATTCATTAACCTGGAGAGAGTTCTTCGCGCGCGAAATCTACATAGAGAGAGACTCGGATGACCTGCATGTTGTTCACCATGCTTACATAACGCCGCCTTCAGGATCTGGTCCTCTGTTCGTGACACACCATGGGGCTGGCTCCTCTGGACTGTCATTTGCTGCTTGTGCAGTAGAAATTCGCAAAATCCTTCCAGAGGCTGGCATCTTGTCCCTGGACGCTCGTCATCATGGAGATACTACTGTAGAATCGATCAATGGCGAATCCAAAGGTCCTGATTATCACTTGGAGACTCTAAGTCGTGATCTTGTTGCTGTGATCAGAGGGACCCAGGCACAGATGGCCTGGGATACATTGCCAGACATAGTCTTGGTTGGCCACAGTCTCGGAGGCGCGGTCATTACAGATGTTGCTAAAGGTGGTGAACTGGGTGCGAAGCTGCTAGCATATGCAGTTCTAGATGTTGTTGAAGGTACATATTTTTTTCTTCTCTCTCTCTCTGTTTGTAACTCGATGTGCTCACATTCGGATAGGCTCTGCAATAGATGCTCTACAGAGTATGGACACGTATTTGTCGACGCGACCTACGAGATTCTCCTCTTTGTCGTCGGCGATTGAGTGGCAGTATGTGTTGGCAAAAGTTCGAAATATTTGATCATCGGTACTAATACAGTACAAATCGCAGCTTTCGCTCACGAACAATCCGCAATGCCACTTCCGCGCGAGTATCTGTTCCTTCATTGTTAACAGAGGAGACAACTCCATCCGACCCGTCACGCCCTTGGGTGTGGAGAACCAATCTGGCAGAGACGAAATCATTCTGGGAAGATTGGTTCATCGGACTAAGCAGAAAGTTCATCGAGGCCAAAGGTGGCAAGCTACTTTTACTAGCCGGCACGGATCGACTAGACAAGGAACTTATGATTGCGCAGATGCAAGGTATGTAGTATGAATACATAAAGGAGTCATCTGGCCACGATTGACTCTCTTTCTTGCTAGGGAAATATTCGCTGCAAGTCCTGCCTCTCTCGGGACACTTTATTCAGGAGGACCAACCGGCCAAAACAGCGCGATTTCTGGTGGATTTCTTCAAGCGCAACGATAGAACGCCGCTGGTTTTGCCGCCCAAGGTTGGAGATATTATGGCTTCCAATGCGATGGAGAAGGGCTTCGGTGCGAAGACTGGAGGGAAGAGAGCATGACACATAGCCGGGGGGTCAACCTAATAGAGAGAAAGTACATGATGATAATAGTTCTGGCATACTTAATCTATGGATATCTAGTTAATAGAGGCAAATGCATATGCATACGCGAGTATTTATATAGAGTCGACAGCATAAGTCGAAGTATCTGTTTGCAATTTTAAAAGAAATGACGGGAAAAAATGCATATTTGACGGCGGATTATGGCCACTACGTATGTATTCTGGATTCAGCCTGTAATCCACTACTACCTAATTGGGTGAATAAATGCCTCAGGATATTGGCCTAGTTAGCCTCCTAGAAAAGCATAAATATAATCTTAAATATTCTTTTAAGTTAATGTAGATATGTAGATTATATAACTAATATTCCTCGTATTAGCTAAAATAGCGTTCTAAATCTACTATTATTATAATAATAGTATATCTTAATTATATTAGGTGTAACGGCCAAACCAACTAATCATTGCTAACTAGCTGAGTGCATCTAACAAGAACAATTTGTAGGTGTCATTCAGTTCTTCCATGGTGATTGGCATATCTGATAGAACAGAAGACCCTTCATCAAGGTATTGGTTGTAGTCCTCTGCTGGGAGGATCTGTTTCCAGACTTCCATCTGGGTAAGATGAGTCAAGAAAGAGAACGAGCAAGCGAGTGACGAGACTGTCTGCTTGAAGGGCTGCAGAAACGAGTGCGCAGTGAAAGATGGGAAAAGGTAAGTATCAGCAGTCGATCGAGTACGAAGCTGAAGAGTGGATGTGAGAGAGAAGACAGATGACTCCTCAGGCATTCGATAAATGCCGAAGCCCTGGCCGCCTTCCTCTTTGGGCCAGCGAGCTCACACCAACATCGAGCCCTGCTTTCTTTCTCTTTCCTCGTTATCACTAGTTAGATCTTCAACATTGAACGATATGGAAAGGTAGCTACATTGTTACAGCTTCGAAATCTCTTTTTAGCCATTTACCTAGAGGCTTAACGTGACAAGTGATGTTTTTTCATGACGGATCAGGCAACAAGGTAAACTACACATACACAAGCTTTTGGTCGTTATTGTTGACTGTCGTACTTCTGATACGTTGATTCTAATGGCCGATCATCCCAGTTCTCATTCGGCTTGCGAACTCTTGAACAGATGCTCCAGGTACAAAGCTTCTGATGAAGTCGTTGTGTATCGGTTTCCTAATAGATCAGCATAAATATAGCCTTAAAATAACCCCTTGAACATTCTTTTTAGTTAGATATGCAGATTATATGGTATTTCCAATACTAGCTATAACTAATCCAGCGTTCCAAATCCGTTGTTAATGTTAAAATTCCACTTTTTTACAACTATGCGTTTGTCGGCCTGAATATCAAGGCGATGAAGAGTCGCTCGCTCATGACGTCAGGGCCGCAGGGCAACCGAATCGGGAAGTCTGCATCATTTCAAGCTTTCAACCACATTGTTGCAATGTCGTGTTACGCCAGAAATATTATTATTTAGGCACAGAAATGTTTCTACTCTACTGAGTATTCCTCTGTACTACAGCGTCTCAGCCTGATCAACGAAACCCATAGCTACAAGCATGGTATCAATCTGGGGATCCAGTCGTCGCAATGACGAGGGAAGAGGCGAAGAAGGACACCAAGATCCTGACAATCGAGAGCCCGATGAGCGTACGCGCTTGCTGCCTAGGGACGCCCAAAATGAAGGGTTTTTGAGTCCGGATGACCCAGCTGTTAGTCTCCTATCAATCCTTCGAGCCTGTCTACCTAACATGTACTGAATTTAAATGGTGTGCATGGGATGTATAGGTCTCACCGTATAATCTCTGGAGTATCCGAGCTCTTCGCTTCTTCAGCAGCGTCTTTCTCGCCATCAGTTTTGTTTGGTGGGTATTTCTACTCGTATCAATCTTTGTCAGTCCACCATTGATGTTCAACCGTGGTTCTGGCTTTACCGACTTCTCATATACGACCTTGACAGTGGGCAATTTGATCATCAGTTTACTTTTCTTCGCCGTGCCGTCACGACCAATGATTATGTGGAATATTATCCTGGCGTTGCTGCTGGTCGTGGATATGATCATAATACTTGCAGTTCCGCGCATACGACTAGAAGAAGGCTGGGTGGGCATTGCGTCGACTGTTTGGGCAGCGTTGATTTCCATCTACAACGTTTTCCAGATATATGCCGTCGAGAAGGGCAAAGAAGAAGAGGAGGAACGACTGACAGGCCGTGTGGAGACCAGACGGTCTCTTCTAGAATGGACCGCAGTACTGGCCGAAACAATCGTTCTGGGAGTCGTTGCCCTCGTAGCAATCCTTCTGACCGCTACGTTGATCTTGCGTGCCAGGGATGCAAGTCTAGAGGCCCCCGGCAAAAGATATTTTGTCAACAACGGGAAATACCAAGTTCATCTCGCCTGTATCGGAAATATCACATATCCCGATGTTACTGGCGAGAAAGATAAGAAACAGAAGCCAACAATCTTGGTTGAAGCTGGAGAGTTCCCCTCGGAGCACAGTCTGCAACCATTCGTCCATAACGCGTACCAAAACGGCACTATCGACCGATACTGTTACTGGGACCGACCGGGATTCGCATGGTCGGACAATGCCCCCTCGCCACATTCAGCAGGCATGTCCGCCGACGCTCTATCCGAGGCTCTCGCCCTCGCCGGCGAGGAAGGGCCCTGGATTCTTGTCTCAGCCGGAGTCGGCAGCATTCACAGCCGCATATTCGCCAGCCGCCACATTCACGATATCAGCGGCCTGTTCATGATTGATCCAATGCATGAAGATCGGTTGCAGCAGCACATCGGAACCGCAGGTCGCGGCTTCGTGCTTTGGGGTCGTGGTATCATTTCACCCTTAGGATTGGACCGGTTGGCAGGCGCGATTTTCAAGGGTCGCACGCGCGAAGACAGGATTTATGGTAAAGTGTCCTATCAAAGTGGGCGATTCATCAAGGCGAAGCTCCAGGAGAACTTGGTTGCAGGGAGCATTACGGCAAGCGAGATTGCGAGCGCGAGAAATATTCAGACGCCCGAAACGCCGCTGGTGGTGGTTAGTTCGGGTGTTGAAGTTCGCAGGAGTGAGGATTGGGCAAGACAGCAAGAACGCATGACAGGCATCACAGAGAATCTGGTTGCGTGGGATGTGGTTCGTGGTGCGCCTCATGAGGTTTGGAGAAGTTTCGAGGGTCGGCAGACGCTGGAGAGGAGGCTTGCGGAACTTATCAAGCAAGCATAGGTAAATTTATTTTTCTTGTTTTCCTTTCATTATCATAAATTGATGAATTTGTCTTCCGCTTCACTATGCACATTTGATAACGATTGAAAAGTCCCTATTTTCTTTATACCTGACTGTGATTTTGAGAAGAAAAAGAAAAAAAAAATTGATGCAATGGCCGTCCAATGTCCTTCACGAGTTTTGTTTTTCCCTTGACATTTATTGTTAATGTAGCAGACCAGAACAAAATTTGAATGTATGATAATAGTTCGCTCCATACGTAGCGAAATATAAAACTGGATTTGGTCAAGGAACATGATCCGACTGAGTTGTGAGCGTATTTCTGGCGTGACCGTCCACTTCGAAGCATGCTGGCTCAAATTCGAGAGAAGCTCTTCTGGACGAGGGCGAGGGGGTGAGAAGAACATGTGTTTCAGACGTCGAGCTAATGCGAGCTTAGATAGGGCTAGAAGATCGATATCTGCCGTAATCTGGTTCTGCTCGACACAGCATTTGATCAAGCGCAACCAATCGTCCCGTTACTCTAGGCTAGTCCCCTTAAACCTCTTAGCAAGACGTTCACTGTCTGAATTCGGAGACACAGATCTTGGCAAGAGATGCTGGTGTTTCTGAGATGATGCAACAATGGGTGCATCCTCGGCCATGGATAGCCGAGGGCGCTTAAGGGGACGCTCACCGCTCTCCTGAAGAATTGCGACCAGGGTTGCCCATCCATTTGTATTCACGAGTTGCATACCATCCGCAGGGTCATGAGAGGTAGCCACGCGGGTAAGAAGCCTTTCTTCTTCCTACACGAAAGAAAACCCTTGCTATTAGCGTCTAGTTCTCTCTGAACAGGAACATACTTACCGGGCTGAACGTTCCTAGTGAACGCAGGAACGTGAGTAGATGAAAGTCGGACACTGCTCGAATGGCTTTCTTCGGATCGCCATGAGTGACCAATTTTCTGGCAACCGTCCGCAATTCCTGACTCTCGCCAATGACCTCTCGGTTTTCTATTGGGAAATTGCTCTCTACAAAGATAGGAGACTCGACCGTGGGGAATCCGTGGGTCAGTGTAACTAAAAGGTATTCCACGGGGAAACTGGGTTTAGCGTTCTCTTGAACGTTGGCTCCATACTCATTTATCCTGCGGTAGAAGACTTCGGGAATATATCGTAATTTGCTACCCAGGTCATCGTCGTCTTCAGACTGAACAAGCATGACGGATGGGTCGGCAGAAGGTTCGATGATATCCGCCCTCACCATCTCCGCAGCAGTGTTGGATGCTTGATATGCACTGACTGCGATGGCTCCGTCTTCGTCACCGCTCAGCACACATGTAACAAAGTTTGACCCAAAACGGCCCGTCTCACTCCACTTGGTTGCCTTAGGGTGCTGGGCCTGTTGTCGAGAAGCAAATATTATCTCCAGTGACGACAGATAATATGATTCAACATGGCGTTTGCAAATGACAGACCCATCTCCAACCCCCGCGTCAAGTAGGTCAGTGAATATTACACCAACCTTCTGCAAGCCGCAAAGACGAGCAACTTCGTCCACTTCCGCTTCGTTGGTCCATTCGTTGAGTGTGATACCGTCAACCTCATCCACTTGAGGAGGTTCGTAGATTGCCTGAACAACGGCTTTGATGCCCAGTGGAACTTCGGTATATTCTTCGTAAGTGCCGTACAGATAACCTAATCGCTGAGCACCGGACTTTCGCCAGAAGTCAAGGAGTCCATTGATCAAAGAAGGGGACGCGAATTCAACATGGTCCACCATGCGAAATTCTTGTGGCTTCAATGTGATGGCACTTGGTTGGCATTTGGTGCATATTCCTTCGGGCCATGGTGGATGACCGGAGGGACAATCTCGTTTGACGCGATAGTATGGTTCACTTAAAGGTGGCATGTAAGAACTCTTGAGTTCCGGCTTGTTTGTTGACGAGTTGATCTTTCGAAGATATGAATGGAAGGAAAGGTGTTTAATCTTTTTGTCTGCCAAGTATTCCGGAGCATACGGCTCTAGCGGCATGCAATAGTCACACATGCCCTTAGGACCGTGTCTGCACATCTTGGTGTCTCGTGGCCGGGGGATTTTCCCATCTTTCTTGTCCAAGAGATCGTCAAGGGCCGACTGCTCTACTACTTCCCATGGGTTTTGTATAATAGCAGATGGAGATTTCGGACGAGGGGGGAGTGACACGGGGATCTGTTGAGGCACGGCAGCTCCGTTAAGGCGTCGGGATTCGCTGGTAACTTTGACAGGAGGCGCATGCGATACGCCGTTCGAAACTGAGGGCTTGTCTTGGTATCCGAGATAAAGCTTGTCTCCGTGGCTAAATATCGGTCGGTCAGTGTGCGATTCAACGCAAGTCCATACAAGCTGATCATGGCTGCTTACGACAAGCCAACCCTCTCTATGGAAACACCCTGCAGGCCACTCAAGAGCCTCTCCTGTCCACCGACGCCGATGGGCTTATTCGATAGAACAATAGAGGTGGGATCTGTGTTTTCGGGGAGATGCTCAAGGATCTGGATTTACGTCGGTCAGTCAGTAAGTTCTTCACTAATGTAACCTGGATATCAGAACCTTGGCTTCAAGTTCAGGGAACAACTCTGATGGGTTAACCGTTAATCGAAACTGGCCATTGCGACTCTCAAAACGGAGAACTATCGGCCTTGCGGGGGCCATGGTGGGTGGAAGCGGGCAAGCTAGACGGTGATTAGGCTGGAGCGGAGTAAACCGACAGAATAAAAAGGAAACGAAGGACTGAAAGACTCGAATATTAGCAAATCATGCCAACAGGATCAAGACATAAAGGTGAGGTGGCAGAGATAGAAGAAGGTTGAGTTGCAGAGGATGGATTGATCGTTGATGCTGAAGGGGAGCTTCCGTCGTCATAGCTTGGGGGTCGTGGGCTAATCCCAATACGGCTAGTGCAATTTACTAAGTATTTCTATGCTCATCTCCTTCATTCGATCTCGCTCTGTATGTACGGAGTAGTAGCAGTAGTACGTAAATTGTCTTTATTCATTGTCGTCTAGTATATATTCGTTTGCAAAAAATATGACTGTAGTTTGTCAAGGAGAAAAACTCCCTCTTTAACCCCCGAGAAGAATCCGAACATCCATAGTATATATCCATCATACAACAACGCACTTAGCCGGCATCCCACAAGGACCTTCTTTCTCGTCCTTTTTAGAGACATTTTGTTTGGAAGGAGGGTCAGTCGTCCTGGGCGCCTCCTTTGCAGCAGCTGGGGTAGGTTGAGCTGCTGCTGCTTTTTCGCCGCTGCTGCTTTCTAGTCATGTGGACTTGACGCGCTCGTAGAAGGATTTGCCTTGGATCTCAGCAATTTCAAGCTCCAACGCACTAGGTTGGCGGCTGCCATCAGGGCCGGCCTACATGAAACAAGTTAGCAAATCTGATTCAGTGAGTTCTTTCCCGTTAAGCCAAGACTTACAAAAGTACCAGCACCCCATGGGCTTCCACCGTGGACTTCATTAAGGTTGGCTAGCTGGCCAAAGGAGTGCTTGTAACCAAGAGGAAGGTAGCTGAAGCCGTGGTGAGCCAGAGTGCTCATGACAGCGATGGCAGTGGACTCTTGTCCACCACCCTGAGTGCCGGTGGCAATGAAGAGACCAGCGGACTTGCCCCAGTAACCACCGCTAGCCCAGATGCCACCGGTCTTGTCCCAGAAGGTCTTCCATTGAGCGGGGAAGTTTCCGAAACGGGTTGGGATACCAAAGAGAACGGCATCGTATTCAAGGAGCGTTGCGGGTTCAGCAATGGGGTAATCGGTCTTGGGAGGAGCGTGCATCTTCGCTAGCACATCCTCGGAGAGGGTCTCGGCGATTCTAGATAAAGAGACACATTAGTATCCAATCTGGACATGTTGATGGGAGGAGCACGCACTGGTAGAGATCAGCCTGTCCTCCAGCGGCCTCAATGCCCTTCTTCTCGGCCTCTGCCAGCTTGGCAATGTGGCCCCAGGTGGAGTACTATGCGCATGAGTTAGCCAGGCGAACACGGGGCGGGCAGAGATAAGTCGAGGTGTACATACGAAAACGATAGCGACCTTGGTCATTGTGGCGGATGTTTGGATGTGAATTGGAGTTTCGCAGTGAGAGTGCAGACGAGGAATGGTCAGAGGAATGAAGGCGAAGGGCAGAGGGAGGGGGGATGAAGTATTTATAAGGGAATCTTTCCTGCTTGCTACCCCACCGGGAGGAGAGCAGCTGCACTTTGACCCTTGCGAGCCCTGCGGCGCTTCTGATTGGCCAGAAGCAGGGCATCGCTGATGACCAAATCCTTACCAAGCAGCGCGCGCTTAACCGCATCCGTCGGCGTATTTCCGCTTTGAGGCTTTTTGGCTTCATTATCAATCTCTGACAAATGCTGGCCTGTGCTACTCCGTATGCCGCACGGAAATATGGAATACAAACACTGAATTGACCGACTAGTTAGCTAACGGTGGTCTTGCTGACTGTGTCAAGCACTGCTGGAGGAGCTGTCAGCTAGCGTAGCTCCTCAATCATATCCGTCTTATCTTATCTACCGTACTTTATATGAGACGGAAATAAAAAGTCGGAATAATATAATCTCTGTTCATGATGCAAACACCAACGCCACAACTCCATGCGGGTATATAAATTATTATTCGATACAAAACAGCTTACAAAATCAGCGCTACATGCCTCTTCCCCTGCCGCGTCCTCTATACCGCATGAACCCTCCGCGGCCGCGTTCGCTCCTCCACTCCCGTTGCCGCTCTTCCTCTCTTTCCTGTTCCTCCCTGATTAAAGCACGCTCTCTCTCGAGATCTTCCTCTGTCTTCTCAACTCGTATCTGAGGCTTTGGCAGGTTCTCCGGCCACCGCGGATGGGCGCCATGCTCACAAGACTTCCCATCGGGACAAAACCCAGCCATATAGTACGGGCACAGAGTCTGGCGAATATGTTGTTTGGCACAGATCGGCCCTAAAGGGCAGAATCCGCGGTCATAATGTTCGCAGCGCGGTAATCGAGCACTCTCCCGGACGTGGTGGTACAGACAGTCCTCGCCATTAGGACAGTATCCGGAGCGCGAGAAGGATTGGCATTCTGGCATACGCCGTAGGTTGTATTCGTGCAGGTATTCGCATTTGAAGCCCTTTTTGCAGAGTCCCTTGAGAAAGTGCTTGCAAACTAAAGAGCCGTGTGTAACTGATGGCGCGAGGCCCGAGGCGTTTGTAGTAGAGGTTGTTACTCTCGACGGCGTCGGGTGTCGGTCGGGACATGTTGGTCCAAGAGGGCAGTGTCCTTCTTTGAAGGCTTTGCATACAGGGACGTCTGTGGCAAGCCCAAATCCAAATGTCTTTCGTAGGTACGGAGTGAAGGAAAAATCGTAGTTTGGAGGTGGATGCGAAGCGTCCGCAGTCATTAGTCGACCAACGACCGATTGCACGTCGGTTGCCATTCCGCGCACCGGAGTTTGAAATTTCGTATGACTGTGACGGGTTATAGAAAGATACAATCGTTCAGGATCCTCAGCGTCGTACAGAGTTGTGTGTGTGTGTACTGAAGTCATGTCGAGCTGGAGCTCAGTGCCAAGAAAACAACGGGAACATCACGTGATATGAATTTGTCAGCATTTTATCGTCGAGCAACCAGGACACATTGTTCCGTACGGCTTCTATTTCAAACAATCGATGATAGAAATATGCATTTTGAATTCGGCTGCATACTACGCTACATGAGTTACGGAGACTGCTTGAACTGCAGCGAGCAAAGGGCGTAGGAGCATGTTCTAGACTTCGCTAGTTCTATGACTTACTAGCAACTAACGAAAGGACAGGAACTAATCGCAGTACCAGATGGCGGGCTGCCCGTGGAAGAAAGAAGAGATGTATGCGCATAAACTGCGAGCATGTAATCAAGGTCTAACAACATCAGCTGTGCAAATCATGACTCGAACAAGTTCGCCATGCGGCATGCCTTCTCTTGCCTGAGTGTCTAGGTGACAGCGGAATATAAGGCATTATTTACACATAAAATGAACATTACCAGAAGCCCCATTAAGAGGTTTCTTTTTGGTGGCTGACTGATTAATATTCTGTTGTATCTTCACCGCCTCACATATCACCTTAGGGATACCTAGGTGGCTTTACTCGAGTCCGGAGTAGTCTTGAGACTTGACGTTCATTTTTAAAGATAAGGCGATTTATACAGGGGAAGAAGCACGAACGTATTGAATGTTCCATATGCTAATACACTGCTGGCTAGTCCAACACAACGTGGGGACGTGGAGTTATTCAAGTACTTAAAAATATTAGTATCAATATAATAAAAATATAAGAATAAGACCGTAGAGATGGCTGCTAACCGGCCTTTTATATCCTACGGAATAACACCCCTCTCACCCCTCCCTACTCTGATTTCGCCTTCATTATCTCCGAACGGTGCCTGATTGTTCAGGTTCCAGAGCCATCCACTCGGTAAGTAATGGGTTCATGTGCTAGGGTAGCTCTTCAGAAATCATCTAGATATGTTTCGAGAAGATCCCTTTTATATAACTATATAATCAAAGCATAATAATTAATATATGTCGCCAATTAACACACAAGGCAAAAGAAAAGATAATGCACATACGACAGTACTACTTAACTGATTGCGTGCTGTTCAAGACGCATGGCGCCGAGGTGACCCAGGCCTGTGATGGTTCGTTCACTGTTGCGACACTGCTGCAGCTACTTGCGTGACGGATACATATAAGCCCTAAAACCACATCTTAACGCTCCAGGCAATATTTAAGGTGTCTACATCCGCCATGTAAAAAATGTATGGCTTTTGTGCCTCATAGACCTGGAAAACGAGCTCATTTCTCTTCTCGTCGTTCACGTGCATTGCATGTGGATTCAAACTAGAAGATGTCAACCCAAACCCCCAAATCCGAAAACATCAGCGTCAGTATCAACTCAGCTGCACAAACCTCACCCAAAGATATACCCGCAGCAGAACAGCTTCCTCTCGATGATGTCCCTGTCAAACGGCAGTTCTTCCGCTCCACGCTCTTCCAGCTCCTGGTCGTCAGCCTGTGCGCCTTTACCTCGCCGGGCATCTGGTCGGCCATGAATGGACTCGGCGTCGGCGGGTCAGAAAGCCCTGACCTGGTCAACGCGGCGAATGCAATTCTCTATGCCATCATGACCGTGACCTGTTTTGCAGGCCCCTTTGTCACAAATTTACTAGGCTTCCGATGGACCCTTTCTCTCGGCTCGGTCGGCTATCCTCTATATGCTGCCGGGCTGTACGTGAACAACCGCTCCGGAACGACGTGGTTTGTCTACTTCGGCGCTGCCGCGTGTGGCCTCTCTGCCGGTCTATTTTGGTCGGTCGAAGGTGCCATCGCAACGGGGTATCCGGAGGCATATAAACGGGGCAGATACCTCGCGACCTGGTTCTCGTTCCGGAACATGGGGAACGTTATTGGCGGCGCTGTTTCGCTTGCCCTCAACCACAACGCTAATCAAAAGGGGGAAGTGGGATACCAGCTGTATCTAGCATTTATCGCCATACAATGCCTTGGGTTTTTGATTGGGTTGTTATTGTCGAACCCCGAGAAAGTGCAACGAGACGATGGTACTAAAATCAACGCTCCTAGGGGCACGGATTGGAGAACTGAGCGGAAAGCAATGTGGCACTTGGCTCGGAGCAGATCAATCTTGCTACTGGCGCCGTTGTTTTGGTACTTTGGCTGGATGCAGGCATACCCGGGCACATACCTCGAAACATACTTCACAGTCAGGGCCCGATCCCTGGGCAGCTTTTTATCGGCCATTGTCATGACACTGTCGACATGGCTGGCTGGAACACTAGTTGATCTGCGCTGGCACAAGAATCGAAAAGTCCGTGCAGTCGCTACATACACCCTCATAGCAGCAATCAACAGCGCCACGTGGATATGGGCAGTGTACATCCAAGACGAGTATCGAAAAACCGACCCTACACTGGACTGGGGCTCTCCGGCTTTTGGAAGGGGCTTTGGGCTCTATATGCTTCAGTCGGTCAGTTTGGCCACGGTCGAGAACTACATCTACTGGTGCATCAGCAACCTCTCAGACTCTCCCGGTGGGCAGATACGCTATAGCTCTTTGTTGCGAGGGATCGAAACTGCGGGCGTGGCAGTGTCGTTTGGAGTTCAGGCAGTACCCACGGCGCTCATAGTCACGGCAGGCCTCAATCTCGGCTTCTGGTGCGTGGCCTTGCCATTTAGCTACTATGCCACTCTGCAGGTTGTGCGGAAATTCCGAAAGCTGGATGTGTTTGGATAGGCATAGGAGCCTGCGTCAAGCAGACATGTCTGTAGGAGCTCCGTTCGCCATCTCACCTCACCGTAACGTTCGGTAAAACGTAAAGTAGGGTGAAGGAGAACATGTGATCATGTGACCAACCATGAGTGCTCACGTGAACTCGCTTCGTATACAGTACATACTCATAGTAAATATTGATGCAGTCCGTGTCTGTTAGGAAGTTGCATGCGAGGACAGACTGGAGAAATGCAGCACGAGGGATGTGGGTCTCTGCAAACAACTAGCGGCTTGGCAGCGCATAACAAAGGCACCGATTATACATTCATTTACTTATGTACATACATACATACATACATACATACATACATACATACTGACTTGCGCTTCTTGTACGGAGTCTCTTAGTATCTAGTTACTCTAGTTACTTCGTTAGATTAGTCAGTTACGTATCTGCTGACTCCATCTCCATAAGCAGTGCGACCCTGTCTGGATCGGCAGGATCTGTGAACGCGTTTTGCGGAGGTGCGATTAGTTGCATTGTCTCGCCTTACTCCAGAGGCCTAGCGCTTCCCATAGGCCGCCTCTCTGCTGGAGGACGTGGGCGAGGATACTAGCGCAGTGGCCTCTTTTTTTGCTTTTTTTCTTTTTTTTCTTTTTTCTTTTTTTTCGTTTCTTCTTCTCTCGTTCCGTTGCGAGGCGAGGGTGTCAAAGGGCAAGAGAGGGGTAGTTATAGTCAGACAAGTAATGAAGAAGAGGCAATTAATGCCTAAAATTATCTGCAAATTTTACCTGGTGCCTCTTAAGGCTTAGTGGTTTACCCACTTCCTCTTTGGGGTGCCTGCTTCGTTCCTTCCTGCTCGCAAGATTTTCCTCCTCTGGACTTTCTTTTTGTTCTGCTCCTCTTCGCCTCTTCTCCTCTCCCCAGCCTTACTCCCTCTCCTCTCTGCTGCTCACTCTCGCTCATCCCTGAAAAATCATCCCGGTTCATGCGTGTTTCGCTTCTCTCCCCGCATCCCGCATCGTGCCAAGGTACAATTCTCGTCAGCTCGTTGTTGCATGCATGCTTCGTGACCAGAGGACCTCGGAAACATTGGCCAATCTGACTGCTCGGTTATATATATAGCAGTATATATATATATATGCGCAATATTCCAAGAGTGGGCTTTGACTAAAACAAGTTCTTTTGTTGTCTGCTTAAATGTATTCATTCATGACTCCGTCTTTCCCAGGTGCCAACAATGTATGGTCAGCGCCCACACTAAACAGCCTGCCTACGACGACTCCGCCATCTGCCGTGGCTTCTTCCAGCTCGGCAGCGGTGGACATTCCGATCTATGCAAATGCAGCGTATTATCCAAATTGGAGAATATATAAAAAACAGCCACCATCGTCGCTGCGGCTGGGCTTCGTCTCTCACATATTCTACTCTTTTGCATGGTAAATGGCACCCTGGTTATATCGTCGAGAGCATGTAAATCTTATGTAGCCACGCAGCTGACGCAGCCTGGGAATGGATGTATAGGGTAAAAGAAAATGGCCAAGTCTATGTATGCCGCTGCAATCCCAGATAACCGATAATTCGCTAACGCATAACAGCTCAGCGATGAGTGGGCAGACTCTCAAATGCCAGTCGACGGGACGGAGGGTTGTCTTCGTGCCTTCACTCAGCTAAAGCAGCAGTATCCGCAGTTAAAAGTTATTCTCTCCATAGGGGGTGGCGGCAAGGGTAGCGAGAACTTTGCCAGTGTAGCCAGGAACCCGTCGGCAGTAGCGATGTTTGCCAGTAGTGCCAGGGCGTTGGTTGACCAGTTCGGCTTGGATGGCATTGATAGTATGAACACCTCCTGATCCAAGGTATTATTCGGTTCTAACGCCACTCTACATGCAGTTGACTGGGAGCACCCATCGAATAGTCAGCAAGGCCAAGACTACATCTACCTGTTATCACAGCTACGAGCGGTCTTACCTAGTCCACGCTACTCGTTGACGAGTGCAGTACCCGCCGGCGAGTGGGCTCTAAAACACATCAATCTTCCTGTGGCCCAGCAGTACTTGGACTTATTCATGGTGATGTGCTATGATTTCTCAGGGCCGTGGCTTGATCGAACGGGCCATCAAGCCCAGCTCTTCACACCGTTCCAGCCACACAACGATGCGGCCTATATTTCCTGTCAGTCCGCAGTCACGTATTTCCTGAACCAGAACGTGCAGTCCAACAAGATCTTGCTGGGAATTCCTGTTTATGGGAGATCATTTACCGGTGCAGACAACATCAACCAACCGTATTCAGGTGCTGACGGGGACGATGGCGTGTTTGATTACAGCGAGCTCCCTAGACCAGGAGCCAAAGAAACCGTCGACGAGACAGTGGGGGCTGCGTACTGCGTTGGTGGTCGTGATGGCGGATTTGTCTCGTATGACACTCCGCAGACAGTCGAAAACAAGGCGAAATTCGTATCCGACATGAGACTAGGCGGGCTGTTTTACTGGCACATTGCGGCTGATAAGCGAGGCATGAACAGTTTGCTAGAGACGGGATACAACACATTGCACGAGTTGTAAGCATTTGGACGAGAAGGGGGGGAATCAGGAAAAAGTTGATGAAAATTACGAACGACATGACTTGTTGTTGTATGGGAAAGGCTATTGTTAAAACAAAAAAGGGAGGCAGAATCGGTATTACTAGTTAGTACGTATACATTATGTCTATATTGGTACCTGCGTGTTAGTATATAGCTAGGCGGGTTTGATTTCCGACGACCAGGGTGGTTGCATACGCAAGTGTGCTGCTGCATACGAATAATTCATGAATCCCGTTTTTCTAGCCAATATACTGAATGAATTAAGTAATTAGCAAAAAGTAACAATATATGCCTAGAATTTGGAACCGTCGAGCCCACCTCTTGTTTCTTCATACACACACATATATATATATACCTCGCAGAAAGAAAGATGGAAAGAAGATCACAAAACAGTAGCCAAATCGCCCAACCCAGAATTAATCAGCACCTGCGTGATATTCATCGGGGTCTGCAGCAGATTAGCCTGCAAAGCCTGTGAGAAATACGGAATCTCCTGGCCGTTGTACACGCTGGAAATACCGCGTATACCTAATGGGAGCACGCCAGAGGAATATGCAGAGGTGTTTCCGGTGATGAGTCCGAGGACTTGGGTTGTGTTGATTGTTCCTTGTAGTGGGACTGAGTTGTTGCCTGGTGCGAGCACGAGGTTGGTTAGGTACGACTGGCCGATCTGGGTGCCGTTTACGGAGACGTCTAGGGTTACGTTGCCCTTTCCCTTGTGTAAGTATCATATTTCAAAGACTTGGTAGGGGGTTTTGAGGTGTACCATTGCTACTGTGATTATGCTCGGGTTCGGGATGAGTGCCGTCCCGTTCAAGTTGGTTAGGTCCGAGGCTATCATGAGATCTTCGAGGGAGAAGCCTCTGAGACCGTTGAGACCTGTCTTGTTTTAGTATACAAACACACCTAGGTAGCTAAAGAGAAGAATCATGGGGAATACCATTCATAGTCACCGTTTTATTAAACGACACTTTCTCCCTCGGCAGAGCGCCCTCCTTCAAATCCGGTCTCCCATAAAAATTCAGCTGGAACGATTCCAGACCCAACACAGCCATGGTGAAATTTGCCACGGCGTCAGTGGACTGGTTCAAGGCGAGCGTCGCATCGACGTTGATAATCTCGCCATCGTTGGCTTGGAGGCGCGGGATAAGCACGGTGGATAATGGCGCGCTGGCGCCTGGGAGCGAGATGCTCGCATTGAAGGCGTAGATGGTTGGGTGGTAGGATGCTTTGTTGGTAAGGACTTGGGTCTGGTTGGCGTGGATGGAGGATGGGGTCGGGTTGGAGAAGACCAGGTTGGTGATGTTGAGGGAGGATTTGTTGACGTCGCTTTGCGCGATGCGTGGGTATGCGACGTAGACACTGAGACATTAGTTAGTTTTTGAGGTCGTGTATATGTGGACATAAAAGGAAAAAGGAGAAGAAGTAAGTCTTACATAGGCAGCGTGATCACCAAGACTACTACGACAAGTATGATCAAGTGAAGCCACCACCACTTCCTGTAGTGAGCCCCGACACGCGCAAAGAAGCTTCGTTTCACAGCAGGTGTAGTTGTCTCGTCAACCTGCTGCACCTTGGCTTTATCGTCTGCCATGGCTGTCTTTCTTTTACTTGCGCCTAGTTCAATTGGAAGGTGGACGGAGCAGCCTCAATATGATCTGTCTACAGAATCAAACGAGTGTAAAGCACAAGACGCGGGGAAGAAGCAGACAGACAACAAGCCAGAAAATAAGAAACAAGATTGGAGAGTAGCATTCTTTTTATCTGGACATGCATCACATAGCCAAATCAAACGGGCGTTCGGGTCGCACGAGTCACGGGCATCGCATAAAAGCATACCTAGGTTGACTATAGTCGAACCCTTGCTTGCTCGGACAGTCCGAATTGGTCTTACTACTTAGGTACATCAATACGCCAAGTAGTACTGACAGTAACAGAGGCGAGACACTGAGAGGGG